GGCCACAACAAGCCCGAAACTGGGAAACCTCTCTCTCTCTCTCTGATACACGCCGTGCAAGGTTAGTGTTGGCTCAATTCCAGCCCTTTCACTTGTTGACCATGGCCAGAATTAGCCGATGCTAGAGTCAGCTAAAGCGCGGAAGAGTCGACGTGTGTGCCCATTATTTATTCTGCATCGACCTCACCAAAACCTTTAGCTGTCAACGACAACTCGCTATCCTCGTTGTCGAAGACGGGCTGAAATGCTTCTAGGATGCCAAGGTCAGGTGTCCGCGTTGATTATCCTCCATTTCTGGCTCATTTCTCGCCGCAGACACGTCAAATTGCGTGAAAACGATGGTGAATTTGCTTGTATAAATATGCTTACGTAAGCACTTTCTGCGTCATTTTTTTGCCTTTCAAAACTCACTTTTTCGCAGGAGTTTGCCGCCGGAGGCGTGAATAACGCCCTGGACTTCAACTTGACGCGATCCTCATTCTCTGGCGGCCGTCGTTACTTGCGAACGCGAGGAATGCGCCGTTAGGCGCATCCAAGGGAATTTTATCTGGGTACGGGCTGGCCTCGGTGGCGAGCGCGCAGCATGCGCCGTTATCAGAGGTGCGTTTTCCAACCACTGATATCAAGTTATCTTGATTCCTTCTCAGCAACGGCCCTCGTCCCCGACATTAGCGTGCGCGAGGCATACACCGAAGGCGAGTTTTCAACACCATTGATCTATCTCTCTTTCAACACTTACTTCTAGTATCAACATTGCTCACCCGCGCCAATGGTCGGCACGCTTGGAATCGCCTCTACTTGTAGGACCTCCTGGCACGATTTTGTTTTAACTGACACTTCTAGCAGGATTTCCGCGTTGGCGCCTAATTTGCTGGACTGCCGCTGTGTGGGTACATTTTATTTGCTAATCGTTGCAGTTGTTCACTTATCCTCAGCCTTCGAAGGATATACAAAATTTACAACGCTGCATTCCGAACTAAACAAAGTAGTGGTCTACATATCATATGCTTTTCTTTCGTTCGCTGACTTTTCGCTCGCAGTTCCGCCCTCCTCCGCTCCGTCAGTGTTGGCGTCATTGTAGCCGTTGTCCCCGGTACCGACATCATCGTAGGGTTATTGTCGATGGTTCTGCTCGCGCTAGAGAAAGTTTCGCCAACTGGTAAGTTGTTATTCTCCACATTCGCAGCTGGACTGACTTTCCCCGCAAGTTCTTGACACAATGCTCATCCAACGGCAATCCGAGCAGCGTCGACTGGCGTCGCGCAGTCGGGATATCTGGACCAAAAGGTGCGTCTCTGCTTGCTGTCAGCCATGCTCCAACCTCTTCAACAACTCAGTACAGGCGCAAACACAACCGTAGTTACCTCCTCCCGTCCCCTCATCCTGGCTGTCACCACCTCCGTTCGTTAATCCCGGCTCTACACCTGCGTCGAGGAGCGCTTCAACAAACTGCAGCTCTGCATCAACAGCGGCTCTTGCCGCTATTTTCTTATGTCGTTCAACGCTGAGCAGTCCGAAATATTTCTGTCCGGGCAATGTACCCCTTGCCAGAAGCAAATCGGTGATCTGCTTGTTTCTGGCAGGCAAAAGGGATGGGACGACCTTCCGGCCTTCTTCAACCTGCCGGCCTGGGGCGAGCTGAAGAGCGGCCTGCCTTGAGAGCGTAGAATTTCATTCAATAATCTTTCTACTACAGATAATGATTTGAATACGTTACATCCACTTACCTATAGTTAGGACTCGTGAATTCACTATATAGAGTTGTTTTATTCTTTTTACAGACTTCATCCGAGTCAGATTCAGAGTGCCAGTGAGATAGACATAAAGATTACAACCAAACGCGTGATCATACCATCCAGGCGTGCCGCTATGCGCTGCTCGAGCCGAGCCATCTGCTGCTGAGTCTGCTGGTACATCTGCGGCGCACCGGCCAGCGCGGGCGTCCGTCGGCGCTGCAAGAAATCGTCAGCAAATGATGATAAGATAAGATAAGTATGCGTGCCGGTGTTGAGCGTCACCGCCGCGAGAGACCGCGCCCGCGTACATCTCGGCCGTGAAGCCCGGGATACGCGCTACGTGCATTAAATAGCAAGTAATAAACCGACTGCTTGCGGATGGCGATGCGGCTCAAGTACTCCTCGGCAGCGACGTAGTCGGCTGCGGTGGGTGGGTCGGACAGCGGTGGCGGGCGTGATTCCCTGGTAGTCACTAGTGGGTGGCGGCGGAATGGCTGACATAAAAGTGGAAGCCGAGTAAGGAAAAAAGGAACGGGGCTTGTTGCTTGCGGTTAGATAATAACTCAGATTGACCAACTTGAACGAACAAGACGTTAAGTGCTTGCGCCGGGCCGCCAGCCAGCCCCCGCCTGCGCCTTCAGGGACGGAAGAGCACGGCCTGATCTCGTGCAACTCCGCCATCACGCCGGGACACGCCGAGGCCTGCGCGCCCAGTAGGCTCACGCTGAAACGGGGGTCAGAGCTAAGTAGCGCCACCGTGCGTGCGCTGGCTCGGGGAACGGCTTCGCTTCTGCCTGGAAGCTTCCGATTATGCGTATCCGAGTCGCACTATGGTCGGTGATTGGGGCGAGGAGGCAGGGGGTGAGTGAGCGATAGTACTTGCTGGACAGGCGCCAAAGTTCAGGCTGGGGAGCTTGGCCGAATGCAGCGGTGTTTGGGGTGAACTTTTGGTGAATGGCCAGGAATTTCCGGATAGGGAGGCATCTGCTGAGAAGATGTGGATTAAAATAGCAGCACTCCCGATATGGGCAATTGTGCAGCGTTGTTCGGCGGCAATGTGGGTTGGATAGGATATAGCATCCCGAGTCGCCAGCTGATATTGCGCTGGCGCGCTGTGGGAGGGGATGACGTTGATCCTCGGTGGCCAGCCAATCACAGCGCACGGGGCGAACGCAATCTATCTTCGCCACCATCGATGGCCCGGAGGTGAGAGCAGACATTGCGTCAGGGACATCGACGTGTGTGTATTTTCGCACGTGCAGCATGTCCACCTAGTCCATATATGGGAGTGCAGTTGAAGGGTACCAATCTGGAGTCTGGCAACTATCAGAAATATCACTAAGAGCCTCTCAGTCTTTAGACAAGCGGCACTGAGCGCGTCCCGGAGAAGCATAAGAAGGCTGCTATCAGCTGTTTGTTGTCCTGTAGGCGCTGTGGACGTGGACTGTGGACGCACTCGGGAGTCGGGTTGATTCGAAGAAGACCTAGGTGCAATCTTATCGAAATCTAGCCGAAGCGTGCGGCCCGATGCCGGCACCTGTCATTACGTCCCGAAAAGGCGATTCGAAGAGGCAGCGACAGGCGCCCAGCGGCGTCTCAGCGTGGCTTGTTGACTAGGGGATTAGGCGCCTACGGGCCCACGCGCCGGGAAGCGGTGCTGAAGTGGGGGCACCCCCTGGCCCCTTAGCAACAGGCGGCCTCATTGCGCCCACACAACGACCTGCAGTCGCCATCGTCACCCTCAGTAAAGATGGCCCGCAGTGAGTCTTCCGGCGGATGGGGGGCTGTTGTTTGACGACATCCAAGGCTTCCGCGGTATTATCAGCCGCTCGAGGTGGGCTCGGGGACAACATATGGTCTGCGGTCATCCATCAAAACAGGAGATCAACGGCCATAGGCACACGGCGATTGAGTAAGCCGGGCTTCTGGTCTTCCCAACGTCTTCCCGCTGTGAACGAGGAAAACGTCGTGTGATGGCGCGTGGCCGCACTACCTCCGCCGCGCGCCTCGTTGCTGAAGGGAAGCACGCAGCTGCGTTCGGCCGAAAAAGGCGAATAAAAACTGGCAAGCGAGCGCCGATTGTCGTCGCGAACCCTCCAGCGTTCTGAGTCATTCCCCGAGCCAGCAAGGGAGTACGTCACGCGGGAGACAGCCTGCGCAAGTTCTGAGCAAGGGTGAACAATTGCAGGCCACCGCCCCTGCTGTAAGGATGTCCTCCGAGTGTGTCCTTTCGGAGCTCGAGTGAGTCAAAGCTGTACTCGCCCGCATCTCATCGTGCAAGCAATTGACAAGTGACTGTCGCTGTTCAATATGGGCCAGGGGAGACCGGCGAGGACAGCATTGCTCCCCAGGCATTGAAGCAGGCCAAACAAATACCATCGGAGATCAGTGGATGGTCGCTGACGCAACTGACGCTTCGCGGGTTGGGCATCGACATCTGAATTCTCATGACAGAGATCTGCTTCGGGATGGCTAGGGGCGGCGACACAGGCATATGGACGGGATGAGCACTAAAGGCAGTCAAGTTTGAAGTGGTGGTGTACCGCGGCTCGGGGGTCGCTGATAGATCAGACAGCCAGGTCGACTAGCTGTTGTTCTTGTTCTTGTTGTAACACTTGAATCGTGGCTGCCTTGTCGTGTTCGGCAAACACTGGCTGACAGAAGCGGAGAAGCAGCCACGCGCGAAAAAATAAATAATCGTACGATGCAGAACGTGGTGGACTTCTCAGCGGTGAAAGATGTGAACGCGTCCGTGATGGCAGCACGCGCGAAGAACAGACAAGCCGACGAGTCACGACTAGCGGGTAGAAGGATAGATATGTAGCAGTCTCATCCGCTTGGAGAAAAAATGAGTTGCACGCGCGCATCAAACAGATCAACAAAAGCCACTGATGGTGGCTGATGCAAGTGATTGGACAGATGGTTTCGACTGTTTTTCATTGGGTTTACAAGTAAGGACAGTAGGTATACTGAAATTATACACATGGAGCGCTGAATGAGGAAAACCCAAGAAAAAGCTGAACCACCAGACGTGTTTGAAAACGAAGCCATTAAATGATACAGAGCGCAAAAACGCAGGCGATAAGTAATAATTGTAGGTTGTATGCGAGGTTGTTTGTTTGTGTGTCCAATGTTGTTGTTTGCTGCAGTAATACATTTGCGATGAGTGTGGTTTGCCAAAGATGCGATGCTTGGGAGAGACGATGCAGTTTCGACCGGCAACGGAACCAAGGGAAAAGACGAAGACGACGACGACGACGACAGCTACCAGATGGCAGGCGCAGCGAAAGCAAACATCTTTGCTTTCAGTGGGTGAGTCGGCGGGAGTTCGGTAGCTATCCGTAGGCTTCCGGATGTCTCGAAGCCCTTGGTGTTGCTTGCGTCGTGAATCTTGGCTGTAAGGTCGACAGGACCCGTGGGTGTCGGTGGGGAGACCGACGAAGCAGGAGATGTCGTCGCCGAGTGACTGTGACCCGGTGTTTCTGGAGTGGTAGGGGAAGCAGGTTTCTTGTACAATGGTGGGGGTATAATCGGCGGCGGGTAAGGTTTCGTTGGCGTAGCTTGCCGCTGCTGCTGGCCAAATGAGGGAATAGGACTCGTTGTCGAGTTGGGTTCTGGTATCGGCGTGTTGGACGCTGAGGCTGCCGCTTTGGCTGCACGTTTCGAAACCATGTGGAGGGAGTACGTGGGATAGGGACCCTTGGAGTTCGGCGGGAAGTCGCGCTGGACCATCGTCTCGAAGTTGCTCAGGATCGGGTTGTCGACAGTAAGTTCCCAGTCGAGGTAATTGCACATCTCCCGCTCCATTTGGTTGATTTCTCGTAGCGAGAACATGCCTTGCGCGACGATGCTCCAGGACTTGTTTGAGTAGGTATCGTCGCAGATGACCTTTGAGGCGATCATGAAGGCAGAAATGAAGAGTCGATGGCCGGAGGAGCCACGTGCGGTTGGGAAACGCGCTTTTAGACGCTGAAGCAGGACAAGGGCGGCGTAAGTCACGGCTTGGTGTAGCTTCGTGCGATGTAAGGCATAGGCAATAAAATAAGGGAGCTTCGCCTGCGAATGGGTTGACTGTGGCGGAAAGGGTGGACATGCGAATAGGTGCGTTATGAAGCGTGCGCAAAGGTTGGCGATGTATTCGTGACCGTAATATGGGTCCGTCTTTGACGAGGAGCCAGTCTGGGGCTTGAGAGACATTTTATTGGAAGGTGAACCAAGTCGGATTAACAATTTTAACATACCGGAGGCGCAGGATAAGAACGAGGGACATGGGCCTTCTTCGTAGGAGGAGGTTGCTGAGCATGAACAGCACTAGCCATTAACACAGTCTAAAACAGGATTCGGTCAGAAATCGATAGACCGAGTGCATGGCATCGTTTAGGCGCCGGGAGCAGGTGCCTTATATTCGTGGCATGGGGTGAGATCTTTGATGAGAAAAATTTTTTGTCTCCCCAAGCTCGCGTGATGATGGGACGTGCCAATTGTAAACGTGGAACGACTAACTCACCGGGAACAGATTATTAGTCGGGCGTAGAGAATGAGTGTGGTAGTGAGCTGGATCCCCTTATAAAGGAAGTATGGGGAGGCAGGGCTCGGTGAGATGTCGTCGTTTAAACACAAGCGGGGACTACGGTAGCTGTCACAGTCACACACTGCATTTCCAGTGCCTCCTCACTCCTGTGCGACCCTGGCCTTCACTATGGTGTCGGCGCAAATGACATGCTGACTCCGCGCCGACCTTTGCAAAGAACGTGGGAAAACAAACGCGCCGAGATTCTGTTGGAAACATCTAGCATCCGGTCCGAAAAGGCAGTGCATTTCTCAACCCCCAAATGGCAGTTACTATCCAGCCACCGCTAACTCAATCACACGTTGTCTACAGACTACCGCAATTGCTACTCGCGGGCATTGCCCGTGCTGACTACCGACGCGGCGGCAACTACGCCGGACCCTAGTAGTAGTTGTCATCCCCTCCAGTTGTCTTCGCGATATGTTTTTTCAAGTGCATCTCCGTGAACCACGTGTCCAAACACCTCGATCGACAGCCTTCCTCCTGCTTGGCAGCTCGAACCTTGCAGGTCTGCATGCTTCAGTCAATCTCCAACGAATGTCGAAACGAACTTGCCCCAACTCGCTCCGTTATCCTCGCCAATGAGCCAAAATTGCACTGCGGACATACACAGGCCAAGATACGCGCTGCCTGCCGAAGAGTTGACTCGATGTGGCCAGGTAATCCATGAAAGCAATGCTTTAGAACGGCCGCAGGAGTTGCTCGGAGACGCTAAAGTCCCTCCATTTCCATGCTTAACTCCCTCCTCTCCCAAAGTCCCTGGTCCCTGTCCTCCTGTGAGAAGTGCGAAATGTTAAGCCAATGATTTACTCACCGGTATCATTATCTCCGCTGCAAAGAACTTTGAGAAGAATCCCACTGGGAAGCTGTCCAGCCGGAGTGGCGGGGAGTAGCCGTCTTCGGGGTGGCGAATGACCCATCCGGATCCCACTAGATTATGGCGCTGCCCACTAGTCGATGAACCGAGGTTTCTCAACCTGGAACACTCAGGCAACATCTTCCACTCATCAGCTCCCATTGTTCTCCATGACGTGTTGCTGTATCTCTCCCATCTTTTCGCCGTATTGAGAACTAAGGAGCTCCACAGCTCAGAGAAAGCAAAAAACAAAGGTTAGGTCCACTAAGGCGTGCTGTAGGACGGAAAGCTGGAACATGCGGGAACATCGAGATTCGTCTGATCTGCGGGAAGCGCCGTCGTTTTAGACGCCCAAGCAACCTAAAACCTAAACAGCCGCTCATATATGTCGCGTGGGACTGTCAACATGGTCGGCTATCGGGCCCGGTCGGACATACAGAAATCGGTTTTGTCGGTCTGTGTGGGTCCCAAGAACTCATCTGGGGAGTGTGAGCCACGCATCGTTCACCGAGCCATATGGATATCACATAGACTGTTGTTGCAGAACGAGTTTGGTCCATCTATAGGCCGTTTTGCTCCGCTTTGGGCGGTGAGGCGCATAGCCCTGTACCATATAAGTGTAAGAGCTTCAGAGTACACTGACAGTAGCATCAGGATGTGGTATGGAGCTTTAAAAAACGACCAACTTTTGATGTTAAGAATCTTGACCCGCGACGAAACTCTTGTAAAATACCCATGCATCCACATACTCTTCTCCATTCCCATCCTTCCGTCTGAGCCGCCCAGCGTTGGGTATCAAACCCGCTTTTGTAAAGCTCAAGCGCTCCCATAATCTGATAGTGGATCAACATCTAAAAGCACGATGACGCATGTGTGTTACTTGACGGAGGCAAGATTGTTGGCATAGACAAGATTAAAGACGCTGTTGGGGCGGATAAGAATAAGAAAGTATTCGGGTTCGCAGTCTGATTTGACTTGCCTGGCACGATAGCCAAGTTTCGGGGCATAGTACACGTACGATTTTGCCAGCGCTGACCCATACCCGCTTCCGCGATGGACGGTTGGAACAACGAAGCCTCCGTTGCATATCTGGAGTCCGAGTCAGAAAGATTTCGAGGGTGGACAGATCGGGAGGACTCGCGTGAGAGGATCGGCCGGGATAGCTTGGACGAGTCAGAACATGAAAACAGCTCGGTCTCTTTTTTTCACTTACTTGGGTTTCACGTAATAGTAGCCAGCGACACCTGGTGAGCATTAGGATATCCGATGGACGTGCTGACTGATCACCAACAGTCTACCCAAGGCCGACCATTCCGTGCTTCTTGGAGAGTCTGTTTGGTCTCCGAGCCTTCAACAGGTGCTACGCTAGCGCCGGATTGAGGAATGATCGCGATGAAGACATCGCCTGCGAAGAAATATGCCTCAAAGGCGTCAAGAAGAAGGGTTTCTTGGGGATAGGTTTGCCCTTCTTCCACAACACCGGCCATGACTTCACCTACGAGACAGCATCAAGCAGGCAGTATTACTGCTGAGCATATCGCGGCACCGAGGTAGTCGATCAGTCCAGGGAGTAGTTTTGCAGCCGCAAGTGTAAGATGGTGAACAGAGACGTGTCCTTCGGCTCCCGAGCGCATATACCAGATAGTAGACCCCAGGGGCTCCGAAAGCGTGATCGATTTAACGAGTGCACCGTATGCTGACATGTTCTGCAGACGATTGTTTGCGACGGAGGCGAGAGGCCCAACGAGAGTGTCACACATCATCGTTACCGTGACGGCGATATTTCTTCCCACCAATTGCGCGCCAGCCACAAAATGTCCCGGCACGGATTTTGGACAGCTTCTAGCAGCCTCCTATCCTTCATCTCAATTGACACGCAGGATAATCCATTCTTATCCTCAGGTTGAACCCCATAGCCTGGCATTCAAGGAGCATGTTCTTTTGGATCGAGCAGTAGCACCGTTGCGCTCTTTCGTCCATGTTGTGGAGTTCTCATTCTTTTCAAGAGTGCAAGTCCTTTCGCGATGTCTGACCTGAATGACACAGCCTGTGCCTGTACGACGCAGTGCTCGCTTGGTTTTTTCGATCATTTACTTCCGCTCCTAAATTGGGTTTTAAATATCCCTAAGTTCATTCTGTCTTGTCTTTGGCCTTCTTCCCCCTCGCCATGCCCTTTGACGCGCAGGACCTCCAAGATGCTTTCGACGCTGGGCGAACACTCGCACCAGCAGCGGTCGGAACCCAGATCCTGCTGATGAGCGGTATCTCTTTGGCGACCCTCGTTCTATTCAACCTACTCCGACCACGAAACAAAGTGAGTTGTTAGTAGCTTTCAACACCTCGCGCCCTAAATCTTTGCAACCAGATCGTCTACGAACCTAAAGTGAAATACCATGTCGGCGAGAAAGCCCCTCCCACCATTCGCGATACCTGCTGTGGTTGGCTCCCGCCACTCATACAAACAAAGGAGCCCGAGCTTCTCGAATTAATTGGGCTCGACGCTGTTGCCTACCTGCGTTTTCTCCGTCTCATGCGCCAGCTTTTCGCCTGTGTCGCCATCGTCGCTTGTGCTATCCTCATCCCAATCGACTACAAATATAATATGGCGCATGTCAAGGCCGCCAAGCGCGACTTTCTGTCTGCCCTGACGATTCGGGATGTCAAGGGCTCCAAGATGTACGCCCACGTGACCGTCTACTACCTGATATCATTCATCGTCCTCGCGCTCGTCTACATCCACGGCCGCGCAATGGTCAAGCTTCGGAACGACTTCTTTCGCTCGCCCGAGTATATGAAGAGCTTCTATGCCCGCACGATTAGTATTACGCACATCCCTCAGCGACTGCAGCAAGACACAGGGCTGACGGAAATTCTGGGGAAAGGCTCGCCGTACCACCCAACTTCGCTTCATATTGGGAGGGCGGTTGGCGAGTTGCCTCATCTCGTCGAGTATCACAACCAAACTGTCCGCGACTTTGAAGCTGTTCTTGTGAAGTATCTTCGAGGAGGCGTTCACACCCAACCGCGGCCTATGATCAAGCTTGGAGGTTTTTGTGGACTAGGCGGTACTCCTACAGATGCCATTGAGTACTACACGTATGTCCCATTACCCTTTCATTGCGAATTCCGCTGATAAGCGTTTTAGCAAAAAGCTGAAACGAACGGAGGGTGCTGTGGAGGAATTTCGTGCTCGCATTGATGCCCGTAGACCTGAGAGTTACGGTTTTGCTTCCTATGCTGCAGTTCCTTATGCGCATTTCATCGCGCAGCATGCAAAAGGTAGACATCCTCGCGGCGCCACGGTCACGTTAGCCCCAAATCCAAAAGATATCGTTGAGTCGTTTTTCAGACTTCCAAACTCTTATCTCTAACCAAACCACAGATCTGGGAGAACATGAACCAATCGAGAAAGTCCATAAGCGTGAAGCGACTTATTGGCTTTGGTTGGCTCACTGTCATCTGTTTCCTTTCATTGATTCCTCTCTTGTTGGTGGCTGCATTAGCCAATATGGATGCAGTCAAAACGGCTGGCTATCTTCCGTTCTTGGACAAGTGGTCGGGGCATTCCGCCGTTACATTCTCTATCGTTTCTGGCGTTCTTCCGCCCATCGTATCTGGTCTTTTCACCATCTTCCTTCCCCGAGTCATGCGATGGCTTGGTCGATACCAAGGCGCTTCGACCCGTGCCCAGCTCGACCGTGCCGTCGTGGCCCGCTATTTTGCGTTTTTGGTAATCAGTCAGCTCATAGTGTTCACTTTGATCGGTGTTATGATTAGTGAGTGATTCTCTTTCTCACAAAAGCATGCAGCTTAATTATCCCACAGACTATGTCACCGAGCTTGTCAAGTTCATCGGGAGAGGAACAACTATTCATGAGGTTCTCGGCAACCTGAACAGTACGTATATGGCCTTTTCCTGTGGCGATAGCTTAACTCCACCAGAACTGCCTGGCAGAATCAGTAAAGCATACATCAACACTTCGACTTACTGGCTTAAGTTCTTCCCGTGAGTAAAGTGAACTCTCATTCAGGACAAATTACAATGATAATCTCCAGCCTCCGTGGATTCTTGGTCGTCTTCGATCTCGCACAGATCATGAAGCTGGCGTGGATATCGTTCAAGACCAAGTTAGTTTTGTTCAATGAACGTTGCTCGGTTGGCTGACGACACGATGCAGGGTTATGGGCCGGACCCCGCGTGAATATCGCGAGTGGACTCAGCCACCAACATTCGAGTATGCGATTTACTAGTGAGTTGTTAATATGACTCCCGTGTTATGTTTCTCATTTGTTGACAGTTCCAATCTCGTAAGCGCTTGATGACTCGGGGCAAAGCATCTCATTTCGCAATAGCTGTTTATGGCGTGTGTCGGGCTAGTCTTTGCACCCCAAGTGCCGTTGGTCTCCCTCGCTGCGGCCATCGTGTTTTGGATCAGCTCGTGGGTGTACAAGGTCAATGATTAATTTGGGTGATGCGTCGTTTAGCTGAAACGCGCTTGCAGTACCAACTCATGTTTGTATTCGTGACGAAGGTGGAGACTGGCGGTCGTCTCTGGAATGTCGTCATCAATCGCGTCCTCGTGTCGCTTTTCCTAATGCAGTGTTTAATGGCGCTCAGTGAGTTGCTATTCCATTTCATGTTCTGCAACCGAACTCAAAAACATTGCAGCTATCGGTCTTCGATTTGGGTTCCGCAAACCGGACTTCGCGATGGCTTTCCCGCCGATGCTCATTCTCTTCGTCTTCAAGTTTTACATGGATCGCAAGTTCAGCAAGAACTTTTACTTCTATCTGCCGAATGAGGAAGAATTGCGGAATGCGCACGTTCACTCTGGACGCGGAGACACGGTGAAACACAAGCTGGAGAACAGGTTTGGGCACCCGAGTTTGCATGAGGAGCTGTTCACGCCCATGGTACACGCGGACCAGATGGACATGTTAAGGAAGATTTATGGTGGTAAGATTGAGGAAGATAAGAATCACACGAAGGATGTCGAGGTGCTTGATGGGTTGCGTATTCAGGCTATTCAACAGGTGGGTTCAGCCATTAATTTGACACGCTATGTGCTAACGGGCTTTATCTCCAGCGAGACCTGCAATACGATCCTGTGCTCTATAGCCGCGATCGCGGGGAGTATTACGACTATGACCGGTACTCGATGGCGTCCTCCGGGCTGCTCAGTCCGCACTTGCAAGTGCCTGGCCCGAGTTCGCCGTGGAAAGGCAACAATCAAAGTCCTGGTGTCAGTCCTGGCCTGACGCCCACCCCTTTGCCGTATCAGCCGTCCTACTATTCTGAAAGCATTCTGTCTGGCTCTTCCGCAAATGACCCGAGACAAAGCGTGTTTATGACGAGTCCTGCTCCAATGGGACCGGGGAGTCCGCCGCCACAAGGCTACTTTGACCCGCGACATTCGGTGTTGGCCACGCCTCCGCCAGGCGGCCATATACGACAAGAGTCGTTTGGGAGACAACCCATGTCGCCTGGTATGCCACTTACTCCACAACAGCAACAGCGGATGTCGCGTCATTCGCCTTCCTCTTCGCGGTCCTCTCAACGGATGTCGACTGCAAGCCCGTATCCGCCTGCAATGCCTGGACCTGAGTTCGGCCATCAACTCGCCCCGTCACAGAGCTTCCCTCCGCAACGCATGTCACAATCTCCTGGACCAGAGTTTGGCCAGTTGGCGCCGTCGCAGACTTTCCCGCCCCAGCGAATGTCAAGCACGACTGCAACCATGTCGGTTTACTCGCAAGACTACCCCAACTCGCCGCCCCCGATGCCTGTGGAACAGCCGCAACGTCCAGCGATGTACGTTGTCCAACAGGATGGCCCGATTCAGGAGATGCCGAGGGGCCCGCCACAACCACCACAGTTCCCGTAGACGACTTATTCTACTGCTATACGGTCATTATGAAGCTCATGACTATTTTTTACGATCGTTTTCGGTGTGTATTCTACGGTTTACCTACTATATATTATTCTACATACGCTATAAACGCATATTCCCAATGGCCGTTTTTCTGAAGCAGCATCGAAAGAAGACGCGACTTCACGTGATCGTGTTTCTGGCTTTCTGACTCCTTGTTCACGACCATGTCGGAAGACGCTGTGCCCGAGAAGTACAAGTACGCGTGGACGCCAGAGTCCGCGGGGGAGCTGTCGCTGGAGGAGTTTGTGAAGAAGGTGTGTTGTTGGCTTGTGGGCGGCCCAAAGCTGAAATGAGCAGTATAAACCGTCGATGGTTGAGAACGACGGCACGAAGCCGGTGGGTTGTTCTGTGGAATATAGGCTGGTGGGGCTGACACATGGGGCAGTGGATATGGGTGAGGAGGAGCGATGGAATGCGGGACGAGGAGGGCGGGAAGGAGGCGGCGCTTGAGGAGGGCACGGCTATCCGTAAGTTGTTGTTTCTTTTCGTCAGGCTGGGAGTCTGAAAATGGTGGCTTTTGCAGTGGATGCACTGACTGCGCGAGTGGAGGAGATCAAGGACGACGCCAGCATACCGGCACGGGCGAGCAAAAAGACGGGCGCTAAGGGAAAGAAGGAGGTCAGGGAAGAGGTGTGTTGGTTGTCTGTTTTTGCTTTCGGTTTTGACTTTGCGTTACATATAGGCACAAGCGGAGGCGACCGAGAAACTCAAGGACGTCGCGGTTAGGAATGGGTTCGTCTCTGGGAAGTGGTGCGTGTCGACTATGGAGAGATACGGTAAACTAATTCGGCTCAGGCTTTCGTTTGCTTCTGGGGAGAGGGTGGACCAAATCTGGCAGTCCCTTGCAGGTGCGTTGCTCTTCTACCTAACAAACAGACAAGCCACAAACATGGACCCACAGTGTCCATCATTGAGGGTCCACTATCTAAAACAAGTGCTTTTGGCGCCAAAGTTGCCACATCTGGGGGCTCCCCGCAGCATCTCATTTGTGTGTACGTGCCAGACGTCTACGACAAGGCCGCCGTCACCGAGGTCAGCGTCTACGTCAAACTTGGTTTGTTCAGCATTGACTATCGATGCAGGTGATGAAGGTGCTGTTGAAGGACCACGGCTTTGCGTTGAGCGGCGTCAAGTCGAATCTGTACACCATGCTGGGCATCGACAGCAAGCATCCCAGTGGCATTCCGTCAACGGTGGGTAGGAATGATCGCGTGGTCATCTCAGCTCACCTGCCACTCGTTTGCAGACGTGGAAGAATGCAGCGATATTGCCTGACAGTGAAGCCAAGGTGTGTTACTTGTCGGAGTTGAGCATGTCTGATTCGATTGGCTGCGTATAGGTTCTCCGAGAACAGTTCTTTGAAGGGTTGTCTGCCGCAAAGGAGGAGAAGGCCGTTGCGAAGAAGGTCGAGAAGGAAAAGACGGGCAACGAGGAGGGGGACACGGCGAAAGCCAAGCCAAAGCCGCAACTGAAGAAAAAGCAGCCAGATAACGACGACCCGTTTGCGTCAGGCTCGGAGGACGATGTTGATGAGAAGGATGAGGAGGTGAAGCGGAAGGAGGTGCTGAAAAAGAAAGCGGCTCCAGCGCCGCCAAAAAAGAAACAGGCCAAGTCAGAGTCGGATGAGGATGAAGATGAGCCACCAAAGAAGAAGAAAGCGGCCCCAGCACCGAAAAAGAAACAGGCCAAGTCGGAGTCAGACGAAGATGAGGACGAAGATGAGGCACCGAGAAAGAAGAAACCTGTGTCGAAAAAGAAACCAGCTCCAGCCCCAAAAAAGAAACGAGCAAAGTCAGAGTCGGATGATGACGATGAGGACGACGAGCCTCCAAAGAAGAGGAAGAGCGCCAAAAAGTAGCCTTGTCGATGCTTTGTACATACATTTATTCGTATCTCTATTCAGCGATTTCGCCACATAGTACGAGAGCAAAATTTTCGCAGAGGTCACGTGCTCCCACGCCCTTTTTGACACGAACGCCCTCCTACGCGCAGCTCACGACCGCCCGCTACGACGATGATGTCCGAGGAAGCGCCTGTGCAAAATATCCAGAGCCAGTTCAGCCGTCTGAGCCGGCAATACCAGCAACTGCTGGACCGGTGGACGCCACATATGCTTAACCGCTGGCTGGTGACTGGAGGGCTGTTATTGGTCTTTTTCCTGCGGATTGTGCTTGCTCAAGGCGTGCGTGGCTGTCTTTCTTTGTCCTTCTTTTGGGTGCTGACTTGTGTTTTCAGTGGTACATTGGTATGTCCCCACAAAAACAAAACGAATCAACCCTTCTGAATGCTGTGGACAGTCTGCTATGCCCATGCCATCTACCTCCTGAACCTGTTACTCGCCTTCCTGCAACCAAAATTCGACCCTTCGCTGCAAGAAGACTTGTTGGCCGACGACGCCGAGGGCGGCAGCGCTGACGCCACGTCGCCGCTGCCTAGCTCCCGTGACGACGAATTCCGGCCCTTTGTCCGCCGACTCCCCGAGTGGCAGTTCTGGTGGGTCCATAGTCATTTGGTGCCAATTCCCCCCCACTAACATTGCTCAGGCTCTCCTCCACCCGCGCAACCGTCATCGCGCTCTTCTGCACCTTCTCCGAGGTGTTTGACGTCCCCGTCTACTGGCCCATCCTCGTCGTCTACTTTTTCGTCCTATTCGCGCTCACGATGCGCCGACAAATCCAGTATGTTGCCTTTTCTCTGTCGCTGCTTCGGTGCACTGACCCGCTCTGCAGACACATGATCAAGTACAAATATGTTCCATTCGACATTGGTCGCAAGGCGCGCTATGGGGCCAACAAGTAGCCACCCCCTAGTCGTTTGTGTGTGTGAAGGAAGAGCGTTATCATATCGTACTTTTTTGTCGGCTCCGAACTTGCTTTTAATGCGTTTTTTGTGTTGTAACTCTTTTGCCAGCGGTTTTCTTGGCTCGCTGGCAGTGGTCATCTTTTTGAGGGTTATTAGAGCAGGTTAGCTTGACCAAGGAATTGTGCAGGCTGCTGTAATTCCCTTCAGTCACTGTTATCTAATCTTACACTAATAAGACGCTGACTGACGACAGTCTTATGCTTCTCCAGGTAAAATCAACTTGGAGGCATTTCCACAGACATTTGTCGAAAAACGGTACCGGTTTAAGAAGCCTTGCGCTTTCAACGAGCTATTCATTTTCTGTGAGAGATACATCCCACTGTCTATGAAGCTCGGCGTCGTGCCTTGTCTCCGCTGCAACTCCCGTCTGACTAGACCGGGTTTCGGGCCGGACCCCAACGCCAATCTCCACAACGAGAACCCCGAGCCAGATCCAGGACGGCCAGCGTTAGCCCGATTGGGCGGCATTCTTCCTTTTCCAGACGGTAATCAGCTGGCGGAACATGCAAAGGCCATGAGGGGGGAGCTATGTTGGCTTTTGCTGGTGCTTTGCGATAAGCTTCTTCGTATTCGAAATGGCACTCTCCCGGGCCCGGACAAGTCGGTGTGCCCTCTCCAGGTCCCAGTCGATCCAGCCGGTGTAGTCTGGCGTTTTTGCTTTCGAACTGGAGCCAAGTTGCTCTCGCAGTTGGGCGAGCAGGTCGTCGAGTGTCCTCAGCGTCGCCAGCGCTGCTTTTATGTCCTCTTGCCGCTTGAACTCTCGACACACCTCCAAAGTGCTCGTCTCGATATGCGTAAACCGGACCGGGCCGAGCATCGTCCCGCCATACCACCGACAGACGACCACCACCGCGTCAAGCGTGCCCTGCTTCCGCATCGCAGTCAGGATCTTCTGCCCACCGTATTTCTCGCCTTTCAATGCGTCAATGGTGATTCTGAAGTATTTTAGACCACTCACCGTCGTCCTCGCTCCCCTCCTTCACCTCAAACTCGTCCTCCCCGCCCAGCCCCGTGCACCCCGCCTTCACCAGCATGCACCTCCACGCGAACATCACGTGCGACGCCGGTTTCTCGCTATGCAGCACGCGTTTCGTGTGGTTCACACAGGAATTGGCCTGTGACTCGGTCGCGGCGGCGTAGATATACGCAATGAATGCAGAAGCGCGGTCGCGGATTTCCTGGGAGGTGGCAAGCGGGGTCGGTGGTGGGCGAGACGAGACGATGAATGAGTCGAGGTGGTCATTACAAAGAGGTGCGGTCATGTGACCGGGCCAGAAATTAAGTACTGCATTAATATTCTATACTAACAGGCACCCCACTCGTCCTATTCCTCGTTCTTTAATTCACTCCACGGCGCAAGGTCGAAGAAACCGGGTAGATCCTCCCAGCCTTTCGTTCGGCCAGCTTTGATTGTCGCAACGACTCCTTCGCGGCAAGAAGCACAAAACCCGTACCTCCATATAAACTGGGTGCTAGTCGGACTAGCGGGAAGCAGCGAGGGGTGCCGCATAAATCGAGACATGTAGCTTGCGCGCATTGCCGTGCAAGCGGCGATGTTGGAGCACACATTGCCGGTCCGGACAAGGCCCGGAGTTGAGGCAGGGGCGCTCAGGGCCCAAGCGCAGGAGTAGCCAGCCTCGCATTGGTGGCGGATGATTGTGTCCCTGGACAGCATGCATTGCCGTAGGTCTTCTGGCGCGAGAGTAGCGGTTGTGCCGTCTCCCCGCGCGACACCGTCAAACAGTTCCCGCTGCGAGAGTATTCAGAGGCCTATTCCGAGTCATATGCACATCTAAGTGACCAACCATGGAGTATCTCTCGATCACAAGGTAGTAGGCGCAAGGAAGGAGAGTGAGAATATCATTCTCTCGCAACAGGCCGAGAATATCGACGAAGAGACCCGGATGGTTGATGATGCCTTTCACTTGATAGTTGTTTTCGCGGAGCATGTCGATTTGGTCCAGGGTCGTTGGAATCGCGGTCTCCAGAATACCAACACCTGCCTTCCAAAGAGTTCGGAAATTGTATTTGCGACCCAGCCGAACCAGCGAGGCCACAAGCACAAACTTGTGTTCCTGCTGGAGAAATATAGTCCTAATAGCGACCAAATCAGTCAAAAAAGACGCCACTGAGACTGAGGGCCACACGGGTCATAGAGCACACGGAGGACATTTTCGAGGTCGAGTGGGTCGTCGTGGAGTTCCACCACAGGGCAGCCCTCTACCGTTGGCCCCGACAAGTTGGGTTGAGGAGTACTATGCATGTCTTTGAAAACAGTCGAATGAGTTGACAATACACTCCAATGGACGCGAAACAGCGTCGTTCCTGCTTGGAGAACGAGACTTCCGTCAGAGTGCCATATATCCGAGCGCGTTGTTGAACTCGACGCGTAATGGTCATCGGTCCGAGCGCGTTTTGCAGCGTGAGCTCCAAACATAATGGTCAAGTTGAAGAGTAAAGAAGGATGACATAATCACGATCGTCACAATTTGGGTTCTGTACAATATATCCAAGAGCCTAACCATTGCTAAATTATCCAAGTCTCCGATCCTGACACGAACAGTCCACCACTGAATGGGATACCCCTCCCGTTCCATTTCTAATCATCGCGCTTCAGTTCACTCCACGGTGGAAGGTCGAAGAAGCTAGGCAAATCCTCCCAACCTTTTTGTCTGCCAGCCTCCAGCACCTCACTTGCCTCTTCAAGGCAAATCGAACAAAGTCCCTTCAGTTGACTAGTCGGAGGAAACAGCGCCGGGAACGTCGAATGTGCGGAAATCTGCTGCAAGCGCACTGCTACGCAGGACTTGGAGCGCGTGTCATTGTTACGACATTTGTCACTATAGTATGCTGGAGGAATCGATTCGCGAAAGCAGGACAGAGCGTAGCTTGGCTCAAACTGGATGCTGCGGATTTTATATCTTGACAATATGCATTGGCGTAGCTCTGCTGCAGCCAGAACGGCAGTTGTACCATCGCCTCGCGCGACCCCATCGAGCAACTCTTGCTGCAAAACAAAGCTGAGAGTTGGCAACCAATCGTTGATGGAATACTGACCATAGTATACTTGGCAACGACGAGATAGTACGCGGATGGGAGAAGCGACAAAATATTCTGCTCGCGCAGTAAGGAGAGAATATCAAGGTACACGCCGGGATAGTCTTCGATGAACGTCGTTTTATTCGAGGCGGCCCGCAAGTCGTCATATCCAGCCGGCGTCATTGGAATTTCAGCCTCCAACACCCCGAGAGCCAGGTCCCACAGATTTCCAAAATCGTATTTGCGTCCCATGCGAACCAGCGAGGCCACATATGCAAATTTGTAGGAACCCTTGCTTCGCGCATCTCGCCGCAAAAAAGAAGTCCTAGGCGAGAAAGTTAGCGACCTTTTAATGCATCGCCGAGAGCGAGTTGACGCACGGATTGTAGAGCACACGAAGAATCGTTTTGACGCTTTGTGGGTCATCGTAGAGCTCAATAACAGGACAGCCTTCTACAAGCGATTCGGGGGTGCCGGGCTGGCAGTTGATTTGCATATCTTTGAAAACGGACGAGTGGCTCGACAATACACTCCAGTGAACGCGAAATTGCGTTTTTCCAGCTTGAAGAATCAGACTGCCATCGGAATGCCAGATATCGGAGCGTATTATCGTGGTAGGCGAGCTAGCGTCGTCGGTGCGAGCGCGTTTGGCGGATGGGACGCGAGCTTCAGACATAGTGGACCAAGTTCAAGGAAGGAGAATGACATAATCACGTCACTGCAAGACATTGAGCGAATGTGGCAAGTATCGACACGCTAACGTCTAATAGCCTTTTACATGCACGATAGTGCAACCAGTGATTCAGGCTTTGCAAAATGGGGACGTGAGGTCTGGTTATAAGAGACTTCACGCGTCGTGCATTTTGAGCGGCATTATATCTCGTTTTTTCTTCAACTCAGCCCACGCTGGCAAACTAAGGATGTCCGGGAGGTTCTCCCAAGATTTTTCCCGCCCGGCCGTCGACCAACGCAACCAGGCATGTTCAGAGCACAATAATATATGTTTGCAAGCGGTCTGATAGAATTTGTTCCATCGAATCTTGATACTTGATCTATTCACTTGCAGTAGTAGATTATTTGTGGGGAACTTGAAAATGAAGACAGGTCAACAGAGTTAGAAAGTCGGTTTTTATAGCCATAGGCTGCAAGTAGTCGCGTCGTAATCAGTGTATGTTGAATCTACTACTAGTAATCCTCCAGCCGAGTACCAGACGAGCAGGGGTATTCCGACGCGAGTATATTTGGGCTCCAGCCTTATGTGTGCTGCAGAGAGTCGATTCAAAGCCGTAGTTGAAGCACAAGTCCCGTCTTATACTTGAGTCAAGATGGAGACAGGTTTGGATGGAGAAAAGAAACGGATTGCAAGGAGCCCAGAGCCTCGCACTTTCAACGAGTCCTGACTTGTCTCCGCTTCTCCGCTGCAGCTTTCGCTCGGCTCCACAGGGTTTCGGTCCGGACCGCACCAATCTCGACGACGAGAACCCCGAGCCATAGGAGGACAAGCACTAGCCTGATGAGGGCGTCATCCTTCTCTTTCGGCAGGCAAGATATGCACATTGCTTATGATGGCTTTTGCTGGTGGGCCGTCGCGATAAGCTTCTTCGTATTCGTAATCGCACCCTCCCAAGTGTCCCTTGCCGATCTAGGCAACAGTGTCAGATGTTTTTCGAGCTGGAGCCCAGCATTTGTCCAATGGCTTCAGTGTGGTCAGTGCTACTATCCTGCCATTTGGACTTCTTACATACCTCCAGTGCGCTTCCCTCCTCTACTTCAAACTCATCCTCTCCGCCCAGCCTCATACATCCCGCCTTCACGCGAACATCGCCCATCAAGTGCTTGGTGTAGCTCAGACATACTGTAGATTGGCCCGTGATTCGCTCGATGAGACGTAGGTATATGGAACAAGTCAGACGCTGGTCCCGTTTTTCCCTGTCAGGTGGCCAGGTGGTGGTGGGTGAGAGAACGATGTTTCCAAAATTGTTTGATTACGTGTTCAAACTTAACTGATTTTGGTCAAGTGAGTACAGGAAACGCTCTCAAAGGACACGACTATTGGTAAGACTATCCATGGCGGCCAAGCATGGTTGCCGCCTTTCGACCGATTCTTCTTACCCCTCATTTTTTAGCTCATCCCACCGAGCAAGGTCGAAGAAATTGGGGAGATTCTCCCAGCCGTTTTGTCGGCCGACCTTGATTAACATAGCTGCTAAGTCGCGGCAATATGGGCAGAGTCCGTGTAGCATCCCGGGATTTTCGTCATTCGCAGCGGGGGGGAGCAATACCAGCATCTTTGCGTGCCTGGACACCTGGAGCAAGCGATTCTTTGTGCAGATGGCGACGTTAGCGCAGCCTGAGGTATTACTGCTTTGATTCGTTGGCAACGTGACGGTCCAGTAAAGTGCGTAGCCAGTCAACGACTGTGTACCGATGATCTTCTCCTTGGACACTATGCATTGACGTAGAATTTCGGGGGCCAGAATAGCGGTCGTGCCGTCTCCCCGCGCTACACCGTCAAACAGCTGCTTCTAGGGAAATCTTTGAGGCTTGAGTGGCCAGTTGGTGATGCACTTACCACGGAATATATGTAAATGACAAGGTAGTACGCGCAAGGCAGAAGAGTCATGATGTTGTTCTCGCGCAACAAACTGAGAATATCGATGAAGAGAGCGGGATACTTGACGATGCCTTTCACTCGGTAGTTGACATCGCGGAGAGCATCGTATTGAGCCAGCGTCGTTGGAATGGCGGCCTCCAGAATGCCAAGACCTGCATTCCAAAGGTTTTGGAAATCGTATTTGCGACCCATCCGAATTAACGCGGCCACAAATGCGAATTCATGTTGCGACTGAAGAAATACGGTCCTAATAGCGACCAAATTAGCAAAAAAAAAAGACTCAAATTGAGGGCCACACGGGTCATAAAGCAAACGAAGGACATTTTCAACGTCGAGGGGGTCATCGTAGAGTTCAACGAGAGGACAACCTTCCACGAGTGGTTCTGCGGTGTCTGGCTGAGGAATACTCTGCATGTCTTTGAACACAGACGAATGAGTCGACAATACACCCCAGTGGACGCGAAATTGTGTAGTGCCAACTTGGAGAACAAGATTGCCATCCGAATGCCATATATCTGAGCGCGTCATCGGAGCGGGTGTTTCATCGTCATCGGTTCGAGCTCGTTTCGCTGGTGGGGCGTAAGCTCCAGACGAATGGTCCATGGAACAAATTCAAGCAAGATATGATGACATAATCACCATCACTGGGAGCTCAAAACCCTTCACACTCGATTCATTAATCGTGTAACACTGAAACAGGAAGATAGTATATTTGGATAAAATCCATTCACATCTCATTTTTGAGCTCATTCCAGGCTGGCAAGCCGAAAAAGCTGGGAAGCTCCTGCCACGCCTTCTCTCTCCCTGCTTTTTCCCGATTGCATAAGTATGTCGTCCTGGCATGCTAGGCAGAATTTTCCAAGTACGCCCTTCGTGTATGGAAAAAGAATAGCGACCCGTGTTCGCAGAGGCAATACGCCAAGACGTTGCCGCGCACATTGTTCATGATATACTTGCGACCCAGTCTTATAAGCGCCGCGATCAGTGAGAGATCAAGCTGTGGTTGAAGGAGCAAAGTCCTGCTTTATGTGAACAGGATAGCGGGCAAGATGCGGAAAGCGTACGGATTATAAAGGGCCCGCAATATATTCTCGACATCTTGAGGAGAGTCATGAAGCTCAACGACAGGACAGCCCTCAACCATCGGCCCAGTAACATCGGGTTTCGACACTTCGAACATATCTTTGAAGATAGGAGAGTGCATTGAGAGAACGCTTGCATGTGTACGAAACTGGGTGAGTCCTGCCTGGAGGACAATACTACCATCGTGGCACCAAATTTCAGAACGTGTCACGACAGAAGGCCTTTCTTCTTCTTCAACTCGCGTTCGTTTATTGGACGGGGCATCGGATTGCGACATAGAGTCTTGCCTTCTTGTCGGTGATCGTCTTCCTTGCCGGGGTAAAAGCGACCACCACAAGCCTACTGAGCTCAAAGTGTTTGAGCAAGTCAGAAGTCGAAAATGGTAGTCGACTGTAGTCGAGGAGAACGTCCGTGACGAATGTGACTTCAGGGATGCTCGCAAGTAATTATCGCATTGATGAAGGAGGGACTGATAAACGAGAGAGAACGGTTGACTGGAACTGTTTGTCTTGAGATACAATCTGGCCAGTAATAGGGAATGCGTTTCGTGGTTTGTTAGTCATATGCGCTCGCTTGACAGAAGGGCCGCTATTTGAGGACAGCCTGAGGTATGAAGTTTGAAGTGTGGCTGTTAGGCTGTTGGTGCAAATAGGTTTGTCCGATTTTCAGGAAATACTTGTGTGGAGGGGAACTTGATCGTTTCCGTGCTCTTGTGTCATGTGGCCAAACGAAGAGACTGGTATGGAGAAGTTACAAGTACCATGTCCTCAAATAAGGACTGCCCAACGCACCGTTCAGTTGTTATTAGTAATTCCGACGACAACCTTAGTACGACCGAGGTGTTGAGTCGTTGATGGTGACCACCGACGAGATGCTGCGTCCAATTCAGGCTGGCATGCTTCATAGGGTTGGAAATATGCGAATCCCACCTTCAAGTTGCCCGCCCACCGTACCTTAATCTAGTCAACCAACCTTCGAGATGGTGCTATATACCCGTTCCCCCTTTTCGTTGCCCCCCGATTGGCCTTATTCTTTCTTGCCCCAAGATTTAGTTGCCTTCCGCGTCAGTCGCGTTCAGAAGGTCACTGAAGGTGAGGACATGATGGACTTGTGATGGACCAAGTTCAAGATGTAGCATAACGTAATCATGATCGTTCAACATCTCATGCGTTGCATGTCGAACGGTTCATAAGATACAAAAACTCATCAAGCCCGGTAGATGAAGCTTCCAGCTTCCTGTTCAATTCAGCTAGCGACTAGTAGCCAATCATCACGACCGCCGGCGGAATGAGAAATTGAGAATGTGTTGAGAAAGTCATTTCACTGTAACTTGAATAGACACAACGAAATTTACAAGCGTAGCAAGCACTGCATACTGTTGGAGCATGACAACGAACTAAAGCCGGAGAGATGTTACCTGGATCTATATCTCATTGTTGAGCTCGTTCCACGCCGGCAAACCGAAGATACTGGGAAGATCTTGCCAAGCTTTCTCTCGGCCTGCCCCCACTCTACGATGGATTTCATCCTGACATGCCCGACAAAACATTGTCATTGTCGGAATGCCCATGTGCGGGAAAAGAGACACCGAAGCCCCCAGCTCAGACAGCACCGCAAGCCGTCCCAGCGCACAATTGACCAGGTTCATGCAATTAGGTGGGACGTCGCGTAACCAAGATAGGGTATAGCCTGACCGGACCTGTATGTTTAGGACCTTCTCCGTGGCAAGAATGCACTTGTGTAGGTCTTGCACACAGAGCGACACAGTGCTTCCATCAGGTCTTGACATTTTGTTTATCCATTGGTCCTTCGTTTAAATTGTGTCAGCGAGGTCCGCGCGACAAGAGAGCGGTAACCTTTATTTGAGCCAATAGGTTATAGTAGAGGCAGGGCAGAACGGTGAGCACGCGAGTTTCTTTAGCAAGGTCGAGGCAGTCGATCTGCAACGCAGGATACCATTTTATGCGGATGGGGCGGAATTGGACCACGCTCCGAGCATTATAGCCAGCCAGCGTGTCGGGAAACTCAGTCGTGAGTATGTTCACGCCAGCCTCCCACAGTTCTTCCATGACATATTTACGCCCGAGTCTTATGAGGGCCGCGACGAACGGGAACTCCAATTGTGGTCGAAGCAAGAGAGTCCTGGTAGTAACTTGGTCAGTGCATGGAAGCTTCCCGGAGAAATTGACAACAAACTGGGTGTAAAGAGCACGCAATACATTCTCAACATCCTTGGGGTCATCGTAGAGTTGAACAACGGGACAACCATCGACCATTGAGCCCGGATCAGTGCTATCGGGTTTCGACATTTCGAACATGTCTTTGAATATAGGCGAGTGCATTGACAAAACGCTTGAATGAACGCGAAACTGAGTGAGTCCTACTTGGAGAACGACACTACCATCGGGGTGCCAGATATCGGACCGGGTAACGACGGAAGACTTCTCCTCTTCGACGCGAGGCCGTTTATTGGGCGGGGCACTGGGAACCGACATACACTTAGGTCTTCGTCAACGTCAACGCGGATTTGGTTCAACTTGAAGAGTGACATGACGCATGACTTGTGACATTTGTTGGAGGAAATTCCCCTGCAAAAAGTCCTTCCGGAAACCTTTACTAGTCCTTGCCAGCAGAAGTTTCCTCATCAAATACTTAAGTATGCAAATTGTGGATCATCAGAGTCTCAAATACAGATTCTTGGCAAGTCCTGTAAAGCTCCATTCCAACGGGTTTGTGCATACCCAAGGCGCGAAAGCAAAATGGCGACTGGTGATTATAGGAATTGTTGCCAAGATACCGAAGCCCTACTGGAGCGAGGACCATGCTCTTCGTCTCTCTCTCGCGGCGTGAATTTCGACTAATGCCCACAAAGAGAGGCTCGAGGTTTGCCATAAACAACCTGCAGAACAGATCGACTTGACCGAGCGGAACCAAATTGGGAGACCATCCAATGTCCCGCGAGACAGCGACATGCCCCTGACTCCGACCTGGACGAGTATAAAGCAGGATCGGTAACGAGGGGGTGAAATCCTCACAAAAGAAAATAAATTGCCAATCGCATCTCTCAACGAAACCACCATCGCCCCCATAAGCCAAACATGTCGTTCTTCGCAAGCGCCACTGGAGTCCTGCGTTCTGCCCCAATTGGCGAGCTCCCCAGAGTCGGATGGAGGCACATTCCTCGGATCGTGCCGGCGCCAGTCTCGTCCAGAACAGAACAGGACAACCAAATCAGTGCTATTCCCCGTCCTATCACTGGAGCGTCGTCGTCACGACTTGTACCAGTCGCTGCCTATATACCACCCATGGCTCGAGCCTACTCTTCGTTCCCTGGCGTGATGCCCGCACGCACGCCTATCCGCCTCCCAGCTCATCCAGCGCAGAGTATTTAGAGTCGAAGAAACCCTTTCAGCAATGCCGGAAGCTGAAGAGCACACGAAATTGCCCAAAATCGTGCTTCATTTGCCGAAACTGACAGTTTTCCAAGCGGAAGAAATGCAGACTTAGCTATGGTCTATATCTTGTGTTGTATTTTTTGTTATGTTTCCAGAGTCGGAGATGAACAAGTTCGAATTCCAGTCTGTCGCCAGCCATATAATGCAGAACGTTTCGACAAGGCCACCAACTTGAGTCTGCGATTCTCAAAGTGATTGAGGCTATGGTTGAGAAATGAAAGGCTGAGCGGATAATCTTCACTTAGTTATTCATAGCAAGTTGATGCTGGTTTGCGGACCCGATAAGAATTATTATAACTCTCTATAAATTTTAATGTGAGTAGGGTATTACAATGTCTATCCACCTGTGAGTCAACACATTCCGGAGGTAGCAAGTACGCACACATCTATCAGTCTAATCCATCTCGTCTAGCCGTGCCCGATCCCCGTTCACATTCGGTGGCGGTATCGGCAGTACAGGGGGCAATGGGCTGGTAGCGTCGCTCTGGTTATGTACATAGAAGTCGTCGAGGGTGAGGGGTCGAAGATGGAAGCCCTGGACAAAGTTGTCAACAAACCAAAGTCAGGCCGAAAACCACACTCACCTCCAGTTGACTGACCTCCAGCATTCCCTTTTCGCCCTTTGCATTCCGGACGAATTCACGAACGGGAACCATCGCTGCATTCCGACACATCTCCTTCAAATCAGACCCAGACAACCCTTGCGACATCTCCGCTAGTGCCGTCATCGAGAAGTCTGGTGCGAGAGGCGTTTCTTGTAGAATCTACGCAGTCTAATGAGACGGATCATGCAAATGGAGAATTATGCGTACGAGATTCAGGATGTTTAGACGTTGTTCTTGATTGGGTAGCGATACTGCATATCGTTTGGGCATTCGTCGTAATATGGCCGCGTCGATGTCGTTGGGGCGGTTGGTAGCGCCAAGAACGAGAATACGGTCTGTGCTTGATAAAAGACCGTCCCATTGCCTATTTTCAGGGAGTTAGCCACCCGCGAGGACCACCAAAATAGATATTCACGTCATGAATTCGGCTTTCATCATGCCCGTAACCTCGTGGTCACCACTACTCCGTTCCCGCAGGAAGGAGTCTATCTCGTCAATGAAGATGATGCATGGCTGAGTTTTGCGTGCGAGCTTGAAGAGACCGGCAACTAGCTTGTTGGATTCTCCGAACCACTTGTTTGTGAGCACACTGGCTGAGATGTTGATGAAAGTGGCCCCGCTTTCTTTGGCGAGAGCTTTTGCGAGCATGGTTTTCCCACATCCTGGCGGTCCAAAAAGGAGAACACCTTTCGGAGAGCCGAGGAGAGATGATGATGAGAAGAGGTTGGGGTAGACAAGTGGGTAGATGATTGACTCGCGCAAAGAGGCGACAATCGCGTCAAGTCCACCGATATCTGCTCGATGAGCGACCAGATGAATAAGGTAACAATACCACACACCGGAAAACTTGACGCTAATGTCGTCTGGGTGGATTACCTCATTGGCGACGGTTCCTGAGTAGGTCGAGTGAGCGGAAAAGAAAAGCTATGCGGGACATACGCTCATGCTCGTCCAACTCCAGCTCGGCGTGACCCAGCCGCTTCAGTGCCTCGAGCTGTTTCGCCTTGACCTCCTGCTGCTTCCGTTCCGGCAAGAACTCGTCAAGCGCCCACTTCAACAACTTGAGTGTGTCAACTTGTGGGTAGTGGGTCACGACGTACTTTGAGGGTATAGTAGAGGGCTGCCTATTTCTGATTAGTGTACTTAGAACAGCCGGATATGCGCACTTGGCCAGCAAGGAACAGAGCAACTGCGGGTTATTAGAAATTCGGCTCGAGGAAAGATCTTTCCCAACACAAACCTTCGACCGCGACACGCTTTGTGTTATATGACATCGTTTCAGCTCTCTTTCCCCGCTTGTCGCGCGACTCGATGAGCCCGGTTTGCGAAGATGGCGGCAAGGATGAAGATTTTGGTGCCGGTCACCAAATGTGACTTGCTGGAGATCAAACGGGAAACAGTTCACGCGAATTACTGCATGCGTTGGCTGAATGCTTATAAGTACTACAATATGTATAGGTATACAGTTGAACAAGTCCGACGATAATTTCACCAACGAAAAATGCGCGTATAGATCGACGAGTTCAGCCTTTATGTGCGCCTCGGCCGGCCATGTTATCTGCCCCCGGTGTGTAGGACCGTTGTGGGTACTGATTTGGATTTGGAGTCATCATCCTCTGTGGGCCAGGAGACATAGAACGTTGTTGTTGGTGTTGTTGTTGCATTTGTGGGTTGGGGGTGCCCATCATTCGCTGTGGGCCAGGAGACATGGAGCGTTGTTGCTGCATTTGCATCTGCTGTTGTGGGTTTGGAGTTCCCATCATTCTCTGGGGACCAGGCGACATGCCCCGTTGGGGGCCAGGCGACATGCTTCGTGGATCCGGTGCCATCATTCTATTTGGGCCAGGAGACATACTTCGTTGTTGTTGGTGTTGCTGAGTTGGCGTCCCCGGCCGCATCGAATACTGTGATGGATCCTGACCATGGTAAGGAGCGTTAGGCGGGTATTGTTGAGGCGGGTATTGCTGGTTATAGTCGTTGTAACCACTCTGCGGTCGATGTATGGGCGCTTCTCGAGTCATCTGCTCCTGGTAGAGCGAAGGAGGCGACGATATTGATGCTTGCGATGCGTTGAAATAACCGCCTCTATTTAACAGGGGCTCATTCATGGAATCGAGACGCGCCAGTTCGATTCCTGGACTGTTAGGCATCGGCCCGCTTGCCAGGTAGTTGTCGTAACCCGCAAGGTATGCTTTACTGTGGCCATTCGAGCTGTCCCCGTAAATCGTTGTCGAAGAAATGCTTTGTGTGTCCCAGTTGTCGACGTCTGCCCAGTTGCGACGGTATAGATTTGGATCGAACTCGAGATCGCGCTACTTAAAGTTAGCAAATCATTGGGAAACCAGCAGGGTGTCTTACATGGTCGATAGCAGCAATCTTGATTCCCTGGACAACTTGAGCCTCCATTTTCTGCCCGCCGTACTCGTCCAGCTTGGCGTGGTCCCGAGCAATCTTGCCTTGATAGACTTGACTCAACAATCCCATCATGTTGGCGTGTAACATTGGAGTGAAGAGGTCGGCATGTAGGGCAGGGTGACCGAAACGCTTTTCGAGCTTATTGGCGCGAGCATCAGCACGCTCTGAATGAATCTTGGCAGCTGCCAGTTCATCGGGTGTCGGGATGTAGTAACGGAACTTGTTGTCGAATGTGCGGGTGATGTAGACCTTGAATATAGCGATAATCAAGATGGGAGGTAAAGTCGCGACCCAGGTGAACGTTGTCCAGCCATATTGTAATCCGATGGCTAGAAGGAGTTTTAAATGCTATCAACCAATAGAAAGAATACGCACTCAAGGTCATAAGCAGTTGCATCAAGACAGGGATGAACAGGAGTCGGTTAATAACCACATTCCACAACCGCTGCAAAAACGTTGAGAACCCGACTTAGAATGCGAGAAATATACTGACGCCTCCAGTTTCGACTTTCGTGACATACACAAACATGAGCTACGCAGAATTGCTCAGATCAATAAAGCCTCGGAAAGGATGTTTGAGCACCTGATATTTTTCGACAATTGAGCTCATCCATAAGACGACCGCTGCGGCCAAGGCTACGACAGGAGCGAGAGGAGCAAAGGACAATCCCACAGCACCCATGAAGAGCTGAACGAATGAGAAAGGGAGGGAGACATAAAAAAATGAACTGACGATATTGGTACTACGGAATTGTCAGCATTGCACCAAACAGATCGCAAAAATACGAACTAGTAGATGGCGTATTGGAATTCGGGAGGCTGAGTCCATTCGCGAATGTCACGAGGTGTACGACCAAACATGCTGAAATGGAATAAGAGGATGATCAAGGCAACGGTGCTTGGCAAACCGTGTCTTGATATATATCCACACCACATTGACAATTTGAGCGAGGTCAAAGAGCACAAGGAAACCTCGCAAACTGGTATTCTCTTCAGTCTATAACGCAGTTGGTCGTGTAAAGACTCACGGGAAATACGTAAGCCAATAACTGCTCTGATTGACTGTTGACTCTTAATGAGATACGTTTTGAGAGCGGAAGGGGGTTCATACTGTAGGTTCGGTTGATAGTGTCCGGCAGTGCTGTCAAGAGGATTAGCGGTGGAAACATTGAGCCAAGGAGTCATACTATGAAGATTGTCCAGGATTTGTTTGAAGCTAGCTTTTTTACCAATTGCAATGACAACCTGTTCCACAGATTCTGTAATGCTGTTTAGGGTCGTCTCCAATTATTCTTGAGAGCAACTTACGCCAGATAACGCCGAGCAACGTGAATATGATAAGCTGACTAATCACCATGAAGGTGAAATAGCGAGCGATAACAGCACGATCAAGTCGAGAATTGGTCAGAGCACCCATGTACTTCGAAAGGCTTCGCATGATGATAGGAAGGAAGAAACCGAAAACGCCAGAGACTGCTGGAGGGAGTATACCAGATACGATGTTGAAAGTGGTATTAGACTTCTCGTTCCATGTCTCCAGGAATGGGACGAAGGTTGTCAGCTTCGGTACTGTCAGAGGGGCTTATACATATAAAGGAAATGAGTTTACCGAAGCAAGATTAGCCAGAATCGAGATGACGAATAGTGGGACGGTGTTGAAGAAACAAACGAGCGCAAGCCAAAAGAAACCCATCATTTTTTTGCTAGCAATCTCAGCGTCCGATTTGCTCATGTTTTCCCAGATGATGTCTTTGGGATTTGGTGCAAGGTCGATCTCTGTGCCTTTGGGATGCTTGTTGACGAGAATCTTTGCGACAACATGAGCGTAAGGCACGGCAGCCATGCTGGCGAAGCCATAGTTTTCCGGCTTGTGTTCATGGAAATGTTGTCTGTAGTCCTCGATGGCACCTTCGGTTCGCTTCAGTTTCTCACTAATTTCTTCTGAGTAACCTGCTCGGCGCTATCTGGAGCCACTCACGTATAGTATTCGATCGCGTCCTTCTTCTGACCGCCGCATCCACAACTGCCGCCAATGCGCACTTTGGGCCGCTTGCGCCCGACAACTCCGCCCTTGAGATATTTGACAAGGTAGGTTTCAAGTTCGCGGACAGTTTGGTTGTGGTATTCGATAAGTTCGGGAAGCTTTCCGACCTTGCGTCCAATGTGGACGCTAGTCGTAGGATATGGCACTCGGACAGAATCGAAGATTTGCTTGAGGCCATCGTCACTCTGATAAGACTTGGGTACATGGCGCACGGCAAGAGTGCGAGCAAAGAAAGCACCTGAAGAGGGAGAGTTAAATCTCGGCATGGAGCAGGGGGGGAATCAATGACTCACCAAGGTACTCTGGGGAGCGGAACCATGCCCGTCGAAGAACGACCATTTGCCGCCAATGAATGTAGACGAAAAACATGACGAGGAAGGTTATCAGGTAGGAGACACCGACGTGAACAAAAAGGACATTTCCGGACACATCACGGATGGTGAGGATGCTGAAAATATCCCTGTTCTTAACTTTGTTCTGTACGTTGTAGACAACGTTGATGGGAAGTAAGATGGCGCAGGAAACACCAGCAACAGCGGTGAACAGCCACCGCATGAGCCGGCCAAAACGAAGGAAGGCTGCCGCGTCAAGGCCAATCTTCTCAACGAGTTCGGGCTCCTTGGTGTGTATTAATGGCGGGAGCCAGCCGAGGATAGAGTCGTCTATTCGAGGCGGTCGTTTGGAGTCGCCGACATGATACTTGACCTAGAGCGCATAAGTATATGAGCTTGATGGGACACAGTAAAGGCGTTCCCATACCTTGGGCTCGTATATAATCTTGTTCTTTGGCCGTAAGATATTGAAAGTGAGAATAGTAACAAGCTGAGAAAAAAGTTCAAGTCTAAGCCGAAAAAAATGACGGTGGACGCACTGAGACTGCTCCCATGAGCAGCATTTGGGAGAAGACTGCCTGAGGCGGGAGAGCCCTCGTGTTGTCCTTGATGAGATTTGTGGCATCGTTTAGAGCCGACATCGTGGATGGAGAAGGAAGGTGTGGGGTCCCCTACTACGACTGAGGCGACGAGGATAAGTCTATGGGCGGAAGAAACGAGCAATAGGATGGAGGAGAAGATGTCGGGGTTGGGTCGTGAAAGGACGGATGCACTCCAGAAGTGATGTCATCAAACGGCCATTGTCGCCGTTTCTGTGTTTTGGCCTTGCCAAGACCGCAGTCCTTGTTTACTGTACATTGAACGACGACCAACATAGCTACACACACGGGCGCTCTATGGTCCTCGACGTAAAAGGCTCCCCAAGCCTCTACGCATTGGGTCGACAAATACGCGAGAAAATGCCGGAGAAAGATAAAGGGCTGCTGCGATACGAACTGGAAGAAGGGCCTGACGTGAAATGAATTGCTGTAGAACTATACGATGAACGATGTACTTTGGTGGCTGCATAGGCTGCTACAGCATTGGCAACGTCTCCAGCAAGGTGATCAGGGAGAGCGGGTAACTGTTCACCCTTCTGCAAGCCAAACGCGCCATATCGTTTCCCCACACGGGCTGCCCATTCCCTTCCGTCGTCTACCCATGTCCTGCATTTCTCAACGACCCAGTTGTCTGATTTCTCAGGCAATGAACCAACGATCCGTTCACCAACTCCAAGTGATCGACCTGCGTAGAAAAGGCCAACCAGAGGGACAATAGCAGTGATTTCGTGGAGTATTCCGAAAGAGATAACCAATGAGGACACAGGAGCACCAGTACGTGCCGCAATGGAGCCCAGGGCTGCACGATATCGGTCGAAAGCAGGCATATAGAGAGAAAGTCAAGTCACACGTGACCCTTCGAGATGCTCTGTTTTCACACTTCTCGACGCGCAGGTCTTCGCTATGTTTCCCGGTATTCCACCTCGGCACTCCGGGAGGACCATCTACTCGGGGAAAGAGTTCTCTCCTTGCAGTTCAAAGATCCAGTGACGTCTCCAGCGGACGCTCTTGCTGTCGTTAATGCCGTGGAACGACGATTTGGACGTGTAGCGGAATTCCGCTTCTCTAAAGTGTGTGTTTTCTCCACGGGCTCTCATCCGGGGACTCAAGCCTTTATCTAGGATACCTCGCCGTCTTCGGAGTACAACACAACAGCCTCGTTGGCCTTCTCGGATATCAAAACCTACGAGCAGGTCCCAAAAGACGAGCAAGTATTGCTCACAGTGAATTTACCTCCCACTCCGGCCCTCTCTTCTGGCGGACCGAGCCTCTCCGATCTCAATCCAGAGTCGCAAACCAGCGACGACTCGCGGACTATCTCGTTCTCTGTTTCACATTCTCGTTGGTCCTTTTTATTCCTGCTTAATAGTTCATTGAAAAAAATCTCAGGACGCGTTTTCCAAACGCTAAAGACGAATCCCCCAGCATATACGCTCCGCCCAAAAATTGCTGTTGAGCTTCAGTCCAACTTTGTGAGATGGGGTGGCTTTGCGCCATTGGAATCAAGTGCAAGTGACAGCGATATTACGCCAACGCAAGCTGCGCTCGACGATTCAACAATAGACCGTCCTAACATGCGTTATCAACTGCGCCAATGGCAGACTACCAAAGACGCCGGGTTACAACCGCCCCCTCAGGACGAATCAACGGTATGTTCAGATTCCACTTGTATTTCTTGTCACTAACTTTAGTGCAAGGCTGATCAAAACCATCCGGCTGTAACCCCTTCACAAACTCCAAGCAGTCTCCCATGGCTGTCAGCAGCTCCTATAATGGATTCCACATCTCCATCTTCGCCTCCATCGACACTTTCCGCCGAAACGACGACTCTTTCAACACCCTCGACGAATGAACCCGTCAAGCCGGCTCTCAATCACAACAAAGGATCTACAGCGAACAAGAAATTGGCTCGAGATGCGAGCAAATTAATACACGCCGTATCCCTACCCAGTCCAGAACAGGCGCCGCGCGCAAAGGTAGTTTCGAAGCCGCCTTCGAAGCCGGTCGTGTCGTCGCCCAAAAAGAAATCTCAAAAGCGGAGGAAACCTGAAGCTGACGTCATACACCCGGTGCAGTCTGTACCTTCAATAGAGGTCGAAGAACGGCAAGCAGGGGTCGGGAAGCGTTTACGAGGCATGCTAGGTGACTGGTTCTAGCGACCCATGTTCCATACCATGCTACGACAAAAATTCAGCTACTTCCTTCTTGATAAACTCTTCGTCCTCCTTCGTTCCACCTCCCCCACCTGCCAAATGGCCCCATATACTTTCGATGACTCTAAGTCGCCCATTGTTGAGATGCTGAACCTCGAACTGGCTGTCCTCAGGCGGAAAATACATGTCTGTCCGAGCAGGCATAACGAGTACTTTTGCTTTAATTCGCCCAAGTGCATTGACAAGATTGCCTCTTTCTTCTTCCGGTCCAAATTGCGAGATGTCGCCCTTCTGCCACGTAGCCAGCATACAGAGCAAATTGTTGGCGTCTTCTTTGAACTCCCATTCTTTGTGGAGGTACTCCTCGAGCGAATTATATCCCAACTTCTCCCAACTGTGCTGCCTGAACCACTCCTGCGACAGCGCCCAGGTGGAGTATACTCGCCCAAAAGCGGCAGTTCCGCGCATCGCTGGCTTCGTGTAAAGTCCTCCGTTGAAGTCTATGCTGTTCAACAGTGCTGCTTTTGGGCCTTCAAGGAAAGACCAGTTGTGCCAGCTCGTCCGTGCCGAGCCGGCAAGAACCACGACATGCTGGACAAAATCTGGGAAAATAGCAGCCATATGGTATGCCTGTCAATCTAGTCAGACTGGCGGGATTCAACCTATCAAATGCGACCGCGCCTGTTGGCCACCCATGCTGAACCCTATGTATGCGTGGAGTTTTTCGATACCCAAAGCAACGCAGAGCGCATGTTGGAGACGAATGTTATCCTCGTATGTTACCGGCGGAAAATCTAGACCTCCTGAATTTGAAGGAGAAGATGATTCCCCTCCTCCCAGCAAACCACACACGATCACGAAGTTCCCTTGCAGAACGGCTTCGGTGCCGTCTTTGGAAGTATACAAGAATGGCAGAGTGTCGTCAAGTGTGCCACCATAACAGGAGGGCATCAGAACTGCGGGATTCTCCGAATCGCCAAACGTGCGATAAGCCAGAGTCAGTAAGCCACCTGCTTCAGGCGGAGCGGCTACCAAGTTGGATCCTGAAAAGTATTTGGTGTCTCCAGACATGGTCGACGTCTTGAAGAGAACACTATCGCCATGAGAAATCCGGATAACAAGTCCTCGCGAGCCTGAGGAAAACTGGTCCTGGCACGTGACTGTTCCCGTCTTTATTCCGCGCCCATGTCGGACGAGGTACCTTTCTCCAAACGCTTATGCACGGACACGAACTCTGATTCATGCCAGAGTGCGCCAATCGTACGCTCCCACATCTGGTACTCTGATGGGAGTGTCATGCTACAGGCCAAAAACAAGCAATTTCGTGTTCATTGGAGCATCCTTTCTCAACACTCCCACTTTTTTCGCGACCTACAGTGCCTTCCGCAACCTGTCGACGACGCTAAAATCGAAGGCTGCTATATTGTCGAGATGCACGATATGCCTGAAGATGTCGAAGAACTCTTAAAGTTGCTTTACCGCGTGTTGGTCTTTCAAACTCGCAGCTAGAAATGTGTGTGGTGATCTTCTCGCAGCGTCCTAGCGGAGGAGCCCTCGTATCCGTTTAACACACTCTCTGCACTATTGCGCCTTTCTTGCAAGTACGAATTCCGCGAAGTCCAAAGGCTGGTGACGGAACGACTCATTGCGTTTTGTCCAATCACTCTCCAAGGCTACGAAAAGCTATTTTTTGATGAGCCAGGCGCAGCCAAGGGATGGTGTGGGTGCTGACCAATATCCGTTGTCGATGTACTTCGACATCGTATCCCTCGCTCGGGAGACCTCAACATTCTCGCTGCTACCTTGTGCTTTGTTTCGTATCATCGTACAATGCTCTTTGGTATGTGTTCCCCTTAAATTTACATCCATGGGTGTCATCACTAGCCATCAGGATGAGATTTTCGCAGCAACGCAAGCTGAATTCCGCGGTGGCAGTCTGCCCGCCTCTGATCTCCACACCGTCATCAAGGGTCGCGACAAGCTCATCCGAGCACAATGGGACCGTGATAAAACATTCGGCTTTTTGTTCTACGACTACAAGAGCTGCTCTGGCGACTGTCCTCAGAGGAGAGAGAAAATATGGCGAGCGGTCGTTACTCGGGAGGACAATTTTGCATACTCAATGTCGCCTGAGGCTGCGGACTTCGTGTCCTTGTCGAGCTGCTTTGCTTGCATCACCAACGCACCCAAGAAGCTAGCACAAGGCCGCCAGAAGCTTTGGGATGACCTCCCAAGTTTCTTTGGGCTGCCGCCGTGGTCGGAACTCCTTGCCAACTCAGAATAATGGCTCTGTCTCTTTCTTGTACTCGAAAATGAACATGATCACCCTCTTGCACGTTGATTTAACTTGGCTAGTAGCCTTCTGTATACTTTGTGAGGAGCAGTATTTTCCAATGGTGCTGCCGTTATAGAAATGAAGGTCAAAGGGGGGTTGAATATGCGACTAGGTATACAGGCATCAAGCTTAAGTAGTAAATTGAGAGCCAAACTCCGAATCCGAAAAAGATTGGAAGGCTAGAAGCAGTTATAGATCTTGCAACCCCGAGGCGGAGCAGCAGTCTCTCGTGTTGGCATAGACTCGAGTATTGTGTCGTGGGAAAACTCCTCAACGATGTCTCGAGACGTATCGTTAATGGCGTTGGCGACGTTCCAGCGAGCCGTTGTTCTGCGCATGGATGAAGGACGCATGCTGTCTTGCAGTGTCGCTTTAGGCACAGGTGCCGCCTCAGCGAGAGGCAATACGGCCGCATACGCAGCTACGAGTGCAATAACTTCCAGCAAATCAGACCCGTTTTCAATAGGAATGGAACCCGTACCCAAAGAGTATATATACATTTCAAGAGGAGAATGAAAGGCGGTGTTCAGCCAAAAAGATGTAGGCTAGGCTTGAAGAGTGGGTTGCTCTACGGTCAAGGAAAGTAGCAGATTTATACCATTTGAAGCTTGAGACAAGGTTACTAGTGTTGTTGTGAGAGGACAAGGCCTGGGGTCGGACATAAGCCAGACTGTCGTTACCACCATGATGGTTATTTGGGGCACAAGTCGCTGTTGTTCATGGTCGAAAGAACTGTTGAAGACAAGGGCAACCAGTCCACCAGTCCCAACGCAAGTCACGGATTGCCATCACTTATTCTCATCCCACAAATGTGGACGTGAGATATTTTCAAAACGCCTTTCATCGGGTTATAGAAATCGGTTTAGTTTTTAACTCGGTTTCTGACAACCGAACAGATACATATTCTCCAGCCCTGCACAGAAAGACAAGTTAGAAAAGGAAAGAAAGGTATTGGGAAAGGAGAAGAGCCGGGGTTTACCTATGAGGAGAAGCGGCTCCGCACTAGGCTGTCGATACGGTCCCGGACGAAGTCTAAGCAGAGACATCGGCTTGATAAGTGGTGGTGGTGGTGATCAAGGGCAGATAATGCAAAGGAATTGAATGCAAAAAAAGCGGGGTATATACTCTTCAATTGAGATTTTGTAGCTTCATCCAGTCATTGTCGTTGATGCTGGCGTTGAAATTGACGCCTTTTCCTCGCCACCACTTCCGTGCAGCGTCTCCTCCGCCTATCGCATCCTCGAGGGCTTGTCGGACAATCAGTGCAAGTTGAACTGAGGAGAAGTAAGAACCACCTTCTTCGATGTCGCAAAGCCGGTATTGCAGCGAAAGACGGGATTTGTTCCACCATTCGAGGACCTAATCGAGTGAGGCAACGATGGAGAGCAAGAAGACGCAGCACTACCTCGGGCCTGTTGTGTCTTGTTGGGCCGATTAGCGTTTCGGTGTCAAATATGAGCTGGAGCCCGCTGTTCAGCCACCAATCGAGGACTTGTACCTACAACGGGGTTGAGAATGGTCGTGCTGTCGAGAGGGAGAGTGACTTTTCCATGACATGATGCGTTGTGCAATGCCTGAGAGATTGAGGCCGGACTGGGTGCCGCAATAAGGTCGGGATGCTGCTCGATGTTGTTTTTCCACCACGAAAGGACCTCGAGCCGGCCGTGGAGCGACGCTTTTACGGGAATGACGTCGTTCTTGAACAGGGTTTTGAATATCGAGCTATCGGACTGCCGAGCGGATTCGAGAAGAAGGTACTCCAGGACGTTGATGTAGCCAAAACGGATGGCCAAATCAGTGCCAAGGGTGGATGGGTGTTTTATTGGGACGACAGCATGAATTGAGGGGAGATGGCCGGTGAGCATGGCTTCGTCTGTCGGGGAGGCTGCTGCCCAGGCAGAGGGACGAGGTAATGAAGTCGGTACACCAACGGCACGAGCAAGTTCCCAGTCTCCAACGTGGTCCATAATGTCTGCTAGTATTTCCACCGGTAAATCTGGCCCAACATGCCGGAGCTTGGAGGACTGGTGGTTGGGGATGGGATTTGTGGCGATGGGACTGCGCCGGAAGTGATATGTAACGAGATCGTGGTGAGTTAAACGCGAAGCCAAGTCTTCATCTGACCCTAGGGTGGACAAGTTGCGCGCCTCGAGGAAAAGGAGGAGCTCGGTATGGCATAGCTTGCGGTAGGCAGTGATAACACGAACTTCAACTGGCAAGTCATGCGTGGAAGAGGGTGAGGGCGGGATCAGCGCTTCGCCCATTGTGGTTCGGAGAGACATTCATTCTTTGTTCAACTCCACCACCATCTCTTACTCGGGCTATCTACACACAACCAGCTCAAACATGACCCCTGCGTCTCCCGTTACGGCCATCTCGGGCATTGACAATCGAGGCACTTACCGACATGCCCAAGGAACGTATTAATGTTCACCAGCTTGTTTTGCGCATCTTCGCTCAGGCCAAGGTCTCTCACCAAGCCACGCACATCCTCAACCCCATAATCCAACAAAGCCCTCAAATCAGCTGGAAATAAGGTGGACCGCGTTCCATCGGCTTTCAAAACTGGCATCATTGGCTCGTCGAGGTCGTTAATTCTAAGCTGTGCGTTCTTTTTGCGCGCTGCACTATTACTGAGCGATGTCTTTGCTTCCCGCAGTTGCGCCTTGTTGTTCACAGACTGCTGCTTCAGGCTGATGGGGAAGAGCTGCTGAAGCTGAACGTTAACCTCCGATTCGACTTGAGTTGTAATCTCTTTTCGAATAAACTCAAGCAGGTCCTCCCTGTCCTTGTGTCAACCGCGGTGCTTGCTCGGAGGGGTACACACACTTCAGGTTGGCTGCAATCCTCTCTTTGACCTCGTCCCGTGCCTCCCGTTTGAATTGCTGGATTTCCTGCTGCGATTTCTTGTGTTCTTCCCTGATCTGCTTCCGCAACGACTGAATCTCCGGTAGCACGTCAGGCTATGAAGCATGAGCTTGCCAACACATTCGACTATTTGGCACACACCACACATGCGGCCAATCCTGCCGACTTTTCATTCAAGGTCTCGAAAGTCGTTCCACTACAAGCGTCAGCAATTATCTCTACAGCTGTTAGGCCTACACTGCAGAAAGGGAGAGCTTGATTTCTTCAATGACGTTTTTCGTCGCCGTTTCTGTTGTCTGTCGTGGACGAGGTGTAGCTAGATGGCTCATGGTAAACTGGTCCTCAGACCCTCACGAGATCTCCTCGTGGCCTTAAGAAGTATTGGTGGACTAAAATCGGGTTGACATCGTAAAAGGTACAAGCAAGACTACCTAATTATAACTAAGACTACGAAACCACTGACGCAATGAACTGGGCTTCATAATTGAAGGCCGTCACGGCCTCCATGTCTGAATCCCGATCTGCCCTCCACTCACGGCGCTGCAGTGAGCAAGCGAGATCGCTGAATGCTTTAGCACAACAGAGGTGACCCCCGGGGTAGGCGAAGAAGATTTGGCGATGGGTGAATATGGACTCGATGTACGCGCCGCCGGTGGTGGGGAAGTTGTCGAGTTGTGAGTGGATGGATTGCAGAAACTCGCAACCTTGGAAGGAAGGCGAGCTTGGTGTCGATGGGCCGTCGTGCTATGAGGGGTCAAATTTTAAACTAAGTTGACCAAGTATTCCCTACTTCGACCATCATATAGTCGTTGTCGACGATGTACACGTCGGGACTTGCGTTTTCCTATCTCAAGGAACAATTAGCAAGGGAAAGAGGTAAAACGGACCACGCACTGGCTTCGCGATTTCCAGAGCACGTAATAGTTCACAGAGATGTGAGTCGGTCGCATCCATTGTGAAAGCCTGCGAAATGGTCAGTTATCCGGTTTCGAGCGGCTCTGTACACTGAACTGAGTTCATTACTGTGGCCGTCATGAGAGGAGGGAGAGAGATTGCTCTTTGGGGTGTAAAGCTGGCACGCCGTATCCTGACGATCAGGCGACATGTAGACCGCGAGGCTTTGATAGTAGCGATGATCCGTTGAGATTAGCTGGCTGTAAAGAATTAGGTTCTGAATCGATAAGAGTGGGAGAGAAATCAGAGAGAAGATTCCGTCCGCAAATGCGGACGAAGTCATCCGAGGGCGCCATGAAAGGCCCCGCGTCAAGAAAAAATGTGTGATACAGGTATTTCATCAAGAAAAAGGTCAACAGGCACGGAGAGTCCGACTCACTTTACCGAGTACTTCATGCCTTGCACCACTTCTACAATGAAATTCCGGAAGTCGAAGGCGGGAGGAAAGCGGGAAACGGGCTGTCACGATCACGCGTTTTGTCACTGTTACGCGCTTTCTGCTGCTTTCTGACGGTCATGTTCATTCGACTTCTGCGATCCATCCTCGCCCTCTATACCCTCGCCGCCGTTATACACACAACCCACTTCTTTATTATTGCGCCGTTACACTCCGCTGTTTCCTCCATCGTCACACACCTCTCACCACACTTCCTCTCGCTCAGACTGTCTCGGCCAATTCTCTCCCGACGCGAAAACGAGCCCGTTTCCCCGCCAATAGACACTCAAGCTCTCTTCAAAAGCGACGATCTCATTCACTGGAAATCCTCCGACTTCTCTCTGCAGCATGGGTTCGGTCATGACTCGCCCGTCGCCATGAGCGAGTCGCTGTTTCTCTCCAAGGCGTTCGCCAATTCGATGCAACCCAGCAAAATCTTGCCGTTCTTCTACCGTGCCAGTGGCTCTTTCAAAGACAAGGACATCACCATTACGACGCTCGTCACCAGCAACCGATTCCAAGTGTTTGGGCAACTAGTGGAGCATTACTCAGGTTCCTGATCTCTTGTTATTGACTCGTGCTTTTCTTACTCCTGCAAAGGTCCTATTTCGGCTACTATACATATCAGAAACTCGACAGAACATGTCAAAGACCTGCTTAACTCTCTGCGTACCTTGTATCTCTCGTCTCCAAAGATGGCCACAAACGTAGATGTCCATCTCGTCATAGATGGTAAGTGGTCTCTATAACTTTTGCCTTGATTAACTCTTAGCGTAGCATTTGATCGCCAATTCAACACCTGGCGCAACATAGCACGTTTCTTTGCCCGAACCGACTTCGTCATGATGCTCGATATCGACTTCTTTCCTTGTACCGACTTTCGCTCGTCTATCCTCAACAACCCAGCAGCGATGTCAAAACTCCAAAGCGGAACTGCGGCACTAGTCCTGCCGGCGTTCGAATATCCGGTCCACGAAGATGGAATAGACGCAACCAAGTTCCCTCGTTCAAAAGCCTCTCTCGTCCCTCTTGTTCATACCGGAAGAATTGGCATGTTTCATGCCAGCTGGGCTCTTGGCCATGGTTCCACCGACTACGATCGCTTTCTTGCTGCTGGACCAGGCGAAATTTATAAGGTGACCAAGTACCAGGCAGCCTATGAGCCGTACATCGTCTTCAAAAGAGATGGACCTCCTTGGTTTGTTGCGCTCCTCTATGTCGATGAAACTCATGGCTTCTCCGTAGGTGTGACGAGCGTTTCGTTGGCTATGGTGGAAACAAGGCTGCATGTCTATTCGAGATGTACCTGTCGGGTATCTCGTACTACGTATTAACGGACCATTTCCTGATCCACCAGAATCACCTCTATGAAGAGACAGCGCGTCGGGCGGAGGTGAACCCACCTGTTTCGTTTGCTTTGCAGATTAACTCAAGACTGTTCATAGCGCAAGTACAATCGCAAAATCTACACGGAATTCAAAGAGGAGGCGTGTCTTCGATACCTGAAGCGGTTCCGATATGACAATACGACGCGAGGACAAAATGCGAGGGTCGAGTGCAGGAAATTTCGGTCACAGCTTCCCTGAAAAAATTAGTAATTGATTGTTCTCGGTCCGGAGTGCCGATTGCTGATCGTATAAGTTTTAATCGCCGGACCGTGAGCAAAAAGGCATGGCTCAACCCAAGATCCTCATCGTTGGTGTGTGTTTACGCGAGCGATTTCCCCGAGTGATTTCGACGATGTGGCAGGCGAGATTGTCTGGGCAGGGGAGGACGTCCAGCAGCTTCTAGCGCCCGTCTCCCAAGTTATCGTGCGCCACAAATGTTCTCTGTTGTTGGTTCTCACACGTTGTACGTTCATCCAGACATATAACTCGCAAGACCGCAAGGACTTTTTAGAGGGCTTCAACCAAGGCGGCAAGTATGATGGCGTCGTCGGCATCTTCAGAGACAACACATCGGCCGACCACATTGGGTTCTTCGATAAGGAGCTCATAGATGGCTTTCCTTCGTCCGTCAAGTGGATTGCCCATAATGGCGCGGGCTACGACCAAATCGATGTTCATGCGTGCAAAGCGAAGGGTGTGTTGATTTGTTCCTCCTTCTCCTTTCCTGACTTGACCTCAGGCATCACTGTGTCGAACACACCGGGGGCAGTAGACGATGCTAGTGCCACCACAGCGCTCTACCTCCTCATCTCCACTCTCCGCCAGTACTCCATAAGCGAGCGCTCTCTCCGCGAGGGTAATTGGAAGCCCAAAGGACTGAACAAGATCAGCCACGACCTCACGGGGCGGACGCTCGCTATTCTTGGTCTGGGTGGAATCGGTATGCGCTTGGCAGAACTCGCCCATGCCTTCCCCATGCGGATCATCTACCACTCGAGAAATAAAGTTGCAGGGGCCCCCGGGTGGTGTGAGTATTACCCCGACGTCGAGAAGCTGTTGGCCGAAGCGGACGTGTTGAGTGTACATGTCCCACTTCGGTCAGAAACTGTGGGGCTGGTTGGCGAGAAATGGATACGGCTGCTCAAGCGGGGGTCAATCATCATAAACACCGCACGCGGTAAAGTTATCGACGAGGACGCCATGATCAGGGCTCTCGAGGATGGGCATGTGAGTGTCGACTGATCACTAGAAGAACGCGCTAATTGGCTCTTAAGCTCGCTTCAGTTGGGCTAGATGTGTTCCCGAATGAACCGGAGGTCAATCCGCGGCTACTCGAGTTCCCCAACATCACCCTCCTTCCGCATATGGGCACCGAGAATCAAGATACCCAGCGCAAGATGGAGGTTCGAGCGCTAACCAACCTGCGAGACTTCCTTGTTGCGGGGAAAGGAAAGGACATTGTACCCGAGTTGAAGTAACCTGGAAGACATAGGACCAATCCATAGCTGATACTTGGTCTTCTTCACGCGAGATTATAATTCGAGGTTTTCGTCGCTGTTGGATTTCACCACGCGAAAAACAACTCCGTAAAAATACGCCTCCACCATGGCTCAGCCGCCGTCAGCTTCCCGTATGCTACTTTCCCGTCAATCACGGTTGCTACCACCCTCGTTCCTAGTATTTCCGCCGCTGGGATGCGCATAATGTCGTGATCCAACACTACAAAGTCAGCTCGTTTGGAAATGGTCAGAGAGCCGAGTTCATTTTCTGCGAAAGAGGCGTAGGCAGCATCGAGCGTCATCCCTTTGAGGGCCTGGGTGCGAGTAAGGCGCTCATTTGGGAACCTGCATGTCGAATTAGAGTGGTGTGTTTTCAAACAGCATATATTCGTACCAACCACCAGGTCCATGCGGCGAGTCGCCATCCACATCCAGACGCGTCACTGCGGCAAAGAAACCAAGCAATGGATTTACACCTTCAACGGGAAAGTCTGAACCCAAAGGCAGAACATGCTGGGGCGAAGCCCTGGACGATGATTCAAAGTAGCCAAATAAAAATAATCTAGCTTACTGCAGAAGGGTTTGATATGCGTAGGCGCCTGTTATGCGTTCAGGTCCAAGTCGTGCTTCCGCATAGGACATGTCGCTTGTAGCGTGGGTTGGCTGAACACTCGCAATAACTAGATTCAATTCAGTCGCCAACGTTGTTGGAAAGGCGCAGCAAAAACTACCTCCAAGACGACCAATGCGTTCAAGGTCGGAGGACTGCATAATTTGGGCGTGCTCAATTCGTGGCCGGAAAGCGGCAACATTGGTGCCGTCTGCCAGAATATTCTCAAAAACGTCCAGGACAACCTTGTTTGCGCGATCGCCAATGCAATGGACATTCTTTCGATTTGGCTCAGCTAAGTTATATTCAGTAGCAGTAGCAACTTACCACTTGTAGTTTTGCATCCCAAGCAGCACGTATAAGCTGATCCATCGCCTCTGGGGAGCTCCGCATGATGCCTCGCGTCTCGGGTTTGTCGCTATACGCGTCAAGCAATGCGGCGCCCCAAGAACCAATGGCACCTAAACCAGGGTAAAAAACGAAGGAGCAAACAAGAAACTGCTCACCATCTGTGAATAACTTGACACTTCTCAAGGTCAACCGCCCGTGTCGGCCGTAGCTCTCCAGACGCTCGATTTTGGAGGGTTCCCAGTTAGTGTAGTTTTCCGCAAACGGCGCCGCCATAAGGTATAGCCTAATCTGCTCGTGCGTGAGCGTCGCGTGGGGAGGACAACAGCGGGAGTAGGCTTGCAGGGAGATTTCCGGCTTCGGCCATTCTACATCAAATCAACAAAGCAGCATTGTCAGTGAAACGAGAACATGCTCTTTGAGAAAAGCCACTGAAGCAGGGTCTGTTGCCGCGTCGTGCACACTCGTCAATCCGTATTTGAGAGCTTCAGAGACCGCTGCATTAAAGAAGTCGAGGTATTGATCGGAGGACCAGGGCGGGTTGGGTATAAGGGCCATGGCGTTGTCGAGAAAAATGCCCGTAGGATTTCCGTCTGAATCGCGCACAATGCTGCCCCCTTCGATTTCAGAGTCCTTTGGAAATGGTTGCATGAGCTCTAGAGCACTGACAAAATTGCTCGACGCGATAAGCATTGTTGTATGGCTGTTCGCTTACCGTTCGGAGACCCACGCAGCATGGACGTCGACGCGATATAACAAGATAGGACGACCTTTCAATACTGGATCGCGTGAGAGGTCTTCCTACAGAAGTTTGAGTATAAGTACGCAGAGGAGAAAAAGTATATTACGCACCGCGGTTGGAAATGTCGAGCCCCACCGATTTTGGTCCCAGCCCATTCCTTCTATCCAACGATTTGGGTCCTGGTGTACTTTGGGATGCGCAACAATGTAAGCTTTGATTCGTTCGACCACTTCCTCAATTGAGTTGGCGCCATCCAGCTGTAGCTGCATCTTGTAGCCTTGCTGGAGCAGGTGGGCGTGCGCGTCAGCCAACCCAGGTACGATGATCTGCCCAGGTGGAATGTGGTGAATGTTGGAACCGAAGATTCGGTCAAGCCAACCCCGGTTTTGCAGTAGTACGGCTGTGAATTGAGCTGGAGGACTACTTGAAAGCAAAGTAAATAACCTTCATCCGCGACGGCAGAGATGCGTCCATTTTCAACAGAGATACATTCAGCTATTGGAGTATTGTCGTCGACGGTGTAAACCGCGTTATGGGAGCATAGTGTGTAGCTCTTCTGGGTCTGAAGCTGGTAGACACGTGAAAGAACGAGCGCTACGGCCACAGAACGGAGAACCCATGACAGACTTGGCCAAGGGTGCGAGTTGGTTGGACTAATATGTTGATTCTGCTTGACGTCGGTCATGATCACGGGACAGCGAATAGCATTCAAAACTACACTATGACTACAGGACTCTGGAGGACTCCTAGGGCAAGAATAAGCACATAGTCCAAGCGACAAGGAGTAAGTTCAGAGTAGAAAGGCTAATCAACGCCCGAGGGCTAAGCAACAGCTTCTAGTTGATATTTTTTTTGTTCTTGGTCTCATCGCAAATATGGTAGCAAGGACCGCGAAACTCACACATTCCTATGATAGGTACAGTCAGCATAGGTTTTCACGAAAGCAAGGAGGGTTCAGAAAGGGTGCCCGAGATATTGAGCTGTGGCGGGCATTTTCGGCATGTAGGTACGAAGACCGTCGTGTAAAGCATCATAAGAGGGTGAACGGAACGGAACTCACATGGAACCGCAAGCATGAGATGCCATCCACTACCTGAATCCCAACGGAAGACCTCTGCGAATAAAGTCAGCGATATGTTGCAAAGCAGACAGCGAAGGATCAGAGAATTATAAAAAAAACAGCCATGGAATTGTCGTCAAGGCCCGGAGGCTCAGGCGGTAATTCCTTTTATTTCATCGGTAGGCAAGGGGTAAACAACGACACTCACCAGTTATATCACGCCATCTTCGCCCTGGAGGACCTGAAATTGTCTTAGTCTGGATACGAATAGGTGAACGCAGAAGGGATCAGAAGGGGTGCCCGAAGAAATGAGCTGTGGCGGGCATTTTCGGCATGCAGGTACGAAGACCGTCGTGAAAAAGCATCATATGCAGTGGATGGAGGAGAGAACGCACATCGAGACGACCTAGAAAAGCGTCAGCACTCAGTAATTAAGCGGCTCGTAGTAAAGAAATCAGAATATATAAAAATACAGCCATGGAATTTTCGTCAAAGCCGAAGCTCAGGCGGTAATTCCTCTTTTTTCATCAACAAAAGCGAGAAAAAGACTACTCACCAGTGTGGCTAGACGGTCGGTTGAAGGGCGAAGCTGCAACAAGTGTTAACGACGGTAAAAAAGACAAAAACGGAAGCAAGTTCAGAATTGTGCAAATAAAAGCATAGCCATTGGCTCAGATACTCTAGTTTGATTTGTATACGATTCATCGCGATGGAAGGTAGAAGGGAGTAGAGGCTGAACGGTACCTGGGGCAATGCGGCGGGAATCTAAAAAAAAAATGTTAGCGCAAGGCATCGAAGAAGGACAAGCAGAAAAGTCAGTGTAACTATGACAAAAAGAGGCCTCTTCGTGTAAGACACTCGGCACAGAAATAGGTATCATCCCGCAAGAGGTGGAGAAATGCTCACGCACCAGGAGGGATGTGGTGAACGATGTATTTGACGGTCCTCCCTGTTAAAGCGGTCAAGCTCGTAGCTGAGGGAGCTCTAATGATGGTCGTAGAAACAAGTGCGCTGTCTCGTGGAAGAGGACATAGTGAGAGTTGGAGAATGAAAAGCAAGAGAGTTTTGGAAAAAATAGTGGAGGTGTCACAAGTCACGTTTCTCATTTGATGTGATGCGCATCACGTGGGTAACTACCTTCCCCACATCCGATAAAGTTTCTATCATAGGACGGCGAATCGCTCTATCGACGCGGCCTCGTGGTCTACACATGTCGCTTATAATGAAGCATGTCTGATGTGAATGTACTGTCGGCTTTTGTCCTTCAAGATCGACTCACCCAAACTCCCACAAAACTCTCGATGCGCGCAACTACAGCAGATGCCAGAAGGCCGAGGCTCACCATCACAACATCCATGCCGTCTGCGACACATCAGCCTCCGACCCAGAATCCGCCATTCAACTTCGCGTTGACACCAGAACTTATTGCCGTTGGTGAACTGGTATCGGCCATGAAACGCGTCGTGAATGTCCTCGGGACCACATTCGACTCTCTGGACGAGCAGACTGAGCGCGTTACTACCCTCGCTCCCGCTTTGAAGGCCTCAGAACAAGTGCGTTATTGCCTCTTTTTGCAGCGCTCTAGTTCAAATATTCTCCTTGCACAGTTGAAGAAGCTTCGGGAAGAGTTATCGCGACAACTTATGGAGCAGAAACTGCGGAGCCTGGAGGTTCGGCAGATGCTCGACGAGGCAGTTAAGCAGTCGTTATCCCAGCAGGTTACGGACCACGTCAAGATGGTGGTAGCTCAAAAGGTCAAGGAGAAGGTTGCACAAGAGGTAGATGGCACGTTCAAAATGGTTTTATTGGGTCTGATACTCATTGTCCAGCTAAGCATGCAAATCCCACAACGCTTGCGTCAAGGAATCAAGACTCATAAACGACAGATCTTAGAAGTCCAGTGTAGTCTTCACAACTCGTATGATGTCGTTGCTCTATCTTACTCTCTCCTTATTACATTTTTTTAGTGAGGCGCGGCAGCATAATTCCGTTCTTGGGTCCAACTCGTTGACGGAAACGCTTCGTCCCCTTCTTCGGCCACTTCCGACCGCAGAGCAATCGCCAATAACACGGGGACCATCGCCAACGGCCACTTCTGCCACGGTTATCGATGAGCCTTCTCCAACCGCTTCACCTTTGTTCCCGCGGGACCTGAAATCTCTATTTGCTCTGAAATCAGAGGAGGCTGAGACGTTGGTCAAGGAGTACGGACTAGAGCACACTCATTCACCCGTTACGCCGCTTTCGGCTGCAGGAAAAGCACCGATAGTGGATGATTCTCATGAGCGTAATCTCAACAAGTTTATGGCACACATTGGCGTAAGTCGTGCGTGAACTATGACCCTCCGTTGATAAGCCCAAACTAATCTTGGCCAGGTCGTCGGTTTGGAAATCCACACCTCCCCAAACTCCGCGTCGTCATTCCCGGAGGAGAACGAATCGCCATTGCCTCTTATTATTAGTATACGCCGCACCTTGTAATTGGGTTTGGGGGACCAAATGAACTCTTTAACAGATTAGATTTCGGTCCGAACCAGGATAATAATGGATTGATACCCACGCTCTTCAGCCGACATTGCCAACGTGGAGCGGCCAAATACTTAGGTGGAACCGCGTTTTCGATGATTAGAGGTAACCTACAGTGATTTGCCAAGTCCTGTGTGCTTATCCAAGCAGCTGAGATCCCGAAAAGGCAATGCAACGTTCTTGGTCGTGTGCCATTTAACGAACGTGCGCGATACAAAGGCTGAAAGGGGAAAATGAGATATAGCGCACGCGAGCATTTCTTGAACTTGGAAAGCGACCTCCTCGACGCTCGTGTGTGGGTCCTTCTCTCTCATGGCCACCATCTACGCTGCCAGTTGTAATCCGCATCGCTCTGCCCGACGAGCCCGCTCCCCCTCTGAAAGCTCGTCAGCCTCTGAATACACGCCGCTGCCCCCAAAGTCGAATGATCTTCCAACTAGCGCTCCAAGCGCCAAACGCGGTCGGAAGCCAGCCGTTCTTAGCCGTACAGCGCGTGAAGCCCAGCGTAAACTGAACCACAGCATAATTGAAAAGGCAAGCAACAGCAATGGTATAGGACTCGTCTTGACTGATAGAAACAGGCACGACGGACCAAGATTAACGAAGCATTAGCGACGCTGAAGCAGCTTGTTCCCCCTAATTATGGTCAGCCTGCGATAGCACCAGAAGAAGCAGAAGAAGCGGAGGACGACGGCAAGAAGAAAAAGGGAGGCAAGCGCGAGGAAAAAGAAAAGGAGTTCAAACTTGAGATACTCGTCCGCACTGTCAGCTTTATGCAAGACCTCATCGAACGCGTCAATGTGCTCGAGGCCGCTGAGGCTGGTCCATCATGCTCTACTTGCAAGCGCAAACGGTCTGGGGAAGAAGAAGAAATAGATGAGGGGCGTGTAGGCAGGCGGCGTCAAGAGGGTGACTTCTCTTTGCCTCCCATTTCATCGTGGTTGCCGTCGCCAGAATTCTCGTCTCATTTGCCTTCGCCTCCGTCTTCCACCCACGTTGCTCCGGCACAACCACCAACCCAGCTGCCTCCTGCTCTGAGTCTGGGCCCTGGAGCTGCTCACTCCCTGCAGTCGATACTTTCACCAGAGGAAGAACACGCCGCGTCGATGTTGCTGGAAATAAGAGGGTCTCGCGACATACAGACACCAGCGACACTTCTTGGCTTGGGCAAACGATAGAACAATGTTCAGGGGAAAAGGACATTGTATTATTTTTCTTTTGTACTGTAGAATGACTGTTTCAGTAAAAAAATCGACATGCCGTTTCCTCGTCACCGTCGAAACGACACTTCCTAGCCTGACTTGGTCTGGGAACCGCAGGACCCGAAGGTCACTGGCACTGACTACGACGGTCGGGAGGTCTACATCGGTCAGCGTGGCATTGGCTCCTGGAAGAGTTGGCCCGTCACAAATTTTCAGGCTTTATAGTGTTCTGTGACATTGATGATGATCAGATGGAAAAAGAAGCTGTCGAGATGCCACGATGTCGCCGATGCTGCTTGACCACAAATTGTTGTGGGCGTTCCGACCCAAGTTCCAACATGAAGCTCGACCGCTCCCGATGTGAACAGTGAGAAGCGTCCCCCTGCTTCTAACCGACCTCCATGTCGTTGGCTGTTGTTGGCCCCTCACGGAACTATTTCTGTGGAATGGAACCATGGCGAGCCAACATTGTCGGTCCGCTGAACTACAGTGGTAGATGTGCGGACAAAAGGAGTGTATCAATTCTTACTTATCCTATCTTTAGATACCATTCCAGTTCAACCCGAACTTCCCGAACTTCCCAACTTGCGACTGGCAATGTACTATAACTTCAGCGTTTCCCACCGTCCGGTGCTCTTCAATAGACTGTCTTCTGTGGCTTCTGCTATGTTCCTGCAATACTAAGCGCAACCGAGTTACCGCGGATGTCTCCACAAAACCTGCTTGGTGTTCCGATCCACCACGTCTACAAATCAGTTCACCCGACCGATATGAACCCCTCTGTTCTAAAATCACGCAAGCTGTCCTCTTCATCTCCTCCTCCCTCCCCGCCTTTTCGATGCCAGTCGTCCTCCGGAAAAGGCTTCTCTTGATTCCTGGATTCGCACTCTTCGTCACGTTCTTTTATCTTTTTCAGCAAAACCATTACCAGGTTTATTCGTTCTTGTTACTGAGAAGACATGCTTGACACGGATGAAGATAGGCAATGTGCTTTCTAGTGTTACGCGTCCCCTCTGGGATAAAAGCGAGGGGCCAACGGTTGTGGTCCCCCATTATTATGCTGAAGGACTACCGGTGGATGACCATGGTACGCAATGATCCCCTAGCCCATCATTCTGTACTCACGCATCCAGTCTGTCAACTTCATGGCTGGAAAACACGCAGCAATGCAGTGCAAGTTTTCGACGCTGTCCTGGTCAGCACCGAATTGGAGTTGCTGGAGATTCGCCTCCACGAGCTCGACCCTTTTGTCGATCGATTCTTCATTTTTTTTTTTTTTTTTTTTTTCCCGTTATTTGGCCTTTACATTAATGTATGGTAGCCATTACATTGCACGCATGTATATAACTCCTTCGCTTTCTCTCCTTTTTTTTTGCTGTCCCTCGGTATCTTGCCCGTTCAGCCAATAGCGCTCGGGCGGCGGCGTGAAGTGGGGTATGAATAGTGTCCTGTATATTATAAAAATCAGTATATAATTGGTCTCACCTTTCTCGCTCGTCCCTCTTGTCGCTGCCGCTCTTCCCACTTTCCACTGTCTGTCGTCCCCTTTTGGTCTTCATCCAAATGGTCTCGCCTCTCTGGCCAGCGTCGGCAGGTCGCCTTCTTTGGGCTTCACCGTGATCTTCAATTTCGATATCATGTCGAGGAAGTCGTCGCCATGTTTCTTCGTCTGGTCGAGTGGTTCGCTAAGGTTGCGGTGGACTGCTCGGAACCTCCCCGTCCTGTATATATACCACATTAGCGGTTCCATGAGTTTTCCCGCTCCGAGCAACTTCTTGATGACCCTTGTGTCCCTGCCTCCGTCGTTGTACAGCCTCCTTCTCGCTTCCTCGTGCGCGCTACAGTGGAGGAGATAATGCGCCACAGTTTCGTCCGCTTGCCTGCAGCACGGGCAGATCGGGGAGTCGGCTTTCTTGATCCGATGCAGGTGCTTTGCGAGTGTGCAGTGCCCCGACCGCAGTTGGAGCATTATCGTCGCGTAAGATTTCGGAACACTGGTGTACAGCTTGAGGTACGATCCCTTTACCAGTCCTGGGTCGTACTGCATCGTGTGCTGGTACCTCTTCGATTTCCTCCATCTCTCCGCCACCCTCTGCTTTCTCTTTGCGTTCAGCATCTGTCTCACCGCAGCTTTGCTCAGCGGTAGCTCCGGGTGGTATGCCTTCGGCAAGTCGGCCAGGTCCGTGACGTCCCCCGCTGCCGCCTTCTTTGCCTCCTTGTCCGCTTGCTCGTTGCCTGGGATATCAATGTGACCTGGTGCCCAACGTATAGTCAGTGTAATGTCGCTGTGAATAGAATTTAAGTGGGAAAACTTCTCGTGCCAGTCGTCCCATATCCAACTGGACGGCGTTGACTTTGTCGAGTCGATTCTTCATTGTCGAGTCCAACGCGACATTCACCGGCCTCCCCAAAGACCTTGCCTTTTCCCAACACCGCTTCCGTTTCGCCAAGTTTGACCATAAGATCAGCTACAAGCTCATTCCGGGGTTTCCCCTCACTGCAGACCAGTCCCCGTTCGAGCAAGAAAACCACGTGCGGCTGGAGATGACCAACTTCATACGGACATACATCGCGGAGTCGTCGTTGCCAGAGCCGCTGGTCATCATGGCTGATGTCGACGAGATACCGGCCGCCCACACAATCAAGCTGCTGCGGATGTGTGATTTCGGGAAGTCGATCCATCTCCAGCTGCGCAACTATGTCTACAGGTGAACTCTCCCGAGTTGGCCAAAATCCCCGCTGATGTGCGTTTCGCCCAGCTTCGAGTGGTTCGTTGGGTTGCGTGCCTCGGTCCACCAATGGGCTCAAGACACATACTACCGCCACGGGCAGAGCGGCGACACTGTTCTTGCTGACGCTGGATGGCACTGTTCCTACTGTTTTCGATTTCTCTCTGAATATGTTGTCAAAATGCGCGGGTTTTCTCATGCAGACCGCATCGCTGGTCGCATCCACCTTCTGGATCCCGCCCGCATCCAGGGTACGATATGCAAAGGGAAAAACATATTTGGGATGCTTCCAGAAGCGTATAATGTTACTTTGCCTCTTTTTTTTCTCGATCCGCTGCTCATCCTTTGCCAGTATGTCGACCTCTTATCCCAGCTTAGTCTTGAACCGTATGTAGTTTTCCAGGCTTCACAGATTCTTACGAATACGTTTGTCTAGGTTAAAGACCGGCGTCCACCTTCCACTCTTCCTGGTCGAGCAAGCAGAACGCTTCAAGTTCTTGTTACCTGGCGGATGTCTACGAGAAGATCGACCAAACCAATAACTCTCAGGCCATCAATATCGGGTTATGCTCGACTACGAGCTCAATCGTGGTATGCAGGTGAGTATTGGAGCTATTACAGGCTAATATGCTGAGTACTGAATAAAGATAGAAACCGCTATAGATCAAGGTCATGGTCATTAGTATCGTGTAGGCAGTCATGGTCGTGTCGTGCGTTTGTCGTAAGGGTGGTAATTCGGGGGGGTCCTATTGACCGAGGGCGTTGAAGAGCCTGCGCCAGGCGAGCCATAGCGAGGATATGATTGGGGATTCGAGATCTGCCGCATGGGGAGGCCAGGCGCTGCAAGGCTGGGCGGCATAACGAGTTTCGAGGGCATCACAGTGGGGTATTTCTGAGTATGGCGGGTCCCAGAATGCGAGGGTTGGGTCATATCGCTCCGCATGTTGTTGTCATTATATCCGGAATGGCGTAGCTCTTCCTCATAATTGTTATGACTGTGTTGTGGTTTCCGGTAGCTCGTTCGGCCGCGATCCGTGTGTGGTGGACTATAACTACTCTGAGGGAGTTGCGGAACACCGCTGATGTCGACTGATTGACGTCGCTTGGCACGAGATGGCGACTCGGGGGAGTAGATTTGAGCAGACTGGCGCCCTAAGTTTCCAGAACGACGATTCATCTTTTCGCCGAACTCGTGAGCCCCTATGTCAGCAGAAAGTGGCGAGAAAAGCAGGCCATCAGGCTGGGTGTTGAGCGTCAAAGCTGGGGCCTTGTCGATGGATTGCATAGAAGTCCAATGTTCTCCGCTCGAAGGAAAAGCTTCAACAGATCGTGCAGTAACAGCCCTCTGCGGTTGTGGCGTGACGAATGCTCTGGAGCGGCTAGGTCCGGAAGCAGATTGACCGACGATCTGGGGAGTAGCGGGAATCAGACGACCAGGGGGTGTTGCTCTTGACGGTGCAACGCCATGAGTAGAAACTGAAGGCAACTCGGTGTCGCTAAGAGGACCATGGCCAGCGGACGATGGAGGGTTTGTACTGGGCGGGAATATGCGGCCGAAAAGACTTTCTCCGTCAATGGGAGATTGCGGCATCGGTGGAGCTGGGGTGGTATAGTAGGAAGATTGCGGCGCGACGGGCGGCGAAGTTAGACGGGTTGAATGTCGCATCTTGTGAGATGGTCGGTTTTGCCGCGAGCTGCGATGTTCATCGAAGACCGAAAGCGGAGCAACAATGTCGAGTTGATCCTCTCCTGGGATACGGCAATGATTTCGGGCAGCAAATATCGAGGGTGGAGGAGGGTCATCGAAGGTCATGTCGTGTTGAGTCAAAAATCCATAATCTGCATCCATGTCACGAGACCGATGCCGAGATTGCGTCTTTTTCCTCTTGGGAGGCTTAGAAGTGAGGCGCTCCTCGTCTTCGGCTTCAGCAGCAGACTGAGACACACGGCTATACACGCTGCGCCACCACGAGCGCTGCGGTTTGTGGCTCGGAGTTCGGCGGGTCTCAGGAACCTGCCCAATGTGTCCGCGACCAGGAATATCTGTGTTTGTGTTACACGACTTCGACCAAACGCAAAGAAAGACGCACGTGATCCGTAACCACGACGTTCAAGTTCTCGCTCGATTTGGATTTCCAAGTCTTCACTCTTCTCCCGCCGCTCATCACCGGGAAGCTTAAGCCATGGGATGTCGTTGGCAGCCAGAGCGCGTGGTGAGAGAAGGCCTTTCTCCAAATCACGCTGCTCAGCTTTGTCGTCCATAGCTTTGCTTGTGGGCAAGTTTGATGGACGAGGCCGGCCAAAAGCGCTCTCGTAGTGACCAAATCGACGTGCCCCTCTGTCCGGAGTCGGCTCACGGCCCCTTATTTTGTCGATGATATACACCCATCCTATGCGTATTTCCCTAAATGTCTCGCGGAAATCTAAAGCATGGCCAAGAGAACGGAGTCGTGGTGTTGGTGTGGGAGGTGGTAATTTGGACTTCGGGTCGTGGAACGGCCTATATGGCTTATACGAGAATGCCTTGATATGCAGGAAAGCAAACAGCCTATAATTAACCAAATCAGATAAGTGATCGGGTACGACAATGGACGAACATCATCTCAAATGTTTCCAAAAGAGCACCCTTGAAGCAGGAAGATCAAAAAATAGGTCAAAATAATATCTTGGGGACGCACAATACCGATGTTGATGTCCTCACTTGTCATATAGGTGGTCTGCGATAGATAAGATGGTAGACATCGACCAGACAAGAGTACTGACATCTTTGATGACCCCTAGCATGGCCAGTACGGACAAGAAGGTGCTCTGCCAGAAAGTAAGGAACACGACGGCTTTGATGGCGAACAGCTTGAGGATGGGCTTCTGGGGTGCTAGAAACTGGGAAACGGGAAAGTACAGCTGGAGCAGACAGTACATGGCGATGGAAACCGACAGGGACACGAGAGCAATGATCTGTTCCCATGTTCAGACAAGAAAAAAAATCAAAGCAGGAAGACCCACATAAACATAGCCCCATTTTGGATTAAACGAGCCCTCGCAGTACCATCCGAGATAGTTCAGAATGACGGCGGCCAACGTAGTTCTGCAAGTGTTTGGTGGGGGGAGTACTAGTGGAAAGGGGAGGACATACAGAGGCCGGATCACACAATATTGAAGCACACCCCACTTCATCAGCTGAAGGAAGTACAGACCATCCTGAGGTCAACGTCAGTGGGGAGAGCGAGTAACAGTGTTATTACGCTCACCGCGGGCTTATACTTGACAAAGCCAAAAGGAAACATCCACTTGGTGGGCTCTTCACCTCGAGCGACACGCTCTGCATCAACTTCACGGGATAAACCAACTTTGCGGAAGATTTCTCGTTGCTCGTCGGGATTTGGCGAAAGATAGGTTAGAAGCAGGTAGAAAAAGGCTGTCAGAACAGTGGACTCGTAGGCATCCCGGACGAGAAGTAATGGGGTGGCGTGATTCTGCGTAGATTCAGCTTATATGTGCCAAACGAGAGGAACGGATAGCGCACCCAGAAGAAATAAGACGCAAGACTAATGACCGCGTAGATTGGAACCATGAACAGGAGCCGGATTATATCTGAAAAGAGTCAGCGTGTGGGAGACAAGACCGATGAGTGCTACATCGTTGTTCGCGTTTCTAACAAAAAAGTTAGCTGAAGACTATGAGCTATCCAGCGACGCACATTCGTATACCATTGCAGATGCTTGTTGACGAGCCAGAAGGACGTTATAATGGCGACGATGGTGAAGAAACTGGCGATCTAGAGCCGGATTGACTTTTCAATAACATATTTTGCTGTTTACACTCACAATCCACCCGACATGATGGGCCTGGAGATATTCTTGAGATATGATAGCACCCGAAGGAAGGCAACATACCTGGAAAACGAGATTGCCGTCCTTGAGTAACGGCGGAGAGCTAGGAGAGGTTTCCGCATGACAAGTTTCTCCCATCGGTCTCCGGGTCCGCAAAAATAGTCGTAAGAAAAGTCGTGAAGTTGAACAACGAGGCGGGCCTGGTGCTTGAAGCTGCTCTCTCTTCAGTGCACAATGACGGAAGGCACCCCGAGTCACAGAATGTCACGCGTCCAAGCCTTTCGCCGCCATCAGGTCCGCGTTCCAGTTGGACCTCGTCATCGCAAGTTCTGTGCTTCGAAAGAGCTCCATGCGGCTCCTTATCGTACCAGAAAACCACTTAGTCGTCTTCTGGAGGCTATAGGCAAATCAGCTTCCTGAAGGTCAATACAAGTCATTTTGACAGCTGTTGGCAAAATTATAGGCCACCTCGAATTTTCGTCACTCAAGGATTGACGGGTGATTTGCCCCAATCTGGCTATGCGCTCCACAAATCCATTTGCTGGCAAGCAGCCGAGTGTGGAGAATGTATGGTGGTCACCAGTGACATCTCAAGCTTGGGTGGCCTACAGCTGGAAACCAAAAACCATCAGTATTTCTCCCCCGTTTGCCACCGTTTTCTCAAGACTCGGAGCGCCGCGTACCATGTGAGGCAAGAAAGAAGTACTCTCCGCATGCCAGTTTTCTATTTTAGCGTCCTCCATATAAATTCGCTGACCATGAACGCTTCACTTTCAATCTTTCACCATGGCGCGCCTTGTACTCTTATTCGCCCTGCTTTCGCTGGGTTTCAGTCAAGTTTCCGCCTTGGGTGGCGCTATGCAAGGTCTTGAAGATGCAATGCAAATCCAACGTGAACAGCTCGCTCGGCTTGGTGATTTTTTGGGTCCAACGCCCCAATTGCAATCGGTCGCCAAGAGGGAATCTACCATCACATTCTCCAACCCAGCGGCAGAAAAATTCTTTGTGGATGGAACCACCATTCCCGATGGTACACATGTTATTTATCCATAGCTAATTGTTGACCTACATAGTCAATTTCGATGCTGGACCTTCTTGGTCGGGTTTGATGCCCATCTCGGGCGACCCAAACGAGACGCGAAAACTTTTCTTCTGGTAAGTCTGCTCATTAGCTAAGATCGCAGTCTTCATTCTTCATCGAGGTTCTGGCCGACTACCAACGCGTCCAATACCAAAGATCTGATATTTTGGACTAACGGTATCTTCTTTCTCTGGCGTCAGCCCTCTCTCTTCAGCTCATACGTGACAGGCGGCCCGGGATGCAGTAGTCTTGAAGGATTCTTGCAGGAAAACGGGCCGATCTGTGCGTGTGCCCAAAATAAATGGCATGCACGTGACTTACATCGAGTCAACAGCTTGGTCGTGGGGTCAAGCGGAACCCACTCCCAATCCATTTGCATGGAATAGTCTCGGTCATATGATATGGGTATGTGTACTTGGTAGCTGAGCTCATGGCCGTTGTAGCTGAATTCACGATTGCAGGTTGAGCAACCAGTTGGAGTATGACGGCCGCTTCTGTTCTATTTCTGGCGCTCACACAGTGATTATTGCAGACTGGATTCAGCCAAGGGACCCCAAATATTACCAATGATGATCAGCTAGCACAGGAACTCGTTGGCTTCTTCGAACAATTCCTAGAAGTCTTCAGTGAGCTCAAGGGAAACAATCTTTGGTTAACGGGTGAAAGCGTGAGTTGTGAATTGGTAATTCACGCGTAAATTAACCTCTGTCTAGTATGCTGGCTTTTGTATGTCCTGCTTCCTCCTTGTGAAGAGCGTATTGACATTATCCAAGACGTTCCACGAATTGCCAACTGGATTTACGAACATCCCGGGCTCGATCTCGCTTTGAAAGGCATCTGGATCGCTGATCCGTCCCTTTCCTACGGTGTCGTGCAGCAAGACATTCCTGCTCTCCGATTTGCGCAAGTGCGTATGCACAAATCAAGCCTCAGTCTCTCATCAATGAAACACATAGGCGAATAAAAATGTGTTCCCATTCAATAGCACCTTCATGGCACAACTCCAGGCGACATCAGACAGTTGCGGGTACACCGATTATGTCGACAAATTCGTGACCTACCCTCCCGCTGGTCCGCTTCCATTCCCCGCTGGAGTTCCCAAGGGCAGCACCTCCGCATCCACCGCTTGTCGTCTCCATAGTCCTATTCAGCGTGCTGTTGGAGTGTGCGTATATGTTCATTCATGTTAGGGGATACTTATCTCGCAGTCTGAACCCGGTGTTTAACGTTTATCGGTTTGTTTTCTTCATTAACGTCGAAAGGAATGTCTAATGCCCATGACACAGAGTGACTGATACCTTCCCGAACCTCTGGAGCGTGTTGGGTTTCCCTCGCTCAACACAAGAATTCGTTTATTTCAACAGGTATCTTCCATTTGCTACAAAATGGCATCGGAAGTGATATTCTCCGCAGAACTGATGTCAAGAGTCACATTTTTCGTGAAAGACGCTTGCTGACTTCTTCAAAGGTTCAAGATGCTATACACGCTCCCCACATCGTTTGGGAAACCTGCTCGGATGGCAGTGTTTATCTCCCTGGAGGCGATCGCACAGTTCCTTCTATGTTAACTGCTGCTGGAAGCAACATCAGTGTGCTGGGTAACGTCATCGAGAAGTCAGTGCGCACCGTTGTAGTCCATGGTTTGGCGGTGAGCCGATCTTGCACTGTCGTCAACTAAATCAACCAACCAATATAGGATATGATCCTCATGTCGGAGGGGACCCGAATCGCTATCCAGTAGGTGACTCGTATCATCCAACCGACCAAACCTTACTTGCTTCCAGGAACATGACGTGGGGTGGTCTCCAAGTTGAGCTTGTCCTTAATCATTTAACCTGCGTTCAACAAAAGGGAACAGGGATTTCAAACGCCGATTGAACCGGAAAGCTTCAAGGTTAAAAACATGGGAGTCTTTGGCAACGAACACACTGAGCGCGGACTGACCTGTAAGCATTTGTGAACTGCCTTGATTGAGCGTGCTCATAGTTGTAGATGTCGAATTTTACTATTCTGGTATGCTCCTTTGTTACCCGTGTTACACTGGCTTATATCGCTTGCAGGACATATGACTCCTCGTAATGATTCTTTCAATCGGGGTACCAACTGCTGATGCGAGATTTTTTGTTTAGAATTCGTCCCCTGGGCAGCTTTCAGCACTATCAGTTTCCTACTGGGGAAACAGGCGACTCCTTCTTCAGGCTAAACATTCAGAGGAGAGGCAGAGCAGGAAGTCTAGTATAGCTTTATAAATTTTTGTGTTCCTGTAGTCGACCACCAACAATTCTCCGAAATCTTGACCGATGCCGATCAGTGCCAACCCCTCTGAAGTCCTTGCCTCACGCCACCATGGCGGATAATGCTCTTCCCCCCAACCTGGCGACCCAGCTAGATGTACTAATGATCGACAATTTTGACTCTTTTACGTGGAATTTGTATCAGCAGCTCTGTTTACTCGGCGCATCGGTCACCGTCATTCGGAACGACGCCATCCCCCCGTCCTTGATACCCAAACTCAAAATCAAGTCACTCATCATCTCCCCTGGACCTGGCCATCCACAAACTGACTCGGGGATCTCGAAGGCGGCGATTGACTACTTCCAGGGGAAGGTACCAGTATTGGGAGTATGCATGGGGCTCGAGTGTCTCGTAGACTTGCTTGGCGGCCAAATCTCGTGAGTACTATATGCTCAAGGCACCTTCTCCCACTAAATCATCTGTCCAGTTACGCTGGAGAAATCATGCACGGAAAAATAAGTCGGATACGACACGACAATCGTGGCTGCTTCAAAGATGTCCCCCAGAACATCAAGTCGACCCGGTACCACTCTCTCAGCGCGTCAACGACTACCCTTCCTCCGGAGCTCGCGGTTACTGCGTTGAGCGAGGACTCGGGAGTTATCATGGGTGTTCGACATCGCAAATACACAGTCGAGGCAGTCCAATATCATCCAGAAAGTGTTTTATCGGAGGGTGGCGACGAGCTTATTCGCAACTTCTTGTCTCTGCGGGGTGGGAAGTGGGAGGAAAATCCAAGTTTTGGTGTCCTTGATTCGGCACTCCCCACATTTCCTATTGAAGCTCTACCTAATGGAATCGCTGTCAGCCCTGCAGCTGCCGCAAAGATACCCTCCATCCTCGAGAAAATTTATGCTCAGCGCCTTTCAGACGTAGCTGCGGCTCAAAAAACTCCAGGCTCGACTCTGAAGGATTTAGAGACACTGTTTTCCCTGAACATTGCGCCACCACTCATTCCTTTCCTTCCTCGACTGCGAGACAATGCAACTGGCCGTCCATCTCTAATGGCCGAAATCAAGCGTGCCTCCCCATCCAAAGGACCTATATCGCTCTCGACATCCCCTCCTGCTCAGGCCCTCACTTATGCTTTAGCAGGGGCCCACACCATTTCTGTCCTCACTGAGCCAAAATGGTTCCTCGGTACACTACACGATATGCTTCATGCGCGTTTGAGTGTTGCGAATCTTCCTAATCGACCTGCCATCCTCCGTAAAGACTTCATCCTCAGCAAATACCAGATACTAGAGTCCCGAATCTGGGGAGCAGACACCATCTTACTGATCGTCAGCATGTTGCCAGAGCATCTCCTTCGAGAACTCTACGCCTACAGTCTCGAACTGGGCATGGAACCCCTGGTAGAGGTCAACAACGCCAAGGAGATGGAACTGGCGCTGTCTTTGCCAGCCAAGGTTATTGGGGTGAACAACCGCAACCTGCACAACTTCGACGTTGATATGGGCACGACAAGTCGGCTGAGCGAGATGGTGAGAGACAAAGATGTTGTACTTTGTGCTCTCAGTGGCATTTCAACAGCGCAAGATGTGGACAAGTATGCTGCGGAAGGAGTGGGCGCTGTTTTAATTGGAGAGAGCCTCATGCGCGCTACCGATACCACAGCTTTCATTCGCGAACTCCTAACATTACCTGAGACGGCAGTCTCCACCTCGCAATGGCGAGGAAGCGCTCCTCTCGTCAAAATATGCGGGATTCGTACGAAAGACGAGGCTCTCGCTGTTGCGGAGGCTGGCGCTGACATGCTTGGATTGATGTTTGTCGAGAAATCGAAAAGACATATTGATCTAGAAACGGCCAGGGACATTTCAGAGGTTATTCGTGCCCTGCGATTCTCCTCCACTGCCACAGAGCCCCTAGAGGAGTCATCCAACACTCCCTGGTTTACGGGCCACGCCACACGGTTGTCGAATACATATGGTCGGCCGCTACTCGTTGGCGTCTTCCAGAATGCATCGCTTTCGACTATACTTCATGCAGTGAGCCATGCACAGCTTGACATCGTCCAACTTCACGGCTCGGAGCCTACGGAATGGGCGAGGCATATACCCGTCCCGGTCATTCGTGCCTTCCATGTTGGCAAGGACGGCAAGGGTTTGGACGGAATCACCCGGGGCGGTGCCCATGAATTCATCCTGCTTGACAGCCTGAAAGAAGATGGGAGCGGTGTCAGCGGAGGGACGGGGAAAGTGTTCGACTGGGATTTGGCCAAGAGCATTGTTGAAACTGGGGAGATCGTTGTTGATGGTGGGGCTTCGTACAAACGCGCCACAGTAGAACAATCACCACCAGAGCCTACAAAAGCGGATGAGCCAATTCCTCCTCAGGCAAATGACATCACGACGGCGCACTCCAAGTACCCGCTCCCTATCATTCTCGCTGGTGGGTTGACAGCTTCCAATGTCGCTGTCGCGATTGCGCAAGTCCAACCCTGGGCGGTCGATGTTAGTGGCGGTGTCGAAACTGAAGATGGGACGGCAAAGGATATTGCGGCGGTCAAAGCGTTTATTGGTAATGTTAGAGGTGGTGTCGCATGATGTATTATTTCCGCAGAGCGTATTAAAATATAGTTCAGTGTCCGTACTTATTCAACTCAGGCTCAGAGGCCACGTGCCAACTCCCGCTCGAGTTGCTCGCTGGGGTCGTCCATCATGGGGCTGGGTGGGCGTGGTGCATTTGGCGCGGTAAAGCCAGAGGTGGTCCCATGGAAGGGCCCGTGTTCTTGGATGGGGCTGTTGATTATCTCATCGCGAGACGGGAGAGGCAGACTCTCCTGGCGGCGGACTTGGCCACCACCACGCATTTGCTGGCGGACTTCGTCGCGGAATGCAGTTACTTCTTCAACGATGAGCTTCTTCATGCCCTCGATGCTGTCCTCCTCCTCAAAGCTGAAATCAAAGGTCTGGGAAAATGATCAATCTCCGCAACAAAATGCAGGATGAGAATGCTACCGTTTGGCACACAGGCTCGTCGGATGGATCGTGCCAGGCTTGGAAGTAGGGGTGAGCGAGCGCCTGCTCGCAGTTGATGCGCTTCGCCGGGTCGAAGCAGAGCATGCGACCAAGGAGGTCGATGGCGAGGGGGTTGGCATTGGGAAAGAGCGTCGAGAAGGCGACGCGAGGCTTGATCGGCAGCGAACGAATATAGTCCTGGGCCTAAAGATGATCAGAATAGGTGTCAAGCAATCGAAGTCTAAGTTAGCGTACCCGGGGAGAACCCACCCGACGGAGGGTATCCTCCGAGGGGGTGCCCAGGTAGTGCAAGATCTGATTCAGCTGGTCTACGTAGCTACGGCGATGATTAGCAAATCAGGCTGTTTTCTGGGAACAAAGACGTACTCCCGCCCCTTGAAGATGGGTTTACCGCCTAAAAGCTCCGCGAGAATACAGCCGATCGACCAGATATCAATCGCTGTCGAGTAGTTGGCAAAGCTGAGCCTGTAAAGTGTCAGACCGGGGGTAGGAGAAGAAGTTAGACGGCAGACATTATCTCAGGCGCCCGGTACCACCGTGTAGCGACGTATTCAGTCATGAACCCCTGGTTTCCAGCAGCGCGGGAGGCCCCACCGCCGGGCGTATACCCCCGGGCGAGGCCAAAGTCACAGACTTTGAGTTCGCAGTCAGCGTTGACCAGAAGGTTTCCGGGCTTGAGATCGCGGTGGAGAACATTGGCGCTGTGGATGTATTTGAGGCCACACAGGGTCTGATAGAGGAAGCTCTGGAAGTGAGCATCTGTGAGAGGCTGGCCAGAGCGGATCTGTCTGGCGGTTAAGAATCATTTCTGCAGCACACAAGACTGATTCTAACAATCGCATGTAGGTCTGCCTCCATCAGCTCCTCCTGGACGGGCATTAGACCAAAATAAGGGGGGTGTTGACGCAACGCACATAGAGGTAGACCTCGTTGAAACCGCCCGCGGCATCAAAGACAATGTCCATGTCGTAGAGGTGGGTAATGTTCTTGTGTCCCTTGAAATGATGTAATAGGCTAGACCGCGATTAGAACGGCCCAAAGCCCAAGCATCGGCGCGCACAGAATCTCCCTCAAGCAGCGTTTGGTGAGGATTCGCTGTTTAATCATTGGGTGACATTGAAGCGAGCAGTCAACGACACCAAACCTTATTGTTGATGTTGGTGATCTTTTTAATCGCGCAACCCTCCCCGCTTTGGCGATGCTTGGCTGCCACCACACATCCGTAGGCACCTTGCCCGAGCTCCTTGACAAACGAGTAGTCTGCATCGACGACAAAGGTACTGTTGAGGGCGTTGAAACTTGTCCTCTGGATCTGCATTATGGGAAGAGGTTGGTAGGGGGAAGGATGAAGAGAGGCTGTTAGACGACGAACGACGTGCGAATTATAAGGCAGCGGCCGATGTTTAGATTCCGTTACGCGAAGGCACCAAAGAGCGCTGTGCAGAAGTTGATGGCTGGAATTCTGTTCTCATCAAAAATCGCCCGCATCCGGTTAACCTCCAGCTAACGCACATTTTCACACGGTATATTTAGTCCCATCTACAGAAACTACACGCTTCACTTCCGAGCAAGATGCGTTCCAGCAAGCTCCCTCTCGAGTTCTTCGCTGGGGTCGTCCATAGTCGGACTGGGTGGACGGGGCGCGCTGGGATCAGTGAATGATGAGGTTGGATAGCTGTTTTCTTGGACAGGCGAGTTGATGATTTCGTCGCGGGATGGGATAGGAAGACTAGAAAAGAAAATGCCGCGTCAATTGGTATCCAATCGTAGCGAAAACCAATATACCTATCTTGACGCCGAACCTGGCCAGCCGCCCGGGCTTGATGGCGAACTTCGGCACGGAAAGAGTTGACTTCTTCGACGATGAGTTTTTTCATGCCTTCTATGCTGTCTTCCTCTTCGAAAGCAAAGTCGAATTTCTTATATATACTAAGCACCAAAAAACACGATTAAAGATGAACTTACGGATTCACAAACCGGTTCATCGGCAGGGTCGTGCCAAACTTGGAGGTATGGGTGTGCAAGGGCCTGTTCGCAACTAATACGCTTAGCTGGATCGAAGCAGAGCATCTGGGAGAGCAGATCGATTGCCAAAGGATTGGCATGAGGGTAGAGGGTAGAAAACGGGACCCGTGGCTTGATTGGCAGTGAGCGAATGTAATCTTGAGCCTATCCAAGCTTGAGTAAGTGACACCAACAGGAACGACAAATTAACATACTCGCGGCGAACCGACCCGGCGAAGGGTATCTTCCGAGGGAGTGCCGAGGTAATGAAGAATTTGATTGAGCTGATCAACGTAGCTGGGTTGGTCGGTCAACATAAAAAACCGACAAACAGCGCCGAAACCCACTCTCGGCCTTTGAAAATCGGCTTTCCGCCTAGAAGTTCTGCAAGAATGCACCCAACGGACCAAACGTCGATGGCAGTGGTCTGAGATTGAATAAGACACAGCAAAGTAGCGAAAGAAGAAAAGAACCCACATAATTGGCGAAGCTGAGCCTGTGATAACGTGAGAGATTAGATCGCTTAGATAGTCCGTCTTACATGATTTCGGGGGCACGATACCAACGTGTCGCGACATATTCTGTCATGAAGCCTTGATTGCCAGCAGCCTTGGACGTGCCTCCGCCCGGAGTGTAGCCTCTGGCAAGACCAAAGTCGCAGACTTTGAGCTCGCAGTCGGCATTGACCAGAAGATTGCCAGGCTTAAGGTCACGATGCAAGACGTTGGCACTATGAATGTACTTGAGACCACACAGAGTCTGATAGAGGAATGATTGGAAGTGCGCGTCTGTCAAAGGTTGCCCTGAGCGAATCTGAGCAAAGTCAATGTCGTTTGATTAGCTAGCTGAGCTGGGTCAAGACATACAATCGCATGGAGGTCGGCCTCCATAAGTTCTTCCTGTCAGAGAAGTCAGAGGCAGATGATCAAAAATAGCCGCGACGCACATAAAGGTAGACCTCGTCAAAGTTTCCAGTCGGCTGCAAAACGATGTCCATATCGTACAAGCATGTGATGTTCTGTGCTTGATTAAGCGCGACTACCAGGCGAATGACCCAGTTCAAACCTTGTGTCCACGGAAATGGTGAAGCAGGCTATGGGCATTGAGTATAATGACATCCCCAATGGCGGGAAAGATACCGAATCTCTCTCAAGCAACGTTTAGTAAGAATACGCTATGTGAAGATGTGGGCGATGTCCATGAAAAGGGTTAGGGAACACAACGAACCTTGGTGTTAATGTTTGTGATCTTCTTGATGGCACATCCTTCACCAGAACGACGATGTCTTGCAGCAACGACGCATCCATAAGCACCTTGCCCTAATTCCTTGACAAACTGATAGTCTGCATCCACCACGAAGGTCGAGTTCAACGCTGAAAAGGTGTGGCGTTGCATGATAATTGCTGATCCTCTTTCGATTATAGTCCAACCTCGAAGAGAGAGGATTGGTGGTCGGATGTTAGGATGAGAGGAGGCTGAAAGCAAAAACCCGTTGCCCTGAATTCGTCGATCTGTGACATGCAATCACCAGGAGCCGTTTCCAGCATTTACCCATGTTTCAAGGTTGAGGCAACAGCTCAATTCTCATGTCTGGCATCGTTCCTCCAAATTACTCGAAGTATGAGTAGGATGCGATAACTTAAACTTCCGGAACCTGTGCAAGTTATGTTATGCTAACCTCTTGCCAAGGAAATCGCCTCGTTCAATTGCGGTCCGAGGGTATCGTTTGGCGCGGGCCTTGTATTCTGTGAGCTTGCCGTTTATTTTGCCTTTCTTTGTGCTCAGTGGCTTCGGTTGTTGGGAAATAGGTCCTCCGAACGATCGGACTGACTCAAAAAGCTGCGGTAAATCAGCACAGACTTGGCTGTGTGGAAACACAGCCATTCTCACAGCCGACTCTCCCGTGACGTTTTGATCTCTGCTTGGGCTAGGTGCCATAAAAACGCGGTCTTGGGTGTGGACTGAGACTCCTCTCCCTTCTTCTTTCCTCATGGCCCCTAAATATTTGTGTTGCCTTCCCTTACGATTGGGAGTTCTCATTATCTCCTTCCTCGAATTCCTGTCTAGCGCTCTCGTGTCTGGTGTAATGATTGCACTTCTCATTTTTGACGCTCAAGGTACGCTGCATGCACGCTTCAAATAGTGTTGCACTCACTTGCGTGTTAGACAAGTCCCGCTGGACTGTTGGAGACACAACCGTGGACGTCCAACTGAGCGGAAGATACAAGTACATTGCTCTCGCGATCGCCGTCATCTATGCCTTCGTCGCCATCATCTCGCTCCTGGGGTGCGTGCTACAACCAGTCTTAGTGCTTTTTTAATCCTCCAAATTAGCTTCATTGGTGCTATTCGGAAGAAAGAGTCGATGGTCCGAATATTTTCTACGCTCTGCAAAATAAGCCTCGTCTGCCAAATAGCAGTAACGCTTGCTGCGATCATCTTGTCCATTGTGGACCGGAGTCAGCTCAAGGTGATTTTCCTTTGGTTACTGTCTTGGCAACGCTCATATAGTTCAGAAATTGTGTGTCGGGAGCTCAACGACGCAAGCTGTCATCGACGCCTGCGACAACTTCGCAAACCGAAGGGTTTGGGAGATGATTTTGGGCTCCGTCTTGCCGATATTATTCCAAGCCTGTGCGTTCCACGTTTTTCGTTCACTTCGAATTCATCTCACAAAAACTCAGACGGAGTATATATCATCGCTGCATACGCAAGAAAGCTGCGGTCAGAACAAAATTCCATTCCTGGATATCGCAGTGGGCCTGCCTACGTCAAGGTGCAAGGGGAGGAGGCTCACCCATTAACCCAAAGCGCCTTCCCACCGGCGGGCTACAGCGACGCAAGTCACAAAGTCTAACCACTTTTACCGCATGTTACATGGACTCTATTGTATTCGAACCTATGTGTAGTGCAGAGGTTATAAATTTCTGGGACTAGGTAGTAGCACAGACATTCGATTGACTGCAAACGCGTGTATTCTCACGTGATCGTTCTCTACTTATGTCTCGACTCTCGCGTGCAAACATCAAAGGCAGAGAATCCATCTTCACCGGCGCCGGCTCGGAGCTCTATCGGGGGGACATCCATGCCATTTGTCCCCCCAGTCTCGAAGAATGTGTTGCACTGATGGAAGACTGTTGTGAAGAGGTGTGGCACAGTGCCCTTTTGGATGACCGTCTCCAACCAGTCGCCCAGGCATACGAAGCGGAGGCGTTATTATACTCCGGCTGCAGAGATCTACACCGAATGAACAAAGTCTTACAAGTCAAACGCGTCGGTGGTCTATCTGATTACTCGATCGTTTCTCTCATGCCCAATGGCTCAGCTCTTCCTGCTTCTCCGAGAGGACACAGTGCATCAATACAAGACACAACTTGCGGATGAAGTCGAGCCTCCAATTAACGAACTTATCGAGCTCGCAGAGCAAGGCCTCAAGGCGTTGCAAAAGAAAGAAGCTGTTCTGAAGACCAAGGTTACTTACTGGATTTCATTCGCCACATCTCGATGCTCACTGCAGTATAGGCCGACACCATGCAGTCTAGGACAACGCGTCACACAGCACCCAACGCGCCGGCAGCACAAAAACTCGAAGCCCGACGACTGCAACAGCTAACACGACAGAGGGAGGCGTTGGAGCTTGAGATCGAGGCATTGGAAGCAGAGCTAACGGCGAGTAGACCATTCACGAGGTTGGAGTTTCTGACAAGTCTCTTTAGACGTGATGAGGATTCGCATCAGTTTGTAGATACATCGGGCTTATATCATCACTTGGCCTATATGACCAAAAACTCGCCATACATATTCGGTCGTTCGCCGCGAAGATAACTCTCGAACGTCCGTTTTAACACAGTTGACCAGTCCAAGTCTCGTCGATCTCCGAGGTTCTCGTCCATCGTACTTTGCCCCTGGAAATTCGGTCCCAAATCCGGCCAATTTCGTGCAGGATCGACCTTATTCCACCTAGGTATTCCTTTTAGCCACCTAGAGCACAACTGAACCATGCTTACCAGTTATTATGGAAGTGGTAGGAATATGCACCAGAAAAGAAACCCCGGAAACCCAGAGCTGCCGGAGCCCCACTGTCGACCACGGGAGTTACGAAGAAGTCTTCGAACAGCGTGAAGAAGGGCTGAGGTGGCCTCTCGCGCTGATAGCCTTCCATATTAAGCCATGCACCATCAAACATCGCGTCAGGGAGTCTGGTCAATAGGTGGACAAGTTGACCCTCTTTGAGATATTTGGTGATTTCAAAGGGGTGGAAGTCGAATCCATTCTTGACCGCAGTCCGGATGAGGAAATGGGCTAATGCTGATCCCTTGCGGAGACGAAGAACCGCCGTGTTATACTTATCGTGCCAGCTCCATCTACAGGTATTTAGTTGTCGGAAATGACGAGCTTGTCGATTGACTGACCGGTACGCGTAAGCTCCCTTCCAGTTCCAAAGCTCTTCCCAATCTCGCAGAAACAAGGTGTCAGCATCCACATAGATGCCCCCGTATCTAGCGCCCATGTCAGCGGAAAATATTCATAGCTCGGAAGCCTACTTGTAGCAGAGGATGAATCGAGCCATGTCACTCATGATCACACTAAGCTTGTCGTACAAAGTCGGAGACAAAGATCCGGTGAGATTCGCGTTATGGTCTTGGTCGCCATTTGTGGATAGTATATGGCCGCCACTCTTGAAAATCGTCTTCTTGGAGCGCCATTCGCTGGTCTCTGGAAGGCTGTCGAGCTGCTCCGCCGTATTCCACAGTTTGAAGTGGATTACGTGTTTGAAACGAGGGTGGAGAAACGGCGCCGCCCAGACGTTGGATTTGAGCTCCGCGACTAGATCGCGGGTAGCGGATTCACCAACGGCGGCAGCGGGCCCCAGATTGATCCACACCCAAAGTTGCGGTGGACAATGGTTTGCGTCTACTTCGCCGGCAACGTGAAGCTGGGTGTTTTGTGTGAATAGGAAACTGAGGATTGCGAAGTACGGTTTGTCAGTAAATGGCCCAGTCCAATAAATGTGAAATATTCTAGGGTCCTCCGGGTCACAAACATGGTTTTCGGGAGAATAGCGGAAAAGCGGGGCAAGCGGAGGCAGGGAAATCGGAGGTTCCGAATCAGTATGGCGGCTCTGAGCAAAACCCTCATCAAGGTAGGCTTCGTGTTCACTCCGAATGATGCCCTTCCGTCCAGCAGGCTGAAAGAGACGTTAATGGGGAGTAAGGTGGGACAAAAGATTGGGTAGCGACCGTGAGGCTGTCCAACGACGGGATGTAATTATGTGCTGAGGCCGCGTCTTCTGTAAAAATATATTTGTAGCTCTCCAGATCGCCACGTCTGACGCGATCACCGTTATCAAGGCCACCGGAAACGCGCAAAAACTCCAAGCAGTCGCGGACATACTGTGAGCCATGGATTAGTGACGCTAGCCTGCAGCTCCAGTATACTCACCTTTCCTTCTCCGAAGTCACATTTCTCTATTATGATGTCCAAATCGGCAATAGACCCAGGTATAGGGCGTGGTGGATACGCAACATTTGGGATCGAGGCATGTAAATTGATGTACATGCGTTTAGGCCCTACCCCGCTGGCGGAAGGCTTGAAACGGCTGACTGAGGCAGGATGAGGGGGTACTGCTGGGTTAGTTATAGTCTTAAGACCGAGTTTCGGTGGGGCTAGAGTTGATGAGCTTGTGTGGACGCGACAAATGGACTGATTGTACCCGTTCGATAGCTTGGATGATGTCCGCTCGCAATTTCCCAGAGCCAGACCCTTGCTAAGCTCTCCCGTTTGAAAACAAGCGTTGGACTGTCGGTGCCGGGCCAGCTCTTGTGCTTGCTGGCGAAACGCTTTCCGAGTGCGAATAATGCAAAACCGGCCAGGAGCAAAGTAAGCACGAAAGCCAAGATCCCGCGTTTTCGGCCGAGTCGCGTGTGTATTATTCTAATGTTGGGGAGCCAGAGCTGGAATCGAAAGCGGCCAACCGAGAGTGGAACACGATGCCATGGCTGTTGCTGTTGTCGTTTTCCGTATTTTTCGTCTTTGTCATGGTATTTGGGGAGAGATAGTAGGGGCCTATGGCTGGTGGCAGTTCGCTGCTCACGGTCTCTGAGGTGCGGCATCATGGCATGGTGGTTCAGAAACAACGGGGGGTTTAGAGCCATCAAATTCTGGTTGCTGCGCACCACCAACATGAGCGAGGATTTCTTGCGGCTTGTTTCACAGGCCAATCCAGCGACTCGCCAGCAATACCAACCAGCTAACGACGGTTATCCTCCAGCCAACTCACCTCAATTGCTCGACCCATTCTTCGATGACGATGATGATCTTCCCGACTCTGCCTTTGGGAGGCAAGCCGGACCCATGGATTCACAGGCCAGCGGCCTACCTTTAGCAAGAAATGCGGCACCACCTGCTGGAACAGGTCAGCCTCGGGGTTGGGACGAGGACGAGTTTCGTAACCAACCTTTTGCTGGTTCAAGCACATTCAACGGCACCTCCCCAAAGCCAACGGAAACGAAGCCCACCAAACCGCGGAGGAGATGGAAATGGCCATGGCAGAAGGAGAAGGAGCTCACAGGCGACAGAGTGATAGCACTCAACAACGCGGCCGCCAACGCCGAGTTTTGCTCCAACTTCGTTTCCACCAGCAAATACAATGTTGCATCCTTCATCCCCAAGTTCTTAACAGGTGTGTGGTCTCCTGCTTCACAAGCCGAAAATCTAAATTTTCGCAGAACAATTCTCCAGATACGCCAACCTTTTCTTCCTCTTTACCGCCTGCATCCAACAAATACCGAATGTGTCCCCAACCCAGCGCTACACAACGATAGTACCTCTCGGTGTTGTACTCCTCGCTTCAGCATTCAAGGAGATTCAAGAAGATCTGGTGCGTCTTAGTGTGCTCGATTGAATCCGTAGCTGATGTTTTACCTAGAAACGACACCAATCAGACTCAGAGCTCAATGCGAGACTGGCCAAGGTTCTCGCTTCAGATTCGACGTTCGTGGACAAGAAGTGGCAGGATATCAGTGTTGGGGATGTGGTTCGAATGGAGAGTAACGAGTTTATACCCGCCGACATGGTCGTCCTCAGCTCCAGTGAACCTGAAGGATTATGTTACATTGAAACCGCGAATCTTGACGGGTGTGTCTTTTTGCTTGCCCTCGTTCTTTTCGTTAACTCGCGCCAGTGAAACCAACCTCAAGATTAAACAAGCTTCGACTCACACTTCCTCCCTTGTCGCTCCCTCTCTCGTTAGCTCCTTACGCGGATCCCTTCGAGCGGAACAGCCCAACAACTCACTCTACACGTTCGAGGGCACATTCGACCTTATAACGAATAGCGGTTTGCCTAAACAGGTTCCATTAGGACCAGATCAAGTCCTTTTGCGCGGCGCCCAACTGCGAAACACTTCCTGGGCATATGGCGTAGCGGTATACACTGGCCATGAGACTAAACTTATGCGAAATGCAACGTAAGCTACTCGTCGCTGTTATGTTGACTGCGCTGAATCATTCCAGTGCCGCTCCGATCAAGAGAACCGCCGTCGAGCGTCAGGTCAACTTGCAAATCGTCTTCCTCTTTATATTCCTATTGGCCCTCTCCGTTGGCTCTTCAATCGGGGGAAGCATCCGGTCATGGTTCTTTGCTAGTCAACAATGGTATCTGTTCGAGACAACGTCAATTGGTGGCCGAGGTGCGTGTTAGAATAGCAGTCCACTCTTGTACTAACCCATTTCTCATAGCCAAAAGCTTCATCGAGGGTTTGACCAATCTATTCTTCTTAGAGTTTATTGACTTTGCGGCAGATATCTTGACCTTCATTATTCTTTACAACAATCTAATCCCTATATCGCTCATCGTGACCATGGAGTTCGTCAAGTTCCAACAAGCACGACTAATCAATTCCGATCTGGATATGTACTACGCACGAACGGACACCCCGGCTCTTTGCAGAACCTCTTCTCTCGTCGAAGAGTTGGGTCAAATCGAATATGTCTTCAGCGACAAGACGGGCACGTTGACTTGCAACGAAATGGAATTCAGGTGTTGTAGCATAGCTGGGGTCGCCTACGCCGAGGTTGTCGAGGAAGGCAAACGGGGCGATGGTGAAGAAGGGAAGGATAATGGCTGGAGAACTTTTGCCGAGATGAAGGCGCTGCTTAGCGACAATCCCAATCCATTCGTCGACCCTAGCGCAGCAGGTTCCGCCAATGCGCCAGAAGTCATGGAGCGAGAGGTTGTCAACGACTTTTTGACACTTCTTGCGGTCTGCCACACTGTGATCCCTGAAGTCAAGGACGGGAAGACTGTCTTCCAGGCCAGCAGCCCTGATGAGGCAGCGCTAGTTGCTGGTGCAGAAGTGCTGGGATACCAGTTCCATGTCAGTTGACCATTATCTTTCCAATGCTCCGACTTATTTTCACCGTAGACTCGCAAACCCAAATCCGTTTTCGTGAATATCCAAGGGCAATCACAACAGTTTGATATTCTCAACGTTTGTGAGTTCAATTCGACACGAAAGCGAATGTCTACCGTCGTTCGAATGCCCAATGGCAAGATCAAAATCTACACGAAAGGCGCGGACACTGTCATCTTGGAAAGGCTGAGCAAGAACCAACCGTACACCGAGAAAACATTGGTGCATCTTGAGGTTGGTACTACGTGACCTTGCCCTCCACAGACTAACTTTCCTTTTTAGGACTACGCTACTGAGGGTCTGCGAACGCTGTGTTTGGCGTACAGGGATATTCCAGAGCAAGAATACAGACAATGGTCGGCCATCTATGACCAAGCTGCTGGCACCATCAACGGTCGAGGTGAAGCTCTCGACCGGGCTGCGGAGTTGATCGAAAAAGATCTTTTCTTGCTGGGTGCCACTGCCATTGAAGACAAGCTGCAAGATGGAGTCCCTGATACCATTCATACCCTCCAGATGGCCGGAATCAAGGTATGGACTATGATAGGGCAACTGGACATGTTCTCACCAACGCGCTAGGTCTGGGTTCTAACGGGAGACCGACAAGAAACTGCGATCAACATCGGAATGTCATGCAAACTCATATCAGAGTCGATGAATCTGGTGGGATATGTGATCTTGGATAGGGCTGTGCTGACCATGGACAGGTTGTTGTCAATGAAGAGAATTCGCATGACACCGAGCAGTTTTTGGCCAAGCGACTTTCTGCCATAAAGAGCCAACGGAGTACGGGAGAACTCGAGGATCTAGCTTTAGTGATCGGTGAGAAGCAGTGCTCTTGATTTGTGCCGGAGACTGACGATTAGCTCCAGACGGAAAAAGTCTTGGGTTTGCTCTCGAGAAACCGCTTTCTAAGATCTTTCTGGAGCTTGCCATCATGTGCAAAGCCGTCATCTGCTGTTTGTCTCATTTGTTATCCCCGACATATTTGCTCAGCATATTCAAGGCCGTGTTTCGCCTTTGCAAAAGGCTTTGGTTGTCAAGCTCGTTAAGAAGAACCAGAAAGCGATATTACTTGCCATCGGTGACGGTGCAAACGATGTGAGTATGATCCAAGCCGCACATGTGGGAGTTGGTATCTCGGGAGTGGAGGTAAGTGAAGCCATCATCCATCGGCAGCGGTGACCACAACCTGAACAGGGTCTCCAAGCAGCGCGATCTGCTGATGTGGCAATTTCCCAATTCCGATTCTTGAAGAAACTACTCCTTGTCCATGGTGCTTGGAGCTACCAACGACTGTCCAAGTTGATTCTTTGTGCGCGATCTGACTTGTCCGTATGCTTCTATTGATCCAGACTAGACTCATTTTATAAGAACATCACGCTCTACATGACCCAGTTCTGGTTTGCCTTTTTCAATAATTTCTCTGGACAAATCGCCTACGAATCGTGGACTTTGTCCATGTACAACGTTGTATTCACACTGCTGCCTCCACTTGTCATCGGTATTTTCGACCAATTCGTGTCAGCGCGGATTTTGGATCGTTACCCGCAACTCTACATGCTTGGCCAGAAGAACATCTTCTTTACGACCACCGCCTTCTGGATGTGGGTTGGTAACGCATTGTACCACAGCCTGGTCAGTTATAACCTCGAGTATGTCGAATAATGTTAACACAGTGCGGATAGGTATTGTTCGCATTCTCCGTCGTCCTATTCTGGGGAGACCTGAAGCAAGCCACTGGTCTGGATTCGGGCCATTGGTATTGGGGGACCATGCTTTATCTCGCGGTGCTCCTCACAGTGCTAGGCAAGGCGGCATTAATATCAGAGTAAGTGGTTGTTCCATCGCTTCAATTCTGTTAATCATGTTCTAGTTTATGGACAAAATATACGGCAGCCGGTAAGTCTATTGAAGTTGCCTCTCTGTTTGAAAGGTTTTTGACTTAATGCAGCCATCCCTGGCTCCTTCATTTTCGCCATGCTCTTCCTCCCGTTATACGCCCTCGTTACGCCCCTTCTTGGGTTTTCACAAGAATACTCGGGTTTGGTGCCACGTTTATGGACAGATTCGATATTCTACCTCGTCCTTCTTTTCATTCCTATATTCTGTCTTGTCCGCGATTTCGGCTGGAAATAGTGAGTTTCTCACGATCGGCAAAGGATGTTTTTGGTGACATGTTCTTCTAGCTACCGACGGACGTATATGCCCTCGTCATACCATATTGCGCAAGAGCTGCAGAAGTACAACATTCCTGACTACAGGCCTCGACAGGAGCAGTGAGTAGATCAGCATGCTCTTTGACCGGGAGAAACTGACCATCCAACCCTAGATTCCAAAAGGCGATCAAGAAGGTTCGTGCGGTCCAACGAATGCGCCGTAATCGTGGCTTTGCCTTCAGCCAAACAGAGGATGGTGGAAAGCAGGACCAAGCAAAATTGATTCGGTCAGTCGTTTTATGGAACGATCTGAGTGGAGTGTTGACTCAATCTTGACTTAGGGCGTACGACACATCAAAAGGCAATTCCAAGCCTTCAGGATATTAGATGGACTATGTATTTGTACTCATTATCTTATTGCTTTTCTAGTCCCGCACTCTTTCCTGACCTTAACCCTTACTGCCTGTTATTACGCGCTCCCGCGGGAAGACTGCAGTTAAAGGCAGCGGAACACAGCTCATAAGCTGATGGGTTGATCAAAGGTGAAACTCAAGGGGTGAGTTTTGGCCTGAAGAAAGGTGAACAGCCAGCATTGTGCTGGCGTCGTTGTCAAGATGAGTGGTCGAGGCGGGATAAGATGGCCGATATTGAAAAGATCGGCCTACCGAGAGTTGGCGAGAGCTGGATGTGTGTGTGACGCTGTGTGTGACAGGTAATCACCACTGATATAACAACACCGTTGCGACGCGAGCGAGACGTCTGTTTCCCGTTGCCGTACCCTCTCTTCGTTAGTACCACCACGAGACTGTGTCTCTTACTTTCCTTTCATTCTTCTTCTAGACCTTTCTCCACCCCGCTCTTTCACTCCTCCTTTGCGTCGGGAACGCCATGTCTCTCAAAGCCGAACTCGAAACCTGGGCCGCAGCCCTCGAGGCTTACGACAAAGAAGACTTTGAGAAGTCTCTCGATCTCTTCTCTGTCAGTAGTTGCCTTATTATTCATTGCCGCTGCTCACCCCGATCTAGCGCATCGCCGACTCGTCCAAAATTCTTACTAATATGGGGCTCATTTACGCGACCTTGGGAGAACACGAAGCAGCCGTAGAGCGGTTCATTGAGGCGACACAGCTTGACAGCTATCTGGCCGTTGCGTGCGTTGGAGCGAGTTCATCGTTTCCGGGTTGCCATCTGACGTTGCCTAGCTATTTCCAGTGCGGCGTATCCAACTTCCTCCTAGCTCGATATGAGCTGGCGTACAAGGACTTTGAGGAGGCGCTGTTATATCTCAGAGGCAACCAGGCAATGTGCGTCTTTGTCTACTCTCCTTTACTATTGTCTGCTCACTTTGTTCCCAAAACAGCAACTATGAGCAGCTGGGCCTCAAGTTCCGGCTCTTCTCTGCTGAGGTCCTGTTTAACCAGGGCCTCGCACTAATTTACATGGGTCGTCTCGACGAAGGGTTGACCGACATGGAGGAGGCCCGACGAGTCAAGGCAACTGACGAGCATAACGTTATCGATGATGCGATTGCTGACCGCGGTGAGGGCTATACGGTATTCAGCATTGTGCGTGGATGCTCTCCCGTCTGTTCTCGTTCTAATGTCCTTGTAGCCCGTCGGGGTTCTATATCGGCCGTCCGAGAAGAAACTTGTCAATGCCAAGACCAAAGACTACATGGGCAAAGCGGTCCGTCATACCCTGAGATCAACATGCATTCGAGCCCTGATCATTCATTTGTAGAAACTCATTGCCGCAAGCGATGCTCGGGACATGACTGTTGGTTTCAGTGGCAGCGACCGTTTGAATCAGGGAATCACACCATCTGGTGTCTACGCCGATAATGAAGCAGGTGCGCTGGCACGCAGCAACACTCGCTTGCCCACCCGTAAGCTTTATTATGTTCATCTTCACGATCTCAACGTTGCCTAGGTGCGAATGATGATGGTCCCCCGGCTCCTCTTGCTCGCGCGAAGACAACATTAAGCGTCCCGAGCAATGCACGTGAGGTCACTTCTCCCGGAGGCTCTGATCCACCAGCAAGATCTCCTTCGTCGGCTACCGGTGGAGGACTGGGTGGTCCAGCGAGAAGCAATACTGTTCTCAACAGACCTACTGGTGGTGGAATGGGCGGACCTGTTCGTGGACTTAGCGTCAAGCGTGGTGGATCTCCTCCCGGTGGTGCTAACAAACCTCTTCCCCCTGCCAACAACAACCGTGATCCACCTCCTGGCAAAGGCCAGGCAGCCAGCCGTCTCACGGAAATATATGACGATTATCTCGATGCCTACACCGACGAACCACCACCCCCTCTCCCCAACCAAGCCCCTCAGGAAGGCCGTGTTGCGGCATGGGCTCGGACTAATGCAAACCCACCGCCTTCCGCTGGGCCACCCAGTGCATTTGTCCAGCGATCGGGAACTCGCAGTGCCCCAGGCAGCAGTTATGCGCCAAGCTCTTATGGTGGCGGGTCTGTCAGGCGTCGCGTGACCCGGCGTGCGACTTCCCGACGTGCGCAAAGCACCTATGAAGAAGAAGAAGAGGGCTATGCGAGCGGGGACGACTTTGACGGCCCCTATGAGCTGATAAAGATCCGCGTTAAGCTGCATTACGACGACGATGTCCGTGGAATGGCGCTGACGCCAGAAACGCCGTTTGAGGAGTTTATGGACAAGGTGACGGCTAAGTTTGGCAAGGACATCAATGGCCTGTCGCTCAAGTTCAGGGATGAGGACGGCGGCAAGGTGTCCCTCCGTGACGAGTCAGACTACGAGCTTGCCATCGAGACTGCCCGAGAAAGCTCCAAGGGCAAACCCGAGGGAAAACTCGAGATTTGGTGCATGGACGCATAACCCCCATCCGTTCATCTTCCCTCCGTGCTTGCCCACTTCGGCTATTACTATTCTGACGTCTCTTATTTCCTCCATTGGATTTCACGACATACACAGGCCCCCATTGCTCTCTATCTTAGTCCAATCTACTCGGTCTCCATCCCCCCCACTTAGCGCTATGTAATAAAGTATTCTGGGTCAGTTGGCGATACCCGAGTCTGCGTGTACCACAAGCTGTATAGTATATACTGGCACCAGCGGTTTGAATAGATGTTTTTTTTTCGAGGGAAAGGGATTCGGAGCTTTAATCAAACCTTACGTAACAATGATGCCCCTAAGTAAGTAATCAAAACCTATTCAAGACCAGTCCTTGCTTTGGCTAAACAAACAATACAACTACTATGGCCCTCCGCATTAAAAAGATTCCATTTCCTGCACTTGGGTCATTCGCTGTCTTCACCATGGATCCCGTTCTTTCTCTTGACCCCGAACTCCGTGACGACCCCGAAGCAGTCAAAGCCTGCAAGCAACTCAAGGTTGGTAGATATGTTGGCCTTGTGAACCAGGTCCGTCGCTATTCTCTTTGGCCACCTCAACGTCTCTTAATTGACTTGCTCATCAGCGGTCAGGGCTTTACAACCCGTGGACGCCATACAACGCATGCCAGTTTTACTTCTTGCTGCAGGGGTTGCCTGAAGCGCAGCCCTACGGATTTGATGCCTCCATGTCCATTCCCGTGGCACCGATGACAATAGAGAACCACCCATCTGGCCGGGCGCCACTGCAGCCCTCAAAACCCTTGCCGTGGAAAGACTGTTATCTGTCTGGTGCTTGGCACCACGAGCTGCGTAGCCAATCGGTGTACGAGCCTAAAGAGTGGATTCATAAGATCGGGTATATCCTGCCTGTTGAGGATGTGGGCAAGCAGCGATTCTATACGCTCATGGACGACATGCGCTCGGACAAGATGCGCGATATGGTAATCGAGCCATACGAGGGGCCGGACCTTGATATCGACGAGGAGCCGCTTGCAGACCCTTTGAGCGACACAGCAGAAATATGGGTGCCTTCGTGCGAGAGTATGTTTCCAGATCACGGGTTGTCGGTGTCCATGATTACTGGCACGTTCTCGCAAGACCTCTCGACCGTAAAAGAGTTGGCCCACCCGTCCAGCTTCTACGATGAGGTCAAGGCTTTGTCTCGGTTCGCAAGTTCTGTGTTTATCGACTTGACGTTCTGACCCCACCTAGGATTATGGACCAGGCGCGTCACCACGCCACTGCGACGACACAGAGAAAAGATTCAGACAATATGCCAGGTAAAACTTGAAACTGTGCAACATTAAATCCGAGTGTTTGTCTTCAGCAGACAGTGAAATCGGTGTGTTGGGTTTGATAGAGCAGTTCCGCCTACAAAAAAGATACTCGTAGTTTGTCCAAGCTACGGGATTTAGATGTACGAGGCTACTATGAGCGTTGGAGCTGGATTCGTCAGGCTTTGTCAGCACACGTGACAGCAGACTGAGTCAGAGTGCGCCCACACTGTTCAATGTGACACTCATGGATGTCCCGACCAAGCGGATCCCCTTTCCTGCAGTCGGCGCCTTCGCCGTTTTCACTATGGACCCCATCCTTTCTCTTGACCCCGACCTCCGAAACAACCCTGAAGCAATCGAAGCTTGTGCACAACTCAAGGTTGGTAACTATGTTGGTCTCGTAAACGATGTTCGTCTTCGTTCTCAAATATATGCCTGGATGTTTCATAACCATATACTACTTAGCGGTCGGGGCTTTTCAACCCTCTTGCGCCATACAACGCGTGTTTTTTCGACTTTTTGCTTCATGGCTCCCCGACCACCCAACCCCACGGTTTCGACCCCTCCATGTCCATTCCCATTGCTCCCATGTCATTAGAAAATCATCCGTCTGGTCGCGCGCCGCTGCAGCCCTCAAAACCCCTACCCTGGAAGGACTGCTATCTTTCTGGCGCCTGGACTCACAAGCTGCGTAGCAAAACGATGTACGAGCCCGAAGAGCAAACCGAGAAGATGGGTCATCTTCTGTCGATTAAGGATCAGGCCAAGCAGAAATTCTATATAACCAAAGACGAAGAACGGTCGACCAGGGTTCCGAACGTGCCAGTGGTAGTCGCTGAAGATATTGACGAGGAACATTGTGCAGACGACTCGAGCGAGGACTCGGGGGAAATTTGGCTTCCCTCGTTCGAGACTGTGTTCCCAGATCACAGCTTGTCGGTGTCGATGATCACCAGCAGCTTCTCGCAGGACCTCTCGACCGTGAAGGAGCTCGCCCACCCGTCCGGTTTCTATCAGGAATTGGAGGCCTTGTCTCGGTTCGCTACCTTTTTTTCTTTTTCTTTCCTAGGATGACCTGATTTCACCAAGGATCATGGACCAGGCGCGTCACGTATGATTGGATGGTGTTGAGGCAAAGATAAAACAGGAAAAGTGGACAAGTTTTGCACGAATAAGAGAAGCGCCAGTACTTTGAGCTATCCATACAAATAGCTGATGACCGGAGAAAACGACTGAGGTGTCGAGCCACGAAGATTCGTGAAAAGTAAAGTAGAAATGACGGGCCAGTCGGGATTTCGAATTCGGCGAGCATTAACGAGGAGGGCATCTCTTCGTAGAAAACTGTTTTACTGGATATAATCCACAAGAAGGATAGACGTACAAGGTAAAAAGGACAAACAACAGTCTTCAACATTCCAATTCTTCGGACCCAGTCCAGCTGGCCCAGCAGGCGAAGTCATTTCTGAGTTGTCCGTGCAACACCTTGATTTTCGTGCGCCGCAGTGGGCCCAATGGCGGCTCATTATATAGTCGTTCTAAAACGGACTCGACAGAGGTGGCAGTAAGCACAACAAGCTTGGCTGAAGGCCGTAAAATGTGCTTCAGAGTTGCCACTACGCGTTCATTAGTATACTGTGAAGGATGAGCAAGCTGTTGATAGATATCAGAAGACGACAAATGCCTCGTTAATAAAGGGAGGGTCGCATATCGCAATGTCGAAAGAATTGGCGAGGTGATCAGGTAAGGCGAGCGGCTCTTCCATGTCGTAGCGAATGTAATGTTTCGGAGCCAGAGCTTCGAATCGGCCATCCACCTCGAGGAGACGAGCACCATCAAGAGGTTTATGATGTTGGAAGGCGACGAAAGCGGTGGGACAACAGAGAAACGCAATAGACGTGTCTGGGTTGCATAATTTGTGGACCAGAGCGGCGAAACGTTCTGCGAAATCGGTTGTATACCTGGATCTCTGATAATCGGCCACAAGTAAAAAAAAAAAGTGGATCTAGACCATACCAGAATTGACTTAGTTGCCAATCTTCAGCGAAAGTGCTCCGATACTCGTCCACTGATGGGAATTTCGTTGGCGCGTTGTCTGAGTCCACGCGGTTCGCCTCGGCAAAGTCGTTGAATCGTTGTTCCTGCTCGGTTTTAGACGTGATGAACTCGTTTAGAAGAGACAGGGTGCCGGGATCGAGGGCAAGCGGTGGCGATTCAGAGCGGTCTGACATCGATATTTTGTGCACACCGAGCAGCTGTTGGTTGACGTGAGCCGATGGAGTGACTTGTGTCACGGTCACGTTTCAGCAGCTTGGCCAGGGCGGATCAAGGGCACCGACTCGCCAGTATTTTGCCTTATCGTAGATCCGAGAATGGCTGGTGCTCCTCATGCTCAGACTACCACGACCACGACTACGCTCGACCAACCCTCTTGGCTTGCGCTATGCCAGTGGGTCGACATACTCACCTCGTCGTAAACTTGTTCTCGCCACTGGGGGAGTTGCTTTGGGTGTTGCAGCGACTCTAGGCTTCGGATCTAAACTTTACCTCGACGCTGCTACTGTTGCGATACCAGCTCCTCCTCGACGCGCCACGGAAGACGCTGACAAACCCTCCTTTGGAACGTTGTTGAGGACCTATGTGGTGTACACCATGTGCTCCATTCCCAAACTCGTAGACTCTGCCCCGTGGCTATTAGAGACATGTACAAGCATACCAGGGCTTAGATGGGCTACTGAGGCACTCGTACGAGCCACATTTTTCAATCAGGTGTGTGACCTTGTCTGTCTGTCCAACTCTTTCTTATCGCTATGAAGTTCGTGGGGGGTGATTCCGCCCTTGAGACTCTCCCGGTCCTCAAGGCCCTACGACAGAACAACATCGGGACACTGTTTGCTTACTCCATTGAAGTCGATGAGGCGGAGGCGATGTCAACAGCCGGCTCCGGCTCTTCCCCAACGAGTCCCCACCAGGCTATAGTGAATGAGATGCTTAATTGCATTGATGTTGCAGCCGAATTTGAGGCTCAGATGGGTGCGAGAAAGACGGGAAGACGAACATGGGTTGCCGTCAAGATGGCAAGTTATTTTTGCACTATTCGCACTAGTCCTCAGTTTCCTACCAGACAGCATTGCTCCCCGATGCCAGTGCCCTTATTCGTCTCTCCTCTCACATAATCGCCACTCGCAGCCCAACACCATCACCTCTTGTCGTCTTTCCAGGAAATCCTACCGCATCTGATTTAGACCTGCTCTATTCTCCCAAATCACCCAAAGGACAACTTTCCGATAACGACCTCGAGATGCTTCGGGAACTACATCAGAACCTGGAAGCTATTTGTGCCCGTGCTGCTGCTAAAGGGGTCCGAATCATTCTTGATGCCGAGTATTCATGGTATGAGCCCGCGATTGATGCACTTTCCCTTGCTTTGATGAGGCGCTTCAATGCCGGGCCGGATGGGCCATTAGTCTATGCAACATATCAGGCCTATCTTCGACGCACTCATGCTCATCTCGTCCATGCCTTGCGTGATGCCAAAAAGCACGGCTATGCTCTCGGCGCAAAACTTGTTCGTGGTGCCTATCATCCCCATGAGATGGCAGCCCACGGGACAAGCGCTCTATCTATCTCACCAGACTCGCTACCTCCAGTATGGGACGCAAAAGCCGACACTGATGCCAACTACAACGCTTGTACCGAGCTTTTGCTTGATGCTGTTGACGCAGATGTGACTCGCAATAGCCATACTGTCGGTGCTCTGTTTGGCACACATAATTGGACAAGCAGCAATAAGATTCTGGCAGGGTTGGAGCAGCGTGGACTCGGTAATAAGACTTCTGACGGGAGATTAAGAGTAGAGGAACGTGTAGGCGAACGCGTTACGTTTGGTCAACTTTACGGTGAGATGCAGAATAATCATATCCAGGTTGTAGCTGACTGGATTCCAGGAATGTGCGATGATTTGACGCAGTATCTTTCGCAAAAGATAGACTCGTCTGCACCTATGGTGATTAAGTGCGTTCCAAGTAACTCTTTGCTACTGTTTCTCACTATGAATCAGATATGTTCCTTATGGTGCTCTAGTCGATGTAAGCCTCTTTGTCTGGGAGGGGTACTGCTGCTAAACTTTTCTAGGTGATGCCATACTTGAGTCGCCGTGCCATAGAGAACAAGAGTGTTCTGGGAGATGATAATGCGCAGAAAGAACGTCGTAGAGCATGGAGATTAATGGTTCAGCGGATTTTTGGATAGTTTACATCAAATTTGGGGTTTTTGGTTGTGTGTGACACATCGCGTGACAACAAAGTCAAGACCCTGCCCTCCTCGTCCATGGCTTCCCTCCTCGAGCGCATGAATGTCCCTGTCGGTGGGCTGGGCCCGGTGAGAACCAAATCGGGTCAGGGAAACAACAGAAAGTCGTCGCCATACGTGAGTTTCTAACAGCTACCCCCGCTACTGTGGCCAATGAAAAATGCTGTAGAACCGACCACCGAAAGGCGATACCGATTCTGCCTGGTCTCATGACATGTTCGAGCAGCACAACTCGCTCTCTGCCCGCCTGAATATCTCGCCAACCGCCCCCAAAGCCAACCTGTCCAACAACAACATGCTTGGAAAAGCCCTTCAGGCCGCGACGGGCTCTGGTTTGTCTATCAAAGGCGCCGGCACGGCTTCGCAGGGGAACGTTGTCGAGGTATCGGGACTCGTGACCGGCACGACTTCAGACGACGTCGTTGCTATTTTCAAGCGCTGTGGGGAGATTGTCAAAGCCGCGTCCCTGCCTGGCAAGGAAGTGACAATTCGCGTAACTTTCAAGAACCCTTCTGGGGCTTCGGCTGCGGTGCAAAAGTTCCACAACCAACCAGCAGATGGGAAGACACTTTCGGTACGCATTGTTGGTTCTAATTCGACAAGCTTGGGTGGTCGATTGGGCGGGCCAGACGGGCTTGGTTTAGTGCGTGAAGAGGGGAGTGTTGATGTTCTCATGGAGTCTGCTGAAAGCGGGTCGTAAGTGTCTCATTGTTTTTTCCTCCGTTTGTCGTTGATAGTTCAAGCAGTAAAATGCGGTCTGACTCGTTGACGGCTGATCCACGTGCTCAAGTTCTCGTTGCGCCGCCAGGTGCCAATCCTAAGGACTATGTACAGGCGCCTGGTGGTCGTGGTGGCTTCGCGCGAGGTGGTCGTGGTCGTAACAGAGGTAACCGTCACAAAGGCGGCAAGCGCGGCGGGAAGATGGACGTCGACTGAGCTGCGTTTCATGACCGAAGACCTCTCGATTCGATCTCTCATATGCTATACTGGTCTGACAGATATTTGTGTTCGGTCTGTGGCTTTCGAATAGTGCTTCAGTTGACTGACTTTATTGCAGCTTACGCCTCGACATTTGTAAAATGTATTCTAATGCATCGCCCCTCTTCACTTGAGCGCGTCAAGCATTTAATTTAACACTCTTATCTGCAGAACCAATGGTGAGCATGTCTTTGTAATAGGGCCTTACCAAATTTGACCATGATACAGTGAGAATATTGCGATTCATTGAGCTTTATCTAGCTGGGTCTTGGCGCGTCGAAGCAAGCTTCGCCACAGTTGCATCCTTATTAGCTTTCTGTAGTGTAGTGTCTTGTCGTAGAACACGATTACAGTGACAAAAATGTGACTGGTGACGCATTCGAGTTTGCTCCCTTCTCCAGCTCACCGAGCCACCTATACGAATACCATTCAACGACAACGATGAGCGGCGCAGGTGCGTTGAACTAGATATAACCTTCTTGACCGACCTACCAACACGTCGTCCTAGGTTGGCTGTTTTTGTTTGCGGTCCTTATGGCTGCAGGGCTGTTATTCTGCATGGTCTTCTTTGTCCGTCCTACAACTCCTTTTTTTCCTCGCCAAACTCAATAAGACTCCAGATTATCATGTTCTCTGACCTCGAATGCGACTACATCAACCCGATAGACTTGTGCAATAAGCTGAATCAGGTGTGTCCTGCAGACGGCTACGTGCGCGTCTTTTCTGACTCTGCTTACGCAGTTTGTCCTGCCTGAAAACATCGCTCACGCCTTCCTCGCCACGTTATTCCTGTTATCTGGCCAATGGACAGCCCTCCTACTCAATGCTCCCCTTGTCGTCTTCAATCTCAATAAGTGAGCCTTTCACCACCTGTTGAAGAGAGCCCTGTTGACCCACGCTTAGGATACGAAACAAAAACCACATGTATGACGCGACGGAAATCTTCCGGACGCTTCCTGGGCACAAGAAGGAGAGCTTCATCAAGCTTGGGTTCTACCTACTCTCCTTCTTCTATTACCTCTATCGGTGCGTTGTCTAGACTCTGTTCTCTCCGAGCTGACGTGTACACTTGCAGCATGATTGTTGCCCTGATTGCGGAGAGCGAGTAGAGGGCCTTTTTGACGAAATACATCCGCTTTTTTCTGCAACTGCGCGTCTGCCGCGTGTAGGATAGTTAGAGCGTGAATGAGTTGTTCAGAAATCTTTCTGTTTCCGTTATCTAGGCTGTGACGAATATAATGGACTGTCTGGATTGATAGAAAGGAAAGGCATTCCAAGTCTCAGTACTTCTAAGCAAGTACAATGAAAAGAATGGTTACTCCAGTGGACGACAACTACGAGGGGACGTCCAGTTCGGACCACGTCTGGAATGATAGCAAAGAAATGCATTCATATGGCCGACAACAAGTACACGGTAAAAATGTTTGAACCACCGACCCATCCTCGTTCCAGTCGACACGAAACGACGACAATGGGTGCTGAGACGTCCAGTTATTCGGGGCACGACCTGACACTCGAACAGCCGCGTTGCAAGCGCAGCTATGAGCAACATTGGGAAACTGTGGTGGTCGTGTCGCCGCACGAAGAAACGAAAAATTGCTTTCGCGGGATTTATAGAGAGTGATGGGATCAATTTGATTAACACGATCACGGCCGTTTCGGCTTGGCCAAGAATCTGTATCATAATCTTGCGTCTGACTCTTTTATAGCGCTCACCTGCACCAAAAACCATATGGCGCAGTATCGATAAACCTCTGTTTGCTTCCGACCACCCATGTCGCTCTTTCTCTGTGTCGACTGCGGGGGCAGCAAGACGAATGCTGTTATATGCGACGCCAAAGGCAACATCGTCGGTCGCGCGCTGGGTGGACCGTCTAATGCATCGTATCTGAGTGTTAAGGACTTCACCTCCGCCATTCGTATGACAGTCAGCGATGCACTCAAGACGACTACCAGCCCACCCTCCATCGAGCCTGTTCCCCTTCCCCCTGTTGGCGACACACCATTCGCCGCTGCCTGGTTTGGCGTTTCAGGACTCGATTCACCTATGGCCGTTGCTGAGGTCATCCCTATCCTCTCCAACCTCCTGGGTATTCCAGCCGGGCCCAGACTATCAGTTGCAAACGACACAATTCTCCTCGCCGCCCCGGTCCGCCTTCACCCTGATATCAAGCATGCAGTGGGTGTTATCTGCGGAACTGGGTCTATTGCCGTTTCATTTGAGGAAACGGAGACAGGCTTTAACGAATTAGGCCGTGTTGGCGGCTGGGGCTGGATTCTGGGTGATGAAGGTGGCGGATTCCATGTTGGGCGAGAAGCCATTCGTCAGATGGTCGCTGAAACGGACGCGGCGTCTGTCACCGGCGCGCCACCACCAGAGAGTGTGATGACCAAGCTTATCCTGGGGCGATTTGGGTTGGACTCTGTGTTGGACATCCTTGGCGCTGTCCACGTCCCTGACCCCAACCCGTCCGTTATCAACCCGCAGCATCTCCCCCAATTCACTATGCTCCGCGAGAAACGGCTTTCGTCGCTTGCTCCTTTGGTCTTCACTGCCGCATTTGAGCACGACGATCAGCTCGCTTTGCGCGTTCTCAAGACCACATCGAGTATATTCGCTGCCCAGATTGCGACTATCTTGGGTGACAAGGACGAAAAACGACCAAAACTCGTCAAAGCGCAGGATGCGGTTCTTTCCCTGGGAGGATCTTTGGTGGGAATCGAGGCATACAGAAATCTTCTGCTTGAAGCACTTGCAGCCAAGGGCCATGTCTTTCGCTATGTCGAGTTTGTCGATGACGCTGCAGCAACCGGGGCAGTAGGTCTCGCAAGTTCTTTCAAGGGGCAGTAGTTGTTTTACCAGTACTTTGCTTTCGTTAGGTGCCAGTGTCAATTGGGTGTAAATAAAGACACTTTCACTTGATTGTTTTGCTTCTTCTAGAGTTGTTCATAGCGTCGGCTTTCTGCCGAAGGTGAACACGTGTTTCGGCCGTAAAACCCGACAGACAGATCTAATCGAGTCATCATCGACGCTTCATCTCCCACAGTTTGCTGCCTCGCCCAATGAGTGTGCTTTGCCCTCAATCCCTTCTATCTCATGTTAAATCGTGCCCTAGACGCCGATGCGCTCGATGGCCGATTACTCTTCGCCATTCCCAAAAAAGGTCGGTCTGATGGACTTTCTTCTTGTCTTCTGCCCTCATCACACCATCGCGAAGGTCGCTTGCACGAGAAATGCTTGAGCATATTGTCTGGTTTGTTGGCCAATACTAATTTTGCGAGAACTCAATGTGTCGTAGGCGCCGATATTCAGTTCAGGAAACATAACCGCCTGGACGTGTGTTTGGTCCAAAACCACAACATCGCTCTGTGGGTTTGTTTCCTTTACTGTTACCTCCCCCCTCAACAACCCCAGCGTATTCCTCCCTGCCTCAGATATTCCCTCCTTTGTAGGAAAAGGCAATGTCGATCTCGGAATAACTGGCCACGACGTGATTCTTGAATCGCAGATGCAGCAACATGTCACCGAGGTCCTCAGACTTGGATTCGGCAAATGCGCACTACAGGTCCAGGTCCCCGAATCAAGCAACATCAAAACAGCGCAGGACCTGGTCGGGAAACGAGTCGTCACGAGCTTCGAGGTGCTTGCGGGCGAATACTTTGGCAAACTTGACGCGGAGACGAACCTGGGGCAAAAGACGCAGATCGAGTATGTTGGCGGGAGTGTTGAGGCGGCGTGTGCCCTTGGACTGGCAGACGGAATCGGTAAGCAGCCCGTTAGCCTTGTTTATTGCTCTTATTGGGTAGTCGACCTTGTTGAATCTGGCGATACCATGCGTGCCGCCGGTTTGCATGCTATCGCGACGTTGCTAGAGACCGAGGCGGTCCTCATCAAGTCAACCGCCCAAAAACACCCAGTTCATGCACCTCTCATCGAGCTGGTGACCGCCCGGATCGCTGGTGTCGTTGCGGCAGCCAAGTATGTCGTCTGTCAGTACAACATCAGGCGCGAACAGCTCCCCGAGGCGGCCCTCATAACACCTGGAAGGAGAGCACCAACAATCAGTCCGTTGGAGGAAAGTGGGTGGGTCGGTGTGAGTGTGATGGTCGAGAAAAAGAAACTCGCTGGGGTGATGGACCAGCTTGTTAAAGTCGGCGCGGAAGACATTCTGACATTTAACCTGGACAACTGTAGAGTCTAGACCTCCAAAACATATCCTCCCTTGGCCATCTTCCATCCCAGCCACTCGTATGTCCACCCGAATACCCCTCCGTAGTCGGCGTGGAAAGGAACCAAAGAACGGTGCATGCCGGGTTGTCGGTGAAGAGTGTTCAATGCGTGCATATCTTGGTCGGAGAGTTGAAGTAACTGTGCCGAATCAGCACTAGCTTCCTTTCAAAACGAAACGACTCACGGTAATGTTGGCTATCATACGACCCTCATTCTCACTCTTGGGGAGCACAACTGTTCCACGCTGGACAGCCCACGATAAGATAATCTGGGCCCAAGTCACGTGGTACTTGTCGGCAAGTCCAGCAATGAGAGGCTGTTCAGCAAAAAACGTCTGGGAGCGGCCCAGGGGGGAATATGCTGAAAGTAAAATACCCTTGGCTTCGCAATAGCTCTTCAGGTCGTCCTGCGGAAGACACGGGTGCAGCTCAACTTGGTTGGTAGCGGGCACAACCGAGCAATGCGGCAGCAGTTCCTCCAGCGTCTTGATTGAGAAATTGCTCACTCCGATTGACTTGACGCGGCCTTGTTCCCTGTCACCACACAGAAACAGTAGTTTCTTCTTCCTCTCACCTGTTGCCATTAGCTTTTCCATTTCTTTGTAGGTCTCGACAAACGTCGGATGCGCGTCTGGCGGAAGGGCCATTTTGGGTGCGTTTATCTGACTGAAATCCACATCTAATGGGAGCCGAGAAGTTGCTGCTCCTGATAGTGGTGCATGGTCTTACCTCCAGTGGAAGCTTGCGGCCAATGAAGAAGGTACAGGTCGATCCACTCGAGATTGAGTCGCTCGAACGATTCTTCAAAGGCCTCTTGCACTCGATGGTGGTCCCCGTTCCTGTCCAGGGTCAGACTATGCCCAAACGAAGCTGTGGTTGACACGCACGCGAGCTTGGTGGTCACGTAGAACTCGCTGCGGGCGATGCCAGAATCGCGGATGGCCTCTCCGACTTGCTTTTCGTTCCCTGCAAGCGCCGGTTTATGAGATGGTCCGCAACGGAAATCATCTTACCATATCCCGTCGCCTGTTGTCCAGGAGCTTACAATGGTGCTCATTGAACAAACAAATGGACGAACGGTGTCGAAATGGCGATACCCAGCCTATTTGGCGGTGTTTGCAGCATAGCCTGGATGCAACGGCGCACAAACCTGAATGGCTTTCTGGACCATGCTGTACACTTGCTTTTCCGTGAAATCGTTCGAGCCCATGTAGCAACTGCCAGTACATAAACCGATTGAGACTCAGACGGAGTGCAGACATCACAACCGACCCAAGGCCAACGGAGGGGATTTCCGTTCCATTGTTGAGTTTGAAAGCATGCAGTTGCCCAGAAGTCATGGCGGTTTCCCCCAAGAATCGTTGCTCATCGTCAGGTGATGGTTGGAAGCGGAGGGAGTGGACCGTGAGAAACCTATAAACACATTCGCTTCACAATTCAAGGATAGCTACAAATTTATATGGAAAACATACGATTCTCTCTACTGCGAAATAGCTACAATGAGTCAGAAACCCAAAGGAAGAAGGAACATGCTATAGTACACTGCGACGGTGGCGAAAACTTGGGTCGTGATAGTACAGATTTGGATTGTGGATGCACAGGAAACTCTAGTCGGCGAATGGTGGCTCTGTGGAGGTGAGACCGAGACGGCCTTTTTCTAAACGAGCGACATAGCCAGCGATGGGTTCTGATTCGAAATTGTTGATAGCGTATTCAGAATGAATAACGCGGCGGGCATTGATCTTGTCCAGAACCAGTTTAGTCTCGGCTACCTCTGAGGCAGAGCGGTCGCGCTTAGTGAGGGCTCTGCGAACTGGAGGCGGGGTGGACTTGACTGGGTTATGGTCATGCAACGCGTTTTCGATAACGAGCGGATCGACATATGGTCCAGTCACATCGAGCAGTTCCTGGGTGACATGAGGTTGGGCAGCAACACGAGCGTGGTCCTCAGGAGTCGTGGAACCGAACAACTTGACACAAAAATCCAACGACTTCTGCAGCTCATTCTCCGATAAACGTTTCCCCATATCTGATGCTCCTTGGATAACTGAACACAGTTAATAAGGCTTTTTATGACTGACAAAACGTACCGGGGCGGAGATACGCAAAAGCCCGGTCGAAATTGTCTTCATCGACATCACACAAAACTCCATCAGTCTGAGCTCGAATCTGTTTGTAAGCGCTGAGCACGACGACTTGAAATCTAGGTGACATCAGCAGAGTTCGGGGTGGCCAGGCTTATAGTACCGTGTGTAGCTGGTGGAGACACGCTTCGTGTGCCAGTCGGCTGCAACCACTTCAGTGCAATCGCCACGGAGAGATGCGCATATAGTAGCTGCTGCGGAAAGGCCCGACGTCATGGCAAGGTGTACGCCAGAGGAGAAGAATGGGTCGATCTAATAAACTTAGACATGACCTATTCCCCACAAAGAGATGACCAACGAAGGCTAAGAAATATCGTTAACGCGGCGCAGAAAGTAGCAAAGTTTTGTAGCAACCTCCCGCGTCCCCAATAATGCGATACCCAGGACCAGCATAGGACGGCGCCGAGTATGAATAGTCCGAAGCACTCCGCACAGTCCCTTGCATAACCCCACTAGCCGTGATAAGTTTGACCACTCCTGGAGCCAGCGACAAGCTCGAAATATAGCGCTGAGTGAGGGCAGAACTTGGATCAGGTACCGCTGCTGTGCCAAACGGACTTGTCAACGTTTGATTCTGGATCTTTTCATGATACAGTTGCTGGTTCATCACAACGCCAACAGAGGTGACTCCGGTGTGAAGAGGAATGAACCAAGCCCTAGAAACAGTTGAGCAAAACGACGCAGAGAAATGATTTCGTGCCATCCGGATTCGTCTGGTGGGGAGTTTAAGTTGCAAAAGCGATGTTCAACACCGTGACAAACCGGTCAAGGCCTCGAACCATGGTGCACCCTCGCGAGCAGTCCCATTACCATAAGTTCCAACATCATTCCAATAGGCCCAAAGCGCAATATTTTTGAGTGAAGAATTAAAACGCCGATTCTTCAAATAGAGCGTCGAAAGCAAACCTGCTCGTCCAGTCGCGTCTATCAAATAATCGAAGCTTGTGACGCCTGTTATTTTTTTCGCTATAGGAGATTCTGTAAGGTTGGTCTTCGTGACTACTGGTGATGCGGGAGGCGAAAGAGGTTCTGGAGGAGGTACATGTTCCCACGTAACAGACACGGGGCGATTCGGGTCCGTCGAGGAGAAATCGACAGTTTTGACTTTGGTCTGTTCATAGACCGCAGCACCAGACGCTCTTGCATGGCTCATCAACATATGGTCGAATTCTGACCGAACCTAAGAAGATGTAGTTGTTTATGGTAAAAGAAGACAACCAGCCGACACACCACATTGAAGGCGGCGTTTTCAGTACCCAAGGCCTCGAAATCGGTATCTACGAATGTCTGAGCAACAAAAGGGACCGATGGAACAGACTAACAGCCTTCGCGCTTTTCCTGGTCTGAGTGGGATGCATGAAGAAGGAGAAGCTATAGCTGGAGAATCGACGCACTGAATTTGATCGCGGAGCCGGGTTTGTGAACGAAACCATGGCTCGATAACTTGTCATCGGCACCAATGAATCGCATGTAGTGGCGGCAAGATGGAATCAGACTTTCGCCAACATGATATCTAAGGAAGAAGGGGATTCAAATGAAGAGGTTTAGGATGAGAAGACAACTCACCGCGGAAACTTGTCGCTTTCAAACACTGTAACTGAGATCCCTTCACGAGCAAGAACGGAGGCGGCGTAGCTCCCGGCTGGGCCACCTGAGAGTATTGGTTGCAAGGACGAAAAGGCAATGTGGGTTATATTCACCTCCGACAATTAAAACGCGTGCAGTCTAGAGACGGAGACGCGTCAATGAAAAGCAGATGATGGATAGGAAACGCGCCTTGGGAGGTAGACTAGAGATCATAGGGAGGGGAGGGGGAGCTGTGGAGATGGAAAGCCGAGAAAACCCATCCATTATGAGTGGCCGAAAGCAAGAGGCGGCATCTGAGACAAGCCAAAAAAGCTTCATTTCTGATCCGCTCACGCATCCCAGTTGCTTCCGTCCGTCGATTTCACCAGGAACTGTAACTACGCGCAGACCATGAACCGCTAAATATAGTCTCAAGAGTAGATTAGCCCTGCTCTCTGGTTTTGAATGTCATATCAATCAGAACAGACACTCTCGATTCCACATGCAAGCGGCGGCGGCGTTCGATGGGCACGGCAGCTCCCGGGGTGTTTCCTTTCTCGACGTCTTATTTGCTTCAGAGGGAGTCGTAAAGCAACGCGCTAGGATGCCGTTTTATGCCTACGGTTAATAGCATAGTCATGGATGGACAAAAAGTACAGCAAGGACGTAACGAGCGTCGTTTTGACCTGACTTTTGAGGCCAGAACTCAGTAAAGAGAGAATGGAGAGAGCAGCTTCTAGCGGTGGCGGGTACCTAGCACTCGCCGGTCCGCTATGGTCCCGCATAGAATGCGAGGGCGGATGGAAGTTGTGTATAGAACAACTTGGATGAGGGAAGAGAGGAAACATCGATGGCGCATCATTCCTGATTCGGCCTGTGTGACGCGCCTTCCTTTGGCGACCATGGTGCTCGTCCATCGAGGCAAAAATTGGTCTGATTCCAACTTGGTCACCAAAGATTCCGACCCAGACTCCGCGGAGAAACTTAAAGAGGCAGCAAAGACTTTGAAAGCAGAGGTTTCCAAGCATAAACACAAGAGGGAGTCGAGATCGCTATTTGCCACACGTAGATTTCTGTTTCCGCTTGGTATCCTGCTGGGCGCGCTCTTAGCATTTGTTTGTGTTCGATATTTCTTTTGGAACGCGTGCTGAACTCGACTAGTCCCTCATTGAACCGCGCGACATACAAGACCTCCATGCACACTTGACATTGTTGCTTGGGGAGTATACCATGCCTGACATACCCGGATTCGACCTCTCACGCGTAGAGAACGAATGGCAGAGGCTTCGTAGCAACATACCAGAAGTTTGGAAGTTCAATGTGGATGGGAGGGAGTTTCAGGTTGGAGAGTCAATGCGTAACCGTGGCTTAACGGCAGAACATCCCATTGTTCTTATACCCGGCATTATATCTACAGCAAGTCGGTATTCTCGCTTCATTATACCTGTTGAACTCCTTCCAGGGTCTCGAGTCGTGGTCAACCGATCCAGAATATCGAACCTTTTTCCGCCAAAAGCTATGGGGTGGCTTCAATATGCTTTCACAAGTCACTTTCAATCGCGAAAAATGGATCAATGCTATGATGCTTGACCCTGTCACTGGCTTAGACCCGCCGGGATCTAAAATTCGTGCGGCAGAGGGTATCGACGCAGCGTCGAGTTTTATTCAAGGCTACTGGATATGGAGCAAGATTGTGGAGAATCTCGCTGTGGTCAACTATGATACGAATAATCTCCATATGGCGCCATACGACTGGCGGTTGTCGTTTTATAACCTGGAGGAACGCGATGGGTACTTTTCAAGGCTCAAATCCACAATCGAAGGTTTCAAGCGCCGCCAAAACAGAAAGGTTGTACTCGCTGCGCATTCCATGGGGGCCAACGTATGTCCACAGCCATGAAACAACAGAAAACGGTGCCATCATTATTGTTCTAGGTTGTTTTGGTAACTTTGAGGCCTGTTGCTTTACATCGTGAGGCTAACGACCATTATAGTATTTGTATGCTTGATCATCCCCCCTCAACAAAATCTGACATCCGATAGCTTCAAGTGGGTTGAGTCCCCTGAACACGGGGCAGGCGGAGCCGATTGGGTCGAGGTGCGAGCGCATGTTGACTCGTATGTTTGCGCTAAGATTCCTAGAACCATATCGAAGCGTATATTTCCATCGCCGGGACGCATCTCGGTGTCGCCAAAGCCATGTCCGCTTTTTTGTCTGGAGAAATGAAGGTTCGGTTCGCGGTATTGTGTGTTCAAGCACTGAATACCATTTGTAGGATACCGTTCAAATGAACCCTGCTGGGGCCTATGTTCTTGAGAGGTTCTTTTCGCGTGCGGAACGCCAAAAGCTGTTTCGATCGTGGGCGGGGAGTGCGAGTATGTGGATCAAGGGCGGAAACGACATCTGGGGTGGACCCCATGGAGCACCCGACGACTCGCATAACTGCACACATTCTCATGGAGAGCTGATCGCATTCCGGTTAGCTCCACCACCGCCACCACCTGGCTCTGTCAGCACCAGTGCTGGAATTCGCGAGGAGCTGCAGAACATGACTGCAGACACAGCGAGCGACTGGATATTGCAGCACACACCGTCCACGTTTCAGGTCAGTTTGAACTAGTGGATCGTCATTTTTTCGTCTCAAATCGTTGCAGAAAATGATCGAAACCAATTTTTCTTTCGGAATTGAACGCGACGAAGCCAGACTCAAGGCTAACAATCTTGACCATCGCAAGTGGACAAACCCATTAGAGGTCCAACTTCCAAATGCTCCCTCAATGAAGATATACTGTGTCTACGGACATGGTAAAGAGACCGAACGCTCTTATTGGTACACCCAGGACCCGAATGCATACGACGAGACCGCCGATCAAGCGTCTGGGTTGGACCCGCTCTGCGTTGACCCTTCCGATGGTTCATGCTCAGCTGGTACCCCGTTCGATACACCACTTGTCCGGAAAAGCTATATCGACGCTGATTTTACCAACGAGACGCTGCTACCCAAAGTCGTCAACGGTGTCAAGATGGGCGAGGGTGATGGCACTGTCAGTCTTCTCAGTCTGGGTGCAATGTGTGTTGAAGGTTGGCGCCGTCCTCGCTGGAATCCTGCCAATATCAACGTTACTGTCGTTGAACTCCCTCATCGCCCCGTGCCTTCCATCCCAAGAGGCGGGGCCAACACGAGCGATCATGTCGATATTCTGGGCTCGACTGGTTTGAACGAAATAGTATTGAAAGTAGTCACGGGGGTGGGCCATGAAGTTCACGATAGCTATGTGTCCAATATTCGAGAATATGCGCAGAGAATGCATTGGGATTGATTTTTGAGGGGTGGGGGGGTCATAAGTCTCCGAGTCCGTTGACTTGCGTTTGTGGTGTACCAGAGCATACTGCTGTTAGCCATTGTGCTGAGGATTCAGACGATTTAAGTGGTTTTCAGCCTTTCTGGTTGTCACCTGTAATCCCTCAAACTTGCCGCTGGAAGAAAGACGTGTTTCAACTCACTCTCTACCCGTTGCACTTTCTCGTAGATCTCCCGTTTTCTCTGCGACTCTCGCAGCTCTTCCTCTCTTTTTTCCCTCTTTTCCCTGCGTCGCTCATCGTCCCGCAAAACACCTTGGTACATGGTCTAAAATAGACGTGAGACGTAACAAGCGTGTTGTTGACTCAAATTACTTCATGCTGTTGTTCTTGCTGGAAGTGAACGGCCCATATAGTAAGCGCAGACAAGCCGATAGCTGCTGCGAGTGTTGCCTTTGCGCGTCGCGAGGCCGCCGACATTAATTAATATTCTTCCAATCGAGACGGCGGTCACACATCAAAACCATTCTCTCTTTGCCACCACGACCACGATTCTCAGCTTGGACCATGTCCCACCTGGCTGTACGCTTTTGCTAGACCACCGATTGGCTTGTTTATACGTTTTCAGGAGTTTGAGACCTCTCTCAAGGAGGTCGTCAACGCCAAACGGTTGTCGGCGTCAAAAATGAACAACCTCACTGACCTTGCAATGAAGTCGATGGCAGTGCGTCGCAGACGTTCATTCTCTCACCTCAAACTCAACATCGCCTAGGACGACACTCAACTGGTTTCAATCATGTACCGAACACACAAAACCCTCACGCCGTCTGCCAAAATTTCTAGTCTCTATGTTTTCGACGCTCTGGCTCGTGCAGCTCGCAGTCAAGTTGTGAAGCAGGGTCTTACTGGCGACATAAATTCTCAACCCGGAAACTCTGCCACCTTTCTCCTCAAATTAGAAGGTATCCTAGAAGGTCTATTTCAAGATATGATCTCAACTGGAACCTCTGAAGGCAAGGTTCGTAAACACCACTCTACAATTAGGCTTCTGTGGCATTCAGTTTTATCTCGTTTTGTCTGTTTTTGATAGCATTCCTAACGTTCCTATCTGGTAATAATAGGAAAAGACGAAAAAAGTACTCGATATTTGGGTGAAAGGATCTACATTTCCACTGCTGATTCTGGCGCGGCTGAAGGATGTGGCTGCAGAAAAAGGTGCATATCTGTTGCGAGCTGTACATGATGATGAGTACCCCAATAATCCGCTTTGCTTTCTGCGTCCTGTGTTTTTGAGTCTAGTAACTGAATCGACCTCTGGGTTTGTTTTAGTAAATAACCAAGTAAAAGTCACGCTCGACCCGCGTGCTGCCGCCGTTGCCGTTGCCGCTCCGCCACCACAAACCCCGGCTCAAACGGTGCCACCACCACCTCCAGCCACGGATGCTCAAGCGACCTTGTTGGCGCTACTCACCCAAGCTGCTGCCAATAATGCGGTCCAAACTAACTTGGGGTTTGTGACATGAAATTACTTGTTCATCAGTTAACATTGATGTAGACAAACGACACCCAATACCACTGGTAGTGTGCCGCAGCTTTCATTACTGCAGCAACTAACCGCCAATCTCACCCATCCTCCTCACCAAGTACAACAACAACAACCCCATCCACCGCCCCATCCGCCCGCCCAAGACAACTTTCATGGAAGGAGACACGACCCACGTTCTGAACACCAGCAACAACGCAATCATAACGGGTACGAAGGGCGGGGTAACTTTCGAGGCGGGTCTCGTGGCCGTGGACGGGGAGAAGGGCGAAATTCGGATAATCGCGACCGTTTCCATAAAGAGGAAGGACGAAGACAAGGCCGAAGCCGATCAGAAAGTCCGCCGCCGCGGGGAGGGGATCGACCCAGCGCACGGCCGTATAGTCCTCCAAGGCGGCCCTCAGAGAGAGTAGCACAGCCACCCCAAGCGGGATTGGACGAATTTGGGAGGGAGATACGGCCAGCCTCGCCTTCACCCGAGCCGCCAGACGATATTGTCGATGAACAAGCAGCAGCTGCGAATCAAAACCAGCCGCCACAGCTGGTTACGAGCAGTGTGAGAGCGGCAAATAACCACGAGAGTCAGATGTCATTCGTAGATGTGAATACATCTTCACGGCTCCCTGTTAACGCCGCCCAACCTGCAACTTTAGAGAACCCAGCCGATTTATCCAACTTCGATGCCTCCACGTTTGATTTTACATCACCAGCGTCGTGGGAGGCGATGGGCAGGATGTGGCAAGCGTCGTTTGGGACAGCGCCGACTATGGAGCAGCTAATGCAGTATGTCATGACTGGCGGAGTGATGCCAGGGACGACGACGATGACTGGACAACAGCAAGTTCAGCCACAACCACAACCAATACAGACTTACCAGCAGCAACAACCCGATAAGTGGGGAGGTCACCAACAACAGGGATTTAGAGGCAGTCGAGGCAGAGGAGGATTCTCAAGGGGTCGAGGTGGCGGAGGTCATAACGGGGGAGCATGGCATGATAGTGATGCTATCGTACTTGGTGACACGAATGTATCGTCTGAAGCTGGTTCAACTGCAGGGGGCAAAATGCAACGAGTGGGAGAAAAGTGGGTTTTTGGACGCGATTAGTGATTGGTTTTATCTGCGTACATGTATCTCTTTGACATACTACTTATTAATTCTTTCCGGTTTTTACTTGAGTGTTGTTCCAAAAGGTTCAAAGTTGACCTCTGTTTGTCGACGAGCACGAGGGCCGGAATATGCCTGGCAAACGTCTGATGTGACTTGGCGTGATATTGTCACAATCTCGTCACACATCATCCTGAGGCTTGTCAAACAGTCAAAGATGTTGTCGATGTATCTTCACAGCCAATTCACCGATTTGGATGGTTGTTGGTGTGCTAGAAAGGGAATCTACCCCCCAGTGTCTGAAGCACAAGATCAATAATTTTAACATGATCCCATCAGCAAATATTGATTCAATGATATCTCGACAACCGCTGCACCGATTGAACTGATTCTTGGATTTCCGAGCAGCTAGAATGCCCCAGAACCAAACCAAGCAGCCGCGCGCAGCATGGCCGAGTGGTTAAGGCGCTGGAATTAGGTAAGCAGCCTATATCCAGTCCGAAAGGGCGTGGGTTCGAACCCCACTGCTGTCACGTGGTTTTGGTCGATACCCTTTTAGCTGCTCCGCCAGAGCTTCGAGTGGCTCAGGCTTCATTCGTGGGGTTTGTGCTTTCGTTCTCCCACAAGACCCTTCCTCGATTACCGGTCCTCAACACTCGCCTTCATTTACCTTAAAACCCGTCGTTCATCGATCTTGAACGGTCGGACTGTCCAACAAACAACACACTGTCTATCATTTCAATGCCATCCTAGCTGCTGCTTCACTCCCTGCAACTTCTTCTTTGCTTCCGTCTGTGCCAGCCCTTGAGAGAGCTCTACGGCCTGCTCGAAAGCTTTGACCGCCTCCTCGTTCTTCTCCAGACTCTGCAACGCCTCCCCCAGTCTTACGTAGCCCTTTCCCCACTTCGGTTCAACCTCCGTTGCCTTCTGTGCATCGGCAAGAGCGAGATCGTGGTTGGGAGGCTCCAGCTTGAGATAAGCTATTGACCTGTTGCTGTACAGCGCAGCAGAGGTCGGCGCAATGGCGATTGCAGCGCCGTACTTCTCGATAGCCTCCGCGTATTTCCCCTCCCTGTACAAGTCCTACCAGACGTGAGTTGGAAAGAGCTCACGCGAGATACTAGTCAATACCCACATTGCCAGCGCTTTTCTCGGCTTCGGCCGCTTCTGGGAGCGGCGGCACAGGGGGATTCGGGCCGGAATGTTGCCCAATAAGTTTCGCCAGACCGTAGGGATCTGCTCCTCGAAGCATGTCGACTACCTTTCCGTACTTTATGGCAAGGAAGGTGGGCATGGCAGTGATTTGGTATTTAGCCGCGATGGCCTTCTGCTCGTCGACATCGACTCGTAAAAAGACAGCCTGAGGATAATCGGATGCGAGTGCGTTGTACCGCGGTGCTATCATCTGTAAACATTTGTGGTTACTTATGGGTGTTGTCGTTGTCAGCTCAGAACACACCTTGCACGGTTGACACCATTCAGCGTGAAAGTCAACGACGACCGTCATCCCAGTAGCAGTTGCGCTTCTCAGAGACTCGTTCCATTGTTTGACGCTTTTGATTTCCACCGGAGAGTTTGCGCCTTTCATGATGACTGACTTGGATGGGTATTACGGGGCCATGGGTGGGCAGCACGGCTTAAATACCAAGATGACACTCCGAGTTACAAAGCAAGTCCTCAGGTCACGGGAACGAGAGAGTCTACAAGCTTCCACAACGTGATTAGATATGGTCCTAAGTATATTACATCCCAAGATACCAACTAGCCTACGTTTCCTTCTCCGTGTCATCGTCGTCATTGTTGTCTTTGTTCTTCCACTGCTCGTACGCAAAGTTGTAAGCACGCGAAACCAAGGCGTACGGCTCCCCAGACAAAGACTTCTCCCAAACTCGTTGCCCGAATTTGCGGAAATGTCCGTCGTTCCAGTTCTCCTGTAGAAGCTCTAGTGAATGCCGCGTAGGCTCGAGGAGGTGGTGGATTGGTTGAAGCAGTGGTTCCGTGTCAAGTGGTAGGGGTACGAGCAGAGCTTGAGAACTGAAGACATGTCAAAAAAAAACACGGTTGATCAGAGACAAGAACATACGACACATCGGGGCCAACGTTGGTAGGGACAACGGGTCCAATCCATCTATTTTCCTCCGACTTCGGTCTGCCTGCCCGGAGAAAGGCTTGATAATCCTGCCACACTTTCCGCTTCGCTATTCTTATCTCCTCCTGTCGAGTTTGCGATTCAAGATTCAGCGGAAGGCGGGAAATGATATCATGTGCGCCAAGGAAGGTCGTTGATTTCCAGAAGTACCAGCCTTCATCCCAGTACTTCACATCGCCAGGGGACTTACGTCCATGCTCGGGGTCTTCGATTTGCTTTCCCCCCAGATACGACGGTAGGTTGATTGGCTGACCCTCCGATGGGAGGGGGTAGCGGGCTTTACCATCAGCCCCGATCTCCTTGTGGCTCTTGAACTGGATGACATTCCGTACTTCATGCGAGAAAACCTTCCGTATGCAAACTGAGCGGCACCAAGGACCACGGTTGTGGATCCGCCCAGCCACATTCTGGGAGCCTAACTGGAGTCAGCGAGTCAGTAAGATGTAGAGGAGTACACACAGTAGGTCAAACACCACTGGTCATTCCGCGTAGAGAAGGTGCCTGTTGTTGATTCGGTCAATGTGTTCAGTGGAGCCGTTGACGCGTACCTTTCGGCGGCTCGATAACTTTCAAGCTCGGAAAATTGGCAAAGATTACCTGGATATGGTGAGATAAGTCATGGAGAAGTGAGCATCACGCACAGTGCGAGGAGGTTGCTTAGGACGGTTGGCGCTGTTCGAGGTCATGGCTGTAGTGTGAAGGAATGAATGACTAAGTGATCGCCACGCACGCAGAAACGGCATGTGTCACGCGTGACGAAACTCAAATTTTTTTGGTTTCCAACCAGCGCGTCGCTCGAAGAATCGTTGTCGCAGCATCCGCACAGAGAGACTTGAACTCTCTTCTTTCGCTGTGGGGAAAGTCCCCGGAGACACGGAGCATATTCTGGGTGCTTACGGAAAGCGACCGGCCCTAAGCACGTCGGTGTCGCCCAGAATGGTGGGCAGGCTTTGTAAGGCTGTTCCCCTGGATCTGGCCTTACTCCCTCCCAACCCCTCTGTTGCCCGACCAGAGCATCGAGCGCGGCAAAAAGGTGCAAGCTGCGAAGATATGAGCAGCTTGTTACTCGTGTTTGGTGCTCGATGTCGGGCAGGTTTACTCATAGAGACAGATATACGATTGTCGACGCCTTTTACGGCGTCTTCAACTCAATGGGGCTCACTCTCGTTCGACGCGACCTCAATTTTTTCCCTCCTTGAACTTTGCTGTTCATCCTCGGTGGCGCTGCTTGAATTCTAGGTGAGCAGCAATTTCTACGTCCCATTCGTGATGCGTTGGATTTTTCTTTGAATTTCTTCATGGAGGATACCCTTCACGGGGGCGGGCTCCAAACCTTGACACCTCTGATCTCTCCTCTCTTATATTCTGGCGTACACTGGCTAATTCTTCAAACAGGACACAACTATAGCACTCTAACATGGGACATCATAGGTAGAACGTTAGATTAAATGTTGTCCGGAATAATGTCAAATCTTCAACCGCTAAGGGTCGCGCAATATTTAGCCTAAAGCCATAGAAAAAGCGAAAGTTTATTCCTCTTTCACGCGTTTTCAATGAGCATAACGCTTCTTCGAAACTGCCTGCAATTGCTGTGTTAGGTTTTCCTAGACTCACGTTGTTTAGATGAACACATTTCCCAGCGGCCTCCAAAAGGTAAACGTGTCTTAGCTGTATGAACCAGTGCTGGGCTCCCGATTGCAGAGTAGTCTACGTGGTTTCGATTGTAGAATAACCCACGTCCACCCACTTGCGCATCCTGCCGCCAAACCGGATTGTCAGCCACAGCAACCTGTCATCGAGGTTTAAGGACTGAATAGTCGCCAAAAAGAATCAGACTCACCCAACACCTGCCCACGCGAGGAGGCCAACCGCGGTATTGGTTGCAACAAGCCCGAAGCGGTGGAGCGACGGTAGCACACCCGAAATCGCGGCGGATAGGAGGAACGAGCGCAGGCCGCTGTTATAGCCGTGAGAAAGGACTAAAACATGAACAAAGTCACATACACAGTCGCGGCCATGATCTCGGCGCTGCGAGAGTGGACGGCGTCTACAAAATAGGCCGCGGAGGGGCTGAGCACCAGATCGACACCCAGTCCATTGAAGAAGAAGCAGACGAGATTGAGTGTCAGCCCGAGTGGCCCAGGAATATAGTGGGTGATGAGCCCGGAAAGAACGATGGAGAGCGGGACAAGCGTTGCGCCACCCCAGAGTGTGGCGCGGAGGCGGTCCTCTGGCACCCAGACGCCGTTACGGAGTTTGCGCCATTTGATGACCATTCGGTCAGCAATAATTCCCGCCAGTGGGGCCCCGACTGATGAGGTTGAGAGGCAGGCTGGAGCGGGTGGTAGGACTTACGAATGTTACCCACGCCCATAGGGAAGAATAAGGCGCCGATTATGGCCTCGTTTGTGATGTCGTAGCGTTTCCCCAGTGTGTATGCTATGGGTATGAGCAGCGCTATGTCTAGATGAGAATTATTCTTTCCAGTTGAGTTGGCATACCGTAGTCCGTATATAACACAGTGAAGCCCGCTACAGTCTAATCACGATGCTTACTAGTCAATAGTTGCTTCATGATAGCATTAATTATACGCACTACAAGCAACAAGTTGGGCCCACGGAGGAGGTACATGCACGCAAACGGGTTGAGCCACACCCATCGGGACTTGCGACGAGTGCTGTTTGTTTGTTGTGCGTCAAGTTTTTCGATGCCCAGCGTGCCAGGATGGGACGTCTCGGGCAGCTGAGTAAGCATGCCTAAATAGACAAGGAGGCCCGCGACGAACAGGCCAAGCTGCACGTTCCGCCAAGAGGAGTATTTCGCTGACAAATGAGATAAGATCCAATCGCGGTAACAGCAACCAACCTCCCCAGCCTGGAAAACGTGGATCAAAGCAGCTTTGACCCAATAACAATTCGCTCACCTCCGACGATAGGCGATATAGCATTTCCCACCAGGGACGCCTGCCCGGATCAGGAAATTGAAAAAGCAAGAAGCAAAGAGCTGACTGAGAAGAATATGCCCATCGCGGTGCCCCGCTCGGTGAGCTTGTAGATGTCGCCGATGACCCCGGCGCCGACGGCGAAACCGCCAGACGTGCCGAATGCTTGGATGAAGCGGAAGACAAGCAGCTGCGAGACGGTACGGGAGAGCGCAACACCAAGAGAGCCAAAACATAGAAAAGGAAGGCCACCTAGTATAAGGTAAAGAACACCTTTTTGGGGGAAATGAAGTGCAACAGACAGAGGTACATTGGCCGCCGCCCGTCTGGGTTGCATCAGCAAAGGACATTGTCAATTTTTGAACGCACAGAAACCAGAGTATGTCGCAAATATCATGGCACCAAGGGCAGCGCCAATGATCGAAATGCTCACTGCGAAACTGGGAGAGTTGAGACGCGTCTTATCAGCAGCTTACCTGACGACTTCCCCAGTCGTGTCCAGATCTTTGGCAATTTGCGGGATGGAGGGTATAAACGAGCCACTCGCAAACACTAGAAATATTCGTTTGGGTGTGGATGGACAAGATCTGCAACGAACTTGGGAGGATAGCACTGGAGCTGACGAGGGAGACGATGATGCGTTTTCGCGAGGGCGTGAATCGACTGTAGACAGCCTCGTGGGCGAGTTCAGCGGCCGACGCGAGGAGTGGGGTGTCTTCCAGCGACATGGTGGTTTCGGCTAGGAAATGACTCGGTCGACAAGAACCCCAACAGTCTTAAGCAAGCACTCAAGCCGGAAAGGAAATCTGATCTCAAAAGTCGTAGACAGAGAACGCACGTCAAAAGCACAGAAAAACATTGATTCCCCCCACTCCGATGTCCTACACACAACTGGCACACTACTTTTTCTTCTTCGGTTTCTTCTTCTTTACCCCGCCTGAGGCCGGACCAGCAGCTGTGGGGACTGCCCCACTGGCAGCTGCCGCTGGTTGCTGGGTACTCGTAGTCGTATTCGTATCAGCCGCTGGCGTTTCACTGGACGTCGTAGTTGGCTGTTGTCGCCGATTCTGCATCTTCTGAATAAGCGCAAGATTGAGCGCCTCGAATCGGTTAAGAAACACGGAGCTGGATGTCTTGAATTTGAGACACTAAACATATCCTATCAACACAACGATGGGAGATGTAAAACTGGCAGACACACTGTGGTGTTGTCGGTGATTTTGAGAACCAGCTTTCCATCGGAGCCCCTCCATTTCACGCAGTAGCGCGTCTGTCTTCCATGTCAACAAGGAGCGATTGGCCGGATGAGTGTGTCTAGCGCACGTTATTTGGGCTGGCAGCGTAGAGCGCCTCCGCCTTGTCCTGGTACTCTTGCCAGGCATGGATGTACATCAAACGCGGCGAGTGCGTGACGCGTCTGTGACACCACAACTTTTCTGGCGGCAACATGGGTCTATCGGGGCGGAAAACGAAGCAGCGCATAGGCAACGACCCGCGCAATCTCACATGGGCAGATGGTATGCAGTTACTCTCCCAATAATTTTCTCTGATTAAAGACAATAGACGCAGCAAAATTCGGCGCAACCTACCTCTCGAAGTTCGGGTGGGATGCGTCTAAGGGTCTGGGAGCGGAGGGTGAAGGGCGTCTATCGCACATAAAAGTGTCCCAGAAACTGGACATGCTGGGCATCGGTGCAGCGCAACAAAAAGACCCCAATGGGATCGCTTGGAAGCAAAATCGCGACTTTGAACGAGTGTTGGAGCGCCTCAACGCTACCCAAGACCCTACCAAATCAACACCAGCCCCGGTCTACTCGGATTTTGTGGCCGCTTCTGTTGCTGCTGTCGACGCGGTGAAGCCTGTTGTCCCGCGACACAGAGCGTATGTGTCAGTTTAATCCACTTCTTTGCAAACTGAGCCATTTCTTACAGACACCGCGCCCGAGCCATCGCTGCTAAAAACATCGCCTCCAAATCAGCTGCCGCGATATCTGAAATCCTGGGCGTGGCCAGCAGCAGCTCTACCACCGCCGCAACTCCCGAGGGCACACTGACACCCTGCGGAGACAGCCCAGACGACAACCTCATCACAACCTCAAAGAAAAGCGTCGCCGATTATTTCAAGGACAAACTTCTCGCCAAATCGGGCAAATCCACGCCTGCCCCAGCCACGCCTGTCGACGATATTGATATGCCCAGAGGCGGGATCGGTTCACGGACCCCACGAATGGCAAGCGACGATGCTGAGGCGGCCACTCCAAGATTCGGTATTGGAAGCAGCAGGCAACCATCCTTTATGCCCTCGACTTCGGCACTGCCTGTCCCAGAGGAAAAAGCGGAGGAGGGCAAAGCAGAGAGCAAGTCCGAGAAGCGGAAGCACAAAGACAAGAAGGGAAAAGCTCGAGAAAGCGATGTGGGCGAACTGACCGTATCAGAGGCGAAGAAGGAGAAAAAAGCCAAGCGACGAAAAGATAAGGAGGCTGACGTCGTGCAGCCAGAAGAACCCAGCGACGAACCTACCAAGAAGAAAAAGAAAAGACGGCGAGAGAACGACAAGACGGAGGACAAGTCGGAGTCTAAGAAGAAAAAGAGACGGGTAGAAGAGCCTACAGCAACGGTAGAAATGGCCAAGGAAGATAGAAAGAAGGCCAAGAAAGAGAAAAAACGGTTAAAAGCATTAGAAGATAGTACAACGTAGACAACTTCAGACAATCAAGTTATTTCTCAGAACAAGTTGATCTCTTCTAAAAACCACCTTTAGGACTGAGTCATTCGTTTGGCAATGTAAACCTTTCTGCTGAAAGGTGTTAACGACGTATTTACAGATAAATAGTAGTACATCGGAGAGCGTAGACTAGCGGGTAGAGTTGAAAAAAAGTCATGTGCAAGAAAACTGGGAGTCACGAAAACGGACTGGATGAGGGTCTATGATTCTGGTTGCGGCGCGCCACTAACTGGCCGCCTGCTCAATTCCTCCTGTCGCTGCCATAACAATTCGGCCCACAACGGATGCGGCGGAATATGACCAACAAGCGCACGCAGAATCTCCAGCCTATCCACAAGTTAGAAGAACTCTGCCAAATCCAAAAAAAGGCAACGTACCATTTCGACTTTTCTTCGTCCGTATCAGCAAAGAACGAAATCTCCTGGTTGTTCGGGAAGATCAGACGGAATGACCGCTCAACCCCATAAAGCCCATCATATTCGTCGTATCTGCTGCTCCGTCCAGTCATATTCGATGCCGGGCTCATTGCTCCTCGCGCCTCCTGGTCGTCCTCCACGGCAACCGCCTTTTTCAGATCGATAGTCGCTGTCGCTTTTTTCGTCACGTCGTTGAAAGAGATCAGACTTGCTCCAACGACACGGAATTGCCGTCGTCGCCATGTCTAAATAATTCTGTCAGCAACAAATCCAAGAGACGTGTCAGTCATGACATACACTGCAATCTCCGCCATTCTGCGTCAACGTTCCTTGGAAGTAGGTTACCTTGTGCCAATTGATATGCCGCAGCCCTCGCAAAGACTCGTCTAAACTTTGAGGCAGCTGATCAGGAGGTATCCCAGACAGCGGAGGAAGCCTCAAGATTTGAAGAACAAGTTCTCCGACCTGCAACGTGGAAGATTTGCCGCCAAGTTCAAGACGCTGTCCGATGAGCGGGTAGCTGCTTTCAAACAAGCGTGTGTCGCAACGTTGAGCGATGTCTTTGAACGCAATGAACGAACGCGCCAGCGTCCCATCAGGCTTCAAATATCGCGCTAGGTTCTCTGGCAGTCGCAAAGGACCTTGGGTGACAACCGGAGTGGGAACAGGTTGTGGCTGTGGTGGCGGCGCTTTGTCTTTGGACTTCTTTGGTGATGAAGACCAAAAGCTGCGTTTCGCCGGTTTCGATGGTGCTGGCTGAACCATGGGAGGCGGGATAGGTGCAACAGGTGTCGGGGTTGGCGTCAGAGACTTGAATTGCTTGGCGATATGAGGGTCTTTTCGGACTTTGATGGTCATGGTAAATTCCAGTTTGCTGTGTTCAATGCTGGAAAATTTAGATCACGCAACGGGAAAGAAAGAGACGACACACAGCTCGAATTCTTGATCAATAGGACAATCCGCACCTAGCGGGAATTCTGGAGTTGTAACAAAGTGAATGCCGTTGTTGAGGGTGCAAGTTAACGCAGTTGTTTCCGTTGGAAGCGGTAGGTGTATGCCTCTGACGCCGACAACTGTGACGGATGTCAAAATACGACTTAACAATAGACATGCTCCTTACCTTTCACAAAAACCTTGCCGAACGCTTTACCTGGGTTTTGTTGGGCGCGGTACTCTTTAATCTGCTTGGAGTATTCATTCTGCGCTACGTGAGTACCATTGAATATGACTAGAACAAGAGGGACCAACCATATCAGATGGCCGACGGACTGTCCGCCAGGCTTTCCCCACATCCAGATCACCGGCACCAGCAAGATGTGATATGCCATCAGGATCTGATGAAGACGCGTAAATCAGTCCTTCACGTTCACGAACATGGTATTTCTGCAAAACCATTTAGCAACAAAAAAGCAGCTGGAAACAACATACCCGCTTCTGGGGTTCATCCCGCTTGTTCAGTTCCTTCTGGATTGTAGCGCCGAGTAGATCGTCCTTGCCGATATCAAGCAGTCCGTCATTTCGCATTTGAACGAGGTCTTGAACATCACCAGTACTCATGCTTCGTCGAGCACTGGGTCGGCCAGCGCGAAGATGGCCCGTTGATTGAGGTCGATAATCGTCACCTTCCTCCATGCGTCGCCTTTCGCGACGTGCTTCAAGAATCATAGCCTCCCTGGTTTCCCGAGAGTGGATGTTGTCCTTGGGTGGTACTGGGGGAGGGAGGCTCAACAAGGAGGAAGAAGATGCAACACTGACAGTGCGGCTAAGCCCAGTGCCAGCCGCAAGCCCGTCACCGATCTGAAGAAGGGCAGAGTCAGTTGCTGCTCTGGTGATTGCATGTGGATTCGTGGGGCTTGTAGGTGTCTCAACCTCGTCGGTTCGGACTGACTCATCGCCTTCTTCAAAACCGCCTGCGCCAGCCACATCTTCCATCAGTCGGTCAAGAGCACTACGGGTGTCCATATCCACCGACATACGCTCGGGTTCCAGGCGTTCAGCAGTTCGCATTGATGAGGTCCCGCTCAGGCGTGAATTCACGCTACCGGAGATGGCAGGAAGACTGAGCATGTCCATCCCAAACTGAGTCCCAAAGTCCAGCCCGAGACTTGGCGACAAAACCGGCTCTTCGTTGCGTGGACTTTGCGGATTGACGATGCGTCTCTCAGCTGTTTCAATCACAGCAATCTCCGTGCTCGCACTTCCCTCCCGCTCCTCTTGTTGAGCAAGTTCCCATCTCGCTTCCGCTTCCCTTTCCTCTTTAAACTCGTCATCATCATCGTCTGCCATCACGCTGTTGTCCTGCATCTCGCTACTCTGGTCATGAGAGGTATTTTCCTCTTCATCAACCACGTCCATTCGCTCAGCAAGACGAGGCTCTTCTAGTTCTGGAGTGGCACTCCTCGCTCGCATGCGACGCTGGACATCTTCCCGACTGATGCGTGGTCGGCCACCGCTGGGACTATCCATGCCGGCCGGACGTGGAGATCCTTGCTCGAACTTCTCTGAAAGAAGTCGATCGGACTGAAGCCACGAATCAATCTTCAATATATACTGGAACGATAGACTTACCTCGCTCCGTCGCAAACTCAAATCACGACTATCGTCACCATCATGGGGGAGTGATTCGTCTCTTAGTTGTGGAAGGGAAAATGGGTCCGAACCAGTACCAGAGCCTCCACCTGCAACATTGAGATTATATAAAGCATAAAAGGGGGGAATATAACCTACCGCTGGGCAAAGAAAAACGAGAAACCCCGATTTCCACAAAGTCGGAAACGCGACCCGGCGCCGGAGACGGCGAGCCCGGTAGACGCGCCACATCACGAGCCTCATTCTCGTCCTCAGAATAATGGTCTTCTGCTGCCGCTGTATGACGCCGTTCAAAATGTGTTGTGCGACCCAGTGGAGGTGTAGCATGGTCTTCGACAGAGTGTGGAGGTGTGGCTGAACGTGATCGAGCCATGTCTGGACGCGGTAATGGTCGACTCGCTGATAATTGCGGTTGGGGAATTGGCGCTGGATGTGCTTGATGAGCGTGAAATGCCGCAGAACGCTCAGCATGATGAGAACGACCAAATGGGATCCCTTCTTCAGTGTCGAGATCTGTAGGGTGGTCTGGCGTGAACTCGTATGTACGAGTGTGAGATGACCCCAGGTGGGGGGGCGGCGTGCTCGTGCCATCTGCTGGAGCGAAGAACATAGCATCAACAATGCCAGTTATACTGACGTCAGGGTCAAGCTCGAGAGGCATGGAAGTGTCTGGAAGCATGGATGCGTCGGAGAGATCAACACTATCGTAGGATGATTCTTGAGGTGGCGGGCTTTGTTGAATAAATGGGTCTTCGGGAGTACTGTCAGGATCTATATCCGCACTGTTGCCTTCTTCAGAGACCAGCTCCTCCTCCTCCTCGGATTCCAGATCAAACTCTACCACGTCGCAAGCTTCGTTGAAAGTGACTTTCCGCTCCTCGCGCCGCTCTCGACTGGTATTGCTGCCACGCGGACCATGCATTCGCTTTGAGACTAGTGACGAGCGAACAGGTGAAGCACTAGTAGTTGCCATCACGGGTATTCGTGAGGGGGTTGGCGGAACGGGTGGTATGGGAGCCGGTGGTGGTTGAGAGTCTTGGCGGAAAGGACTCTTGGTGACTGGCTCTTTCTGCATGAGACCTTGATAGGTCCTGGACTGACGACGTTCGCGCTTGAATGCGAATGGCCTGTCATTCTCCGCCTCCGCTTGGTCATGCATGCTCTGCGGACGAGGCCGTTTCTCGCCAGAAACACGACGCGTTGGCGACATAAGGAAGGAGGTGGCAGAGGTGGGGGTTTGCGATTTGGGGATTTGTGATTTGAAGGGCGACTTGGAGACGAGGTTGTTATTCTTTACATGTTTGAAACTGGATGAATTCCTGCGAGCGACCGAAGGGGGAGGTCGGCGAACAGGCGATTCACGTTTAGCGATTCGGAGGGGAGAAATGTTGGGGCTGCCCTTGGGGGAGCCCTCTGTCCAGCCATGACCCGACTCGCGAAGGATATGGTTTTTGACAGGGTCGGGAGAGTTGGAGAGTAAACGGTCGCGCAGCGGCGATGGCGCTGAGGCCATGGCTAAGGTATCAACAAGAGAGGGTCACACACTTGTGACATCACATGATTCACATGTACGCGTCGCTTACAAATGCTCAATACTTATGTTTCTCATCCATGCATTTGCGTTTGGCGTTGCGGCTGCAGCCGCCTTCCAAGCGCCTTTTGAGAGGTTGCCAGAAGCCAATTTATGGTCTATGTGTGGCTATTGACCTTGATGCAGCCCTCAGCAGTACGATAGTGGCCTATTCGTACCATTCGAAAGCCTGAGCCTGCTCTCGGAGTCAAAATTTACAACCCTTGGACACCCCGCTTTCCCCAACCATAGTGTTCGTATCAAAAAATCCTCTTTTTGCGATCCTACCGTCCAGTAAGCCCCCCCCGTCGAAGCCGTGCGATCATCCAAACGAATCCAGGGGTTACACTGGCTACATCGACATCCAGGCTCGACACCTATTCTTCTATTTCTTTGAAAGCCGCAACGACCCGACTACTGATGACCTTATTTTCTGGACAAACGGCGGACCAGGTTGCTCTTCTTCGGTCGGTTTATTGATGGAACTTGGACCCTGCAGAGTGTCGGACTCCAACACAACAACATTCCATCCCGAAAGTTGGACATCATCCGCCTCTGTCTTCTTCGTTGATCAGCCCATTGGCGTTGGCTTCTCTTATGCTGACTACGGAGAGACTGTGGTCAGTTGCATTTGTTATTTCCCCCCCCTCCATGATTAAATCTCATTTCTCCAGGGTACAACTGAAGATGCTGCCAAAGACATAGCAGCCTTTATGTTTATTTTCTTCGAGCATTTCACGCAATTCAAGGGTCGGGCGCTGCATATGGCAGGAGAGTCCTATGGAGTCAGTCTTGGTTGTCGAAAGGAATCATATATATTGAACTTTTCCCAGGGCCGCTACGTACCCGTATTTGCGGCAGAGGTTTACGACCAGAATGCGCAACTCGTCAAAGCAGGCTACACGCCCATCAACCTCCAGTCAGTCATGATAGGTTTGAACTTAATCATGCAACCCTTTCCTTGCCTCATTACCCTGCAGGAAACGGACTCACTGACTATTTGCATCAAATCGCATCTTCCTTTGATATGCAATGCACATCAGCCTCAGTTCCAGCTTTTACAGACATTGCGTAGGTCGGATGTCGCTCAATCAACGACGAATGCTAAGGTGTCCCACAGAACTTGTGTTCAGATGAAAAAAATTGTAGGTTGGTACCTCGCTTCAAATGTTTCCTGCTAAACCTCTGGTCAGATTCCACGGTGCCTGGATCGAGCAAAAAGTGCTTGCGAAGACCACTTTGACACGATTGATTGCCAGGCGGCCATGACTTTCTGCGCCACGTATCTTGAGGAGCCATTCGCCGCAACAGGCTCGTCGAAATCTGGCAAACCACTCGCAATCTCACACGTCTTTATTAGGACTCAACCCATATGATGTTTCGCAAAAGTGCGAGGGTGAACTGCGGGAAAGCCTGTGCTATCCCATCATCAAGTTAGTTTCACTGCTATCATCTTTACTTAACAAACCTTCAATTTAACTACGATAGGGATATAACAGCTTACCTTGATCGTCCTCACGTCCGTGCCGTACTTGGTGTGGACCCATCGCTGACTTCCAACTTCTCGACCTGCTCCTACGGAGTCGGTTCTGCGTTTGAGCGAAATCTGGATCATTTGAAGAGCACACAATACTATGTCGCCGCACTACTTGAACGCAATGTTCGCGTTCTGATTTACGTGGGAACATACGATTGGATCTGCAATTGGAAAGGCAACGAACGGTGGACTCTTGCGATGGAATGGAGCGGGCAGGAGGAATTCGTCCAACAAGGGCTTCGGCCGTGGGGTTTCAAAGGCCAAAATAATCGTATCGGTTTAGTCCGTAACGCAAAAGGGTTAACCTTTGCGACTATCGAAGGGGCTGGACATATGGTGAGCCGGGGCCGTCATTTTCTGATTTCAGTCTCCCTTCAACCTGCACAGGTTCCATATGATAAGCCGAAAGAAGCATTAGAAATGGTTCAACGCTGGCTCGCTGGCAAGGCCTTGTAATTACCAAGTCTGTTGCGGGCGGCACATGAATTAGATCTATTCATCTTTCTTCTTCAGTTCCTCCAAAAGCTCCTCTAATTCGGCCCACTCTGGCTCGTTCCCGAATGCCTCCTTCGTTTTGCCCATGAAGGAACGAACAACGCTCCTTGCTTGCCCCCGCCACTTGCCTCCGACGTCCTCGGCCCTCGGCCCAAAATTCCGGAGAGCATCAACAACATCCCGCACCTCAGTTACTGCTTCCCTCCACTTGGTTACATCAGAGGTGTTATCTAATTCGGAGGCAGCACCACATCGATATGCATCCATGCTGGCCTTGAGCGCATCGCCCCACCGTTCAGCCCAACGAAGTAAACGGGCGTAAGCCAGGAAGACACGAGACGACGAGGATATTTTCGGCAGGACGATGTCTTCCATCAAATGCATAACGGGCCGGAAAAGAGCGCGACCCGAGTTGGGCTGATTCGCAGCATCTTCGATAGAAGAGCTGGCATCTGCGCGAGTGACAGCGTTGACCAGTCGCTCCAGAACGTCAATGTCTAAGTGCTGAAGACCTTGCATGTCAACAACCCGACTCATCGCACGAGCGGCTTTCAGAAAGTTCGCCAACATCGATGGCGACAATCATGAAGTTGTACCACATCCGCCAGTTTTCGTATGCTGAGCGCAGCCCCTGCTTTAGTGCTCGGAACGCGAGGAGCTTGTTCTCAAAAGGAACCGTTGACTGAAGGTGAAAAAAAAAATCAGAAACGAACATATCAAAGCACGGGAAGTCGATCACCTCGCCCTCTGTGGTACCAATGCGCATATACATACTCGCTAGATTGCTCCAGCTTTCCCCATCCTCTTCATCAATTGTGACACAACGTGTAAAAGCGGCTCTGGCCTCTTCCCAATTTTCCACTCGCATGCAGGCACATCCCAACACAAACCACGATCGCGATAGAAGCGGATTGATGACAACGGCTTTTTTCAAGCATTCGATGGCCTCTTGGTATTGCCCTCGTGCAAAATAATAACCACCTAATGAACGCATTGCCCGGCCCGCGGTCTCCCCTGACAGAGCCCAAGCTTTCTGGTAATGGTCGATTGCGTGGTCTGGCTCGAGGTCCCCAAGGAGGCACCACAATTTGGCCTCCCGGGCAGTGTCCATACGAAGTCGATGTGCATTGGTCGTCGCTTGTTTTCCTCGGGCAAGGACAACATCCGCCTCAGCCTTTCTCCCCTCCAGCAAGTCCCGGACAATACGCTCGCCCTGGTCTCTGCGATCGAGCGCCTGCCAACATTTGACCACCTCTTCCCACATTTCAAGCCTCTCGAAAATCTCCAACGCGGAACGGACGACACCAAGACTTAGGAATCTTGATGCCAGCTCTTTTTCCATCTCCCATTTGCTCGGCAAAGGCAGCGCATGCACAAATTTCAGTCGGACTGCTGCCGGTGCCACTGTCGAATCTGTAGTCGGCATCTGTTCCACCAATGCTTGAAGTTGTAGTGTGGCGCGTTCTACCGTTCTCGTCCGATTCGCTTCTAGCCTCGCACGAAGTAGTAGAGCCATGGTGTGGACAGACCAATTCAGAGGATGAGAAATAACCCGCGCGACATATGGCGACATTTGTTCGGCGGTCAATCCATGGACGGGAGATGTGTTCTTCACATTCAAACACATTGAAAGCAAAATACATTGGTCAAGCGGATGCAGCGCTGGTTGCGATGATGGGTCAAGATGAGCAAGGCGATTATAGGCGGAGGGAGAAGAAGACGTAAAGACGGTCTGTTCAAGTAAAGTGTCGTCGTTGAGCGGTAAAGTCTCCGGAATATTTGCATGGCTTGGTGTGGAGGAAGCAGTGGCAGCTTTATCATCAAGTTTGAGCTGGCTCTCAGCGAGGAGGACGAGTTGACTCAGTTCCGTCTGCTGAAACTTGGTCCGCTTGCCCAAAGCCCCGGTGAGTTCATATTCCATACCTGTCGCCCTCGCAGAGCGTACGAAATATTCACCAGCCAGTTTGTCCTGCGAGAGAGTATGTTGTAGTAACCCCTCTTCGAGCTCCAAACGTCCCGCCAATTCGGCATCGCCGTTATAGAGCGATTTTAGAGGTTCCAGCGCCAGTAACAGAGGAGCAGGAACCGGGACGGGCTCGTCAAGTAAATGTTGGTGGACTGTGGCTGCACGGAGACGCCACCATAACACTGACGGACAATGCTCCGAAGCAGCGATCTCGAATAAATTTTGAGCAAGAACAAGTAGCATAGCGCACTTAGAAAGGTGGTACGCCGGTTCTCCGCCCATCGAGAGTTGAGAAACAGCCTTTTGGTTAAGAGCATCCTCTGAGTCAGCTTCAGAAGTTATCCGCAAAACATCGCGAACTCCAAAATCGAGTTCAGGACCCGTCCAGTTAATCTGAACGAATGCATGCAGGGATGCGATACCGAGGAAGAGAAGAGAAGCTGAGTCTTCAGCCGATGTTGGTGCCCTGAGTCCCGATCCCTCCAAAAAACTTGCCGTCAAAGCATTGACGGCGTATTGACTGGTGACTAATGCTTCACGAAAGTCGGCATCGACGACTGCTTTGGCTAGGAGAGCAAGTGTAGAAGACTCGGTGGAGATGGAAGGGTCCCATGAACCAAGTAAAAGGGATTTTTCGAGGACAGGGAGGTCCTGCATGATAAGGTCAAGATTTGAGAAGACATCGATCCGATTCGGAAATCGATCAACTCGCTTGTCTTCCCCACACTCCGATGGGGGTTCTTGGCTTATCCACATTCCTGCGAGAGAACCGCCACAAACTCGCAAATACCATCTCAACCGACAACACAAAGCCCCGCATTAATGTTGTGGTAGATGGGTGGTCGTGCGTGCTTTACTGCTCAGTTAAAAAATGACTCGGACCTTGGTTTCAGCTTCATTTACAACCTCCATCGGAGTTCTGGTCTACCTTGGACCTATGGCGGAGAGTATCCCGCATTCTTTCGCGTTGTTACTACAACTGTTAATGCTTGGGTAAACGCTGGCCTCAATGCCCATTTCGTATTTGACGGTGAGTTTCGTTCCGCTTTCGTCCGGCTATTGAACAATCTTCAGGGCCTGCCCCCAGCCTCAAATTCCCGACGCTCATCTCCCGCCTCACGCAAACCAATGTGACCAACTCACTCGTCTTTTTTAGAACTTCTGCCGCTTCCCGAACAAGTCGATTTCTTCACGAAACCAGAATCATTCCACCCTTCTGTTACACTGCATGTGTTGACTCGCTCGAGGAACTCGCACAAAAATCAGACCACGTTGTCATCCACCATGCCGATGAAGAAGGGGATCCCTTTGCGGTTGAGTTGGCCGGCAGACTCGGTGCCTTCGTCATTGGGACTGACTCGGACTTTGTGGTTCTGAATGCAGATGGCTACCTGGGCTACATTCCTCTTGATGAAATGGTCTGGAACGTCCCAGTCGTCGAGGAGACTGTCGTTGTGGAAAATGAAGAGTTCCAGCAGGTGCGCAAGCCAAAATCAAGGAAGCCAACAAATGCATCGACAACCGGGCGGGGCATTATTCCACCAGAAGTCGACTCTGGGCTTTCGTTGACTCTTTCCGTATATACCCCAGCAAAGCTTGCAGCCCACCTCGACGTCCCTATTCCACTCCTTCCGCTCCTCGGCGCTCTTGTCGGCAATGACTTTACGAACCAATCCTCCTCTCCCCGAAAAAACGTTCAACAATTATTCTTCGAGCGACATCTATCACTTGGGCAACGCATTACACGAGTAGCAGCAACAATTCATACTATCCTTTCGGCCTCTTCTCAAAAGGGAAAGCAAAAGCAAATTGAGAGCGTCATGGACCTCATAGATAGAACCGTGAACGCCCTTCTTGTCCGCTCTGTATCGTCAATGGGCTCGGGGGAGATCGAAGAAGTAATTGACAAGATAGTCGAGGCCACGTTGCAATATGCACTTCCCAGAAACGAAGATGGCCTTGTTGACCTTTGGCCAACAGACATCTGTGCGCTACATGAAGCGGATCTGTGTCCCATTTTGCCCATGTTTTCGCGGCTGGTGACTGCAGAGGCCTTGAAAGAAGACAGAGAAAACGACGACGAACTGCTTAGACGCAACGACATTAGAGGTCAATACTTGACCGCCTATAGACAAGGCCGCCTGCATTCTAAGGTGCTGGACGTTTTGAATACACAAACCTATTGGCCACGAATATTTCTGGAGGAGCCTAATCTGGAAACCGTCAGCAGGGTAATGGGACGTCCCATTCGCTTGTGGGGATATGCCATACTACATGACAGTCTTGGTTTGCCTTTGCGGCAGCCAATAGAGAATTCGGAGGTTGATGAAGAGGAGGAGCGGACAGAGGACGTGGAGTCTGAAGCTGATTCAGACGAGCTGGTCGATGTTGTTGAATCAGACTCTGATGACGAGCCGCCTCGAAAAAAAGACCTGTTAGCTCCGCTACGGGGGGCATTGTCTCGACTTAGCGGCGATGAGATGTCTGAAGCACCGCCATCATCACGTGCGGCAGTTCCGACGACTGTGGATGTACTGCCGACGGTAACGGAATATCTCCGACGTGGAACCCGAATCGCCGACGAACCGATGGTTGTTCCGTCTGTTCGGGACTTGGTCTCAAGCGCCGGCTTTGAGTTTGATGTCGGGACGGAACCAGTCGTTTTGAAGCCCGAACAAGACCGCTTTACCCTTCTGTTGAGGGTGCTTAGATCAGACACAAGCGGCGTTCGTTCCATCCCTCGTCAAAAACTGATGGCTGCACTGTGTTTGCGCTGGGTGTTGCAGACACTTTCTGACCGGGCTCTGGAAAGCGGGACGAAGGAGAGAGAGAAAGAGCGATGGACGAGACACGAGGCACGGTCTTTCCTCTCAGCATTCACGTGGGCAGATTCGCCCTCTCCCACAGCGCCGGAGACGTATCCAGCCATTGAGGATCGCAACGTCCAACTGACGGCGCAAATACTGGCGACACTGGAAAGCATCGTCAATCTTTCTCAGATTCTGTTGATCAGTGAGCGCCTGCCATTGCCTGCGTCTTTGTTCTCCGGCATGGAGTTCCACGCCTGTCTTACTGGTGCTCGCCCTACTAATGTCTCCGATGACTTATGGGATGCGTGTGTGTCGGACATTTCGGAGACGTTTGGGGACGAGTTGAAGAAGAAAAAGAAACCTAAGAGGAAAGAGGTAGTCACGCCGCCGAAGGGCAGACCAGTCAAGGGACTGTTTGATCTGTTAGCCAACGTAGATGCATGAAAGACGGTCATTTATACCCACCTGTTGGTTTCCATTGGGACCCAGGCGTCTATTTACAGCTCTGCACAGCATTGCTTTCTGCCATTTTCTCCCGCCCCCGTATGATGATGGCTGTGATACAGCCAACCATGAAATGTAGCATCGCCGCCCTGGCTGTGAATTGATTATTATAAAAGGTTCCTGCCTTCGCGCTGCACGGCAAACCCCAACTCTAGTACCTCCCCAACCGGCCCTCGGCAGTTATGGCGACCATTAAAACGACGACACCGACGCTTCCAGACTACATCACATATCGCTACGCCAATCGTCTGGTCTACGTTCGTCCAGCGACGACATACGATGTGAGCCCGGGCCGGGACTCCGCAGTGCATGAACTAACTGCCCTAGTCAGCGCTTGACATCGCTCAGAAAGAGTTTGTCGAGCTGGCGAATATCCCGCGAGATCGCATCTCATTCAACACCGTAGCGACTGTGAACAGGCATGAGCCACGGGTCGTGCGAATATCGGAGAGTGCATGGTTTGCAGCAGTTGCGCGGCAACTGTGTGGTGGAATCATCGACATTCTGGTGTCACCCGACCCAAACTCGCCACCAACCTACCTTTCGGTTCCAGCGGATATGGAAAAAGAGGAGGAAGACATACTGCGCCAGTCGAGGTCGACATCACCCCCACCACCAAGACGCTCATCACCTGGTAACAAGGGCGCCAAGCGCTCATGGCTACCACGGATCGGTTGACTTGAAGATACCCGCCACTGGAATTGTATTCGTAGCATTTTTTATCGTACACTGTGTAATTTTTGTACTATACCAAGTTTTCAGGTCCGGCTGTGTCGTAGAAGGGCCTTTGACCGGAATGTCGCATTGTACTGGAGCAAATTGTTGATGTCGCGCACCCAGTCGTCTTCCTTGCCCGGCCCGGCTCCCGCATGTGGTACATCGTCGTCTTCGGCAATTGATGACCGATTAATGCAAGGCACAGGGAAGGGTGAAGCATGGACTGTAACGGACTCGCCAGGCTGAAGCGTGTGTGAGGTCCGACCGTCCATTGAAACACCCGCTGGAGCCCGACTTCGGTCCCCGATCTTTGAAGAGAAATTACTAATTTTGCAGGACAGAAACGGCAGTATAGCTTACTCGGAGTGTTATTGAGGAGGAGGAAGGAAATACTAAGGGCCGAAAAGATAGACTCCGTGGGCAAATCGGCGTGAGAACGAGGGCGCTTAGAGATGGATGCACAATCGGACCGCCCGCCGAGAGCGAATATGCCGTTGAGCCGGTGGGTGTTGATACGATGAGGCCGTCAGACTGACAATGACAAGGTCAAGTCTCAAGATCTCAAGGCGAGTCAAGACACAGCTACTCACAACAGCCTCGGTAAGATGTTGTCCGTCAACAAATATGTCGATCGTGTTCAAATGGGCACTGGAACCTCGATGTAGGGCAATTTCGTTCATCACTTGCCAGTCTAAATTTAATGGGTGTTGGTGTTGGTGCGTGTAAATGAGAAAAAATGACGGACCGTCGCCAACATTTGTCTTTTTGCTCAGGCTCTCGTTGTAGAAGGTACACGCAAGCCGCATCCTATTGAGGATGGTAGCCTTGCCTTGGAACACACTCTCGAGAGCCTTGGCGAAATCGTCGATGTCTGGACAAATGGTCAAATGACGCTAGTGCAGGGCTGAGGGTCACTTGCGAAAGGGCAATAGAAATCCGAGAGTCCCCATCGAGAAGCTTAGTACTGGGGGAACAGCTCCGGCACTGAAGAGAGAGGATGCATGTAGAATGGTTCCGTCTCCCCCCAGTGTAACAACCAGGTCAATCTTCTCTGCTCGTTCACCTAATTAAGACTTGTGAATATATTGCTGCAGTGAAGGATATGCGAGAACGCACCAGATTGCCAGACTTCTGCGCCGTGCGGAATGTCTGGTCGATCCTCGTGAAAGACGCGGACTCCGGGGTATGTTGAGTGGACATGTCTAGAGGGAACAAATTTGAGTATTCAGAGGGAATTGATGATGGCTGACTCGAGAAAGGCGTCGATAGCAAGAATTACAGGTTGTGTGCGTAGTTTGTTGACGATGAGGATGGATTTCGGTGGATGGGGAAATTGGTTCCATCTAAACAGACCACAGTCAGCATTAAGTTGGTTGGAGGATTACTGAATCACGATGGAGCTTGTTGCAATGTGCCTAGTGCCCTGCGACCAAACGCTACTCTGCATGAAGCGCGGAGGGCAGAAAACATGGTGATGATTGATGGAGACCAGGAATTAGGTCACATGAGCGTGCTCGCGACGTTGAATTGCTTGACCAAAACTTCCATGGACTCGAAGCGGCCCCTAACCCGCTCGCAACTCGTCGTCCCGGATACAATTCTCCGATCGCCACTTACAGCAGCCAAACAGCGCACCTACAACGATCACGACGAAAGTGAGGACGAGATTTTGCTCTCCCCCAACAAGGCCAAGCCGCGGTCAAAACGATCAGCTTCCCCTACTCCCGCGGACGGTAATGCAGTAAAGCGCCTCAAATTCGACCCAGAAATCGCCAGAGACACGGAAAACAAGCATACTCGAAATAATTCCGAACCGTTTCCCGTCCACTCGAAGCCTGGCACGCCAAAGGGTCGAGCTCGCTCAGTTCCGCTCCTTACCCAACCAACTACTACCAGTTCCTGGCAAAGGCGGGCTCGCTCGCGGTCTCCTTCCAAGGAGGCAGACTTTCAGCCCACCTTCTTTTCCTCTCTACCGTCAATTACAGAATCCATGCCACCTCCCATTCTTCAACTCCCTTCCGCTCCCACGACTCCTTCAACGAATCAACTACGTATACCCGCCACCCCAATGTCTCCATTGACGCCGCTGCCTGCAACGCCTCGTGTGGACAAGCACCAACCGGAAGCGGATGACTTTCCGCGGACAATTGGGTGGGGAGCGGATGTAGAGGTGCGTCTTTTAACCTTGCAGGATTTCTCATTTAATTTTGCTATAGGAAGTACGGCGAATAGAGGCTCTGCCAGCTCCCACCGAAGCGCCAGCGCCAGAACCTAAAGTACCAATGCCGCCATCACCACCACCACCACCACCACCAGCCCATCGTCGTGAAACAGCCGAATCAAGTAGAACCACGAGAAGAACCACCAAACCCTCGCAACTCCCTCGCCCTCCAATTGCGGGTCCATCAAAAGCTCCTTCTAAATCCATGGCACCGCCACCAGCTCCCTCTGTGCTAAAGAAGAATTTGTTTCACTACTTTGGAGATCAATCCAACGCAAAGAACACGAAGCCGGTGGATAAGGTAATGGAGAAGGGTAAAGCAAAGGCAGAGCCGGCAAAGAAACCCATCAAAGGGAACATGCGTGCTCGCGAGAAACCACAGGCTCTACCTCTGCCTCTACCTATAATTCAGCGCCTACCCGACGAAGATGACGACGAGCTGTTTGTCTCACGGCCTATCATAAGACCAACAGCAACTCAACCAACGGAGTCTACTCGGTCATTAAGTCCTTTGACAGACTTGGAAGATGACGACCCCGTTCCTGCTCCTGCAGTCAGACCCAATGATCTACCTCCCCTCAGCCCATTAACAGAGCCTACCGATGACGAGCTTGTGCCAGAGGTCATGATAGATGATATTCCCGTACCCTTGGACACCGAAACTCCTCCCAGTCCATTAACCGAGCCCACCGATGACGATCTTCCGGTTATTGAAGACACAATGATCCCACTTCCACCGCCTTCTTCTTCACCAGTCGAAGAGGGAGAGCTAGATCTGCCCCCCATGACCGTCGACCGGGCTGGAGAGGAACCGTCGACAACCGACATAGAACTACCTTCAATGGCCGCACCAGCAGAACAAATTCCAGACCCTCCTGGCAACATTTCTCCGCCCACTATCGCGGGAGATGATGCACATTCAACACCAGCAACAAATCCTACTGTCAACGATGTTGTTGTTGTGCCTGATTCTTCGCTCCAGTCCAAAGCTCGACCCAAATCCCGCGTAGGAAAGCCACGTGCCCCACCCCCGTTGCCTGCAGACCGAGTAACTCGCAGCACGTCTTTGAAGAGGAAAGAGGTAGACGACGGGCCGACCCAACGAACCTTGATCTCTTTTGGAGTCGGACCTGCCAAAATGATTGGTAATCCGGCGAAGAAACAGAAGATGGATGCGCCGCCTTCGCCTTCAAAGATACCGATTCCTTCGCCAAGCAAGATTTCTTCTTTCGCTAGTCCGACCAAGGCAAGCAGTGCTAGGGCTGCAGCTACCCGCAAAAAGCCGGTGTCGGCAGTTGCGGGGCCAAGTAGTGGTTCTATGTCTCCCGCCAAGAACAGATTGGACCGTGCAAGTAGTGTATTTAATACTCGTCCTCCGCGTAGGTTCAACAAACACCAATATATTCTCTCAGCTTACATTTCCCTTAGCTCTATTCCCTCGCGCTTTCACGGAGGGATCCTCATCCCTGCAATCACTGACGACGGCATTGGAACGCCTGCGAGCTCCCCCGCCAGAAAGACCTAATACCAGTTTAGGCTTTAGTCGGGACGATGTTGAAACGAGTCTGGGAGAGTCGTCAAAAAGTGTGGACGATAGGAACATCGGGCTAGGCCGGCCAAGTAAAGGTGCATTGCAACGAGCAACAACCGTTGCATCCATTCCCAGTCGTTCTTCGTCTTCCTCGTCAATTGCGGAATCCTCCAGTGCTGCGGCCACCAAAACTCAACTCGTCCAACGGCCGCTCACGTCCTTCTTGAACGGGAAATCAGGGGGAACGGCCAAATTGGCGGTTGGCGGTGGATCTATTCTACGTGGTGGAGCCTTTTCTGCTCGCGGTAGAATGGCACCCAAAGTCAGTCGCAATCCTGGGCTACCAAGTGTTATGGGGAGTCCAGTCAAAGGCGGGACTTCTGGGGCCGGTGAAGGTGGTGATGCGCCAATGTTGGAAGAGGAATTAGGGCCTCCACAGGCCGACACCGACCAAGCTGTGGAACGAGTGACATCTCCTCGAAGCGTGACGTTCGACTTGGAGAGTCTTGGATTTGAGCCGGCGAAAAGGGTCAAAAAGAAGGAGATCCTTGCTGACTGGAAGTCTAATGCATCGAGGCGGGCTTCCATGGCCCTACACGAGCTTTCCAAGTCTATTTCGCTGCCTATTAAGCCTATGGGACCACCAGAATCACCCGCGGACCGTCTAGGGATGCGAAGTTCTAGTAGCAGTTACCCTTCAAGCTCATCGTCAACGGATGCTACAGGCTCTGTGGATGTTGAAGGGATGCGGCGGAGTACACGAATTGCGAAAGCCGCAGTGGCTGATATGTCTGTCGATGAAGATGTCGCTTCTTCTTCAACAACACCCGCGCCGCTTACAGTGCTCAAAGGCTGTGTCATTTTTGTGGATGTTATTTCTGAGATGGGTGATGACTCGTTGCGCTCGTTATATTCCGACACATTGAAGACTCTTGGAGCTCGAGTTCGTATTTACTAGCTGCTCTCGAGCATTATTTGACTGACTCGACAACAGATTCAGGGGAGCGTGGGCCAAACTTGCACGCATATTGTCTACAAGAATGGGCTGCGCAGCACCTATAGCAAGTACAAGTAAGATCTTGTCTGTTTCCAATCTCTACCACTGACAATTGCCCAGGGCATTATCCGAACCGCGGCCATTCTTGGTTGGAATGGAATGGGTGGTCAAATGTGCTGAGACCAAGACGCGCCAGGACGAGACCCCATATCTCATTGATCTTGACGACATGAACACGACTGCTCCCAAGGTAAGCGATGTTGTTTTGCTGACAGGGGGCTGACGCGGTCATGTGACAGCGCCGCAAAACAATGATGCCGTTATTCGGGTCGTCCGTTGGCGATGATAGCATGGACGAAGGTCATTCGTTGGATATTTCCTCAAACTGTAAGACATCTTTTTTCCGCGTCAAATCGCCCTAACGAGTTGCAGCGATTATAATGGGCGATGATCTCACCCCGCTGGAGCGTGCGCGACAACGCAAAGCCGCTGCGACTCTTGGTGCCTCATGACGTAACGACTGTCCTTTCCAACTACTTTATTCTTTAAATACCTGCTCCCCACATACCACTTGTTGCGCGCACTTGCGAAAACCAGAATGTATTCACAACAACCTTGGAATTGTAGTTACTCGATGTGTATGCCTTTCTTTTTGCCCGTTGATGCTGTCCAACTTTAATCCTAAGTTTACATTCTTGTTTCACTTTGTGGCAGATCACAAGCTTCATGCCTCTACGACCTCTCCGCCCACCCGAATATTCCAGCCGAGCTGCTCGTAAGTCCAGCCGAAGACTGTGCCATCCTTCTTGTCGTCGAATGCCAGAAGGGATTTGTGTAGGCCAGGGCTTTTGTGTAGGGTGTTTACAGTCGTGAAGTCTTCTTCCGACAGTTTCACGAGCTACGAGGAACTTAGTTTGTTCGTAATATGTGAACAATAAGCATACAGTGATGTTAGCAAGCATTCTTCCGGGATCTTCGCTCTTGGGCACGATGATCGTGCCTCTCTGGACGGCCCATGACAGTACAATTTGTGCCGTCATACAGCTGTTTTTCTCTGCCAGTTTCTGGATCGTAGGGTCTTCAAAGAAGAACGTGGAACGTCCTGTTCTATAGAATCAGGCGTTGCGAAGGAGATGCGTAGAAGGTCGGCTAACCCAGTGGACTATACGCTGTGAGCAGGATACCCTTCGATTCACAGTACTCTTTGAGATCGTTCTGTGGGTAGCACGGATGGAGCTCGACCTGGTTGGTGGCAGGCACGACCGAGCAGTGCGGTAGGAGAATTTCAAGAGTCTTGATCGAGAAGTTGCTGACGCCGATGTTCTTGACGCGTCCTGTTGTTGTTGTTTAAGATGGCAAATGATGAGACGATTCTGCATAAGTTGCACCTGTTTCCAAGAGTCCCTCCATCTCTTTCCATGTCTGGACAATCGTCGGCTCCTCCTCAGGGCTCAAGATTTTGCCTGGCAATCAATGTCATGTAAAATCAATGAGTAGGATGCGACCAACCATCCTTGAAAACTGTTGATCAAGGGTCAGCCGGGCATGGGAATACTAACGGGGCTCAACGAACCCTGTGGCCAATGCACAAGATAGAGGTCGATATAGTCGACATCAAGGCGTTGCAGGGACTCTTCGAATGATTCCTTGACATTATGGTCGCCTCTGCATTCTGTGAGTTTGTAAATGGATAGAGTGTAAGCTTGATACCTAAGCTTGGTGGTCACAAAGAATTCGCTCCGTGGGATGCCCGAATCTCTGATGGCCTTGCCTACTTGCTCTTCGTTTGCTTAAACAAGTCTTCAGCGCGGGGGTGCTTGGAAGATTTCTCTGTTTACCATAGCCGGCTGCCTGTGTAGAATGTAGCAATTAATCCCACCAAGGAAGCGACAAACCGTATCGAGATGCCGATAGCCAGCCTTGGAATTCGAAATGTGAGGTCAGACAACGAGGTTATACCCTCAAATACCTTGAATGCATTCGAGCACATGTCGTAAACGCGCTGCCCGCCACCAGGAGCGCCCATCCAACAACTGTGCGGAATTGATGCGAATTGTTGAGAACAGGATGAGCAAGGCATACCCAAGGCCAACAGAGGGCATTTTATTGCCATTGTTCAAAGAAAATTGAGGAATTTCGGTCATTTCGAAGTGAGTCAGTGTGGCGGTCGAGTTGGAGTATCTCCCGGGCTCGCCCGGCCCGTGATGTTCTCAAGTTGATGATTTGATCGCATCACGGTACTTCATCCGCATCCGCCATGGCGAGCAAGGCGTACCTCGCTGAAAAGTACATGTCTGGGCCAAAGGCCGACGCTATTCTCGCGCGGGAGGCATCACACAAGAAGAAGAAGCGAAAGGCACCGACGAATGCGCCTGCTGCCAAGTCATTTATTGTTGACACCGACGGCGGGTGGGGTGACGAGACGCGAGGAGAAGAGGCGGAGGAAGTTGAGGAGGTCATTGTTGCATCAGACAGGTCGTTCAAGAAAAGGAAGGTTGGCGAAGGGTCTGGATGGACAACAGTGCAGGGAGGAAATAAAGAGGAATCACCGCCGCCAGCAGCAGACGAGCAGCCCCAGATAGTTGTGGAGGAGACTCCGGTGTTGGGTGGCCTTGTGAGCGCTAAACAGCTGAGCAAGGCACTTCCACAATCCAATGTCGACCCCGTCGCAACGGCGGAAGAAATTGCATTGGCGCAAGAGACGGTCTATCGAGACGCGCAAGGCAAGAAGATAGACACGAAAGCAGCACGCGCGGAAGCAGCCCGGTTAAAGCGAGAAAGGGAGGAGAAAGAGGCCCAAAAGATGGAATGGGGCAAGGGCTTGGTTCAACGTGATGAGGCAGAGAAAAGGAGACAGGAATTGGAGAAGCAACGCAACTCGAAATTCGCCAGACACGCGGATGATGCTGACCTCAATGAAGAACAAAAGGCAAAAGAACTCTGGAATGATCCAGCAGCCCAATTCTTGACGGTGTGTCCATTTGTTTATCCAATTTGCGTGTCCACCACTCACCAAATCAACAGAAAAAGCGCGGCAAAGGGCCTCGAAGACCCGAGTACTCTGGTCCTACGCCTGCGCCAAATCGCTTTGGAATAAAGCCTGGCTACCGATGGGACGGTGTTGACAGAGGAAACGGATTCGAAAAGAAGATGTTCCAACGGATGAACGAGAAGAAGCGACAAGGCAACGAGACTTATAAATGGTCTGCTGAAGACATGTAACGGGTGTGTGTGGCTTTCTTTCGCGAATATTTAGCTCACTTGAGCAGCGACTACTGTGTTAGCTTCCGAATATTTCCGTCGCGAATTGACGCGTCTCGGTGGATGGATGACTGCGACCCTATAGCGCCATTGCGCTTGTCATTCCGTGTAGGATTGGAGACCTTATTTGGTTGTATCGTACACTTCTGTACTCATCGGTTGGCCGAGCGAATCCTCCAATCGCAGCGATTCTAGTTACCGAACGAGCCCTAAATGGCTCTTCTGCGGATCCTTGCTCGTCGGAGGTCCACCCTTCACCGAAAAGAAACGATCCTACTCCTCCCGAGAGAACAAAGCGTATAAAAGTAAGTCGAGTCACGATTGGAGCGCCAGTCGCGTTTACAAACAGTCGAGAAACAAAGGTAAGAGCTTCAATAAAGACTCACACAAACGATGATACCATTCTCCCCCCATTACAGTATGTCTTCAGTCCCAAGACTCGTCGTTATTGGTGCTGGATTTGCCGGAATGTGGGCAGCACTCAGTGCAGCGCGCAAACGCGACTCGGCAGGGAAGCCAGATCAGTCTGTCGAGATTATCTTGGTCGCCCCAGAGCCAACTCTTTTCATTCGTCCTCGTTTCTACGAAACACATTTCCACGACGCCAAAGCCCCGCTGCAGCAAGTATTTGACGCAGCTGGTGTCCGCTACGTGCAAGGCACCGTCGTAAACATCACGGCCGGCACCCAATCCCTCCAGTCCATTTCCTCGACCGGAGAAGTGACGACACTTGCCTATGATCGCCTGGTTCTTGCGAGCGGGAGCAAGCTATATCGGCCACAGAGCGTTCAAGGCCTTGCGGAATTCGCATTTGACGCCGATGAGATGACAACTGCGTATAAACTCGACGCTCATCTCAAGTCACTGGCTGGTATGGCTTTCTCGGTCGCGCGCAACACCGTTGTGGTCGCGGGAGGAGGCTTCACTGGGGTAGAAATCGCAGCGGAGATGCCTCGCAGGTTGCGAGAGATTCTTGGCCAAGAAACGCCAGTGAGAGTGATTCTGCTCGAGAAAGGCGACAGAATCGATTTCATGGGAGACAAACCAACACCGGTTGTCGAAGAAGCGCTCAAAAGCTTGGAAGTTCAAGTCTTGACTGGACAAAGCGTCATTTCAATCGACGAAAACGGAGTTACAACTTCATCTGGCCTACACCTGGAGAGCAAAACCGTCATTTGGACAGCAGGGATGCGTGCCAGCGACCTCACCACCCAGCTATCTAGTGAGCGTGATAGCCTCGGCCGGCTACTCGTTACGCAAGAGCTCCAGCTTCCTGGTAGCGACGCCATCTTTGTGGCTGGAGATACAGCAAATGTGGCTGCTGACGACGAGGGCCATGTGGTGCTGATGTCGTGTCAGCATGCGATGAATCTCGGCAAGACTGCAGGGAACAATGCGATGGCTGATTTGTTGAACCTTCCCCGCATTTCCTACAGTCAGCCTGTGTATGGGACTTGTTTGTCGTTGGGGCCATGGGGCGCCTTGTTTACTATGGGCTGGGAGCGCGAGGTCGAAATGGTGAAGGAAGCTGGGTATGAGATGAAGACGCAAATCAATACTCAGTTGATATACCCTCCTCCTCCGATTCGCGCCAAGATCTTCGAAGAGGCAAACCCCAGTCTTCAGGTTATAGCATAGATTATGCCTATATTCCATTCAGACACCTCCACTCAACTGTTCAATTGACAACCTACAAGTTCGCTTGATCTGCGTGAACTGGCGGAGGTAATTGGGTAGTAGGACGAGTGTAACTGCGAAAGTTGACTGTCTTCGCTGACTAGTTGGGTCGTAAACTCGAAAGGTGCCTGATTTGTTGTGGTTTGTCGCGTGGGCATGCGAGGGGCAGCACTCAACCGGTCCAAGTTGAGCAATACACGATAACCCTGCGAACAGAGCTCGTCAATTGCAAGATAACAGACGGTAGAACGCACACAGAAAGAAAAGACTGAGAGCAGCCAGCTATTGGTTACGTCAAACTCTTGGATCATCATTATCTGGTGGAAATTCGCACCAAAATAGGACAGCTGCAAAATAATGGTTCTTCACTTCGTACAGGGACGCAGTTCCGACGACCACCGCTGCTTTATTTAGTATTCGGTCGGCGAAGAAGAGAAGCACACGCACCAAATAAAAGTACGAAAGCCCAGCTGCCATCCCTCATAACAAGAACTACCAGTGGAGTGTCTCCCCATCCATCGCGAATCGCCCGCACAAATTTGATCAGGGTCAAGCTGAACAGAAATGTTTGAAAGAGTAAAGTAGCACCACTGGGTTGTTGATTAGAGAGACATGATGCAGATCTTCCGACTCCACTCACACGTAGAGCAATAAAATGGTTGATGCATGCGAAACCACGCATAGCTCATCGAATTGGATGGTCGGGAGGGACAGAACCAGCCCAGTAACCATCAAAACCACCTCTGTCGCAAATGCAACGAGAACAATTTTCCGGATCAAAGGATTGTTGTGGTAAAGCGCGTAAACTAGGAGAGTTTAGATGGACTGTAACACAGCAGAGAGGGCCAGCGTACCTCTGAGAATCAGTACGTAGTCGACGGCCACAAATATTGTAATGGTCGCAGTGACTTGATAGACTTGCCAGATGAAGCATGCGTGGTGAGTGAAGTGGAAGCCTGGGGTCAGTTCGGGCGACCCAATGGTGAGGATGGATCTGGATTTTGGTTAGACGATAGGAAATCATAAAGAATGAGGTGTGCACAGTTGAACGAAGAGAGGTACATAACGGATAAAGTAGAACACGGCCTTTATTATTGACCAGGGTTTCCTAGCGCACATCAGTGGGGAACTGGGGGATGAGCCGGACCTACGGCCAAACATATTTGACCTGCAAAAACTATAACGGTGAAAGAAAAATGTGTCCTTTGTCTCACCTCGTCCTCGAATGTCAAGAAAATGTCATACAAAAGCCAGGTCAGCGCGGCAACTGAATGAACTTGAGCAGACACTTTAATTTGGCCACGGTCACGAACGAGAGCTGCGGTAGTTGACCTGGGTTGCATAGATCCTGTCAATGACATCCTGGCCTTGCATGAAGGGGGAGAAGGTAAGCCAGGTAAGCGTCCAGCGACCAACCCTTGGTCAAGCAATTTGAGCCGGCATGACAGGCGCACATCAAGCGCAAATCAAGCGACATATTAGGAGACGCTTACCTGAGTTGACGTAATCGTTGAGATGTCACAAACATTTTTTGGATGAGTGCGACGAAGACGGTGACTGTTCTTGGTAAACGCCAGAGGTCGCAGCTCGTTTTGCGAGTATCTTCAAGTCCAGAACCATTCCACGCTCCAAAATCAATTGCAGTCATTGTTAATGGCAGTCTTGTACCCTCCGAAACGAAGAAACGCTACCAATGTCTTCATCAAGGATGCTCGAAATCGTATACCAAACCATCTCGACTAGAGGAGCACGAGAGGTCTCACACGGGGCAGGTAAGGTATTCAACCTGCGGCAATACGCGTACACTAAAAGAAGTCAGCGTCCTTTCACTTGTGACCAATGCAACAAGTCTTTTCTCCGCGAGAGTCATCTCCACGCCCATTTCCGTAGCCATCTCCCAGACTCGGAAAAACCTCTTCATTGCGAGCACCCCAACTGCGAGAAGAAATTTTGGACCGCGCAACATCTTCGTGTCCATACTGATTGGCATAATGGTGCAAAACCGTTTACTGTGCGGTTCAAATCAACACATATGCCGCAGATTCTAACCTTTCTCCAGTGTCCAGAAGATAACTGCGGCGAGTCATTTGCCAAAAACCACCAACTAAGATCCCACCGATGTACTGCCCATGCTGCACCAGGCACTAAACCATACCAATGCGAACACGAGGGTTGCGATAAGTCATTTTCTACTAGTCAGCATCTACGCACGCACTCCAAAGTTCATGATGGTAATATATCGCGCTCGTTTGCTCAAGGCTTGCACTGATAATGACTGCAGATAAACGCTACACTTGTGCCAATTCAAGTTGTTTGTCCAGAGGGAGTCTAACCTTTTTCCCGACTTGGACCGCGCTACAACATCACAATCGCACATTCCACCCACCTACATGCGATCACCTCTCCTGTAGCGGTCGATCCTTCACTTCTCAGAAGGGTCTGCGAGGGCATATGAAGCTTCACGAGCAACAAGATGCCGAAGCTGCATTCGACGCTGCCGCACTTTCGGAAAATGACGATCGACCCTGGAAAAAGCGTCGTGGAGGCAACTTTGGTCGAGAATGGAAGTGTCAAGTTGAGGGGTGCGACAAGGAATTCAAGTCGGTCTGTACCATTCCGCCTATCTCGTCCCATGCGCTCATCTCCACCTTAGGAAAAGGCTTTGACTACGCACTTCAATATTACCCATCTTGGGCGTAGGGATTTCCAATGCTCTACCTGCGAACAAACCTTCGGTTATAAGCATCTTCTCCAACGACATGTCGCTAAATGCCACACTACTCCTTCTGAGCCCCCAAGTTCCGGAGACGAGGATGAAGAAATTCAGCCAGTCGTTCCGCCCCAATTGGACATTGGTGCTATAACTGGTGTTACTTACACCCGGGGTGCTCTTGAGAAGCTTGCTGCCACAACAGCTCTTCGTTGTCCGCATCCAGACTTGCATGGATTAGACCCGGACTTGGGGATTCCGACGTCAACCCCCTGCGAGTACGTCTTCAGTCGCGCATATGATTTGCGTCGCCATCTCCAGGCGACACACAACGTGGTTCTCGACAAAGAAGTCGTCTTGAGATGGGTTCAGCGGGTCAAGAACGCTCGTTGACCTGACAAGGGAAGCTTGTAAGCTTGATCGCTGTTTATAACCACGTTTGGCTGACACTTAACGGTAGAGAGTAGACCTTATTCGCTTATGTAGCAGCACGAAAATTGGCACGTTTCCTTGGCTGTACATACGTCTGCGTTTCAGACCAGGGAATATAAAGGCGGGATCTCGATGCCCACAGGCTACAAGGCAGCCATGCGGTTTATTCCTTTCTACTGGCTCGGACTCTTTGCTGTGGCACGCGCCACTGCCAGCGCGGATTCCTATCTTGACGCTATGCTCGCTAACATTGGCCCCAAAGCCTCAGGTGTTCCAGCCGGAATAGTCATCGCCTCGCCATCGAAAAATAATCCCGACTACTTTTATACGTGGACGAGGGACTCGAGCCTCGTGTTCAAGGCCGTGGTTGACCGGTTGAGTGGCTTTCTCTCCTTTTTCTGGCAACCCCATTCAAATGAAAATAGTTACAGTATTGGCGACCGAGCTGAACTGCAAACTCTCATCGAACAATTCATCCAGGTTGAAGAAAAACTGCAGAGTGTTTCGAATCCTTCTGGCACCATATCCTCTGGAGGCCTCGGCGAGCCTAAATTCAATGTCGATCTGACCGCATTTACGGGTGCTTGGGGGTGAGCGGATTCTTCTCTGAAAAAGTCTCGTTCGTTAAACAAGCTCAAGTCGGCCTCAGAGAGGTTATTTTTTTCTCCGATAGAAACCATATCTCTGTTTACAACATCTAGACGGACCTGCTCTTAGGGCCATCGCTGTCATGACTTACGCTAGCATTCATACCACAAACGCCTCATTTTGGCCGATGGTGAAAGCTGACCTGGACTACGTGATGGCGGACTGGAATCTATCGACGTAGGTTTCGCTGCTTCTGACTATCAGAAATGATTTTTTGTGGCTATAGTTTTGATTTATGGGAGGAGGTCAACTCGTCTGGGAGTTTTTTCACCTCTGCTGTTCAGCATCGCGCTCTCCGACAAGGCGCAGGATTCGCAAAATCCCTTGGGCTCACTTCCGTCGCCGCTGCTTACATCACCGCTGCCGACAGCATTCTTTGCCTCATGCAGAGTTATTGGAGCAACTCTGGGTACATCATGGCCAACAAGGGGGGCGGCCGCAGCGGCAAAGATGCTAACACAGTGTTGGCCAGCATCCACACATTTGATGCGGCTGCTGGCTGCGACCCTCTCACCTTCCAGCCCTGTTCCGACAAGTCCCTTGCTAATTTGAAGGTTTACGCAGACGCTTTCCGCAACATCTACCCGATCAACACCGGAAATGCCCCCAATGCAGCAGTGGCTACGGGAAGATACCCCGAAGACGGGTACATGGGCGGGAATGTGAGCTTAAGCGGCCTTATATATCCGTCTAAAACTCTCTCTTAGCCGTGGTACTTGACGACCTTCGCTGTCGCCGAGCAACTCTATCGCGCTCTTGGCGTGTGGAAGGCGCAGGGCTCACTCACAGTCACCTCCATCTCCCTCGCATTCTTCCGTCAGTTCGCGCCTGATGTCGCTGTTGGGACATACACAACCGACTCCACCGTCTTCGCGACCCTCACACAAGCAGTGACTTCGTATGCAGACGGCTTTATGGCGGTCAACGACAAGTACACACCTGGAAATGGAGGGCTCTCTGAACAATATAGTCGCTCAAATGGAAGTCCTGTCAGTGCTTCAAGCTTGACTTGGAGTTATGCCGCAGCGCTGACGGCCTTGAACGCCAAAAATGGACAACTTTCGGCCAGCTCAAAGTGGGGTGGAGACGGACTAACATTGCCACGCGGATGCTCTTCCACCGGTGGGGGTGGGGGTGGAGGCAGTGGACCGACCGTTAATGTCGTTTTTGACCTGAACGTCGAGGCCTCTCAAGGAGGTAAGTTTAAGTCGTACCTGATGATATTTAACGAGCTACTCCAGATACTGTTTATGTTGTCGGTTCGCCGGCCGAGCTCATGCGCTGGGACACGAATAATGCCATCCCACTTAGCCCAATCAATTCAACAGCAGAATCAGGTGCGTATTTGTCCGTCATGTGACCTATACTAATTATGCGTAGTAACTATCGCCTTTCCTGCAAACACCAGTGGAGAATACAAGTATCTGCAAAAAGCGAATGGTGACTCCACGGTCCAGTGGGAGAACGGCCCAAATCGAGTCTTCAATTCTGGAAACGGAACTACGCTGCACGATGTGTGGAGCTCTGGCGGGGGTGGAGGTGGATCGAACGGGGCAGCAATCAACGTTACTTTTCACGAAATGGTCTCTGTAAATGCAGGGGGTAAGCCGAGCCGTTTCCTCGAGGAATTTCACCATGAATATGTCTTGCCAGAACAAGTCTATATTGTTGGCTCGATTTCTCAGCTCAAGAACTGGAACACGAACGACGCGGTCGCCCTTTCTGTTTCTAATGATGTCTGGAGCGGTGAGTAGAGTGCAACTGATCTAATCACGGATCTAATCACTCCACCAGTCACAATCGAGCTTCCCGCCAACACAAAGAACATTCAGTACAAATACATTCGCAAATCGACACACGTCGTCTGGGAGTCGGACCCCAACAGACAAATATCTACAGGAAATAGCCCTATGACGGAGAACGATACATGGAGATAGGGGGGGACTTCTACTCTCTACCCTCTTCCGAGTCTTCGAAATAATGAGTACATCTTTCTGATTTGTTTACCGAATCTGCTTCTATAGCATGAGCTCACGCGACAAAGCGTTCACGCGGAGTTGTTCACTCCATGCTGCCGACTTGTTGCTCCGCTGCGCCAGCTTCCAGCACGCCACGAGCTAATTTTAGACGTCAAGGCAAGCAAGGAACTTAGTTTGGAATGCGCGGACCTTTGAGCTCGGCCTGCGTGCGTTCAACTTCCTCCTGGACCATTTCGATCGAGCGGAAGTATTTGACGGTCTTGACATGCAACTCTGCCAGAGGAAAATCCATCAGCTTCGCGCGATAGTCACCATGTGGGTGCTGACCGGCTGTCGCGTCTTCATCGACGACGATGAGCGCCCAAGGGTGGAGCTGCAGTGCTGAAAGGGTCCACTGGAGGAAAAATTAGGACGTCGGTTGTTGGATCAGAAATAACCAACAAGATGGTTAACGCCCTCCTCTGAATTGATGAGCTTCTTCATCGCAAGTTGGGAGAAAAAGACGCACCAATAGCCTTGCTTAGCGCAAGGGCCTTGTTTTGTCCGGTGACAACGACCACGACCTCCCGACTGTCGAGCACAGTTGCAACACCTACAGTGAGGGCCATCCGCGGGACCTGGCTGATGTCATTGTCGAAGAAACGGGCGTTGGCGAGGATGGTGTCGTATGCAAGCGTTTTGATACGAGTGCGTGAAGCCAAAGAAGACCCTGATTGGGTTCACAACAACGTTCGGAATGGAAGAAAGGATGCACCTGGTTCCTATTTCACAGTGATCAGCGCGAAAGAAGAGAGAGTGACGGGGGCAGCGACCGACATTGAATGCGATGTGGCCGTCAGACCCAATCCCGCCGAGGAAAAGCTCGATTCCTCCAACGGCCTTGATTTTGGCCTCGTATGCGTTGCATTCGCCAATCAGGTCTTCAGCGTTTCCGTCTGAGAAGTGGTGAGCTTAATTAACGACAGATAACAAAGCACTGACTGAGGATATTGACCTGGGAAGGTGGGATGTCGACTGCACGGCATAAGCGAGTGAGGAAAAATAGTGAAACAGCGTACTGTGCGAGAAGAATTCGCGAAACATGAACCTAGCCGTTGCTCTCAGTCTTGCCCCAGGGAAAAGATGGAAAGTCGTACGTGTGGTAAGACTCCGAATGGTCTTTAGGCAGGCCAACATATTCGTCCATGTTGAAAGTGATAACATTTTTGAAGCTAGGCCGTGTCAGATAACAGTTGTGTGTGGCGAGAGGAGGGGGGGCAGACGTGATTTTGCCATCCTTGACTAGTTTTATGAGTGCCTTGTAGGTTGGGATGGGCGAAGAGCCAGTTGGCAAGCCCAGCACGAATGGACGCTCTTGAGTAGGCTTGTAGTCGTTGATACGCTTGCAAATATAGTTGGCAATGTAGTCGCCGACGGCACGGGGATCGTCACGAATGATGAGACCTGGGGTTTGACTGTGAGCGATGTTCTGGTCAGCGTAGGGGCATTACGCATGGGTGGTGGTGGTGGAGAAAGACAAGGGTGGCCATCTAGAATAGGTCAAAGAGTGAGCCATATGGTCGCTGGATTAGGACGGCGCTGGTCATCGATAGAAAATCTCAGGACCAACGTTTCTCATCAACCACATGAACTATCTCGTACGTCCAGCTCTTCTCTTCCACCCGGCCACCCGAGCCGCCAGCACAGCGTCTAATAATGACTGGCCACACGCAATTCACGCTTCCTCTCGGCTGACTCATCGAAAATCTGTCTTTCTCGCACATGCGACTACACTCTCCGAGCCCGATTCTCTTCCCCGACTGCTCGACCACCTACGCAAATCTACCAAACGAGCAACTCATTGCATGGTCGCTTTTCGCGCAAACGGAGTTGAAGGACAGATGGACGGTGGGGAGAGTGGGAGTGGTGAGCGGCTGGCGCGTCTTCTAAAGTTGAGCTGTGATGATAATGTTGTGGTCGTCGTTTGGCGTTGGTATGGTGGCGTTATGCTTGGAGCGTCTCGCTGGTCTTGCATTTCCCAAGTCGCGAAAGAGGCGCTCGAACTGGGGGCGTTTCGCAAACCACCAGAAAAGCAAAACACCACCAAAAGGAAGAAGGGCTAGACTTCGTCCAGCAACGCTACCATACTCCGGAGAAATGACACGGTAATTTCTTCGGCACCAGAAGACTCCGCTGGGTACCGCAAACCATCCTTTGGGCCCGCAACAGCCCGATTATCTGGTTGATAGCTGGATTGAAGCTGCAGAAAATAGATTCCGTGGAGAGGAAGGAGTCGCGCAAGCAAGTAGTTTTGCATATAAACTGAAGTACTTTAGGCATCTTCATTTACAACATTGTGAACGCACCTTGGAGGTTATAATATGCTGCCCAAGGGTCTTTTGCAACGCCAGCAAAGGGCTCAGATACGAAGCCGTGGTACCAACTTGCATGCCATATGAGGGTTTGTGTTCTATTTTCCGAGTTGCGGGGAATGCGGGCGAGGGAGTGGAGGACATCAGGGAGAAAGTTCGTCTTGGTGATATGCAAGGCTGCGTTTGCGATGGACGAGTGTGTGGGTCGAAGGTGGGGCTCGATCTCTTCGAGGAATGTCCAGTTTCCTTGAGGGCTGTCGCCGCCATAGGTCCATGCAGGGGCAGGAATAGGCCCACGATTCAGAATCATCACGTCCGACTGCTGAGCGTACTGCAGCCAGTAACTGTTCTTGAGGCGTACTCCTGTCGTTGGATCGATAACGGCTTTTGTGTAGCTCGAGTCGTTTTTGGATTTGATGGTAGAGAGCGAGGTAGACAGAACATATCGCAGGAGAGCCGAATCTGTTGCAAATAACTCCTCGTCATGAGGAGGGTATTTGTAACGCGTCCGGGACGATGCATAGCCAAATGGGAGACAGATATGATGGAAGTTGCAAAATTCGATTCCGGGACAAAAGTGCGTCGTATCATCATGGGAGTTGAGGGCTGCAAGCCAAAGCGAGTGGAGGAAATACGTCGTTTGTGGCCCAACGAAGAGGACGCGTCTCGTGCTTAGAAGAGAGCACGCAGCGGAAACAAAGTATTCTTTCGTTCTGAAGTCTCGGGGTGATTTTCTGAGATCAGGAAACATATCTTGAACGCGTGTGGATGGTGTTTGCTTGGGTGCTTGGGCTGCATATTGCTGAACTAGCTCATCAAGGACAGCATTGACCGCTTCCTGCGTATCTGAGCTGCTGATCATAGTTAGAAAACAGAGAGACACGACTAGTGACGCGATAGCCAGCTTGAAGACGCGTCGACGGCGGAAGGACATGGTGGTTGAGGACATGCAAAGCGAAGCACGTTACCGTGACGGATCAAATACGATCGTAATCACAAGCAAGCGGAGCTTACTACTATATGAGCTCATTCTCATTCGTTCCACAATGTACCGTATCCCCCTCATAGGTCGCCTCTCAGGGCGTGAATACTTTGCCCTCGTTTTCGGTCTCATCTTCGTCCTTTTTGAGGGTATGTGGCAATTGACTCTATATGCCCGTGCTTATTCCTGAATCTAGGTCTTATCCATGTCATAATTCTCTTCCTCCCCAAATGGTTCATCAACATCTGCTACGAGCACTCCCGCTCTCTGTTCCACCGTATAATGGGCCCTCCAAAGGTCAAATCTGCGGAGAAGCGCCAGGCCGACCGCATTCTTAAAGCGCGTGACTTTGGCGAGCTGTGCTCTATCTATGGTTACACTCATGAAGAACATGGTGCGTGGACCGCAATACGATTGGCAGTCCTCTAACTACATCCAGTGGTCTTAACCAAGGATGGATATCTTCTTGGGCTTCACCGTTTGCCTTCCAAAAAGGGACAGCAAAAGGTCGGCGGCAACTCCCACCGGCATTTCGAGATCTAAATCAGTCGTCTTCAGGCTAGTCCGGGTACTGCAACTGGGAACCCCGTGGTATATCTGCATCATGGTCTCCTCATGAACAGCGAAGTCTGGGTTTGCTTGACTGCAGCTGAACGCTCTCTTCCATTCGTTCTCGTTGAACAAGTGCGTCTATAAGTTGGGGTCCTTCCAAAGCTCATCTCGTCTGAGGGCTTCGACGTGTGGCTAGGAAACAACCGCGGCAACAAATATTCCAAGAAGTCGATACATCATGGACCAAATTCGTCCAAGTTCTGGGATTACAGGTGTGTCCGCTTTGGGGTTACTTCCAGCTGATGTTTGACCAAGTCCATAGCATCGACGACTTCGCTTGGCACGATATTCCTGACTCCATCAATTACATTCTGGATTGTACCAAGGCAAAGACGCTGAGCTACGTTGGCTTCAGCCAAGGTACCGCCCAAGCGTTTGCTGCCTTGAGCATTCACCCCCAATTGAATGAGAAGGTGATACCAACCTGAAATAACTACCCAATATGCTCATATGTGCTCCAGGTTAATGTCTTCATTGCGCTTGCTCCCGCCATGAGCCCCGCAGGCCTCGCTGCCTCTGTGGTCGATGGCTTGATGAAAGCATCGTTCGTGCTGTTCCTTTCTCACATATCAGCTGCTCACTTGTACTAATAGTCCTACCCTGATATTCCTTTTCTTCGGCCGCAAGTCTATTCTCTCGTCCGCAACAATGTGGCAGTCCATCCTCTACCCACCCATCTTCGCCAAGACTATCGACACATCCCTTCGTTGGCTGTTCAACTGGCACAGTCATAACATCTCGACACACCAGAAGATCGCGGCGTACGCGCACTTGTACTCCTTCGCATCAACCAAGTCTGTTGTTCACTGGTTCCAAATAATGCGAAATGGCCAATTCCAGATGTACGACGACGACGTTCAGTCGCCGATAATGCATACTTCAGTCAGCAGCTATCGACCTGCCCGTTTCCCAACGAGGAATATTGTCACACCTATAGTGTTGTGTTATGGTGACTCTGATAGTTTGGTGGACATTGATGTTATGGTGTCTCAATTGCCTGGGCACACGGTCTGTCGTCGATTGCATGGCTACGAGCACCTCGATATTCTTTGGGGAAAAGATGTGGATGTGGACGTTATACCCGAAGTGTTAGATGCCCTCAAGCAGCACTGCGAGAACCCAGAACGCTTGATGGTGAACGGAGTACCTTTGCGCGAGAAAAGGACAGTTATGTCGGACTAGCTAGAGCTGTATTCCAATGACATGTATTCCAATACACTATAGAAGCTACAGGGGGTCAAAAAAGCTAGGCAGTACAATCTAATCCATCTTCAGAGTCCAATTCAATCGAGACACACCACAAAGGGCGACCCCAAGGATCGTCAGAGCCATCATCTTCACACTTTCTCTCACAGCAAACAAATCTGACTGGTTGACCATCCCAATACCGTGCGAGATCAAAACCCAGTCCGCCAGGCAGTCTGAGCCGCAGCGCTGGCGCAAACTCCAGGAATCCATAGCAGAAATCAGTCGTAATGACGTCGTTGGGGCCAAATACGACCGCCTGCCTGTGACTTTCGCTGGAAAAGAAGGAGCGGCGTTGTTGCGAAGACATTGCTCGGGGAACATCACGACTCTTCGCTTTCTTTACGCTCTTCTGACTGCGCGAACTCGACCCACTGGATTGTGAGCTTGACGATCCCATAGACGATGGAGTTCCCGCGCGGGAGGTGGGAAAGTCGGAGGCAGCACAAAGATAGAGTGAATCAGTGTCGTCCGTGATACTGGCGGGAGAGGGGAATTTCGGTGGAGCATTATTGGCATCGACGCGAGTGTGTTTGAGGTACGGCATGGTAGAGACAAGCGGGGAGAGCGCCCAAGGCTTCGATGTCGCAGTACATGTCAAGTCATGCGAGAGTGTCGGGTCGATGAGTCTGTGCGCTGATGGTAAGCCAATTATACACTTGGGAGAAAGCAAGGCCTCACTTCATGAACTTGAGCGCTGCGCCGGTTCCCCAAGGTAACTTCAGCGGTCGTTCAAATATATTACCAAAAAGTATGTCGTTGCTCGAACGGGGAGTCAGAAATCGTCCTACAAAGGACGTTATGCCAAAACAGCTTGTTGATTGAACGGGGCAGACCTTGAACCTGAATGCTCCAGGTGACTCCGCTGCGCTCCTGCCGACCAAAGTACTCGTTCTCTGCGCAAGTCTGGGAAGTTGGATCGACCTGGTTGAGCCCTTTGATGAAAACGACAACGCTGCCATCAAACTGGGCCGACCGAATGGCAAAGGGGATGTTGGAGTTGACGAGTTCAGTGATTGGACTAAGTTGCTGAGGCGAAGGACCAGCAAGGACACGAAGAGTGGGCATGGTTTAGACGAGTGGCGATTTCCGACGAGAGCGTGGTGATTTTATGAAGGAAAACGGGTAGACCGGCTACGCAAGACGAAAAAAGAAACGCGTTGAGCAGCTTGGTGCACACGCGAGTGAGACCGTGGGGGTTCAGTGGAGCGAGTTCGCACAGCACGTGATTGATGCGCAGCAAAGAAAGCGACAAGTACAAGGGATAAAAATACACCGAATGGCTCTACGGAATGGATCATGAATCGTCTGCCTTTTGGGCCCTCTTCCTTGCCCCGTCGAGATCCTCTGGTTGATATCGCCTCCGCTTTTTATGCGCCGCCTTTTCCTTTATTGATTTAGCATCACCTCCCCCAGCCATGTTCAGGTTGACGCGGGGAGGCACAGCAAATCCGAAGGACTTGCCGACCTTGGCCAAGTCGAGGTTATTGACGTTGAAGACCTCCTTCAGAGAATACGACGCGTATGATTGCAGATAAGCTCGGTATCCGTCTTTGGCGGACTGGTGAAGATAGAAATTTTTCTGTAACAGCTTCTCCAACTAGGAGGTACAGTTAGACACCGAACAATCAGAGTGGTTAGGACAAACTTGAGATTGGATGTTGGCTATTCGGTTTGCAGGGAAACTGAACTCGTTCAAGGGAACTTTGGCTTGTTTTAGATAGCGCAAAAAGCCCAGTTCGCTTCGAAGCAAAAACAATAAGCTCTTCCCACTCTTTCCTGCGCGTGCAGTTCTTCCAGCACGATGAATATAATCGCGGGGGTCGTCCGGAGGATCAAACTGAACAATCCAGTCCACTTCTGGTATGTCAAGCCCACGTGCTGCGACATCAGTGCAGATGAGGATGCCAGACGAAGAGTTTTTGAACTCGAAGAATGTATTGGTGCGTTTTAGTTGCTTTTGCTTGCCCTAATGAAGAGAGTGAGTTGCACAGTTGCACAAATGAGATGAAAAAACACTGACATGCAGTTCCAATACGGGTATGTCGATGTAGTTGAGTAGTTCCGCATGGTACTTGACTGAGTTACAGCTCGAGAAGAAGACGATAACTTTCTTTTTGCGGTTTTTTGAGAGGAAGGTGTAGAGGAGGAGAAATCGCTGGTCGGAATCGCAGACGACATAGCCTTGAGCTAGGGTATCGACCGTACTGTTTTGCTCCTTGCCGTCGATATCAACGCTGACTGAGCCCGGTCGCAATGAAATTCGAGCCAAGTCGGCGACTTTGGTGGTCTGAGTGGCCGAAAATAGCATCGATTGTCGCTCCTCTGGACCGAATAAGGATCACAGAAAGAGAAAATAACCAGCTGCGCACCAGAAGGTAGAATGCTGATAATTTTCTTCATCTGCTCCTCGAATCCGATCTCCAATATCCGGTCCGCCTCGTCGATGACCAGTGCGCGCAAATTCCCTATAGAACTGAGGTAAGAGAGTTTTCTCGTATGAGACAGATAATGTACGGAAAATGAAGCCTTTGGTGTTCTCCAGTGAGAGTTTAGCACACTGGCTGCGAAATGGGAGTTGTGACACACCATAAGATGATCCAATAGTCTCCCCGGAGTTGCAACAAGAAGACTGACTCCCTTGGAGAGCTTGTCTTGCTCCGCTCGCATGTTGGCGCCACCCATAACAATGCCGCAAGTTTGGGAATGGAATTGCATGATGTCTTTGGCAACGCCGAAAATTTGCAGCGCTAGCTCTCTTGTTGGTGAGATGATTATGATCCCAGTTCCTGCAGAGACATTCAGTGAAGTCAATTTTCCGAATGCAAAGTTGAGAGACCGTTCATGGGTTTAAACTTTAGTCGATGCAACAATTCGACCGCAGGGATGACAAAAGCAAGAGTTTTTCCGGAACCCGTTCGGGCTGCTCCAAGTACATCTTTTCCGGTGAGCAATATCGGTATTGATTGCGCCTTGGATGTGCCAATAAATGAACAATGTCGTCGGGAAACTCGTGTGCAAAGTGACCCACCTGGATCGGAGTCATGGTTTTGAGACCCATGGCCTCAATTGCCCTGCTCGTTTCATCGGAGAGCTCTAATGTCGAGAATGGCACCCGCTCCGAGGTTGAAGACGAAGCTTCCGCCATAGTTGGTCGTGAAAAGAAAATTTGTGACGGCCTGATACAGATCTGATGGCTCACGTAAGCGTCTGTCAACTCCCTTGAACACAACAACCAGTACTCAACCCACAGTCATTCTCGCTGCACCCAGAACAACGACTATGTCTATCTCTTTCCGTGTCTTCCGTCATCTACTGCTCGGCGCAATCCTCATCTTCCTAGTGACCTCTTTGGCATTGGCACTCTATCTTCGGTCCTCCTTCAATAACCAGCAATCTGTCTACGTCATTATGGGCATAGTCGATGGCCTCATCATCGCCTGCACACTCTCGATGGGTCGCAAGTCTCTCTGGGATAGTCCGCAAAGCGTGGCGATGGAAACACTGGGCCTATGTGTCACATTCCCCTTCGCGTTGAGTAGGTTGCGTCTCGCTTGGTTCACTCTTGTGTCTAAACGGCTCAAGTACTTGCGCTTTACTTGATGGGCATCTCTGTCAGCAAGGAGTCCAACCATTCGCAAATCTTCCTCGCCTTGCAAATATTCATTGTGACAACCACTGTTCTGCGTATGAGTTTTTTTTTGTTGATATTTCTCCCTGAAACATTGACTGGGGTCATGTAGATACCTGCTACACCTTTGGCTTAGCGGCTACAGCAGCAATCACCGTGTGTGCATTCGACGCAGACGTCTGGATCAGAGACATCGACCAAACTCCGTCACCCTTCCCGATGACTGTGCTTTTGCGATTCGTCTTTCCCTGCCTGACTCCAAACAATGTCGATATCGAGCAAAAACTACCTGTAGATCATCAAATTTGTCTCCCAGGCTGCAACTGTTCATCGACACGGACTAAATCCTCGCCATTGACCACTGAACCAGAGCCAACTACGGAAATGCGATTACCCCCGTCAAGTTCATCTCTTGTCCGGATTCCAAACGATGTAGAGCGTAGAACATCAATAGTAGTGGCATTTGAAGTGTAATCCTAGTGTAGTCTCGTGCATCAGAATTTGTTGTGATGATGTGACAAAACGCGTTTGTTGTCCGTTGAGTCTCTACTAGCTGGGCCTTGGAAGCGCGTCTTTGTCGCGTTTCTAGCCAGCCATGGACTGTCGCAAACTTCCCCTTCGCATTCTCTATACCCTAAACGGCAACCCCCAGTATATTCTGGCCCGTTCTGCCGGGGTCGTACCCATTGAACTCATTCCTCTTTCAACCAATGCCACCGCCAGCTCATCACATACTCCTCCACCAGCACGATATGCGACGACTTCCCTCAAGACCTGTCTCGACACTATGTGCCATTCGAGCCCAGAGCTCATCCAAGACCGCACGCGCGACTTTTCGGTCTATCTTCTTGACCCGCTCGAGGCTGACTGTGTTCCCACACAACCAAGCTCATTTCAGTCAAATACAAACCCCCCTGCAGACCCTACCGTCGCTGTAGGACTCGGCTTGATGTCGTGGGCATTGGCGGCCGACGAACACGATTCCGTCCCAGTAACTGGTACTCTCAAAGCCAACGCAGGAGGGAGAGAAATGCTGGAGCTGATATTCTCATTACGTTCGGTACGACTCCCTTTTTGTCGTGCTGGCATACGAACAAACAAACTCACATGATACGCAGACTGCACCGATGGAAAAGGCATCATTGTCGGATACTCTGCGTTCATGGAGCCTTCCATCACTCCCATCTTCCCAGCCAACCACTGCATCCCAAGAAAGTCGAAAGCCTACGAAATACCCACCTAGTCGAGGGACATCGAAAGCCCGTGCCGCTCCTACAACCAAGTCGGATGCATTCCTCAAGGGGGACATCTACATTGGCCCAGCGCGGCAACCTGTAGGGCGGCGGCCAAGGTCAAACACGTCAACAGAGAATCGCAAGCCCGCTGCGAAAGGCCAGGAGGAAGCGGTAGAACCATTACCCCCACCTTCGAAAGCGGACAATGAGAAGATTGTCGATTTTTTAGCTTCATTTCCTTCTGACGAGGAGAGGAACAGGGCGTTGAATGGCATCATACAGCTCGTTCAAGATAAAAATGGGTCATCAAGTACTGAGTGGATCAATGCTATTGCCATGCTTGCCACGATATCTCAGTCAACGCCGAATTCCCAACCTGGACCGACATTATCGCGGAGCCAATCGCAACCGGAGGGTGTCGCTCTTTTTGCCCACCACGCGCGTCGCAAAAGCTCTTCGGCAGAGGAGCCTGTTCCGTTGAATAAAGAGAATGTCAACCCTCACCAAAGGCCGCAAGCTAAAGGAAATACAGCTCCTCTTGGATCAGCTTGGTCAGAGCCTTCTCTGGCCACCCAGCCAGCACCACTAGCTGCCTCCAATCAAACGCCATCCCGCAAGCGCAGTTGGAATGACTTTCTAGACGGTTCGGAACCAGCGGACACCCAAAGGCAGCGAGGGCAATACTATCGACAGCCTGAAGAAGCTTTGCAGGTTGTTGCAGCCTCGTCACCTGGCCCGTCTGTCCCTCGTCGTCTCGAAGCAATGCCAATGGTCGCCCCATCCAGGCCCATAATTTCCGCGTCTTCCCCAGTTCGCGGTTTACGAAGAAGACCAACACCAGCTTGGGCAATAACGAGCACGGCAACGAAGCCGCGGTTTTCTAATGATGTTTTAGAGAGAGTGCGGCTACAGCAAGAACGGAAGGAAGAGGAGGCGAAGGATGGGAGGCGCCAGAAAGCACGAGAGTTCCGACGAAGACAGAGAGAAAGCAAAACAACACAGTCATCTGACCCCCCTTCGATGCAACCAAGAGCCGTGTCTGGTCCTCCAACAGCGCCAACAACGCCTTTACGCTCATCAACGAACACTGCGTCCCTTCCAGGGCCCATAACAGCAGTTGGTGGTTTTTCTTTGGGCCCACAAACCCCTCGAAACAATCGTTCACCCGAACTAACGCCCAAGAATGCTCCGTGTACCCCTCCTCGAAAACGTGCCAACACCATTACGTCGTCTGCTGGTCCCAGTTCTTTGTTTACCCCAGCATCAACTTCATGGGACACAGTTAACGCCCTCGCACTGCAAAAGACACCAATGTCGCCGTCAAATCGAACCAAGAACAAAGCTCATGACCAGGGCGACAGTACCGCTGATGTTCTTCTTGACCAAGAACTGGACAACGCATTCGACGAGTTAAGTTCTTGCCCTGCCACATCTGGTGATCACCAGAATGGAGAGGACTACGATACAGAAGAAAGTGATGGAGATGTTGCCCCACCGCCACCACCAAAACAGCACTGGGAAGGCTTACCGCCATCGTCGCCACCCCCACCATCGAGCCCTTACCTTTTGCCCACAAGAATGATGGAGGACGATCTTGACGGTGGGTCTGAGCCGGAGAATTCGGCTTCGCCAGCTGCAACAAGCGAACTTCCCACTTGCGAAATCCACCAGTTGTTGAGCATGGATGTGTATTCCACCGCTGCCGCTCCAAGCGACGATGCGGCTATTTTCGAGCAATTCATGACGCAGATGGATTCTGATGACAGCCAGACGATAGAGAATTGGGGATTGGGAGAGCTTGAGACACCGGACTTTGACTTGAACGAGTTTGTGAACGCTTGTCGCCCACTATTAGAGGAAGGACAGAGTGAAGCAGGAGAAGGGACATTTTTTGACGCTGCCAAAGTTGCTCAGGATATTCAGTCGCTCCTGAATGGTTGTGTTGTGTAGCTCTAATTTTGTGTGGACATGGCAAGACTGGAAGATGATAAGTAACTGTTACGTAAGTCGAGAACGCTTTCCTCCAACATGCTGAGTGAGAAAGCTAAAGGCAAACAACGCGCTATAGACCCAGAACCAGCCACCGGCCCCACTCGCGAGTTCGTCGTGCGATTCACCGAGGGTACTTCAGACTTGCATGTCACCGTCAATGAGCAAGACACCCTCAAAACAGTCAAAGAACAAGTCCGCAGGGAGCGACCGCACCTACAGAACAAACGACTGAGATTTATTCACTCTGGAGGCCTGTTGGCTGACACTACCGTTGTGTTCTCCTGGCTTGCTGCGCTCGACGGCAAGAGCAAACATGCGGAGGAGGATACTTCGTCGTCTTTGCCTAAGACGTGGATTCATTGCTCGGTTGGACGCGAAATAGAACCCGGGGAGGAGGAGGACGGGGCAGAGCAAGTGCGTCCCTTTTCTAACATTTTCCAGTATAATAATTAACTGGCGCGACAGAAAGCACAGCTACGTCCCGCCCGTGGGTTTGACCGTCTCGCATCCGTTGGCTTCTCCGAGTCCGACATCGCCAACTTCCGACTCCAATTCCACAGCCAGTCCGCTGCCAACTACCTCGACACCGATTTCGAAACCGAGGAGGAATGTAAGGCAGTCCCCCTGCCATGATGTCTTATGACTTGAATATAAAAACAGACGACGAACATGCCCGTGCACTGGAGGAAGAATGGATTGACTCGTTGGACAGTGCTGGGACTGCCACCCTCTCCCAAAACTCGTCAGCCAGCAACCCTTCGTTTCTGCAAGGCATCCTTATTGGGTTCTTCTTCCCCATTCTGCCTCTTTTCTTCTTTCGAAATTCCCATCCACCTGCATTCTGGGAAGATGGATCGCAGCAAGAACCTCAAGGGACGGTCGTCTTTTCGTGAGTTTCCATCTCATTCGCTTAAAATTTAGCATTACCTTGTCCACAGCAAGTTCATGCAGATGGGGCTCGTCGTTGGCTTTGTTATCAACCTGTTTTTTGGTGCATGGCGGTTTTTACTCGCTTCTTAAAGCTTGGGCAAAATAATTATACGATTCTCCCAAGAACAGTGGTATCAAATGTCCCAAACGATCCGTGCACCGACCCACGCATAGCCATACCCCCGCTGCCAGAAATTTCGCACCGTTCGTCGACCAAGACGTGGAATTGTGGCATAGGATGCACCGAGCTGCGAAATGGGTGAACAACAGTCAGGATTATATTGACTTGCTTGACGTACCACCGTCTGGTGCTTGGTGTCGAAGAAGTCCTGGGAATAACCCGTGAATAATTGTGTTGGTATCAGCCCGTCGTGCGTGTCGAATACTGTGGATGTCCACTCCCAAACACCGCCATTTGTTCCCCGCCCTTGTGAACTCTCCAGTCCGGTTGTTGCACTGTTTTGTGTTTGTTATCGGTTGCCTTTGAATGGGAAACCCTGCGACTCACGGTACAGGATGCCAGTTGCGGAAACCAGTATTAGCGCCTCCTTCAAAACCCACGTCGAATTTGTCTAAGAAGAGTTGGAGCTCAGACTCGGTTGGCAATCTACCACCCTTCGATTTGGCATAAGCCTCGAGGTCTTCATATGTCGTAAGGACGGGCCACTCTGCAGCCACATCCAGTGGTACCAGTCCATATACGGTACGAACCTAGGGGAAAAAATCAATCGTTGGATCAAATACTCCAATTGAACGACTTGCCTGGACTTCTCCCTGATCCTCCACCCAACTCTTTGGAAGATCTGCCTTGCCCTTCATCCAAAAAGTGAAGAATTCGCGATTTGTCACTGGACGCCATGACGCCCTGAACTGGCCGACATGGACTTGACGAGCAGGACTCTCGTTGTCCCAGCCATACTCGTGACCTTCTGCTTCAAGCTCTGGGAGGAAGTCTTCTCCCTCAGAATCGTGATGGCCGAGTGTTATCGTGCAAGGGCCCAGTGTGACCGATTCGCTGGTAGGCTTCGGTGTTGCATCCCATTGCTGTTTTAACAGTTGCCAGGGTGGAGTCGCAAATCCTGTAGGAGGAAGGGTACCCGTGCCGGCCCTCTGGATCAGCATATATAGTAAAGTCTGTGTCCGCGATTAGCTAACAAAACTCTTCATTGCGGATGATGTGGTTTACCTCCACATGCCAACCCTCGTGCTCCAAGGTCATGACGAGTGTCCGCGCAATGTTACGCGTCAGGGCAACTTTGCCAGTGCTCATGTCTTCATAGAGTCGCAAGAGACGCTTCCGAACGCCATCTCTGAAGCACATGATGGTTTCGATAGTAGGCCAGTCTTCATCGCATTCAGGGACTTCTGAATGGTTATGGCAATGGTCGGGGTCATCGACATGGGGGTCTATACCCCGCTGGAAGCAAGAAAATCAAAATCTGATAGAAGGAGCATTATCTGCCCTTACCTCAAAGATATTCCAGAAATACCCAGGTTCTGTAGGCGAACCGCCGATGGCTTTCGAAAGGAGCATGTCAAGGAAACTGTGAACCAACATTGAACGTGAAACTCGTCTGATTTCTTGTGACTCACGTAGGAATGTGGCCGATGTAAAAAAGACATCTATATGGACTCAGCATTAGCCCATTCACTGTGGTCGCGACTCACTTGTGACGCAGATCGATAGGTTTTTGGAGGAGCATCTCTGGCGGAATCATCTGCAAGGTAACAAGATCCCACGCGCGCCATAATGTTTTCCACTCCTCGACTGTCGGAATATTGCCGGTTGTAGCAAATCTGAACGAGGGACTAAACGATGGGGTGCGTGACGCCGGAGGGAAGACGACAGTGGGTCGCTCAAGCACGTAAATATTATAATCGCCGCAGGTCGAGGTCATGGAAAGGACGGAGCGTAGGTTGGCCATGGTGAAGGCGAGCAAATGGGTCGCATGTGCAGGACTAGTTGTGATAAATGGCTGTGGCGACATCATGATCAGCATTCACAATAAGACGAGCTTTCTTGCCCATACCTTCAAAGCGGATAAAGTAGCATTACTTTCACTTGACGCAGAATAATAATGCGTCACTGACATATTATCGGCGCACCAGGCTGTGGGAGTGACCCCCATACTGGCCTGTGCGAAACCAAAAGCGGCGTCGAGCGGCCCTGGCGTGGCAACGACAACGGACAATAAGCCGTTTTCAGAATGCTTGTCGAAGAGAGGCATAAGAACCTCTGGCCTCAAGTCTTTGGAGGCTAGGAGCACATGGCTTGTGATCGCGTCGACAAGCTTGGCAGACGAGGCAGAAGACCCGCTGGTTTGGGTGTCCACTGAGTCGTTGTCAGAGTCTGACGAGGGTGGGGAGGCGAGGGAAGGGTGGAGGTCCGTGAAGGATGGCAGAGCAATGGATGGAAAGACCATGGTTGTCAAGTGAAGGAAGGGGGGGAAGCTCTGGACACGCCTTTTATATTCGCTCCACGTCAAAAGTTGACGACAGGATCATGAGACATCTCAACGTGTCTGAGACCCGTCCGATAAGTTCAGAAATCGGGGTGTTCCCCCAACCTCGGTGTATGGCCCCGGTTTCACCACTGAGTAATGTGCAGCCAGTAGAACATGGCGCATGAGTGATGCTCAAGGGGCCGGTAGGAATGTCTGAGAAGCAGAAGACCAAGAGAATGCTCGGGGGCACTTGTGACGGCTTGCCAGTTTTGCGCCTAGCGAAATGGACCCCAAGACGTCACAGAGCCATCAAGAAGTCACGTGTATCCCCAGAGATAGCATGCAGGGAGGGCATAGGCGATGTGCTGGAGCCATAGGATGCGGATAGCGAAAAATACTAAATCTGGACGTGGGCGTAGAGGCCAAGTTAGCTTGCACAGCAGATCGACAGGAAAACGGTGTCGCCATAAGTCGTGCTACTGACGTGCTCGAGTTGCTCTCACGTGCAGAGTGCCCTGATTTAGGTCAATTTCTGACCATCAAACCAAGAAATCATGGCCTTGACAGGTGTGATTCCATTTTGCTACGAATCACATCTCTTCCAAAACATCCTGACGGTCGCTTGCTTTGCTAGTCTACGTACACTGAACAGGAGCTACCTGCTACTATCGCCTTGAAATGACGAATTCCACAAGCTTCCCTCAGCGATCCTCAAGTTGAAGCCACAGCAACAGGCCGGATAGCTGCCATGACGTCCAAGTCTAGATAAAATGAACCTGGATTTATTCGACCACTACTTTTCTCTTTCCGAGCGCTATGCTGGCCGCTCATCGCCTCTGCAGCAATTTAGCTGCTGCATTATTCATCCTTTCCTTACATTCTTTTGGTAACTCGACTCCTCTTCCTCCGAATGTGAGCGTTCTAGTTTCCCCGAGTATCCTTCTAAGCAGGCGTAGAACATCCCCCCTGCCGTCCAACCTCCAGCGTACTCGATTGCCGTAGTTGTTGTGATGTGTGTCTGCTTGACTATTGCTATACTGGGCATTCCTGTGGCCGTATATCTGATTCTACAAAAACGTCAACGACACTTCGACAACCATGTTCACAAGATCGATTCGAGCCGTCCACATCCCCCCATCTATGTCCACCTCGACTCGGAGCTCCCCCTGATGCAGCAAGTGCAGCCTGCCTATCGCGAGTCACTCACTCCATTACAAAAGAGCCAAATTCCTGGCTACCTGCCCCGTCCTCTTCCCCGGAATGTGCCCGTGTCAGCGGCCCCATCTGATGTGGCAAGTGTGAAAACACACTGGCGGGGACAATTCTCTGGCTCCCCTGAAGAGCTTGACCAATTGGCGGAAGACCTAGCGAAGCACTATGTTCTGACTAACCATGCTGCTCGCGCGGCTCACCATGGGCATCGATATTCAATCTCGTTGACGGGTCGGTCCAGAGGTAAGCTTTTGATTGAGGTCTTGTATGAATCTAATAATCGTCTCTTTGCAGCGTACCAGTGATGACAAGGATGTCTAGAATTTTTAATTTTTTTCTTTGGGGTTATAGGATTCATCGGAGCACACTCTAATTTTATTGCTTTTATTCGCATTACTTACCCTACACCGAAACTAGTACATTGGGTGCCCACAAACATTGAAGAGTTAGCTGCTATAACATAAGGACTACAAGTGACAAGAACATAAGGTACATCTCAAAACCCTCGCAAAGGAATCTCAAACAAGTCCACTTCCTCCCATCCGAATCGTGTCACCAACCACGCGGATAGTGGCTGCAAGAACACGACCGAGTACACTAGCGCTTCCGCTACTAGTTGCCGAAGCAGCCAACAACCTTCGTCTTACAAGCTCGGCATTCCCCCCTGGAACATCCGCCTGGATCCTAGCAGCCCGTCGTCGTCGCACAAACAACGGGAGGACAAGCAACAGAACAAAGGTTGCGATCGAGATTACTGAAAGTTTGGCGGGAGAAGCAAGTAACGGTGCAATGGAGGCTTTCAGAAGAGCGAATGTAGTCGGTGGCGGTGCTGGGCGAAGTGAGCCTGGAGTGTGGAAACGCGGTAAATGTTGTTGGTGCTGAACACGAGGGGGTGAGGCGTTGGGCAAACTGGTCGTTGTTTGGCGAGGCGTAGCTGTACTATTCGAAGCAACCGACGGTGATGACGCTCTTCGGTACATTTCCGATTTTAGCGTTGAGCGAGCCCGAGGAGTGGCGGGAACCACGGTATGAACTGATGCCGTAGACGAAAGCGATGAAGACGATGATGATGAGGGTGTAGGAGAATATGGTCGTGGCGAAACCTCTGAGGCCGTGAAGCGGACCGGAGATGGCGGAGGTAAGCGTGCACTTATTGCCTGAGCATGAAGGTCTTGTAATGTTTTCCGGATATTCTGGGAAAAGACGTCAGAAGCGAAAGAGAGAACCTCAAGAAAAGCCAATTACCTTTCGAGCATCTTGGGTCAACTCACACTCGTAGTCCAGGAATTCCTTGGCATAGTCCCATTGCTCCAGCTTGGGCAAGACGTGCAGACAGTATGCTTCCACAACTTTCCGGTAGTTTCCCTTTTCTTCATCGGTGTCTACTGTAGACGGGGAAGAAGAATACGCGCGGGTGGCGAGCCAATCCTCAACGACAACGCGACCGGCATCTGGTGCTTCTAACTTGAGACTAGAGTACACCAAAGTCAAGATGACGGAGGATGGGATATAGAGCGCTTTTGGAGCTAAGGTCCGGGGAGTGAACAGGTGGAGAGACCTTTGGTATGCAGTCGTCAGGAGTGAGTGTGGGGTTAGCGTGACCAATTCTCGAAGGGAATCTGGCAAGTCGTTGGAGGTAGGTGTGGTGAAGACTGTCGTTTCTAGTGTAATCCTCAATAAATCCCACTTGGAGCGATAGGCCGAGTAGTCATCTGCCTGGTCGACTTGTTCTGGGGGTTGGAGAAGCGCGAAAGCTGATAAAAGCAACGAATGGACGACCGGAATCTCGCGGTGGAGAAAGGCCCGAGCTGCCCGATTGTAGAGGGTATGGAGGGTAGTCAGCGGGACCGACGAAGAAATGGGTTTGAGAGTTTTGGGCTGGATGGTCACCGTGCTAGTCGCAGTTGGCATCTAAGAGTAGCCGGTACGGATCACATGTTTATAATTTCTTCCTCATGCCGCGACGCGCTCGAGTCCATTGCGTTTCCCTTCGTTCTTCGCTTGTAAACTTGCCGATATCACTTTATGGGCCTCTAGTCGAGCGTAGCATTGTACGTCGCGTCACTTGCATATTCTTTCCCAAACACGCCTTTTCAGCGACCCCAACACCTTGCCGTTCATTTGACGCTGGAAAATGCCGCTAGGACAGAGGTTTTCGTCGGATGGACTGGAATGGCATCTGCTTCCTCTCTAGCCCAATTCAATTCCTCCGATCCAGGCCTAGAGACGGTTGAGATTGACCCACAATATGCATCAAGCCTTGGGTTAAAACAAAATGACACAGTAAGGCTGCTATATCTAACCGGCAAGCCTCCGTTAAGTACCTGCAAAGGTAGAAATTGGTCTGGTTCACGACCTCCCTCTAGCAACGTCGGTAGCCACAGAGCCATTGACTGCCGATGATTGGGAAATTATAGTGCGCTGCTGTATGATTATGTTTACGCTACTCTGACCCACTTAATAGGAAATTCATGCTTCGCATGTTGAATCCACACTCCTCTCGCAAGTGCGTGTCGCAAAAGTTGATCAAGAAATTGACGTCTGGGTGCTGGGGAGGACTCGAGTGCGTTTACGAGTTGGTGTGCATCAGTGTGCTGTTGTCCTTTCGCTCTATTTACCTTCTTTTCAGTCTCTGTCTCGCCTGAATCAAAAGGAAACGCTCTGTTGCTCACCACGAACACCGAAGTTTCAATCTCCCCCAAGCTACATGGCAAAAAACTCGTGACTCCTGCTCGACCCACAGTGAATGGCGTTTCTTCAAGTACAACCCACGCCCATGCGCCTCCGGAGGACCCCAAAACTGTTGTAACATCAGAAAGACTACGCGTTATACGGCCTCAAGCGCTGGCTACCGCTTTCCCGGAACATTCAGGATCAGAGTTGCTAGCTTTGGTTCCCTCAAACACCTTTACGTTGCTCTTTCCAACTGTCCGCCCAGAAAATGACACATACCATCGTGTATCGGTGAAACGCCTCACCCCTCCAACTGATCCTCTTGCGAGTAGCTCATCTGACTCGCCAGTCCCGCCTCCACGGATGCTCAAGGCAGGCGGCACTACAGAAACTACGTCTACGGGGGATTCTCAACCAACGGAATTGTTTATAAGAGGGGCTGAAAGTGTTCCTGATGGTCATATCGCGCTTTTACCTGTCAAAGGAATCGATGAGTGGGATCTGCTTAGGTACTTCGTCTCCGGCAGATTGTGTCTGTTACGTAGTAATGAAACCCAGGCTTTCACAATCCCCAGAAACTTCTAAACGCTCCTCGCCTTCGAAGCCATGGTCCCCCAGCCCGTATGCTTTCATTGTTCGATTTCGTCTATTGACTAGGCCCGTTATAGCTCATCGGCACATCTTTTGGCTGGCGTTGACGACTTGCTACATCGCTGTGCACAGTTCTGTATCCGAAAGTTTGCAATGCATTCTGTGATTGATGCTGTCCACGGAGGCAAGTTGAGGGAATGTAGTTCACCGCTATCGACTAATAAAAAAAATCCAGTCTCCTCGGTCCTCATAACTGGACGCTCTGGCAGCGGGAAAACATCCATTGTGCGGTCTGTAGCAAAAAGACTACAGGAAAATTCTACCGCCTTGGCATGTAGGACCCCCTGCGATGATCCCGTTCGCTCACTGACGGGTTTAGATACATTATATGTTGACGTCGCTCGCGTCTCAAACCAACCTATCCCCGTTGTCAAGGCCCTTTTGACTTACTGGTTTGAAAAGGCCGTCTGGCATCGACCGACCGTCCTGATACTGGACAATCTCGAGAAGCTGGTTGGGGCAGAAGCAGAGGTCATTTTTCTTTTGTGTTACTTCACACGCTGAATCGTTGCTCCAGCACGCAGATTCGTTCAGGACTCGTCAAATCACAGAGCTATTTGTTGCCCTGTTCTCTTCGTCCGCGCGCTCTAGCCACCCCAATTCCAAAGGAGTTGTGCTTATCGCCACGGCTGCTTCTCCGGCAAGCCTGCACCCTCGAATCAATCGCGCACATATATTCGAAGAGACGCTGATGATCAAATCCCCCAATAAGAATGCGCGAAAAGAGGTTCGTTTTCTGGTTATCTGTTGCAGAGCCATTGAGAATGGTTGCGTCAGATTCTTGCCCATATGGTTCAAGAGCGTTTGGAGGCAGCCAGAGATATGCAACCTGACCCCGACGCGCCCCTCAACTACGCCGCGATTGCAACGCAAACAGAGGGATACTCTGCCGTCGATTTACAGGATCTTGTCGCCCGGGCAATTCACCAAATGGCCATGAGGTCGTCGACTAGCAATTCCCCAGTAAGTGGCTCTAATTCATCTCGAATGTGGTTGAACACCACTTTTAGGCCATCCTCACGTCGAATGATTTCGAGCTGGCTCAAGTCGATTTCGTCCCATTGTCTTTGCGGGAAACAAAACTCCAAAAGTCAGATGTCTCGTGGGAGGACATTGGGGGACTCCATGAAACCCGTCGAGTGCTCAGGGAAACCCTCGAATGGCCAACTAAATACGGGCCAATTTTTGCCCAATCTCCACTCCGTTTGCGCTCAGGGTAATTTCGGCTCCTTCACACTGTGATATCTGACAATTCGACCAAAGCTTACTGCTATATGGATATCCTGGCTGCGGGAAGACGCTGCTTGCGTCCGCTGTCGCCAAAGAATGCGGGCTCAATTTCATCAGCGTAAAAGGGCCGGAGATTCTGAACAAGTATATTGGAGCGAGCGAACAGTCCGTAAGTTTTCATTTTTTGACCTTATTATGGATCGATTTGACACAAACTCTACTAGGTGCGAGACTTGTTTGAGCGTGCTTCCGCTGCCAAACCATGCATTCTATTTTTCGACGAGTTCGACTCGATTGCCCCCAAAAGGTGTGTAATTCGCGTAACGGAACTATGACTGTCTATAGCCTTTTGTAGAGGACACGACAGCACTGGCGTAACTGACCGGGTAGTCAACCAGATGCTAACGCAAATGGATGGTGCGGAAGGCTTGGACGGTGTATATGTGCTTGCTGCCACCAGGTAGGACTTTCCGCATCTCAAACTCAACCAATCATGCATTTTTTCCCCAGTCGTCCAGATCTCATTGATTCAGCACTTCTCCGACCAGGACGACTAGACAAATCCCTCCTGTGCAACATGCCAGACGTCGAGGAACGCAAAGACGTTAGTCACCACCTGGCAACGCGTTATAACATCCTGAAAGAAATCCTGCAGATTCTCAATGCAGTATCACGGAAAGTCACCGTATCACCAGACCTCAAATTCGACGAAATCGCCCAAGCCACAGAAGGCTTCTCTGGCGCGGACCTCCAAGCGCTCTTATATAATGCTCATCTCGAGGTCGTGCATTCGTCGCTCTCCATCGCACCCACCGCAGAACAAGGCTCCAGTCGTTTAGAAGAACCCCCTGTTGCCTTCAAGATAATTGGGGGTCCTGCGAATAAAGTAACGAGCCGGGCAGATGACATGGCGCTACAACGACGGGTGCGTTAGAACTCAATCCAGACTTCAGGTTGTTGTTGATCCCAATAACTTCAGCTCCGCCAAATTATGTCCTCCCAAACTACCACTCGTGTTTCGAAGGATTCCTCGGGCTCAACGACCAAACCAGTCAGTCGAATACCAATGTTTTACTTCTTGTTAACGTTCTACCAGCGCCATGAAATTACTTCTGCGCATATTACCAAGGTGCTCGATACGATGCGACCCTCAGTTTCCTTAGAGGAACGACAAAGGCTAGACCGAATGTGAGTTTCTCATTTTACTCCTCAAACCACTTTGATCAAATCGTCAGATATCGCGCATTTACGTCAGACCGGAGCGGCGAGCTGGAAAGCCCTCCTGAGGTGCACGGAATTGGTAATCGAGTGTCTCTTGCATAATTGGATCCACGCGGGCATGCAAACTAAGGAACTACAGTAACGGGTATAGCTATTGGAATCGAAAGGACCATGCAATAATGAGTGGCGAACTATTGTAGCTTCATTAAACCCTTCATAGCGTTGGCGATCGCAAAGCTCGACTTGGCCATGACCTGTCGCGACTCTTTCGTGACTTCTGGTTGTGCCTGCACTTCACTCAGGCGGTTGGCATGATCACTGAGTTCGCGCAAAATGTCGTTGCCCTGCGATGCTGTTGCTGGGGGCAAATTGTCGTTGCATACGGCAACAATGCTGGAAACGATTGTGATGATTTGAGTCAGGTTCTCGTTCAGAGTCGGGGAGGGCGTTGGGCTTCGGACTCCTGACAGCACGCTCTGAATAGCATACACAATCGACTCGGTCTGAGCTTCGAGGTATGGCTAGAAGTAAAGGTATGAGACGATAGAACTGTCAGAATATGTGTCGGTCTTACCTTGAGCTCCGCCCAGGCATCTTCAGCTTCCGCTACCGCAGACTCGTTCGTTGGCTGGTCGAAGATTGGCGGGGGAGAGTTGGTTTTCTCAGAGCTCGAGTTATCTGATGGTGGTCGTCTGCGAGGATCATAAGGAGAGGCAGGAGATGTGGGGCTCCGTAAACGACTGGCACCCATGCTGCGAGCGGAGCTGTTTGACGGGGCTGCGCTCGGTTTGCGTTGGTGGCCCATACTTGACGGTATTGGTTTGGATTCCTCGACGGAACGCAAAGAAGGCGAAAAGCCATTGACCGCCGGGGATGGCGATGCGGTTGAAGAAGAAGCATCTTGTTCTGCACGGCTTGCTTTTCGGACACAAACCGTACGAGCAATTTCAGTCACCGTAACAGCAATATGACTGGCTGCTGCGTCAAGTAAACTGACTGGAGACATTCCAGCACTTGTTGCATGAGTTTTACTCGCAGCAACAAGATTGCTTAAGGTTGCTTCTGCCCGTTCTCGCAAAGATGCAAGCGCATCAGGATCGACATCAGCGCGGTCTCGTGATGATCTGGCTTCGAAAGCCCGAACGTCGTCAACAATGCTGGAAACAGCATTAACCACGGCCTTCATCGGTGACAACACTCGAGAGGGAGCGTTTGACCGGCCAGCGGTCAACAGCGTATCGATAGCAGAAAGGAAAGCGGTGATGTGTATGTCCACAATACCACCCTCTGCAGAAATAGGGAATTGATCGTCTGGTCGGTCCATCTTGGGTGCTTGGATAAACAATTGCGACGTGGCTTCAAACATAGTAAGCTAGTCGTTACTTGGTTAGGGATGAACTGTACCTTTGAAGCTGCGAAGCTCAGTCTTTGCCTGTTCGTATTTGCGCTTGTACTCCTTGAGTTGACTTTCCAGCTCGCGAATAGTCATTGAATCAGAGTCCTTGGCAGACATAAGTTCGTCGTTTCGATGCGACAAGTCGGAGAGTTCCGTAAGCAGACCCTCCATATCGTTCCGAAGCTGCTCGATACTTTCTGGGTCAGCACCTCCTCCTCCTCCTTGGTTCATTTCCCGTTCTTCTTCAAGTTGTTCGCGCAAAACCCGGATTTCGTCTTGGTCTTCCTGGGCTCGTCGGGCTTCTCGGTCCTTTTCCCGCTGACGATTGTCTCGAAGATCGTCCAGTTCACGTTGCAGGGCTCGCATGGCTGTTGTTTGCTCTTCCGCTCGTCGCACAACGGTATTCAATTCATCCTCCAATTGTTGAACTCGTGCTTCACTGTCTTCCATTTGTCGTTGCCGGTTGCCCGCATCGTCGCGTTCGCGTTGTAACGAGGATATTTGTGACTGCATGGTCGCAATTCGGTACTCGTAGTCTTGTCGAACTTTCTCTACATCCTCATCATTTCCACGCCCGCGATCTCTGTCGACACTGGAGCGACCGAAATTGTTGTAATTGTCGTCGTCGTCCTTCAATAACCGAGCTCCAAGAGCATTGAGACCACCTGCTGGACTTTGTGGACTGAAAGGGTAGTCGCTAGCAGTGTCAGGTGGCTCGGGGTCTGCGTCTCCACGGTCTCGGTCGTCAAATGTAGATCCAGCACTCTCCCGGGCCTCGCGACCATAAGGCACTTCAATGTATTCTTCTTCAATAGTGCTCTTGTTCGGTATGATGACTGTGTTGCCAGCAGTTGTGCTCTGTTGTTGGGCAGTAAGGTTGCTGCTGTCGCTCATGCCACCAATACTTCCGCCGCCAGCTCTTTTTGGACGATATTCCCGTTCTCGCTCATCAGAACGGCGAGTTGTATCGACTGATGGTTTTCGACGCGAGGAAATGCTGCTTGTGTAGGTGTTATCATCTCCACTTGTTCGACCATTATAGTCCGCGCTGCGACGGCCGTATTCCTCGCTTGGCCTTCTCCGGTCTTCAGAGGGTCTACGACTGCTGACACTGCTTCCACCATATCCACTGTCAGACGGGCGGTCGGCCGAAGCTCGTCCGTTTCCTCGCGGGGGCGGGCTGCTAGGGAAGTCCGAGGCTGGGTAGTCGTCGTAGTTGGAACCAGGAGTGATGTTGCCTGATGGCTAGAAGAACGGTATGTTAGCGGTTGTTGCCAACATGATTAGCCTGTGGCCAACTCACATCTTCCTTAAATTCCGGATATCGACGGCTCAACTCAAAGTAGACGTCGCTCGAAAGATCCTCGAAGCGAGTGACAGGTAGAGTCGCAAGCTTCTGCCGGGCTTGATTCCGTTTTGGATGGAACTCTTCTCGGACAGGCAGGAATGGCACTAAAAGGTAATCAGTATGTGAATCAAGTATACAAGAGCTCCTCGAAGGCACCTTCTTCCTCTTGCTTTCGTCGAATGAGCTCGTCGTAAACATCGGTAGAGAGTTCATGGAATTGCTGGATGGTGAGCCGCGTGAGTTTTTGGCGGGCGGATGATCGAGAATTTGGGGGAGCTGTACGGGATGGTGAGCCAGGTAAGGAGAAGCGAGTAAGTCATACCCTTCGCGAGGTAGGCTGCGAGGTAGCGGTCGAGTTCGTTGAAATGGATTTCTGAGACTGCGCGATAGTCGATGGGGGGGAGAGGAGGGATATTCTTGTCGCGAATGGGACGGTAAGACTCGGTCTTATAGTTCGATATTCCCGAAAATGTTGTGCCCGTGGGGCTTGGAGCGCGAGAGCGACCTGTCGATTTCATCGCGTGAATCGTTCAAATGGTCCGTGTGGACAGTATTAGATGTTCTTCGTTGGTGGTTGCTCTTGTTATTAGAGGACGAAGGAAAGGTTGGTGAAGCAGGCGAGCTTGAATGGTCAAGGACAGGCCTTGCCTGAGAAGAGCGTTCCGCAAGCTGGTTGCCTCGTGGAGGCGATTGTCACCAAGTCACGCACTCCGATGATGGATGAGTCAGCGACAATGCGTTCTCCAGGGATTGATCAGCCACCCTATTCCATCTTTTGGAACTTCCTAAATGGACGTCGAGGCATTCCGCCAAGCAGGAAAGCAAGCTATCGACGATATAGCTGACTATTACGCGAAACTTGGGATCGATTCCGGATCGATTCCGGTGAACAGTGTTGTTGAGCCTGGTTATCTTACTCCCCTCATTCCCGATGCCCCGCCACAAGAGGGTGAAGATTTCGCCACAATATCAGCAGATTACCATCGACTAATCATGCCCGGACTAACCCACTGGCAACATCCCGCCTTCTTTGCCTATTTCCCAACCGCGAGCTCTTTTGAGGTATCTTTTATCATTCACGGTCAGTTTTGTTGTCGCTCAGAACATAGGCAATCCTCGGAGATCTATATTCCCTTGCTATCCCTACTCCAGGATTCAACGTAGGCTTATCCCAACTCAAAAATCAATGTTAATACCTTGGAAGTGGTCTTGTAGTCCTGCAGCCACGGAGTTAGAAGCTATCGTCATGGATTGGGCTGCAAAATTACTCTTTCTGGATGCAGCATTCTACAACTCGAGTGGCGTTGGCGGTGGCTCGCTACAGACAACTGCAAGTGATTCAGCCTTGATTGCCATTGTTGCAGCTCGCGAACGCTACATGGCTCTTCATCCGGAGGCTACACCTGAGCTAACAAACCTGGTGATATATGTGACGACCCAAACTCATTCTCTGGGCCTCAAAGCAGGAAAGGTCTTAGGACTCCAAGTCAGAGCATTGGAAGTGCGTGCCGAAGACAATTATGCTTTGAAAGGGGAAACGTTAGAACAAGCTTTAAACGAAGACAAGTCTGCTGGACGTCGCCCCTTTGTTCTGAGTAGGAGTCGCTAAATTCGATTTTCACCCTTTTTAACCAGTGTAGTTGCAACTGTGGGAACGACATCGTCCGGAGCGGTTGATGATCTGACTGAAGTCGAAGCTGCTCGTATGTCTCTTCCGGATGTTGACATCATCTGACACTGTCAAGTCAGGCAGCATCCTGAAGTATGGGTCCATGTTGATGCCGCGTGGGCAGGCATCGCGTTGTGCTGCCCTGAAACTCACGAAACATTACGCCTGACTGGAATCAACTCTGTCGCAGACTCCATTTGCACCAACTTCCACAAGGTTACGCTCCATATAAGCTATCCACGAGTCACTAACAAGCATCATGCAGTGGGGACTGGTAAATTTTGACTGTTCTACCCTTTGGGTTCGCGATCGCAGACTTCTGACGGCTGCCCTCGACATTACCCCGCCGTTCTTGCGAACAACTCACGGGGATGCCGGAACAGTCATCGACTACCGCAATTGGCATCTAGCTCTAGGAAGGCGGTTCCGTTCCCTCAAGCTCTGGTTTGTTATGCGCGGATTCGGGGTTGAAGGATTCCGCAAGCACATCCGCCAAGCTATCCAACTTAACGAGCTATTTTCTACCCTGGTGAAAAACACAGACATTCTTGAACTCGTTGCACCTCCATCTTTGGCGCTTTCGGTTTTCCGTCTGGCTCCTCTGGATTTAACCAAGGACGCGCTCAATACGCTGAATAGTGCATTCTATCAGCGTCTGAGTACTCGAAAAGACATTGCCTTGACGCAAACGACGTTGAACGGAGCTTATTGCATCCGATTTGCCATTGGTGCCGCTCGTACAACAGAATCTCACATTCGCGATGCGTTTTCTATCGTCTTAGAAGAAGCTCGTACTGTTCTAGACGCGTAGCCGGTAGTACTAGCCCAATCCATCGCGTGAATCGCGTCTTGTATTCGTGACATGTGACCGTTATTTTCACTGCCTTCGATCGAGTCAGCAAAATTCCGAGTTCATCGATAGTCAGGCTGCCGCGTCTTTCTCTTTCCTCCATCTCCTCCTTGTACACTAGGCCCTCTGTGGCGCGCCGAATATCCACCATGTCGCAGAAAATACGTTCGGCTGAGGGAATATTACGCACTGCCCCATCCCCTGGCGAACAGGGCATGTAGGTTAAGCTGGTTTGATAGATCGAAACACCCTCATGCGCCTACAGTCTTCCTAAAGACGGACAACACAATGTTTTGGTCACCTCTGCCCTTCCTTACTGCAACAATGTCCCTCATCTTGGTACAACCAAACATAAGACATTCAAACTGAGTTTAACAGCAAACCAGGCAATATTATCGGAAGCACACTGAGTGCAGACGTTTTCAGTCGGTGCGCTATGCTAGCCAACCGTCTTGAGCGAATGCTAACTCGACTACAGGTATAGCCGTATGTCCGATACTCTGCCTGCAAGGCGCGATTTGACTGTGGCTAGGGACCCGAAACCGGACTACGTTATATATGTGTGGGACAGACGAATACGGGACGGCAACCGAGACACAGGCTTTGAAAGAGGGAATCACACCGCGCGAGCTCTGCGACAAGTACCATCTTGTCCACAAAGCAACCTACGATTGGTTCGACATCGGGTGTGTAGCAACTTTGACTGGCAGTTCCATCTCTCATTACTGTTGTCTTAGCTTTGACCTGTTTGGTCGAACATCTTCGCAGCTTCACACAGAGTGAATGAGCACCTCTACGTTCTTTTTTCGGCCTACTCAATTACGTAGGATTTCCCAGGAGATCTATAGCAATCTCGGCAAGAACGGTCTCCTCGAAAGGCAGGAGAAGCTTCAAACTTACTGTGAAGGCTGTCCCAAGTACGCTTAGACTTGCTTTCCGGAACAACAAAAAACCAACTAAATAGGTTTCTGGCTGACCGATTCGTTGAAGGCACTTGTCGCTATTGTGGCTATGAGGTAAACGAACGTGGTCGGAAGTCTCTTCTTACGCGGATATGCAGGATGCTCGAGGTGACCAATGCGACAACTGCACACAAACATTCGACGCCATTGAGTTGCTCAAGCCACGATGCCTTGTCGACAAGACTCACAATGTCACCACCCGGAACTCGGCCCACATGTACTATAAGATGAACGATATCCAAGAACGGACAGTAGAGTGGATAAAACGATCCGCCAAAAGCGGCAAATGGTCCAACTCCGTCATCAACGAGGACGGGAAGATCGTCGATGCGCGCCTTGTTACCGGGCTCATACCAACTCCTCTCACCCGCGACCTAAAGTGGGGCATCCCGGTGCCAATAGAGGGCAATGATGAACTGGGAATGTCGGGCAAGGTACTATGTAGGTCTTGATACATTCTCCTTGAACATGACGCTAATCAAGTGAATGTCAGATGTCTGGGTATGCATATGCTTAACTCGGGTCTGCATTCAACTGACCACATCCTAGTTCGATGCGCCAATAGGCTATCCTAGCATTACTGCCAACTACACTCCTGAGTGGAAACAGTGGTGGTTCAACCCGGAACAGGTCAAATTGTACCAGTTTATGGGCAAGGACAATGTCTATTTCCATTCAGTGCTCTGGCCCTCTGTGCAAATCGGCGACGGGCGAAATTGGACAATGCTTCATCATCTATCATCTACTGGTGGGTCGCTTGCTGACGGATGCGATCCTTCTGGGCTAAACGCGTCCTCCAGAGTACCTTAACTATGAAGGGGGCAAATTCTCTAAAAGTCGGGGTCGCGGAGTGTTCGGACCTGCCGCAAAGGAGACTGGAATTCCTTCTTCAGTTTGGCGCTACTATCTTCTCGCCTCTCGACCCGAGAGTGCCGATTCTACCTTCTCATGGGCTGAATGCGTAAGCTCTCCCACTGCGACCCGATTCGCCGACTCAACACTCATCTAGATCGCCGCAAACAACAATGTCTTGTTAAACAAGTGCGTCCCACCACGGGTCCTATGTTTTCACTGATCATCTCCCAGCTTTGGTAATTTTGTCAACCGCGCGTTGAAGTTTGTGTCATCACAATATGGTGGCGTTTTGCCAGACGGCGGTGATACGCCTGGGCCACTACCCACAGACGATGTTGACGCCAAATTCGTGGCTGAGATTAACGATTTGCTCAAAACCTACACTGACGCGATGGACGCTGTCAAGATTCGTCTTGGTCTCCAGACGGTGATGGCCATTTCCGGTGCAGGAAACACGTATCTCCAGTCATCAGGCCTGAACAAGGCCCTCATGGCCGAAAACCCGACGCGCTGCGCTCAAGTACTTTCCCGCGCCATCAACCTGATATATGTGTTGTCTGTCGTCATATATCCTTTCATGCCCGCAACTTCACAGGCCATTCTCGAGCAGCTTAACGCTCCCCCACGGGCTGTGCCGGATGCCCTCGCGACTGATATTCTGGCCGGCCACACGCTTGGTCAGCCTGCTCATCTGTTCAAGAAGATCGAGGAGAGCCAGGCAGAAGTTTTCCGGCTCAAATTTGGCGGTGCAGACGCGAAAGAGGAAGCTGCTGCCCCCGCCGCTGCTCCAGCATCCAAGAGGGCAGCAAAGAAGGCCGTCGCTGCTAATGTCGACAACGGACCCAAATCACCTGAATATCTGGCATTGGAGGCCAAGATCAAGGAGCAGGGCGATCAGGTCCGTTCACTCAAGGGACAGACACCAAAAACGAACGAGCTGGAGGCACAAATCCTAGCAGCTGTCGATGTGCTGAAGGCGATGAAACTGGAGCTCAGTAATCTACCGCGATTGTAAGGATTGCCTCAATGACGTAATTGTGTCTATCGAAAACGCTGATCGTGAGGCGGATCACAACGATCCTCGCTGCCCCTGTCCAGATTTTCTTTTGACTCTGGGGGCGAAGTACTCAATACGAGCGAACTGTATGAACAATCTGGAAGCTCGAAAAGCTGCATAGATTGCTTATCCAACAAGTGTGACAGAGTCAGAGTCGCTGGTGTCGATATACGACTCAGACTTGAGGAATACCCGTGTTAGTGGTGAGCAAGGAGTGTAAATAGCCACTGACACCTTCCGCCGAGCGTGTAGGCAGATCGGGGTATCTGCGTGCAAGCTCAAAATGGACGTCGCTAGAAAGGTCCTGGAACCGATGGACAAGCAACGTCGCGAGCTTTTGCCGCGCCAGGTTTCGTTTCGGGTGGAAGTCGTGTTCAGGAGGGAGATATGGGACTGGAAAACGATAAGCACATGTGGAAATTTATGCAAAAACGCACCGTCTGGCTTATACTCCCTCCGCATTAGTTCGTCGTAGACGTCGGTCGATAGCTCGTAGACTTGTGGGTGGCTGAGCCGCGTGAGCTTCTGGCGGGCCATTAACCGGTCATTCGGGCGCGCTAGTTAAGTAGTTAGCACTAGCAAAAGGTTAATCGTAGTACTTACCGGTTTTAAGGTATTCTGCAAGATAGTGGTCAAGGGCATTAAAATACACCTGCATAACAGGGTGGTAGTAAGAGATCGTAGCATCCCTGTAGATAGGAATATAGTCTTCCATCCTGCGTAGAGGATGAAGCTGTGGAGGTGATTGTTACATAAGGTGCTGTGTCAGCAACTCAAGGTGGACAAAATTGCATTGGAGTTGACACAAGATTTTACATGGGAACGAATGCTGGTGGGCGTACAACATGGTAATGCAAATGCGATGATAACAAGGCAAGAAAGCAAAACGGAAAATAAAAAAATAAAAAACGGTCGGTCATACACGACGCTTTCGCGCTTTGGGTTATGCCTGGGGGTATATATAGACGTCAAGGTTTGCCCTTCCAGGACTGCATGAAGGATTTGAGCCCGAAGCGCTTAGTCTGGGCCGTCTCTTGTTTGGTTTGCTGCGATGGCGGGAATCCCATTCGAGTCAGCTTGTTGGCACTCGCTATATGACGAGCGAGATCCCGCTTGTTCTGCGTTGGTGGAATTGGCGCAGTGGAGACACGAGTCAACGCAGGGCCCAACTCCGTGTCAATTGATTCGAGCTCTAGCGAGCTAACGCGACTCAGACCCGCTTCAGGATCGGGAGTCCGTGCTCGGCGAACACGATGATTGGCTTGTACAACTTTGGCGGCAGTGGCGGCAGTTTGCGCGACCATCGGGACAGCTCTGACATCTGTTGTCGACGACACTGCCGATGTCGACTGGGAAGAATAATGCGTGTGGACAGCTAGGGAGAAATGAGATGAAGCCAAAAGTTGATCAGAAATACGTACACTCCGTTGAGGTCGAGTCTGTTCCACTGCTCGTATGTGGCCGTTGCGGCTCTTTGCGTCGTTTACGGGGCCTAGCATCGAAGCTGTTCTGCCGGCCAACACTTCCACCGGAAAGAGCGTCATTCTGTCTGTTTGGATGTAGGGCAGTGGGAGTTTCTTCGTTAATTGGAGTTGCGGGTGTCGTTTCAGCCCTGAACTTTCTTTCAAGTTCCAGACTTTCCCCGTATGCTGCCAGGCGGGCGCTCAATGGCGTCCACCCAGGAGTCTTTGTAGTGTCAGGTGACAAAGCAGGCATATCGAGAATATCTTTCAGCTCCTTCTTGACCAGCGCCTCTGCTTGAGCATGTGACGAGATCAAACTCAGATTGATGTCCAGTGGGGTCGGTGTGCGCCGCTCGCTCAAGCGCGAAGTGGGAACACGGTCCGACTCGACAACAACATCTTCGGGTTGAGAGATGGTCTGAGTGGGCAAACTCTCGGTTGGCTGCAAAGGCGTCATAACAGCCACGCTCCCGCTCCCACTTGTCGTTCCACTAGCGCTGAGCTGGGGATTTGTTTGGCTATCAGTGGTGCTTGTGCTGCTAACAGAAGCGCCACGAGCCCGAACATCAGGAGGTACACTCTCGGGAGGGTCGCGAATACTGAAAGGAAGACCAGTGCTTTGTAGCGGTGACGGTATTTGCTGCCGGCTTGCTGCAATTATTGCAAGACGAGAGTTTGGCAGAGGACGGCCATATGCGTATTCATCCTCTTCATCATCTTCAAGAAAATGTTTCTCCAGCGCCTCGAGATCGAAATCGGTAACAGCAGCAGGTGCAGAGTCAGGGAGATCACGGTCTTCGGCTATATCATTTCTTAGTCTCGAGAGTGAGCCAGCACTAGTGCTTCCACGTAGGGCGGTCGAAGATGTAATTCTTGAAGGGCTGTCAGCTCTTCGACCATTCGCATCCGATGTCGGATCAAATCGGAGGGCGCGAACAGCTGGAGGTGCTGGACCAGAAATACTCCGGTTATGGGCTCGTAGTATTCCCGGTCGGCCCAAAGACTCTTCCTCAGTCCTGCTGCTGCCTCTTGAACCCGATCGATCCCTCACGTGACCGGGCCTAAGCACGTTCAACCGCGAGAGAGAACCAGGACTGCCACTCTCGGTCATGGTGGCGTTGAGAAATGCCGCTGCTTCAAAAGGCGTGCCAGTGCCGGAGCCTGACCGCTCCCGATGTTGATGGAGAGCAAATGCGTTGTGGAGATCAACAGCCATCGGAGGACGTGTCGGTGATTTTTGCGCCCCGGGTAAAGGTTGGGTTTTCATGGAAGGGGACAAATTCGATGGTCGTCGAATAAAAGAAGGCGACGGATTTTCTGGCAAGTGGGCAGAAGACGGTCCTGGTGATGATTCTACCGAAGTTTGAGGCAAAGCAACACTGGATGACGATGAGAGAGCGGAAGGTAGTCCTGCGGTGGCTGATACAGGCTGGCCGTCCTCTTCGACTTGGCCTTTCTTGAACATATTAAGCAGGGAATATTTGCTTCCCAGCTTTCTGCCTGCTCCGCCCCGTCCAAATTGTGTCGTTTCAGGTTCTGCGCCATTTCCAGCAGACCGAGGTCGCCGGGGGTTTGTTCGAGAAGCCAAAGAGGCCTTACGATTGACGGAAGGTGGCGTTGGATGAGTTATTTGGGGAAGAGAGGGCCGACGTGAGCCGTAATCAATTGGACTAGGACTCGGACTAGTCGGGTAAAACGTGTATTCCCCAAAAGGTCGCATTGGTGATCCTGGTGGAGTTGAGGAATTGGTGGACGTTGATGGCATCGGGGGCGGTCTGAGGGCTTCTGTTGATCCACCCTTGAATACGCTCAGTGCAGTGTCCACAGACCGCTTCATGTGGATTCTTCTGCGACTTCCATTTTCGTCGTCATCAACGGGAGGCTCGCGCTCGAGTAAATCTTTATCCCGCTTTCGGGACCAAGAACGAAGTTCTTCTGCACAATCCTCGTGGCCGTTCTGACGCGCTACGAGTTCCGGAGTGACTCCATGTTTATCGGGTCGATTTGCGTGAGCACCATGTTGTAACAAGAGTCGAACAACAGCAAGCTTGCCGTTAGCAGCGGCGAAATGTAATGGGGTGCTATTTTCCTTTGAGTCAAGAGGAAGGGAAGCCAGAAACCAGGACGGACCTATTGCTGGCGCCAATAATGACAGAGGAGGCATCGCGAGTTTTGTCATTTGAGTATCGACGTGGAAGGCTGAAAGCAAATTCACTCGACGGATACAAATGCCACGATCGGAAACTCACCGTAGCGCGTTAACATCCGCCCCATGGTCGATAAGAAGTCGTACAACTCGTTCTGAGCCCCCGGAGGCTGCGACATGAATGGGAAGAACACCATCTACAAAGAGGATTAATCATCCAAGGCAACCACAGCACTGTAGAGACCTACCCAGCACAGAATTGACTGGCTGGCCACGAGCCAGGGCAAACTCTACACCTCCGACGTTACCGGTCGCACAAGCGGCATGAAGACCAAGGCTTGGAACTGAGATATTGTTGTTTTTTGAGTTTCCGTCGTTGCAAATTGGAAAGACTCACAGTCGGTGGTAACGTTGTACCTCTGCTCGGCCTTAGCGCCAGTCCATGGCACTGGCATGGATGAGGGAGAGAGCAAGATGCGGCAAGCACACAAGCGACTACTAGCTGATGTTCACACGCGTTAGACGCTGAGCTTAGACAAGCATGTTCCGATTGTAAATTCCCGTCTTCTAGAATCCACCTTTTGTTGGGCCAGTTTCACTAGCATGCGATTTAATAAAATACAGAGGTAATCTACTCAAGTCTCAAAGCCATCCAGTAGCCCGACCTTTGACTCTTCGGTGAATAAGGACACCAGGTCCATATTGGGGAATCGTTCCATGCCCTTCACACTATAATCTGCTGTAAACACACCATCTCCAGTCGCCGAGTACCAATGATACCCCGGAAAGGATTGATCCAAGCTGGGTGAAGTGATTCGCATTCGATGGCTCAACTCGTTGATCAAACCTTCCAGCGCCTCGCTTCCCAAGCGTGCGATCGTCGCCTTCGATGATTCCTCGTTCGCCACCCGAGTCAGTACCGACATCGAACGTTGGACCAGGGTAGCTTCTTCTCCTTGAGATAGTAAGGAAGCCACAGTGATGGCACCCTCCAAAAGCGAAAGACAGGTAGCAAAAGACCATTTGATGCCTGATAACATATTGGACTGGTCCCTCGACCATAATGCATCATGAACGTTGCAGTGAAGTTCTATTAGCCGAGACGCATATGATAGGCAGAATTGCCGACTGCGAGTTCGACCTAGGGGGTGGTCCCACACTCCCAGGAATACGCTGGCGTTCTTGTCTTGGGTGAGAAGAGAAACATGCAGTTTTGTGCCGCAGAGAAGGTGCCACATCGAAAGCCAATGCCTTTGGCGGGCCACGGTGATCAGGTCGCAGTCATGGAAGCTGTCGGGGATGTTGAGTGTCTCCATCATTCTCAATCCAGGAGGCAGTTGGCACTCCCACTTGTCCAATTTACGATTCAGACGATAGACCAAAGACGATGTTGGTGGGTTGAGGGAGAAACACTGCGATTATGATTTTTAAGGGCAAAAAAGAGTACAGCAACGCAACATACTTGATCGCTCAGTTCTCCTGCAAGATCAAAAAGCTGGATGAGCTGCCATTGATAGATGTTGAAGGGGTTTGGTGTCCCGTCCGAGCATAGAGGCGACGGCGGGGCGACATCAGTTTGTGTTCGGATGAGTGTAGGACGACCGATGATTAGGCTATACATTCTACAACAGAATTATTGAAAGTCGTAGTACAAGGAAGTGGTGCTTACCTCTCAGAAATAAAGATACCCCACCACGCTCTGCGGCGTAAGAGTTTTTCATCATCATTCATGCTGTCCTGATGCCAGCCAGACCAGTCAGGATCCCGATGCAGCCCCAGAGCTTCCGCTGCGATGACCGCTTGTCCAGCAAGCTTCCATGCCTCACCGATCTGACCGCGCTCCGCAAGGTATTCGCACAAAAGTGGCGCAGCGAGCACGGAGAGTACCGCGCCTTGAGCGGGAGAAGATTGAGAAGTAGAGGGCTGTGAGAGATAGATGCTTTCCGCCAACCGGCGGGCCGCTATCGAACAAGAGAAAAAAAGTTCGGCGCCTTCGCCACTGGGAGAACTGGAGCCTAGTGCTAGGATGCCAAACAATAATGACAGCCAGTGTGGGTTGATGTAAGTGGAATGAGTGTGTCGGAGAACTGTCCACATGGCAGAGCATGTCGTTTGGAACCATTCCCAGGGAATTCCGAATCGCCAGTTGAACTCGTCAAAGAATACTTGGCATACAGAAGTCACGACTGAGGTCTGGGGAAGAGATTGAATAAGACGAGTCAGAGTAGGATGCTGCTCGTCCAAGGCGAACTGAGAGTGGAATAGGCTGCTTGCACGACTTGAGTCAACATGTAGTACGTGAGGGACTGTATCAGGCCGCATCTGAGCTCGGTCAACAGGCAGAGCGGTCTGAAATATGAATAACTTACTGAACGCAAAGCAGACAACAAACTACCGCTTCCGACGTATTCCCCATGATGAGCGACACAACATTGCGAAAGTGAGGCTACGGAGCAGTAACCGCTGTCCGATAAGGTGGCTGGCACGAAGTCATCATCCTCATCCGGAGGGTATGGCTCAGGCGACGAGTTTGGCGAGTTCCCATTCGATGGAGATTGCAGAGAGACAACAGAGCCATGAGGGGAGAAGTCGATGGCGAGAGAATTCGATGAACGAGGACTGGAGCCTGCCAGAGTGGAGTTTTTGCGACGCTCTGCTGCCACCATTGCTTCCAAACTCGCAATACGCGCGGATAACTGTTGGATTTTATCTTGAGCGTTTTGCGACGGAATCACTGGTGGACGAGCGGGAGTTGGACGCGCCACGGGCACAGTTTCCCATCGACACAAATGAGCAACACCTCGAGAGACACAAAGACCGCATGGGTAAGAGCGATCGCAACGCTATGAAGTGAATAAGAATGGGAGAGGATCTACAAGCGACGATCATGACTTACCTGACGGCGTTTTGTGCATTCGACACAGCTGAGTCGCAGACGCCTCCGTGTCTTCTTTTCCTTCTTCGGTGACTCTTGAGCTTGAGACATAGCGAAATATTGAACCGGATGCTCGCATCCAAGGGAGAGGTTTTATCGACCCGCTGTCTTTGTGCATTGAGCCGATTCTGAATATGTACCTGGTCCGGTCAGAGGCTGTATGGCATAGCTTGGCGGGCCTCACAGAAATAACGTACTGAAGGCCGTGCTATAAGATGCCGCTCCAAGAAATGTACCTGTTTGGGTGGCAGCAGTGCATCAATCAAGATGAGAGTGTCTGAGGAAAAGCAAGTAATCGGACAGTAAGGTTAAGATAACACTATCCCACCGGCCTTCCAACAAAGCGAGGAAGCAAACAGAGAACGAGGACGATTCGAAGCAAGCCCGAGAATAAATAGCGTGGAAACACGATGAAAGCCCGCAGAATCGTACGGCAGTGCGATACCCAGACATCAATGTGGATGCGATGGAGATCATGATGTTTCAAAAGCAGCCAGCCCGCGGCACCATCCCAATTGGCTGAGAACAAGCTCTCAGCTCTGACAAGTTGACGGAGATCAGGAAAGTTGCTCCGGTGACAGTCACACGTGACAGGACGCGTTTTGCTTTCGACTCGTCATGCCTCCGAAAACTGACGCGAAAAAAACCGATGTAAAGGTGCTGAAAGGACAAGAAGCCGAAGACGCCGTCTTGGAGTACATCCAAAAGGTATCACTAATATCTATAGGCAGTACTGTCCTCACCACTTCATTGTAGATGAATCGACCGTATGGAGCAGCTGATGTCGCCGCGAACCTCAAGGGTAGCATATGGAGTTGTGGATGCTCCCGCTAATATGGGCTCTAGGTGCCATCCCCAAAACTCAAGCAGCGAAGATACTAGCCTCTTTGGCAGAAAAGGGCTCCCTGGCCGCAAAGACTTACGGTAGTTGTCTCAACATGCACCCATCCAGCTTAATTCGATCTGTCGCTCTTTCTCTCAACAGGAAAATCCGTGTTCTATGTCGCAAACCAAGCAAGCATATCCGTCATACCTGCCGAACAACTAGCCTCTCTCGAGCAAGAAGTCAAGAATCTTCAAGAAGAAAACAAAATGCTGGGCACACAAATCAAAGCATCTTCGTCTGGTATGGCGGTTTCTCCAGCTAAACCTTCCATCATGTCTGCCTAGAACTAGCAAAGATCAAATCAACACCCACTGACGATGAATTAACTACACAAATATCTGAATTGATGCAAACGGTCTGTTTTATTCGTTGGTTTTAGCTAATCTGGAACCCATTATAGATCCAAAAAATCGATGCCCAACTACAGCCGCTTCGTGCTGGTGCCCCTCTCATTTCGGAGCAAGACATCGAGCAAGTCGACGCAGATTGGTGGAAGTGGAGAACAGAGTGGATTCGCCGGAAGAGAATATATAAAAAGTCGGTTTTTATTCGCTGCATTGACGTTCTACGCGCCTCAATACTATTTCCAGTTTCTGGGACCTCGTTACTGACGCTATGCCAAAATCGGATGCCAACGCCCTCGATGAAGAACTTGGAATTGAACAAGATACTGCTGAACATATTGCTCTCGAACGTGGACCTCTCGTTGCGGCACAGACCAACTTAAAACGAAAACGATGAACTAGTGCTATTGATAGGCTGACTAGAATTGCTTGCTTCCGACGCTGTTTCTTATGCACATGGTTGTACTTGTACTTAGGCTCTGCAACGAGTCGCATCTTGAGAATCTCCCAGCCGAATTCATTCAGGTCTGGCAGTTGGACAAACGGAAGCATACGGCTAGGCCGGCATGTCAAAGGAGACGAGTAAAAATTAAGCCAGTCATACGATGACACCCATCTACTCCGATTTCGTCGACTCCTCCGCATTGTCTCGGATTTGGCCGAATTTAAGGTCCCTCCAGTCCATATTCACTATTTGCTCGTCTGAATAGGCCTCCAATCTATAAAGCTCTCGTCTGATATAGTGAACGATATCGAGCATGAGTTGTGGGTATTCAAGGTATTTGTCCGCCTCGCTCGATGGGAAGTCGTAGACCCCGGAATGGTCATCGGTGGCGGCTTCCTTGTCGAAATCAACCTTTTCTGGATTGACCACAGTACCGCCAACAAGATTGACGGCTCTTCGGAAGGTGGGTGCAGATGGATCATCTGGGAAGGCGATACCTGAGGCCCCACGAGCGCCAAGCAGATTTCTCCAGACTGTCGCTGCCATTTCCATATCACCTTTGACGAGTGCGAGATCAAGAGAGAGCGCAAACCCAGTCCACTGCTCTTTGAAAATTTTAAGCTGCTGGGAAACAAGACGTTCTGGCGCGTTGCTCAGTTTCTCGTTCTTGTCTGTGCTTTTTGGCGCGTTTGGATTCACGTAGAAGGTTGATAGGAAGGTGTAGGGTTTGTAGTCATGTGTTGGCTGCATTATGGCGCGTACTCGATCCTCAACGTCTTGGAAAAAATGTTCCACAAGGCAGTCGGCATAGCGGCGACCATAGGCGCTCGGTAACGCGCGGAATCGGACGTTCATCATCCAAATATGCAGCGTGATAACAGTGAACCACGATTGAAAGGTCGGAGGGAGGCCACAATCTAAAGCCTGTTACATTTCTGGTCGCTGAAAACCAAGCAGCAAGTACCGTGTCTCCAAAAGTCTTTTTCCTCGTCAGCACGAAGGGCGCAGACCCTTTCATACAATACAAAGGTGCGAATTTGGGCTAAACTTCGTGGAGAACCCATGCCAAGGTAACCCGCAAATTTTCGGAAGCGCTCAAGATTCTGTGGAGATTCTAGAATTTTTCGCGTAAGCCATGAGGGTGGTCGCTCGGGAATGAGGTGGTCGGCATTGAACTTTGGCTTTTGGTGTACACAGCGACGAAGGAGTACAAGCCGAGATGTTGGAGGCACGACTGTTCTGAGCATCATATGGTCACGGGATCTCGGCAAAAAAGCAGGACCGTCAACGACGTCATTTCATGTTGAGTCGGGCAATGATGTCCGTCAACTGCCCCGTTGTCGTTCTTGCTGCTGAGGGTGGAAAGGCAACGAGTTGGCTCGAATAGAGAGCTGGTAGTACTATGCCCTAGCATTACTTGTGTCGAACAAGACAGGTTGAAATGCATCATCAATCTTAGTCATCACTCGTCATCTTTCTTTCGACCCTCACCGCGCCCGTCGAGTCTTCTGTGTTCTCTCGTCGCTCTTTTTCTCTCCACTTTCCGCTGCGCTTAGGGCCGCTCTCTACACCGTAAATTCGTGTGGGCGATCTAACCAACCACTTCCACCTCCATGTCGGCTTCTAGTCCAGTATGCCGCTTTCTCTTATCCCTACATTTCTCTTATGTTGGGTCCACAGATAAAGCGCAAGCTCGTGATTGTAGGAGATGGTAAGTGTGCTCCGCAGCACTAAGCATTGCCTTATTTTTGTGCGCTAGGCGCATGTGGAAAGACATCACTACTATGCTCTTTCGCTTTGGGAGAGTTCCCCCGGGATTATGTGCGTCTGCGAACGTATTCCATACTAACGGCTGCTTATTTAACTCTTCGTATAGCAACCTAGTAAGCTTAACCCTACTTGCGCCTCTAGTCCATTCATTGCAATGCAGCTGTGTTTGATAACTATGTGGCCGAAATTCGACTTGACGACAAGCCAGTCCAACTAGCCCTTTGGGATACTGCGTTCGTGTCTCGACCTCGTGTTTGAATCTCGTTCTCACTCCTCCTCCTCCTCCAGTGGACAAGAAGAATATGAGGTAAATCCCCATCACCCATACTTGTCGAGATTCCAACGCGTCTTGTAGCGTTTACGGCCCATGTCCTACTCCAAATCACACGTGATCCTCATTGCGTTCGCTCTGGACACTCCCGACTCACTCGAAAATGTGCAAACAAAGGTGAGCACAGGTCTTTTCACTAACAAGGAACAGGAATTCACCCGAGGATAGTGGATAGAGGAAGTTCGCTCTATTTGTGGCTCGTCAATTCCTGTTATCCTCGTTGGATGCAAGGCCGACCTGCGGCCGACAACATCTCATCCAAACACGCCGGATAACCCTTGCCCCTGGGTTACTCGGGAGCAGGGTGAACGAACTGCCAAAGCAATTGGCGCACGTGCCTACAAGGAATGCTCTGCACTCAAAATCGAAGGTGTCGACGAGGTATTCGAAGCCGCCACTCGAGCAAGCATGTTGATGCGAGATGGCGTACCGGGGACGGGTGAATCCAAACACCACAGGAGGAAGAGCAGTGGAAAGGCGATACCTGAGAAGGAGGAGAGTGGCGGTTGTTGCATTGTTTGTTAAGTTGTTTTTGTACCACCGTTCATGGACATTTTACTCAAGTCGTTGACCTATCTCTTCCACATAGACACTTCTGTCATGTTTACTAATACATTCGCTCCCCTTGCGGCATTATACTCTGACCAGTAATCTAAGACTTCAGTTCCCAACTAACCCCACATCCACATCCACTCCCTTTGGCATGTGGATTATCAGTGACACGGAAACTACTGCCAATAAGCTCAGTTGCAAAATCAATGGTTGAGCCGTTGAGCAGCGTAAGAGAGACAGCGTCAACAAGAATATTAGACGGCTTCACCGTCGGATGACTAAAATGACTAGGGAACAGGGTAAGTGGCGGGTATGTGTGAGCATAATGAGCGTACTAGTCGTCTCCTCCCCGTTTCTCAGCAAGCTCCATTTTATACTGATAGCCATGGCAGCCTCCGGACTCGACTGCTATTCGAAGTGCGGCATTGGGATTTGCTTCCCTTGTCGATATAGAGCGTAGTTGCTGCAAATATTGAGGAAATTCGAGGACTTGAATATATATCCATAACATACCTCAGCAGCTCTGTCTGTTATCACGATTTGAGCCTGCTGGGGAGTGAGCAGCTCGACGTCAATTTCCTCTTGTTTGATATATTCTGGTGCTGGAGAAGCAAGAAGAACAGTCGGCTTAGAGGTGAGCTCAGTGGCTAATGCTGCTCGTGAAGGCAGCGAAGTAGTCAAGGCCCGGATTGGAACTGCGCGAACATTAGCGCGCCGGAGGAGGATGGAAGCAAGTGACATTGTCACGCCGTGACACCCTTCTTGGAGTCAACAACCATGACCTCTAAAGTCTCGTTTACAGTCCGACGGCCAACCCCAGTATCGCGGGATAACTCCTCTGGCCCAGAATCGGACCTCAGAGCCTCAGCTCTTCCACGTCATCTTGCACACAACTCAACTCCAAATAGCCCTCTCAGTCGGAGCCGCACATCTTCTCCTGCGCGTTATTATGAGACCCCGGACTCAAGCGACGAAGAAGATGAGTCCAGAGACGAGCTTGTGACGGCGTTTGATGCAATGGGAGCTCAGCGGTGTGTTTATCCTCGCTTCGTTCCACAGCCATCTCAACTCACGTCAGTCTTTTTTTCAAAATTCTTTTCCCCCTAGTCTGCACGAGCGCAAGAAAGAGTCAACTGGACCCCTCGTCATCCCTGCTCTAAAAAACCGCGACTGGAGGGAACTGGCCCGCAAGAGGCGAACGGCTGGTCAATTCGTACCTGAATCCGCCAAAGCGACGACAGGTCAGGATGGGAGTGTTGGTGGTCTTGGAACACGAGATACGATCAACAGTGGTCCTGCCCGCTCCGGGATCTACGTCAAGACCAAGACGCAAGAAACAGAAGGGGCTACGACAGTCGAACAGGAGGAGGAAGTTGACATGGTCGATGTCAAAGAAGAAGTGGTCGAAGAAGAAACCGAAGACCAAAAGGCTCTGCGTGCCATTCTTTCCGAAGCAAATGGTGTCGGGCCCAACGCCACACCTATCGCCGACATTATACCTTCTATTTCTGAAGCTGACGCCCTTAAACAAGACGTTGAAGAGCTCCCTGATGTTGCATCATTGGAGGACTATGCACGAGTTCCTGTTGAGCAATTTGGTCTTGCTCTTCTTCGTGGTATGGGGTGGAAAGAAGGGACAGCAGCTTCGAGAAAGCCTGGCAAGGGCATGATCCAACCTTATTTACCTGAAGCACGACCAGCTCTACTCGGTATCGGCGCGAAGCCACAAGAAGTCTACGATGACGGCTCGGATTCCAAAAAGAGGAAGGGTGGTAAACAGGATCTGCGTTACATCCCCATCCTCAAACAAGAATCATCCAGTCGTCGAGAGTCCAGTCAAGACAGTCGGCGCGACAATGGGTCAACTAGTCATTCACGCCGTACCTCCCGGTCACGGTCTCCCAGTAGGCGTGACCGCGACGAAAGGAGACGGTATGACAACGACGACCGAAGGAGGGATTCAAGTCGGCGAGACTATGATCGTAAAGAGTCCAGTCGACGCGACTACGACAGACGAGATGACTCAGACCGCTACTCACGAAGACGAGACTGAGTTTGTGCTTATTTTACATGTGTGTGTTTGTTTGTACCCTCCTTTGAAATCCGTTAAATACCGTTCTGGCTCTAGTAATTTGCCAGTTTCCTGTTGCGCAATTCTGGTGGAGTAGTCAGTGTGCTGGGTGTGCTTTCAGTGCCTGGAGAGGGTGGGTTCAAATTCGGGTGGACAGCGAAACCAGTGGGATGTTCATACGGTTGGCCTTCAATGGGATCGAGCACGTGTCCAAAAATAACACCAGGCTCAGCCGGCACTTCTTCTCGGAAGGTTGGAAGACCGAACAACTTTTCTCCTATAGATGGAGAGCCAACAAACATTTGGGAAGCAGTGCGCGATTCGGGTGACTTGACGAACGATAAGACAAGAGAATAGGAAGTGGTTCGACATACTGCAGGGACAACACCGATGTTGATTGAGCCTGGATGGCTGGAGGAAATGCTACTCCGAGGGAGGAAATTGCCTAGATTTTGCTGTGCCTCCAGTTCGATATCATGGATGTTTGTACTTGTTCGAGGTGTTGGCATCTTCACAGACCGAACTGAGCCGGCCTATTTTTAATGTGCTATAAGAAAGTGGTAAAGCCTAGATGTCGCGCGAGATACTCACCACAGAATGCGTTGGTCGCATAGAGTTGGCTGCAACAGACCTTGAGCGTTGGCTACCAGGCGACAGTGCTCTTGCGAAAGCGGCAGGCGAGACAGTTGGCTCTTCGATGACCGATTGCCGAATAAACTCGTGGGGAGGTGGAATGTCTGGGAGGGCATTGGGCTCGGGGCCAACCACGGGAATATAACCGTCCGGAGGGATTTGGGAGTGTTGGCTGAGTGCATGGGGTGGATAGTTATGCACTGGGGTCGGGTGAAAGTCACCTTGGCCTTGTGGTCTTATATTGGCGTTCGTTTCTGGTGCAAGAATAGGCAGCGGTTCTGGAGTCGGAGGAGCAACTACCACGGGTGGGGGTACTGGAACCGGGTCTGGTGTTGCAGACGATATTCGATTAGCTTCGGTCCCGTTCAGAGCTTGGCTAAACCGCGAATCGCGAATTGAGGTGCCATTTCTTGACGGATTGGGTGTATAGAATAGGTCCTCTAGTTCAGCTGGCCCCGCATTCACCTCGCCTCCTTCAAAATCTTGGTCATCAAGCAAGTCGCCCAGGTCCGACAGTCCATCTGCTTCGCTTGTCAAAACGTGTAGTCGCCCAGCTTCGAGGCCTTCCTGGAGGCCCTGCCGTCTGCCTTCCTCGCGCGCATTGTAAATTTTCTGTTGCTCGTGAAGCCTACGAGCAACGGTGCGGGATTTCGCACTTAAAGCCTCAGCTTTGTATCGTTCTTTTTCGACGATATCAAAGACAGATTGAGCGCGACTGATCTCGTTCTGTGCCGATTCCAGTTGAAATCGATATAAGCTGTGAACTGGGTGAGCCTGACTTCTGTAGTATCTTGCACAAGTCTGACTTTAAAGATTCATTCAGTCTAACTGCTTCTCTAACAGCAATAAGTCTATCGTTTCTTGAGTATCAGTGCACGGAATGAGCTGTAGCCGTACCGTTCTGCATTGACGTGTTTCAATCTAGTGGTAGCCTCAGCCACCTGAGTCCTTGCCTCCTCAGTAAGAAGAGTTTGGAGTCGGAGCTGCTCCCTGACACGCTCTAATTCACGCTGAGTTTCGTTGTGATCTCGGCGTTCAAGATTTAACATATGGGCAATTTCTCTGCCAATTGATGCCTTGTCCTTTGACCTTGTCGAATGCCGTCGCGAAGATTCCGCAACCTGGCTTTGTGGCGGTTGGATGGGCAGCGGTGGCAGGTCGCGATCCGACATAACCAGGACGTGACGGTTGAAGCCAACGAAAGAAAGGGCACGTGGGGGCGCCTGAGGTTTGATGGCTTCTCCCAATGACCTCTTCCAACGCGTATGTTGCTGACATCGACTCACAATCGCCCTCTTATCGTTATTCAAGCTCAAACTCGTATGCGTGCCTCTCATGGGCGCGTCACATCTCACCCCAGCGTCGGTGCCAAACACACTACAGCTGTTAACCAATCTACTTGACCTTTTGCGTGACATAAAGGCGTCGGGAAACGCTCTGGACGAAAAGCTGTTGGGTTACACTATTTATCCGATCCGAGTTTTGCTTTCACGCAACGAGTCTCCTGAAATTCCCAACCAACTTCTGGAACGGATATTCTCCATTTTGGCTTACCTTTGCGACGATCTTTGGTGGACATGCGATCTAGAGCTGTGGGAGCAGATTTTCATTCTTTGTGGCTCAGTCATTGGGGGTATAGAAGGAAAGGGGAAAGGGAAAGTTCGCGAAGATGAAACGAAAGAAGCGGCGGCGCAATGCCTCTACTCATTGCTTTGTTTGCGGGACAATGCCACTGCAGGTGTTCAACCCAAATCATCCGCCTCTAGACTGGCGGAAATCCAAGAGCATGCATCCTCTGAACGGTTCATCCCTCTGCTGGGGCGGACATTAGACGCTGCTCTGACAACGGCAAACTCACCGCATCGAAATTTAAAACTGGTTTCGCTCGACCTGTTACTGCTTCTCCTTGAAACCTACTTCCCTGATGCCCTTGTTCCGACTGTTCTTCCTGGAGTTGTCAGCTCCATGACGAAACTTGCCCTTGGGAAAAGTGGTAACCTGGGATGGGCACATGGCGCTGTCGTTGCGCGATCTTTGAAGGTGCTCCAAATTGTGGTAATACGGTCTATTGGTGATGATGTTTGTATTCGCGATGGGGCCGTGCAACCTGTCAAAGACCTCGAAGATTTCTTAGACCTCTTAAACCCCTCCGCACCACCTGAACCAAGTGTGCCCGCTCGACCTTATTTCACCTCAAGAACGACGTCATGGCTGCGCGGAACTGCGACACAACTTCATATTGCTTTCAATACTCTCACACCACTGGTATCGCACACAAATCCGACAGCCCTACTTGCTCTACAAGAACTGTCCTCTGATGTCCTGCTCAACACAGCGTTGACCCTCCCCCAAACCAGACCGCTCCTCCTCTCCTTCTTGCTTTCGCTTTCGGTCTCCAACGCGCCGGGTGTTTCTGAAGCATCTCGTAGCTCTTTGATACAGCTACTTACCAATCCCAGCAACGCTCGGCAGCCGTTGCTGCAGACGCTGGTGCACAGTACCAAAGACAACCTCACAACTTTACCGCGGTTACTCTCATCCCAATCTGATTCCAAAGTGGAGCATCTGGCTGGGATTATCAGCGCAACATGCATTCTCGCGATGCCTTTTCAGAACAAACCGGGAATTCCGTCTATATCAGCGGGTCTTGCCACCCTTTTAGGTCCAAGTGGCGGCATCGAAAAGTGGGGGTGGCGTCTGTTGTCGGTTCTAGAGGTGGCTCCGTTGTCTTCAATTCCTTCTGGCACATCTACAGCTCAACTCATGCTTGAAAATGACGACGGTTCCCTCGATCAGGTCAACTTCCCCCAACTTACTTTCAGAAATCTGACGACTATGAGTGCGCATGAAGCATTGACCCAGATGTTTTTCAACCTAGGACGAGCAGCAGGAGACAGCTGTCTCCCCGCTGTCGAATGGTTCCTCAATGTGGGTTGCAATGGAACGAGCAGTCGAGCCGTTTCTGCTTTATGGTGCGCGTGTCGACTTCTGGAGGGGGTTTCTGGAGTACCGATATCTACCGAAATGGAGACAGAGCATCCTCGGCAATCAAAACGTCTCGATAAGCTAGCTCGAGGTGTTGCAAGGACTATTTCCGAGCTGTGGGACAGACCGGATGACGATCTGATGGAAGATCTGCCTCAAAAGCCAGATGAAGAAGACGACTCGTCATCGATATTACATCTGAAAGGCGTCGATCGACTCGCAGACACTTTAAAGATAACGCGGTCTTCGAACTCTTCGAACATTAGACACAATCCATCACAACCAACTCTGCATCGAATTCTTTGCCTCCAGATGCTTGCCGTTGTGTCAGGTGTACTACAAGCTCGGTCTGCCCCGCTGCTGCTGTACACTGTCTACCCCGTTTTGCACTCACTCGTCTCGCCTAATTTCCATTTGTCCGCAACAGCACTTGCGACACTTCACTTTATGGCAAGAAGTGCATCGTATGCCTCTCCGTCTAACCTTCTGCTCTCCAACTTCGACTATGCATTAGATGCGGTCGCCCGCAGACTAACCCGAAGATGGCTGGATGTCGATGCTACTAAGGTCCTTGTCATTCTCGTCCGACTAGTTGGCAGTGACGTTGTGGACAAAGCCTCTGATGTGGTCGAGGAATGTTTTGATCGTCTTGACGACTTTCACGGGTATGAAGTTGTTGTTGAGGGCCTAGTTGAGGTGCTGGGCGAAGTAATCAAAGTCATTGAAGTGCAAGAGGCCGGCAAATCGATTCCTCGTTCAAATTCGCCCACTTTCAATCCTCCAAACGATGTAGAACAGATGAGATCATTTGTCGAATGGTTTCCGCGCCGACACGAGGAGAGAGAGCCTGAACCAGAGCCAGTAGAGCAACCACTGGAATCCAATAAACCCGAGCATGTTGATGAAGAACCAGCTGCAACTGCTACACAACTTTTGACAAAACAAATTGTCACTCGGTCACTGTATTTCCTCACTCATGGATCACCCGTTATTCGAGCCAGAATCCTAACCCTGCTCGCTGCCTCTGTCCCCGTGTTGCCGGATTCGGCGTTATTACCCTCGGTCCATTCCGCTTGGCCGTTCATTCTCAACCGACTCTCTGATTCTGAGACCTATGTTGTTGCTGCTACCGCATCCTTGATCGATGCCTTGGTCACCTATGCAGGAAGCTTCATGTACCGAAGAATGTGGAACGATGTTTGGCCACGGTTTCGAACCATTTTGGGAAAACTCGATGCAGCAGACTCGACCAGTGCGTTGGCCCGGCGCGGTTGGGGGTCGGTAGGCTCCGAATCGGCTTATACGCATTCACATAGGCTCTATCGCGCGTTGTTGAGAAGTATGACCGCGACAATGAAGGGTGTTCGCGCTCAGGATGGTCCTGTTTGGCAGGCTCTTTTAGCTTTCCGTCGGTTTCTCCATCGCCAAACGCACGAAGAACTGCAGAAGTGCGCAAGAGAATTCTACCTGGCAGCCGTCGTGAATAATGCCGATGCTGTTTGGTTGGCGTTGTCGATGACTCTGTCAGACTCTGATGAGCCAAGTATGCTGTTCCTGCGACAACCGAAATGGGAGATAGCTGCGAATGTCGAGTACATCCTTCAACAAAAATAGTTTACACGTAGAGAGTACAAGTTCGAAATCAGAGTTATTTGCGAACCTCTTTGAGAGCTTTATCCTTGCCCTCCTCCAGTTTTTCCCGACCCTCCTCAGCCTTGCTTCGCCCCCAACCTAGCCAACTGAACCAGCCCGCCTTTGCTTCTGCTGCCTTCTTCTCTGTCTCGGCACGTGCATCGCGATAGAGTTCCTCTGTCGAGTTGCGAGCGCTAGCAAGCTTCCCCTTTGCGGCATTATAAGTAGCATCAGCTTCGTCTGCTACCTTCTGCGCTCGGGCGTTGGCTTCAGCAGTAATTCTATCACGCGTTTGCTGGGCCTCTTTCACACTCCCATCAAAAGTTGAACGTGCAGATGCCAGACGCTCTTGGCCGGCGGCTATCGCGTGGTTTGCAGCATCTTTGGCGTGAGCGACGGCCTGTTCTTCCTCGACCTTTGCCTTGTGGGCCAGGGCATCGACTTGCTCAGTGTTGGTCGAGTAATAGTAATATGCGCCGCCACCAAGTAGGGCAGCTGCTATCAGGTAGATTCCAGCGCCACCGCTCTTCTTCTCTTGGGCGGGTGGTGGTCCAGGTGGTGGTGGGGCAGCAGTTGCATAGCTTCGACGAGCCTAATTGGAGAATCAACAAGGATCAACGATTACACCAAGATAGTCGACATACGGCGGCTCTGCGGGAGACGGCGATTAGAGTAGAAGTTCGGTACATGGTTAAGATGAGGAGAAAAGACAAGGTTGGAAGTATGCATTTAATAGGCTGGGAAAATTGAAGGATGACGTCGAAAGTGGTGACGCAAGCATGCAATCATGCGAGATTCGGCAAGCTCTTGAACTGACTGAAGCGGAGCGCCAGTCACATTTTGTTGGAGGGGGAGCATAAGAGTACTACTAGAGTAGGGTAAGAACATGTTGCCAACGACGAGCGTATAATAGACCATATTCGCAACCCCTCGGCAAAGGCATATTCTCGTTTTTGATGCTCCACACGCCAAAATTTGGATGCCCCCATAAACGGCAATTCGATCAAACTCACTCTGATGTCGGGATATGGCGCGTTGAGGGAGCTGGTTTTCTGTAAATTATACCATACAAAAGGTAGAAATTCGATGTGAAGTAAGTGCTATAGCATATATAATGTGAAGGCGCTGGTTAATTATGTCTGAAATATAAGCGTGTGATGAAGGGTGTGGAATCGGCGCACGAAGGGCGGGACGTGGCGCAACAATGTCACGATCAGTAACACACCATTTGCGGCCGTAGCAACAGGAAACGGAAATGATTTCGTGTCGGGGAAGGGGTTGCGAATATGGTCTAATGTTGCATGCGTGGGAGACCAAGCGGAAGCTTCAGTTTGTGATTGATAGACACTTCTCCGAACCTTCTCTTGCGCCATGACTGGTGCCCCCGACATCGACCCACTCACTCTTGCTCTCCAACCACCAGCAAACGAAACCCCTCAGGAGAGAGAGTCCCGATTACTCCTAGAGCGTGAGGCAAAGAAACGGTCCGATCTCATCGACCAAGAACTCAACCGTCAACGCAATGCTGAGGTACTTAGCTCGCACACCTTTACCCATATCATAACTCGCGTTGTAGAAAAAGGCAGCCAAGCCCGTCAAAATACTCCTTCTCGGCCAGAGCGAATCTGGTACGCAAAAATCCTCTCTCTCTACTATCATCCCCCGCTCATACGACAGTCTAGGCAAGAGCACGACACTCAAAAGTGCGGTGATACCTTCTTCTTACCCCGTTGTAACTAACGTTGCTCCAGACTTTCAACTTATCAACTCTCCAAAAGCATTCAAGGCCGAGCTTGGCTCGTGGCGTGCAGTTGTCCACCTGAATGTTGTTCGCTCGATACGCCTCATTCTCAATGCGCTTGCCGAAGCCGAAATTGCAGCTACGACTACTCCTGGCCCCGATGATCCCGTATACCCCGCTCTGACATCAGAACTCCGTGCTCTCAAAATGCGTTTGCTCCCCCTCCAGCAAGTGGAGGCAGCCCTCCTCGGAAAATTAACGCCAGGGTCCAAACCGCGCTCAACAGAGTCATCGGATGATCAACAGTCGTCTGCGGAGGTTTCTGTGCACTCAACAGCACCTTGGAAGAATGCATTTAGCCGATTGATGAACAATGTGCGAAGCAGCGTCGATGGGCCAGAAACAAACGAGCCCCAAGACTCAAAAGAGGCCAGACAACTACTCCACGCCTGCTCAGAGGATATGATTCGTCTGTGGAACGACCCCCTGGTTAAGGAGGTGCTGGAGGTGCATAGGCTCAGACTGCAGGACATGGCCGTGAGTTACGCATCTCGCCTAACATGTTCCGTGTCTAACTGTTTAGTAGGGCTTGTAAGGTGGCACGTACATTGGTGATCGCCTTATTAATCCGTTTGCAGTTTCCTTGACTCTATTGAGCGCGTCACCGACCTCTCGTACCAACCGACCGATGGTACCTATCATGCTTTTCAATCCTGTCAACATCTACTGAGGCATTACAGACGACATTCTGAAGGCTAGATTAAAGACCCTGGGTGTGTAGACATCTCTGATCTTCTCTCCATTCTTATTCATGTTTCCGCAGGTGTATCGGAGCACCACTTCACTCTGAAGGCTGGCAACATGGTTCCTCAAGGCTGGGTTGTGTTCGATGTGGGAGGAGCTCGATCTCTTCGAGGTAAGCCAGCCAAATTCCGTCTAGTATCAACTAAGAGGCTCTCCAGCGGCATGGTAGGCTTATCTCCTGCGCCGATTTGGGGCCCGCTTATCATGCATTAGGGTCCCTTACTTTGATGATATGGATGCCATCATCTTTCTCGCACCTCTGAGCTGCTTCGACCAGGTTTTAGCGGAGGATGAAAGCGTCAACCGACTGGAAGACTCCATCCTTTTGTGGAAGATGATCGTCTCCAGCCCACTGCTTAAAAACACAAGTCTTATCTTGTTCTTGAACAAGTGCGACATCCTCCAGGTATTTCCTAATTTGTTTTAGTTATTCATCAACTGACCATTCCAAAGGCAAAACTAGAATCTGGACAAAAGTTCGCGGAATACGTGGTGTCCTATGGCGACCGTCCGAACGATTTCGAACACACCTCTCAATGTCATCATTCCTCTGCTCTCTTTCGAAACTCCCAACTGACGAGCTGGCAGACATGAAAAAGAAATTCACCATGATTGCGAAGCAATTTTCGCAGGAGGCGCGCGGTTTCTACACCTACTTTACCTCGGTGACCGTGCGTAACCATAGACTGTGCTTTCTCAATCTGATTCTCCTATAGGACTCGCAAGCGACATCGGACATACTTGGAAGTGGTAAGCTCTAAGCCTGTTTCTTGTCCTTCTTCTCTAGAAGCTTTATTCTTCTCTAGTTCGGGACATGCTCGTGCGGCAGAATCTCAGTCGGAGTCGATTAGTGGTGAGCAACCCCCATTAACCATCCGAAACTCAGCTGAATGTACCCCAGTGATCAAAAGAGTCGTGAGCTATCTCATTCGATATATATTTCTGCATATACTGGCATTTTTATTTCGTCTTCTATTATGTATTCGTTCAAGTGGCTGGAATGGAATCTTCAATGTACACGGTTCTTTGGATGGGCGTGACAAGGGCCGTGACTTGTTCAACTTGCGAAAACAACTCGCTCATAGCCGGACTCATTATTCAAGTCATCGATCACTGGAAGCTTCTGTTGGGCTATGCTTCCAACTTTATGGATGAAGCACAGTCAGATAATGGAGCCATATCTTATCAATGTGCCTAGGCACCTATGTCTCCAGCCGCGATTATGGGAGTTGGGACTCGGACGTGACAGCAGTGACAGGTTGAACTACACTTGCGGAAAGAACTCATGGCCTCCAATGTCATGGAACATTTCGGGCCTCTAGACGAACTTATCCAAGTCATTTATCAAGGCCTGGAAAAATATGTACTTCTGTCGGATGTTACCACCAGCAAGTGGCAAATTCATCTTGGCCTGACAGGCGCCAATGCACGTTGGTGGCAAGGCTCTTGGACGTCAGATGATGTGTTGGGAGTAGTGGGTCACTCGGCCAGTGCTACGCTTCTGTCGACATACGCCGGAAATCTAGCGGAAAATATTGTCCAAGGCGAACTTCATGTCGATGAAGCACAACCCTATAAAGTAATGGCATATCTTATCAATGTGGCCCGCCTTGACGATCGCAGCTTGTGCTTAATCCGACAGGGAAAAAACCCATTCAAGTTACTCTGAAAGAAATGAGTGCAGGAGAAGCGCTTGAATACACCACCGAGGCTTTTGCGAATGTGGACGCTCTACATCACATTGTCATTGGCTGACTCTGACTGGTTTCCGAAGATCGCCCTACAAGCCCAGTCAAGACAATCGCGTCTGAATCCTTCCGCGGTTGCGTTTCCCACTCGTATGTCATGTGCACTACTGTCTAGATCTCTTTCGACTTTTCGGCTTAGCTGGCCCTGCAGTCGCGAGCATACCCCCGAACGTAAAGACAGAAAAGAAGCCGTCTCTTGACGTTCCAGAGCCCCCCGTGGCCCCGAAACAACGCAAACCAGCGCCAGTTGAAGCGCCCCAGTCACCACAGAAAAAGAGGGTCTCAGAGGATGTTGCCCCACGGGCATCAAGTTCAAGTTTGCATTTTGCTCACTCAGGTTGAGACTTTTCACTGATATCGTTACAGAGGCCGCTGCAGTGCGTTCAGCACCAAAAGGCGCGTCGCTGGCGAACCCAAATAAGAAAGCAAGGAAATTCCAAGCGATTGAATTTGAGAGCGATGAAGAGTAGACGTGTTTGACGCGTAGAAATGATTGAATTGGATACGTGTTCCGTGTAGCGTGACAGAGTAAATAGTCGGCAAAATCCACCTTTCCGCATACCCTCATGGCCTCCGATTCAGTTGTTCTCCAACAAATCCTTTCAGTCGTCCAGCAGAATGTTCGTGCTGGTTATTAGTCTCGCCGTTTGCTATAACGACTTCTTTCACAGTCTTTGGACCTCGCTGCTGTCCGTCATGAATGCGAGCAACTGCGTCAAGCCAATGCTCTCCTCGAATTGAAGCTGAGCCAGGTCTCGCCAACGCTTTTCTTTACCTCGCCTTGTACTAATAGCCGTTTATAGAGCAACAGAAGCGGCACGCCAGGATACATGACACCACAACCACCGTCTAGCCCACAACTTCGAGCCAAATCGCCATTCCTAAATGCTGCTATTCCTCCCATTGTCCAATCGCAAGCCTACCATCCATCTCCACTGAGCGACAACGTACAAACACAGACGTCCTACCAGTTTGGCCAGACGAGAGATATTCCTGGCTTCTACGTTGTCATTCCCGCTGGCGGGGCCGGCACTCGCTTGTGGCCTCTGTCGCGTGAAGACCACCCGAAATTCCTACTTGATCTCACCCTCAAAGGCCGTTCACTCATCCAAGCCACATGGGACCGACTACTTCCTCTTACTTCCGCTGCCCGCACAACTATTGTCGCAGGCCCCGCCCATGTTGGCGCGATTCACGCACAACTGCCCGAGCTTCTCCAGGAAAACCTGTTCTGTGAACCCGGTCCAAAAGACTCGATGGCAGCCATCGGTCTTGCTGCTGCTGTCCTCGCCAAACGCGATCCCAATTCTATTATTGGCTCATTTGCTGCGGATCACATGATTGCTGGCGACGACGCGTTCCTCTCCGCCATCGCGGAGGCTGTCGAAGTTGCGCGTCACAACTATCTCGTCACAATCGGCATCGCGCCCTCACACCCATCGACTGGTTTCGGTTATATTCGTCTGGGGGATAAGCTCCGTCTCTCAGAGGCCCCCAACGCGCGTCTAGTATCAAGTTTCAAGGAGAAACCTGATGCCCGCACTGCTGCCAGCTACATTGCAACTGGTATTTACCGTTGGAACGCCGGCATGTTCGTCACCAAAGCAACTTTCCTTCTTGAATTATTGAAGGAGTATAACGTTGGTCTATACGAAGGTCTCACCAAGATTGCTGAGGTGTGGGATGACGAGACAAAGCGCAAAGTCGTGTTGGACGAAATTTGGCCGACTTTGGAGAAGATTCCAATAGACAATGCTATTGCAGAACCAGCAGCATCGACGGGACGGGTTGCTGTCGTGCCCGCAACATTTGGTAAAACTATCTCAACTGTGACTGGAGATTGCTGACTTGTGTTGAACAGGTTGGGATGATGTTGGGGACTTTTCTTCGCTCGCTGAACTGTTGCCCGCGGAATTGCACCAGCCGCGCATTCTTGGCGACACCAACCTCGGTATGTCGTTCAATTCAACTGTTAAAGAGCTACTGAATGACTGTGTGTTAGTCCTCACTGAGCAGGTTGCGGGTGGAATCATTGTACCACAGTCTGGTCGGCTTATTTCGTGTCTTGGGGTGGACGATCTCGTCATTGTGGATATGCCCGACACTTTGCTTGTCACCACTCGTGCTCGCTCGCAAGAAGTGAAACGGATTGTGAAAAAAGCACGTGATGCAGGGTGGGGCACTCTTCTTTAATGGAATAATATCTGGGTAATATTTTTATTTGGTGGACTATCTGGTAGAGAAAAAGCGGACTGGACACATTCCTAGCCTACGAAACAAATTGTACCTAAGCACCCCAACATTGATAATAGCATCACTAGTCCACGCTTCAGGAAGACTGATCACGCCACCGCTAAGATTTTGACTGTACCGGCCCATTCAAGAAAAAACTTCGAAATCACGCCTTGCCCTGCCATGAATGCGCAATGCGCCAAGGAATGGCAGCCCCGCTTCTCTCAACCTCTTCTTTCATGGGCGAATCTTCAGAAGCAAGCTACGGCGCGACTGACGCCCAAGATCCAATAAAAGACACTGGAACAGAGTCAGTAATCGAAAGCCGCAATGCGCTCCATCGTGGTCTTTCGTCGCGTCAAGTGTCCATGATTGCCATTGCGGGAACTATAGGTTGGTTCTCGAAGTGTGAATTGCTGCTCAGTTTACGGTCTTTTCTTCAGGAACCGGTCTATTCCTGGGTACTGGCAGAAGTTTGGCTGCTGGGGGTCCAGCTAGCATGCTCATCTGCTATTCTATCGTTGGGTTCATCGTCTACATTACGCTCCTCCTTTTGGGAGAGATGGCCACACAATACCCCATCGCTGGCTCCTTCACGGCTTATTCTTCGCGATTCGTTGGCTCGTCCTACTCCTTCGCATTGGGCTGGAACTATTGGTTCAATGACGCTGTTAGCGTTGCTAGTGTGCGTTTGTCTGGAAAACCAAGCTCCAGAATTGACTTTTCATTATAGGATTTAACTGCTGCACAGTTAGTAGCACTTGTAGTTGTGAAATTCGACTTACATCTGATCTGCTAGGCTCGTCCTCCAATTCTGGACAACCTCACACACTTGGGCTATCAGCTTGGCGTTCTGGGTCTTCCTCGTGGGCGTCAACTCAATTCACGTTCGATCCTACGGTGAACTAGGTATGATATACGAAACAAATCCATTGGGCATCAGCTTGAATTCCTCGTGTTCATCCAGAGTACTGGCTCTCCATCCTCAAAGTCGCCACGATTGTAGTCTTCATCATTATCGGCATCTTGGTCAACGTCGGGGTTAACACTGACCACCACTACATCGGTGGCCACTATTTCAGAGACGCCCCATTCATCGGCGGCTTTGGTGGCTTCGCTCGAGTCTTCGTGACCGCGAGCTTTGCATGTGGGTGGTTTATGTTGCCTCTTTGCCTGTCTAATATCCGTTCCCTGCAGATGGAGGCACCGAAAGTCTGGCGATCACCGCAGGCGAAACGAAGAATCCGACTAAAAATATTCCTCGAGTCGTCAAATTTGTCTTTTGGCGGTATAACCTCTCTGTTAATTGCTGCTTGACTAGCTTGAACTTTTGTCAGCATCCTGATATTTTATATCATCAGCATTCTCCTAATTGGGCTCAATGGTTCGCTTTACTTCCATGCAGACAAAATTTTCACTACTGACGTTTTCTCAGTTCCTCACGACTATCCTAATCTCTCGACCCGTAGTGCTACGACCTCACCTTTCACTATCGTGTTCAAGGAAGTCGGATCCAGTATGTCTCTGCATTATCGGGAGGCTTGGGGTTGACACTTCGGCAACAGCGACTGCTGCGTCTTTCATGAATACAGTCATCCTCACCTCTGTTCTGAGCGCGGGGAATCATGCGATGTTTGCTGGCACTCGCGTTCTTTACGGTTTGTTGTATTAGTTCTCCCTGGCTTGAGTTGACCATGGTCAGGTTTATCCGTCTCCAATCCACCCCAAGCCCCGGCCATTTTCTCCAAGACCACCTCTTATGGTGTCCCTGTATTTGCTCTATTAGCAACGAGCAGCATCAGTATTCTTTGCTTTGGCAGTAGCTTCATTGGCAGTGGTCAGGTAAGTGCCCCTCCTTCGTCACACTCTCCTCCAGCTACATAGCTGACTGCGGACATTAGCTATGGGGTTGGCTTCAGAACATAGTGGGCGTTTCCAACCAGGTACAATGACTCTTCTCTGGTGCCAACGAAGACGACTGAAGATTCTCTTTCCAGATAGCCTGGTTGTCAATCGGGCTTGCGAGTTGGCGCTTCCGCAAAGCGTGGCTCCGCCAGGGCCGCTCGCTGCAGGACCTCAAGTTCCACGTGTCGTGGACTAGAATATGGGGTCCCCCATTCGTGGTCTGTATCTTGCTCCAATACTCGGTCTACACCGCTCACATTCTGCCCAGATGATCTCAGTCACCGTCCTCATTCTCGGTAAGCAGCCACCCTTCCAATAGTGAACCGTAATATTGACTGATCTGCTTCCAGTTCAAGGATGGTCTTCTTTCCACCCCACGTTCTCTGCCATCGACTTCGTGTCACTGTACATCGAAATTGCGGTCATGGTGTTCATGTTTGCCGTCTGGGCATTCATCGTTCGTCCATTGACAGGACGGAAAGCAACCCAGAAGCACAAGCTCCAGCGCATCTTCGACCTGGTCGAGCTCGAAACCGCCGATCTGGACAGCGACCAGCACCATGACGGGGAGGCGGACAAACTCGACAACGAGCGACATGAGCAAAACCAACGGATTTGGTGGAGGAGACTGTTCTTCTTTATTGCCTAAAGTATTCAAGAATAGGGATTATGGACATTTTTGGTCGACTGTTGCATCATAAATCCTTTTTATAAAGATAGTACACCGGTAATAAGATAAACAATGGATTATGTGGACAAGATGCAAGCTGGTGAAAATGCGCGGTGTGGATGAGCTTCACCAGTCTACTTTCTCAGCTTCCCAATGACGGCTTCAGGCGCATATCGTCCAATGACCTTCTTCTCGTGAAGCATCAGGAACTCCTCGGTGGCATCCCGGCCAGCGTAGAGTAGAATAGCCTTCTCTCCTCCTGGATGGTCTGGCAAGAACTGCGAAGACGCTCAGCGAGTGAAATGTTGGGGTTAAGAAGTAACTTACGTTGGTAACATCAAGGACCTCCCCGTCAACGATAACCCAGATGTCATCCTTCTTGTTGTGCTTCGCAACCTCCTCAGCCGTAAATTCCTTGCTGCCGGATTTCGGGCCGGAGGCTGCCGGTGCGGCTGATGAAGAGGGAGCGGCAGCAGCAGGTGCACCGAGCTGACCAGCAACAGCTCCGAGACGGCCACCGGCCTTCTCAATAGCCTTGCTTGCGGCTTGGAGCATGTAAGCAGCGGCTGAGTCCCCGGAGACCCGACCGAAGACAACGCAACCAAGAAGTGAAGAGCCACCAAGACGGTTAGCACCGTGGACACCACCAGCGACCTCGCCAGCAGCAAAGAGACCAGGGATTGGCTTGCCCTTGGTGTCGATAACACGCGACTCGGGGTCGATTTCGAGACCACCCATGGTGTAATGCAGTACAGGGGTCATGATAGCGACGTGGAAGACATCGTTGTACTTCCACTCGCCCTGGAAGAACTTCTTGCCAAACGGATCCTTCTTGGTGCGAACAGAGTTGTTGTAGTCCTCGAATGTCTTTTTAAGGACGGAAGGCGGGAGTCCCATCTCCTTGGAAAGAGCGTCGCCATTTTCGAAGCGTTTCATCAGCCCACGGCCGACGTAGTGCTTGCAGTGCCACTCAATTTCCTTCGAAGCGGGACCGTTGAGGACGAGACGGATGGGGTACTACAAGGCAATTCAGACGTTGTTGCAGATGACAGCATTTGACTTTACCTTCTTGTTCTCCCAGATTTTGCCCGTAACATAGTCACGGTGCTGGAGTTCGTCGACGAAACGAGAGCCAGTGTTGTCCAGGAGAAGACCGCCGACTCCACGCAGAGCCTCAGCAGCAAGGAACTTGACCTTGGCTTCCGGCTCGTTGGGGTCAACGAGACCAGTTGGGTGGACTTGAACTTTTTCGAGGTCGATACCCTGGGCGCCAACGTTCATGGCAAGTTTCTGACCGTCACCAGTGCAGTGGTCGCCATTGGTCGTAGGGAGGTCCCATAGCTCTGGCCGGTATTTTTTCAGGAGCGAGTCTTCCGTAAAGTCGGCGGCATAACCACCGGTAGCGAGAATGACTGGGCCGTGCGCTGTGTTGGTCTTGCCACCGTGTTGGTATTCAACACCAATGACAGCGCCAGAGTCGTCTTTGAGCAATTTGCTGACGCGGGCCTTTTTGAGGATCTTGACTCGCTCGGGGTTGCTCACGGCCAGGTCTTCTAGACGTTCCATTTGTGCGTAAGTGATAACCTGGGCTGATATTAGTCTCCGATAGCCCGACCCTACGAAAAAATAATAACTCACCATACCCGGGAACTGAGCATCGCCACGGTGGGTTCGGGGGTGAGAGTGACCTCCAAGACGGGCAACCTTGGAAAGATCCAGGCTGAACTTGTCTTGAAGCCAGTTGACAGCATCACCGGAACGCCCAGTGAGAACTCGGATGAGATCGTCACGGGCAAGGTCGCGGGCAGACTTCTTGGTGTCCTCGAAGAATGTTTTTGCGTTGTCTGGGATGCCAGCCTCCTGTTGGGTCTGAGTGCCAGCACCGTTGATTCCGGAAGTGGCCTTGGTCGAGTTACCGCCCATGAATCTGGGGCAGTGATGAGACTATGGGGTAGATGGCAACTGAGAAAAACACACCCTTGCTTGTCGAGAAGAAGAACATTGGCACCACGCTCGAGGAGAGTGTGAGCAGCAGAGAGTCCGGCGAGACCGCCTCCAACAACGATGACAGACATGGTGGTTATGAAAAGAGGAGTTGAACGTGAATATAGGCCGACTCTGATTCGCTCTCTTATACGTCACAATCGCATGTGATTTCTAATTTCTAGTGAAGCCGGTTCTACCGTAAAGTACTGGCTATAAGTTCACAACTCCGTGAAACTGCGTCACCCATCGTTATGCCCTCAAGCAGAGCCAGCCCCTCTACCTTTTCCGTCGGCTTACCGTTTTCTACATCCCCGTCTATGAACACCTCCCGATTCGCATCAACATAGGCTGGATACACAATCTGTTCCCAATAGTTTGGTGGGTCGCGCCATAAAGTGCCCTCTGGATCGGATTGGACTCAAGTTAGCAAGTGGAAGGTGAGAATGCTTGTAATAACAAGAAAAGGATCGAAATATTTACCTGCAGTATGGTACCCATGTCGCGCGTATCTCCGCTCGCGTAAAACATCGTGAGGAACTCGTAAGAATATCCGCACATCTAGTTGCTCGATGACTTCCGGATGCCAATAGAGAAGGAAGCCGTCGACCAAGCCCCAAATAGTATCATCGGTGTTAAGCGGCTCAAAGGCTGAAATCCAATGATCGCGGAGCTCAGCTGGAATTGGGACATCCTTTTGCTCGTTGAGGTGGTCGTGGCTTCGGTGGTCTGCGGGTATTTCACCAGTGGCCTTGACTTGACGGAGGAATGCGATCAAACGTGGCCAGTCAATCGCGCCTGGCGCTGCATCCCAGTCTTGGACGTTGTGGATAGGATGGATGGGTACTAGTTCTTGCGGCTAGGAATGTCTTCGTAAAAAAAAACCCTTGAATCAAGACAATGAGGACCAACAGGAGCGAAATCCTAGCTTTTATCAGATCACGAAAGAAAGAGCAGGACAGATAAGTACATCTTGGTGAATGATGACACTGTTTGGTAGAATGCGCTTAAGATGTTTCGCCAGGGTAGTTTTCCCTGAGCATGTTGCACCCCTCCATGAAATAATTCAAGGCTAGTGTGAGCTTGAGTCAAGAAACCTACCCGACCCCAACCAAGACGACTCGAGGCATTTGGTGGCGATAAGATGTGACCGTGTCACGTCGTTTCTAACCTGCAATTGCCTGCTTCATTATTCTGCTCTTTACATACCTCAGAACGGGACATACGATCCTAGTGCTCTCCGATGCCTTCGTCTGTTACCTTTTTGCGCAGTTATTACTGTCACGGCGAAAGGGCTGTTCGTGTGACCCGCTGCTTGACTCGATGCACATCCCTGACAACAACAAACCTGCCCTACTCCATATCGTCCGAGACCTCAGAGGAGATGTAGTTGGCCAACTCGACTCTCCCAGCGCCCCTTCAGGTCTTTACCCCGATATCATCCTCCAAGTTGCTTCACATCTAAACGACGATAATGCGCAGTCCTCCTTCCAGTTTTTTGACCTATGGGAACTCATTCTCACCCATTGGTTTCCCCAACGCGAAGGTTATGAAGTGAAGCATCTCTGGTTCATTCCATACCTCCAAGACCGTGAAGGGGCTGACAAGATTACATTTGTTGTTCTCAAGGACGACCAGAGTCCAGTCGTGCTCTTGCAAGTCAGTGCGCCGCGTGACTTTCATAACGTGCACACTCGTGCTGCCGCAGAAGCACTTACTGCCAGCCAATTTGAACATGTTGCTCCTTATTGTGACTACGACCATTCCTTGTGCGCCATCGCCGCAATGGGAAAGAAATGGTCGGCTTTCCAGCGGTCACCTAGGCTCACAGCGGAGGAGGCGCGGTCACTAGGGGAAGAACACATAGAGTGGATGGATGATATCGTGTCTGAACCCTCATTTGAAATGCTGGAGTGTTTTTTCGCCTCCTTGAAGGCGGGAGGTCAGACATTTTCGTCCATACGCTCATTACCTTGCTCATTCATTTCCAGTTCGGGCGTATCGCCTGGGTCAATGAAGTACTAGTCTGTGTAAACTGTTATAACTTGCATGTAAAATATAGGTGGCGATCACCCTTCTTGCTTATCTGAGTTAGTCATCATCATCGACGCGTTTCGCTTCCGACCACAATGAGCTCTTCTCAGGAGGAAGACCGTGTCGCTCGCCAACAGGCCATACTGGGCCTCGGGAAAACATATTTATCCACCCAGTCGCTTCCCCAAGAGCCTTCTGCAAACGAAAACACCACACTGTTACCGCAGCATGTTCAAGACGATGAAAACTACCCTCCCACTCGCACTCGGGGCATTGTGTGGTCCATCCTGACTATACTGTTTTCTGTTAGTGTTATCATCTTAGTGGGCTTCCCGCAAATACTTCCCGACGCATTGGCCCCTCTCGTTGGTATGATTTTGGTGTCAGCTTGACCTCAAGCTGTTTTGAACAAGTCCAGGCCGACTACCTAAAGACCCCTTACGCGCCGCTTTACATATTCTGGACGGGGCCCCTGTTATCGTATGCCGAGCATGTTGATACCGTTTGTCCTGTGCTGACGCGTTGATATGGAGGACGGGCACATAGGTTAGATCCCCTGCTTCCCGCTCTTCCATCGCCTTATACGTGGCAGACTTGCCTATTCTAATTCGCGAGCTTTACGCAAATAACCTCACTGCCGTCGATCTACGACGAGATTTTGCGGGCCATGTTGACATCCCGCGCTTGCAACAAGGAAAAGTTGGTGGTTTCTTCTGGTAAATCTTCATTCAACTTGTCACTTGCACTTATACTTATTGCTAGGTCTGTTTATGTCGGTTGTGCAGCGCCGACGGAAGAAGGCGAAGATTTCTTGACAGCCACTTGGCGCGTTCGGTATGACTTTATGTCTTTGACTTGTACAAACAGCTTATTCCAACGGAAGGGATACCCTCGAACAAATAGACGTCGCAAAACTAGCCATCGAGCAGTATTCAGATGTCTTTCATTTTGCGCTAAGTTCGCAAGACATCAGGGACGCAATTTCAAGTAAGAAAATCGCAAGGTAAGTCTTCTTTGAATCTTTCTGGTGGTTTATTCAAAACTTTCACAGCTTATTGGGCGTTGAAGGGTTTGCCGCTCAATATATCGGTTCCAATTAACTTGTTCATCCTCGACAGAGGCCATCAACTGGGCAATTCTCTGGCAACTTTGCGTCAATATCACGCATTGGGTGTTCGTTATGTCACCTTAACGCACACTTGCCACAACGCTTTTGCCGATTCATGCGGCTATGCTCCCGGTTTCCCTCCCCTCCATGGAGGCTTGAGGCAAGTGGTTTGGCACCGCAATCTTCCCAACTCAACTCTATCTAGCCCCCTTGGGCTACGTCTCATCGATGAAATGAACCGTCTCGGTGTTCTCGTCGATCTTTCTCATACTTCAGACGAGACAGCGAAGATGGCGCTCCGTTACTCGAAGGCGCCTGTCATTTGGTCTCATTCCTCTGCTCGTGCTGTTCATGATGTGCCACGGAATATCCCGGACGATGTTCTTGCCCTAGTGGGTACTGGGCGCCACCAAACTGATGCTGTTGTAATGGTTTGTTGCCAGCACGTTGATAATCTTCCTTCTCTTAATTATGAATATAGATCAATTTCGCGCCTCAGTTCGTTGCGGACGACGGTCGAGCTGACACTGCCGCCGTGGCAGACCATGTTGAGCATGTCGCTCGTGTTACCGGGAAGAAACAGTCCGTCCAACTTCAGTTGCCCGTGTCAGTTGCTTAACATGCCCGTAGCGTTGGAATTGGCAGCGATTATGATGGTCCGTCCCACGGGGGCGGTGCGGTCATTTTGACATTTGCTCACATGTTTCAGGCATTGGCTCAACACCCGCAGGCCTTGAGGATGTGTCGAAATACCCTAACCTGGTGAAGAGTCTTCTTGATGGAGAATTCTCGGTTTTTTGATGGATTCATTTTCTAGTTTGCTGAGCTCTATCGCCGCGGTTGGACGAAACACGAACTGGCTGGGCTTGCTGGTGCGAATCTTCTGCGTATCTTGGAGGGCGCCGAACAAACATCGCGGGAACTGAAGGCCGCAAACACCCCACCAGCATTCGATCTCTATGACAAACGTCCAGATCTGCCGCGGAAACGGTGATGTCGCGTGCGCAGTTCCGTATGGAAACCTGTTTTCACGGCAACGGCGTCTTGACTGGTCTTTGATCAAGAGAATTCACCCTTTGTTGAATGTGCTTCTGGTGATTGACGCTGTTGTCCAAGTTTAGCTACTTCCATTTGGACGATTTGTTCGCAACTCGATAGACCATATTGTAAGCGTGCTCTGTAACCGTCTTGCTCGTCGCCTCTGTTTTCCATCAAACTCGGATTCACTGACTTTATAACCATCTTCTCTGGGTCAAATCTGCCAAATGCAGTCTGAATCGGAAGGCCGAACATGACATCCCCTATTTTATGCGGGAGAGCATCGCAAAAATACTTGTCATAGAGCCGATGCATGACCAGGGTTAAACCGTCGCCTTCAGGCTGATGAGAATTATTCGGCTAAAGCAAGGGCCATAATTTGTTGCTTGCTTGACCATCTCAATTATTCATTAACTTGCGATTGATGGACATGGAAAGCTGTTGAGATAGACAACGCTTTTCTCCAGATCGGATGACTTGTGGATCTACCTGTCCATCCTTGAAGTCGGCGTGAGATTCGGTCAAGATGGCGTTCAGAGTCAAGTCAAGGGACTCGTGAGAGTCAAATCGTCGGATGAATATTCTACAACAAGGGTCTGTGCGGGGTAGCAGCCTCGGAGTACTTACTCGAGCTCGGAAGGCCACTGGCTCAGTATGCGATGCAGGTGGAGTGCAGATTTCAATCGTCCATGAGGTCCGCACCCTTGGCTTTCCGGGCCTCGATTCTCTCTTTCATCGTCGACTTTGCTGACGTTTTCGCACTCTCTAGCTTTCCTGCCTTTGCCAAGGCGACGATAAGAGCATGAACCAGACCAACGTGGTTATGTTTGCGCAGGCTGTTCTCGAACTAGGTAGACCGTAAGAAGCTGATCTCGGTGCAATTTGCGACAGGAACCAACAACTTACAGCCCAACGTTCGCGCTTGGAGTTTTCGGTGGAGATTTTGACCACGGTCTCAGCGGCGGCCGAATGATTGTTTGCGGCTTGTAGTTGGCGCAATTGGGCCTCTAACACAGGGAGCGGATCGTCTCTAAGCGCCAGAAGACTGAATTCGAGCTGTTCTCATCGTAGATTAGCGCTACAGAAAGCCAGCTACAGACTAGACACACAGCACCAGCCGGATACGTCGCTATTCGGGCTTCAATGGTTTCACTGTGAACACTCAGAAATAGAACGGCACGAAAGATCAAGTCTAACCGAGCTTTTTTGAGCCAACCTTCACCAGTCTCATCATACGATCCGTGGACGACGGGAAATTCTTTGAGGCCATCCAACTCATAGAGCGCCCCCATTGATGGGAGGTAGACAACGAAGTGATACGCGTCTTCTGAGGTCTTAGGCAGACCCAGTCCATCCAAGGAGATCGCGCTGGGGGGAGACAGAGAGTTGTGGGCCTCGCGTAACCAGTCGGCGCTCGTCAGAACAATGCCTCGAGTTTGTGGGTCCATTCCAGTTGTGAAAGACATCAGTTCTCCGAGTTGCGGGCCCGTGGTTAGCGAAGGAATATTTCCAAGAGCATTCATAACGGCCAATGTTGCACAGGCATTATTGACGACCTGGTGAGCGAAAAAACCAGCGAAGTCACGGTCGAATTCGCCTTGAGCTGAAGTAGGGGCACCAGAGGTTGGAATCCATTTGAATAGAAAGATAAGCGCATGGATGGGTTGAAGAGCAGCCAAAGACTCGGAATCAAGGGAGTAAAGGTCGTCGACAATAAGAGGTACACCGAGCGTTTTAAGCAGTTCACTTTGATGACGAACTTTAGATTTGGCTTGAAGACAGAGAAACCACTTGCGTGAAAACGCCCGGGTCCGACTCAGTCAACTGCCACCCATTGCTAGAGTCTTCAGCCATTTCACCACAAAGGAGGTTGTTGTCAAAAAAACCGCTTACGCGTTGTGTCACGGTGACGCTGTCAGACTCGGTCACGAGCTAGCATTCGGTGTCTCTGCGTTCAATATGGAAAGTATTCCAGCAGCAGGTTTGTAAATGGAATCTATGACCAGAAAGCGCTTTTAAATTGGCTAGAGTCTGAGCCAAAAGCTGCAAATCGCGCAAGATTCGAGCTGGAGCTCGAATTCGTCCAAGCGCTCGCCAATCCATATTATCTGCACTCGCTGGCCCAACAGAACATCCTCGACCAGCCTGCATTCATAAACTACCTCAAATACCTTTTGTACTTCAAGGAGAAAGACTATGCACGCTTCATCCAGTTGAGCGTCAGTTCTTTGTGCTCCTTTGGCTAATTGGGTGCAGTTATCCGCATGCACTCCATCACTTGGAACTCCTCCAACACCCGCAATTCAGAGCTCAGATGCGTCAGGATGAGTTCAGAGACTTTCTACATCAGAAACAATTCGACCATTGGCGTACAAATAGGAATGGTATCGAGGCGAAGAAGGAGGACTCGGCGTAGTCGTGGCCGCGTGTGTGTTCAAATTGTGGACGGCCAAATTGTCTTAGATAAACATTCAGGACAAGTTCAGAGACTTTCTACATCAGAGGCCGAGGGAGTTCGAGAGGGTAAAGGTCCAACTAACTTGCTGCAGCTGCTAGTTCCATCAGGGGCACATCATGGGGTGAAAATGCAGTTTTAGCAGGTTTGCACTTGTGGAGGCCATCAAAGGTGCTCCTACTGTCTGGAGAGAGAATCGCCTGCGTTGATAACGGAGGAAGACATGTACAGTTACTTACTATCGGAGGCAATGTAGAGATATTGATGAAAGTTACGGTGACACTGGCAATCAGTGTCAGGAGCATCGCATCCCGTCTTTCTTTCTTCCACCATCCTCTGGCAGGCTCTTTCATTCCTTACCATGTTCTCGAAGCTCGTCTCTATCGCTCTCCTCACTGCTCTCGCTGGTAGAGGTACGCACACTCCATCTCTGTCTAAAATGGTGTTCAGTTGCAACTAGCGTTGGCGTTCAATGTCAGTGTCAACAAGGTCGTTTACCAGTCGACCGAGGTTTTCGACTTCAATTTCACACCCGTGATTGCTAGCGTGCGTTCTTATGGTCTGGTTGGAAACAATAAGATTCTGACGGTGACTATAGTGTCAAACGAGTTGCAACACTGCGAAAGCCACTATCAATGCCTGCAACGATATTGGCTGTTTCTGTGGCAACACGACCACGACTGAGCTCGTGGCCTGTGAGCAATGCATTTTCACCGCCATTGTCGATGCGAATGTGCCCCCACCCGATGTCCGTGCTGGGTCGAACCAGATATTAGCTGGTTGGACGACAAACTGCGCTGCGGCAAACCTTACCGTCACACTCGGTCTCGAACTCCCTGCTTCTTGGGATGGTCCTTTTGTTTCCGTGTTCCCGACAGCTGTAGGCTGGGTTATTGCAGTCACTGGCGGTTGCCTAGGAGTCTCACTAATCTACATGCTGAGCAATATGTAACGGACGCTTTGCATCGAAACAGTTGGTTGTAAAACTAGTTTTTTGACCCAGTCGAATGCACACTTTGGTTCACTTCGGGGATTCGAGCAATCACAGGGGCTTCAAAGTTTTCTATGTGACAAATACTGGTCCCAAACCAAGTCGTCTTTCACCTTATCTGGTAATACATCGTAAATTGATCATGTTCAGGACAATTGGGACTTTTTATTCTCTCGCTCGTTTGCCTTTGAGAGTTGACTTGCTATACTTGGCTTCCCTAAATGTTGTAGTTCCCAATATCCATTACTCTCTAGTCATGTTCGTCATGGTCTGATGTAATGAATCGACGCGGTTTGTGACAAACTCAACGTTCTCTCTCATGGTCAATGAAGACTATACCCTGGTGGAGTCACCCCGCCACTCCTCGGACGAGATGCGCTCTCACCCAGTCCATATGGCTACTTTGGCAGAGAAGAAAAGGCTATGGTGGCGGAATGCAATCATCAACGGATTCTTCATAGGCTGCTGGTGAGCTGTCTATTCTCATTCCCATTCACATCTCTCTCCAACTCGCCCAAGGTTTCTATTCTCCACGCTGCTCTCACTTTACAACAAATGGATGTTTTCTGCCGACCACTTTGGCTTTCCATTCCCCCTCCTCGTCACGACCTTGCACTTCTTTGTCCAGTTCATTCTAGCCCTTCTGTTGCGGAACCTTTCCCCCGAACGCTTCGGATCGGCTCAGAAACCCACGTTGGGAGATTACGGGTGAGTTTCCATCTCTTCCGGAGTCGTAAATAGTGTTACGTCGCGGCGGAATCCTCCCATGTCTACACGGGACGCCGAACTCTGGTCTTGGTCTGGCTTGAATCCGACGTGCATCTATCTCATGCAACTTCCAACAGAAAGAAAGCTGTCCCTACCGCGGTTGCCACCGGGCTAGATGTCGGCCTCTCGAATCTGTCTCTCAAGTCAATCTCACTTTCGTTCTTCAGTACGTTGACTATATCCGTTTCGCTCCGTCTGTCTGATCACCATGCAAACTTAGCCATGGTCAAATCATCCTCTCTCATTTTCGTTCTACTGTTCGCGTTCCTCTTCCGACTAGAAAGGTTTTCGCTGCGACTCATTGGAGTGATTTTCTTGATTTTCGCTGGTGTCCTTCTCATGGTCGCCACCGAAACGGACTTTGTGTTAGTTGGATTCCTACTCGTGATTAGTGCCAGCGCTCTAGGCGGCTTTCGCTGGGCTCTGACGCAGATGCTACTGAAGAACAAGAAGATGGGCATGGACAATCCAGTCTCGACAATATTCTGGCTTGCTCCAGTCATGGGTTTAACTCTTGGCATTGTCAGCCTCATCGTGGACGATTGGAGTGCTCTGGCCAATACTGATTTCTTCGTCGGCGCGAAGACCCTACAGACTGTGATATTTCTCACCTTGCCCGGCGTTGTTGCTTTCTGCATGGTTTTGAGCGAATTCTCGTGAGCAACCAGAGATTCTTTGTCCATGGTAACTGAATTGCCCCACCTGTAGAATCATTCAACGGGCTGGTGTAGTGCCGATGTCTATCGCAGGGATTGCGAAGGAAGTGACGACCATTAGCATCTCTGCCGCCGTATTTGGAGACAATCTCACTCCGCTGAACATTATGGGTGTTGGCATCACTGTTTGCGGTGAGGTTATTGTTGATTTCTGGTTGCGACTCAACTGACTTTACTTACACAGGCATTGGATTGTTTACGTACCACAAGTATCGCAAATCTCTGGAAACAGTGGTACCTTTGGATGCCCATGGCAACCCAATCTCGATTGACGAGCTGGATGACGGACATGTTGAGTTGGATGAAACCGCGCGATTGACCCGCAGCAGCAGTGATGAATTCGACATGGTGTGTACCTTGACATGGGGCAGACTGTTGTTGACTGAGTGCCTTTCGTTCAGGATACTGATGATGATAACTCGACGTTTCAAACCCGGACACTGTTTTCCGCCGACCAAGACGCCGAAGAAGTCCGCAGTATAAGATCGTCCAAAATCAACTGGTCAGCAAACGAACACGATCACGAGCCGGTGCCTTGACGCCATAATTGAATCTCCGCCACGTTTGCGCGCTGTTCCCACGTTTAGGACAACCGGCTTGATGGTCGATCAAGGCTTTCGAATCGGTTCATTCCTCGACTAGGAGAGGTTGAGGGGGTACATAATACCAAGAGCTGGTGTTGTGCATCCGCGGGGAGGGTATGACATCTGGAGATTACGTAACGAGGGTCGATGGTTACAAGCTAAGCGGCTTGTTTCAGTCGAGATTCCAAGCAAGATTTGAGGCTGTACATGATTCGGGCGGGCAGTCGTATATAAATAATAATAAAATAATAATATTCCGTGTGGTCATGTTGTTTATAAAACCCGCTCATCCGTCCGAACTAGGTCTCTCTTTTCGCTTTCACAATGGACGACGGTTTCCAATTCATCATCGAGTCTCCCCAACACTCACAAGGGCATAAGAAGCGACCTCGCCTCGTCACGTCCTGCGACAACTGGTCGGTTCCTTCTTCTCTCTCGAAAATCCTAACATCTGACGCGTTCCAAGCCGCTTGAAGAAGATCAAGTGTCTACAGCCTGCCCCAGAGACAAAGTGCGAGGCTTGCAAGGCTGCTAAAGTTGCTTGTCGATTTAAGGACCGGGAGCGTTACTTTGCTGAGCGAAGTCGGGCCATAGCTGGGCCTTCACCGTATGGGGATGACGCGAGGTGCGCAATAACAAATAATTCAAGCGAAAGAACCCCGTTAACTCCTTTATCTTAAGTGCCCGTTCAACCACCACTTCGCCAAAGCCTTCAGGCGTAGTTGTCCCAGAGGGCGACATTCACTCGCGAAGGTCATTAGATACAAGGTCCGTGGCTTTGTGTTTGTTCTATATCTCCCTTTCAACCTTGTTTTTTTTGTCAGGCGTGGTCCTTCAACTTCTGCCCTACAACCCCAACCGCCGCGAAATGATTCAATAGGGTATGGGAACTATTCACACTTTGTTGCGACGAATAATGACGGTTCCAGTCACCCTCCCAGTCAGCGAACTGTCCACCTATTCGATCCCGAGCGGCCCCAGTTCCCGCACCCGACATATATGTCTCATTTTATTCAACTTTTCTTCGAACAACTCGCGAGCGAATTCCCTTTCATAACCTACGATGAACTGTCCAGAGACTTTTGGGATTCTTTAATGTCCCCTCTGATGGCTAATTGCATCGCCTCGATGGCCACTCGGTGTGTCTTGCCCGTTCCACTTGTCATATAGCTTGTGACCGGGCAACAGCTATTCTACTTTGACCGACCTTACCGTGCGCGGTCTCCATAATGTTGCGGAAACCTATGCCGAGAACGCAAAGGTCAGAGGCTTGTTGGTCTTGTCAACAAACCAAGGATTGACAGTTCAATAGGCGATCTTGAGCTCGATAGTACATATTCCCTCCTTGGACACTCTCCACGGGGTAATGCTTCTGTCATGGTCTGAGTATAAGAACAACCGAATCTCAGGTGAGCATACCCGTATCCTAATCTAAGCATTCAGTTTTTCATTCTCTAAGGTTTACGGAGCTACTGCCAGATGGCAATGCGCATGGCGATTGACATTGGGTTGTCTGATCAGAGCTTACTAGCTAGCCTGAGCGAAAACGAACGAAATCGCAGACGGTCCACTTGGGCAAGTGTGTTACAACTGCACTTGACTGCTTCCTCCTGCAAGTGACTTGTGCTACTCTACTACTCAATGCTGACCCCATATTCAACAGTCCGTTAATCCGTAGAATCAACTGTACCTTACAGCTACTCATATAATCCTCCAAATAATATGTTTCCCATTTCGGGGTGACCATCCATCTGTTTTGTTGGCAACTTGGCGTGGCCGTTCCCGGTCCCTCTCACGGGGTCAAGTGCTCTTCCTTGCGACCGCGTCTGTCGGGCATCCCTCTCTGAACCTCAACCTTGCGCATGGGCTTTGGCTCCCAATGAGCACCAGCTATGCAGGTTATCTTCGCACGGCTGCTCTGGCTATAGCTGCCTACGAGTACGTTGCCCGATGCTGTAAACCATCTTCGGACCTCAACCCCGTCCCTTCAGCTACCTCCAAACACTACCCTTTGAGTGCCGGATGCTCTCAACGGCCTGGAGAGAGAGGAGAATATCGTATGTCACACCCAACTTAGCCGCTAGGGGCTCCCGACTGATCATTAAATTAGGCTGTCCTTCATTTTATTCTCGCTTATTCGGTATTTCTTGTCTTAGGGCAAGCTATTTGTCGCTCAAGTCGATGCTCTCTCGCCGCTAGCTATGTCTCAATCGCGGCACTCACTGTTTCCAACGTTGGCTTCTTCTCCGATTCATTCACACAAGAGCAATGTCGTCAATATTTCCTGGTACCCTCTGTATTCAAAGGTTTCTGTGCCCAATTCTACGACAAGACCTCTTCTGACTCCAAAACGACAGTGCTACAAGCTATGGTGTCCCAGGCTATCCTGGTAACTTTACTTGCTGCTTCAAACTCCACTCACTGACGTTTGGTGTCCAGGCCGTCAGGTAAGTAGTAAACACGAGCCGTTCTTCCCATTGACCGTCTATTCTCAGAGCTTATAATCTGTCCCGCAAATCCGCGAATATCGGTGTCATGCTACTCTCTATCTATTTAATCTGTTGTACTGTGCGGCGACCCTTCTGTCCATCGTGCCCTTGACTGACTTGTGATGCAGTTGGAATGGATAACAACCCTTCATGACCGCAGTAGTGCGTCCCCCTCTCAGTCCGCTTCCCTGAGTAGCTGACAGTCGGCACGCAAGTGGCGTACAATTCTGCTATTGTAGCTCGTTTCTCTGCCAACTGTTCCATCTAACTGAACCCAGGGAAACTGTGCCAGCAAGAGCCCTAACGGTGGCCTTGGAGGCTGGGTGCACTATGCCGTGGCTATCATCTATGATTTCGTGACGAGCATGTTCTGCATTGTGTTCTTGTTGAAACTTAGGCCTGCAAGCTCTTCGATGTCCGTGCTATGTTGCTCTTCCCTCGAAGCCCGCTGACCATTGGGTAGAATGGCACGAGTAGTCCGCATGTAATGACAACAGCTGCTTGTCCTTTGTTGTGGGCTCATGCTTCCCGATAGGATGCTTGTGGATGGGCTATGGTATTTCCTAGGGCTTGCCCTTGTTAATATCACAAACCTCATATTCTACCGACAAATCAACAAGCAAACCTATGCGACAGTTCAAATCGCTGTCGAAGTTCAGGTGCGAAAATTCCTCCAATCCATTCCTTGTGCTTATGGACTCCAATCTAGACTGCAGGGTTCAGTGCGATCGTTGATTCTAAAACTGCACTAACTTCGGTTCAGAGCGTCAATGGGATATGCAGTGACATGGATTATGAGTTCGAAGCTGATCATTCATCTGCATGGTATTGCTTGCTGTTGGTCCTGTTTATCTGCTCACATAGAGACTACAGAGGCATCGCTCAAGGGACGCAACGAATCTGGTGATGCGGTGACGGTGACACGGCAATTAACCTCTGCCCGCGATGTCAGCAGAGCAATTCGCTCTCAATTCGAGTCCAAGAACGGGGATTTTACTATACCAGACATGGAGTCGAGTGCAGGCGATTTGCAGGAGGATGTCGATGTTCAAGTGCGAGTCGAGAAGACAGTCAAGACTGAGTCTGTCGCCCGAGCCTATGAGCTCGAAGACTATTCACGTATGGCTCGGAGTAGTCGTTATGTATAAAACAATGGAAATTGAGGTTGAGGCACTGTCGAATTGCTGATGTGGTCGGCTTCAAACCGGGATTGATTTGATAGATGTCAATCATATCTCCTGGACTACCCGATAATGTGCTCCCTCACCGTGTTTGTGTGTTTATTTTCCTTTTCTTCCTCCACCTTCATCTTCTCCTTTTTTGGGCCGGCCCACTTTCCATTTCATTCGTTGTCGCCGCCTTTGCTTTACTTCCCTTATCATGTCCACGACGGCACTCTTGCCTGACGGAACGGAATGGCTTTTGAGGAATGTGTACACCCCGAGAGAAGTCCATGGAGTGACAGTGAGTCAATCTATTGCTTCTCTTCTCCCCTGCTTCTCTTCTCCCCGCTTACCTAAACCTCAGGTGCTCGTTGTCATCTCATGCATTTCTCTCGTTTTCGTGGTTGGGCTGCTGGGAGCGATCGCGGTACGAAATAATCCAGCCCACCCCCTTCCTTGTTCTCCTGACGAAATTTCAGCTTTCGGCGTTCAACACTCGTTCCTCTCTTGACCAGCACCTTTTTGTTCGGACTCACGTTCGGTCTTTCCATTATTCGCGAGTTTTACCCCTCACTAGACGTGCAGGTCGCTGCATATTTCGTTTCACTGCTTGTCAGCGACCTCTTTCAGGCCCTCGGGAGTATCCTCAATGCGAGATGGATTCGTGATATGGCGGTAGAGCTCGGCCCGCTGTGCACCGCTCAAGGGGTGTTGAAGCAGCTTGCCGATGTTGCCACTGCTTGGTGGACATTGGTGATCGCCATCCACACCTTCTGTCTACTTTTCCTGGAGCTCAAAACCAGCCGCTTCACGCTCTACGCGACTCTGATCTCGGGCTGGTTTGGAATTGCTGCCATAGTCATCGCTGGCCCAGCAGCATTAGATACCGTTCACCATGGACCATTTTGTGCGTTTTCGCCTGCTCATCAAGTTCTCTTACTTACCGCTATTCAGACGGGATCTCAGGCTATTGGTGCTGGATCAGTCCCGGTTGGCCAGGCGCCCGCATAGGATTGGATTATCTGTTTGTGAGTAGTAGAACATTCCTTGGTGGCAGTAAACGACGCTCAACCTCGGCAGATGTTCATGGCCGCATTCTTCAGCTTCATTCTCTATATGCTCATTTTCTTACGGATGCGGGGAAATATCATCGTCGAAGGCAGACGCGTCTCCTTCCGTCTGAAGAAAATCGACCAATGGAGAGGGAAACGGTTCGAAAACCAGGCGTTGACCATTGCGCGCCAAATGCTGCTGTAGGGTGTTCTTATTCTTTGGTTCAAATGTTGACCGTATTCAATTGCAGATACCCCATCGCCTATACGATCTTGATCCTGCCTATTGCGGCCTCTCGCTTCAGTTCATTCTCGGGAGATGATGTTCCCTTTGGAGTGACGGTCTTCAGGTTCGCTTTGCCTCTGCTCTTCTCCCTGTGACTCACAGTCTAATCAGTGCTGCTGTTTTCCTGCTCTCTGGTATCGTCAACGTGACTCTATTCTGCGCCACCCGCCGCATTCTGCCTCCTGAATCGTTCAAAATACCCAAATGGAAAATATCGGCCCCCAAGGAGATCCCAGCACTGGAATTCAACCCAGGACAAGATTCGTACTATCAGAACTCTGGAACGTATGCGTCGTCGATGGACGAGAAGGAGAAACTCCCTTCAGAATCGTTTGACTCAGTACCCCCCGCACTGAACATCCGGACAACTAACGTGGGGGTACCACACATCCAAGCTCCACCTGCCGGCCATCATCGCGAAGACAGGGTGGAGAGCGTCTACAACATGTACGCTGAACCAACTTCGGCAATTCCGTTGACCCCGACGGACGAGTCCGTTAACCGGCTGGCTTGAGGATCATCTTATTTGTGTGTATTTGCCTGTGTACTTGATCTATTTTTGTATACAATTCAGAGAAGGAAGGATTCATTATACGTATTTAGTATTTTTCTTGCTCGATATGGGTTTTAAGCCCAGTTGACCACGGTAGAGACTCTGGAAAAATTGAGGTGGGCTCGTATGGACACCAGCTGAGGAAGGATGCTAAACGGGGGTTCGAGAGATAGTAGGGAGGGTAACGTGCAGCATAATTGCGTTGTTTCCGTTTGTTGGAGAGGAAAGAATGGCAACCGTAGAGGTCAGCAGCGTAAGGCAGGTACCCATTCTCACGCTAGAAACAAGTCAGACGGCTCTAATATGCATTGAAATGTTCCACAGACCTCGCCCTGGCGGGCTAAAGAGTTATCGCCTGGTATGTCGACTCCGATATACGTGAAAGGATCTTGCCATCGGATGGCGGTCCGGTGAATATCCAGAAAGCGCGCCCTCTTCATTTCGTACCCCACCACCGTTATTTTCGACGGATAATGCCCAGTGACCTCGTGAAAACGCGCAATGGAAAAGACGAGGTTTTGAAACGAATCAAGCGCGTAGTTCTCTGAAGTGGCGCGTGAGAATTCATCATGGCCGAATACTTTGGAAGCAAGGGCCAGACGAAGATACGATTCTCCTTCTGAAGTGGTCGACGAGTGTTGTGTTTGCCCGCTGAAGTGTGGTTAGTTCCCCCATTTCACGACCAAGTCCCTTTTTACCCGCTGAATACCACCAGAGATTTCTCGTCTTGGAGACCAATATCGGCACTGATAATTTGGACTCAGTGTTGGGAAATTAATCGCGAATCTGAGGCTACTCACGCTCGTGAAATATGTTGGAAGAATACTTCTAGTCGGCTGGTCTGCACTGATTCATAAGGGAAAGTGTTTCGGTGTGAATGAGGCTCATACGTCTTGGTCCGTTTGGAAGGACTGGAATGCCCACTCGGAAGGTTGCATTCGCTGTGCTGGATCTATTCCGACCCAGATAGCATGTCCAGGAACAACAACGAGGTGATCCAATGAGTCTTGTAGCCTTGGAAGTGATGCAAGGAGAGGTAATGACAGGATGGAATGCGCGTTGGTGGGCGGAAAGTAGTACAGCTGGACATTGAGGAGAAAGGAGAGTGTTGCAACAACAGCAAGGACAGAGACGGCTAGATTTGTGGCTCTAGAACGGGCTAGCAGATTGGCAGACGAAAACCACGATGGGTTTGAGCGACGAAAGCCATATTTATGCCGCCGATCTAATGAGTTCGGAGGAGGAAGCATTCCAGTGACTCATTGTCGTCATAACCACGATGTTACCCTTTGGGTTGCTTTTACTCGCGAGTTTAGTCTGCGCAACGCCGCGGCCTCTGGTTCTTTGGCATGGACTAGGTCTTGAACGCGTTCACTCTCTATACGCAACTCAGAATTTCGTTCAGGCGACTCCGCTAACGCGCCGGGAATGAAGCAGTTTGCTGAAGAAATCAAACAAGTCCACCAAGGGATATTCGTTCATTCGATATACATCGAAGAGGACCTCGACAAGGACAGACGCGCCGGTTTCGTGCGTGATCCAGTCTGAACCCTTTCCTTACTTACATACTTGACGATAGTATGGCAACGTCAACGAGCAAATTGAATTGGTTTCTGAACAACTAGCGGCTATTCCTCAGTTAGAGAGTGGCTTCGACGCCATCGGGTTCTCGCAAGGTCATAGCACGGTCTCAGACTGCAAGCACTTGGCTCATGACAGAAAGGTGGACAGTTCTTGCGAGCCTATGTTGAACGCTTCAACTCGCCACCCGTTCACAACCTGATCACCTTTGGCTCTCAACACTTTGGGATCTCCGACATACCAACCTGCGGTCCTCGTGATTTCCTGTGTCAAATCGCCCGACGCGCCGTGAAGAGTGGGGTCTATAGTTCTTGGGCCCAGTCCAACCTTGTGACGGTAGGAAGCTTTGCGGTCTCCTCGACGTTGACTGAGCTTGTTGTCATAGGCACAGTACTTCCGCGACCCTGCAAACCTTGAAGAATACTATGCTTCCAACACTTTCTTGACCTCAATCAACAATGAAATCGCTGAGACAAGAAACGAGACGTATGCTCGAAATTTCGCCTCTCTCAACAAACTCGTGCTCGTTATATTCACTAAAGATAAGACTGTTGTCCCCAAGGAAAGCTCCTGGTTTGCATCTGAAGTCGTCGTTGACGACAGCGGGCTCTCGCAACAAGTCTTGTCGGACGAGCGAGCAATAATCCCCATGCGCCAACAGCCATTATACGTGGAGGATTGGATAGGTTTACGGCAACTGGACGAGCGAGGAGATGTGATTTTCGTCGAATGCGACGGGGAGCATATGGAAATCGGTCCGTGCTGGGAGGAGCTTGTTCGAAATTATGCAGGATAGAATAGAACATAATTTCCTTTTTTGGTTGCCACATCTTGTTCACCAACTTGTCGCGAATCGACATGGAAGGGTCGTCTGCTGCTCAGACCGCGTCACTACCTCGCCTTAGGCTTTCAAGACAGCCTTTTGTCCCGGTGGCAGGACATTCCGATACTGACGAAGATGCTGGGCCGTCGCGTCACCCACAACAACAACAAGACCTTGATGATACCCAACCTACTCCACGAATAAACAATATTCATGCTACGGAACCTGCGGATCGTCTACGAGCATTACTCGCTCTAACCAAGTCACCGCGCCCTCCATCTCCCTCTGATGTCGAGTCCGACTTCGAGCCACCCCGGTTTAGTCCGAGAGAGAGCCTGAAGGACATGTTTTCACGCGTTTTGGCCGACACACCGACCAAAAGAGTGCGCAGGGGCAGTACGAGCGAGGTGGAAGAAGGGCCCAGTAGCGGGAAACCCAAAGGGAAGCGGAAAAGCCTCAGCGATGAAGAGGCCTCTTTTTCCCGTGCGTTTACAACTACTTTTGGTCATTATATGTCTGACTAGAGCACACTGCAGAGACGACCTCCTCCCAAGCAGCCACATACGACACCCTGCGTGCAAAGCTCGACAATTCCCACACACCACTCAAACATCAACCAGTCCCCTCCGCGTTTTATGACAGTGCGTCTTCTTCACGGAGTCTGGCGCATTCACCAACTCCTCTTGGCTGGTAGCCTCTAATGCAGACGTATCCGCCGAGACTGCTGGCTCTCATTTCATGGAAGGGACCCAACCAATGGCGACAAGCACTCCCCCACACTCATTGGAGATCTCGCAAAACTCCAAATTCCAGGCGACCAGTACGGAGAAAAACTTTCCCGAGATTCTTTCTGAAATGCATTTTAGATCTCATGGATAACGACTCTGAGATGGACCATTTTATCAAGGATCTTGACAGCTATGAGGGCGATTCAGGACCGAACTCTCGTCCAAGTATGTGGCCCTCTAGTGTCAATGAAGTCATAACGAGCCAACCTTTGCAGTCTCATTCCCTGCTCCCCGCGGACGACCGCCTCGCCCAGGATCGTCTACTGCTGATAGGAAGTCATTCCATGGTTCCACTCCTGGTAAGCCTCGCTATTTGTCTCTGTACATTCACCACTAAATAATTCTAGTCTCTCGTGCCAGGACCCAGTCTGGTCACGAAGGTATCACCACTTCCGCGCTTTTTCGTGGATTCCACTGACTGGATCGAAGTACACGACTCTCCAGACCATCTCCACGACCTCGAAAGAAAGTGGAATCAGCACCATCTGAAGCCTACCGACAAGAACCATTCTCCGATGGTCGCCGTAAATGGGCACGTTCGTGCGAGAACACGAAGCAGTAGCTCTTTGCACAGTTTAGACAGCGGCGGCTCTTCCTCTAGGGGCACCTCGACAACTTCACAATCAGACTGTAAACCATAAGCTGCTTGATTGTCTATATCTGATCATCCTACAGACAAGGAGCGGATGATGGACTTTGAGAAGGAGAAAGCCCATGAAAGAGAACAAGGCTGGAATAAGCGATATTCCTTACACGCTAGTTCGACTTCAAGTCTGCTGCCGCCTGTCGAGCGTACCCGGAAATTGAGCCATCCTTCTCGACCTGGCTCATCACTGTCTCTCCATTCCCCATCCCGGGGCGCGTCTCCTGCCTCCGCTGCTACCTCACCAACAACATCGGATGAAGAAGAGCGTGTGCATCATGAAATCGACCACGAGCGGGAAAGAAATTGGAATGCACCGAAGCCCAAGTGGGGGAAGCATGAACGTATCCAGCATGCCCATCATCGCTCGCCATCTCCTCTACCAGCTTCTCCAGTTGCATCAACTTCGCGTCCAGAACGATCACGTGTTGACAGTCTCACTCGTCGAGCAACTCCGAAGGGAGAATCTCTCACTGTGGCTCGTGTCAGTCCAGTCCCCACTTCCACAAGCACACTTCGGCATGTTCGGTCCAAGTCCTCGATATTGTCCCCCACTCAACAAAGGCCACTGAGCTACCCAGCGCGACCCAACTCGCCACTCCCCCCTCTTCAGACGCCCTCAAAATTCGCTGGACAATCGGTCACTCAGCTCACTTCACCTGAACCCGAGCCAAGTCGTTCAAGGCTACGATCGTCACCGTCGCCGGTAATCTCCACCCGGCCTGCAAATTCTGCGAATCGCCATTCGATGAGCCATATTCCTGTCCTTTCACGATCACCAATGAAGCCTATTGGGAAAGCGCCAGCCAATGGATTGAACCGACCTGTTGCCGAATTTCCGCCACACACTGTGACACCAAGTATAGTCGAGCCGCCCATGCAATCTGATATGGAGGATCCCCCAGGTATGATTTCTCGCAGCATTTCCATTCTTGAATCCAAAACAACATAGATGCTGCGACACCCGAAGATGACGGAACTCCCGTCGCTGCCCCAGTTATTTTACCAAAACACAGTCCCAGTCCTTCTCCCCCCAGACGTATTGCTACACCTGAAGAGGACGTGCAGCTTCAGAAAGCACTTTCAATTCCTCCGCCTCCCTCTCCGCCTCCATCGCCACCACACGCTGAGCCACAAATTGCCGAGCCACCGACGATGTTAAGTCTTTTGTCAACTCCTCCCAGACGACCATCCTTCCACAATTCCAAGTTGGATTTCAAAACTCCATCACCTCCCCATGACCTTCCTGAACTACCAGAACCCTCTTCGTCGGACGAAGACACGGAAACAGAGCGTCAGGCTCTGACCCCCCTTCGATTTTCGGAAATGACAATGAAGACCCCGAAGCCGCCTGGAGGGTGGTATACCCCTGCAAAGGCGGATAGCGAAAGTGATTCACAGTACGAGGGTGGTCTCGCCACGCCAGGCCCTTCGCTTTCCCGAGCGTCAGCATTTCCTGCTGTTACTCCACATGCACCTGGTGGTTGGATCAATACGCCTATGCGCAAGAGTGTGCTCCAAGTCAGGTTTGACGAGAAGCCGTCTGAACTTGAGTTGTCGGCTACAGAGGAGTCGGTCAATGGTCACTCAGAGGAGGTCTCGGATATTGGTCTAGCGACGCCTGTGGAGGAGAAGGATCACTTCAACGAGCGTCCTCCTGAGACTCCTCCGCCAGTTTCCCCAGCGAAGAGTCCCCGACGATCACCTACGATCCATTTTGTCGATGCCTTTGGACGTTCCACTAAACCGAGTCCCAAGCAAAGTCGCAAGTCGAAGAATAGCCTCAAAAACCGCAAAAACTCCGTTCGGTATCTGGACGCCATGGGCCAGGAAACCAAAACAGAGATCAAGGAAGAGGTGATGGTGGCACCTTTAGACAAGTCCAACGCTCTGAACTTTGTCCGCAATGGAGTCAGTGATCTGGCCAGTGGGTTGGATGACATGGATTTGTAAGTCTTGGATTATTTCTCGCCTGTTTCTTGAGTTTAATTGTGCTTCAGATCCGCTGATATGTCAGAACTGGATAAGGAGCGCATCCTTGAACTTAACAACGAATCGCGAGCCGCAAGGGCCGCGAGAAACGATCTAGAGGAGGCATATCGTCGGCAGTCGGCTCAGCTCCGAGCAAGTATGCTTCGCAGCAAACTCGCAATTGAAACCGTTCGATCGCCCTCACCAAGAATATGGCTATGGTCAATCCTCATTATGTCCCAAGCACTATTTATATTTTTGCTTTATCGGTATGGGCCCTCGCTGTTTGTCCTGAATGCTTAACCATTTCCTCTTGACAGATACCAAACTCGGAAGGTGCATGAATTGTACCTTACGACTTACTATGACCCACTCTACCCCGATCTCCACCACATCTATGGCAACAAATATGACCTTTTCGCAATTCCTCGCACTGTAACATCCATTAGGACTTTATCAAACACATTCTGGCAGGAGGGGCTATGGGCCGTTATGGGCAACCTTTTCGACACTGGTGGGATGATTCTTTCACAGTGGCAGCGAGACGCATGGAGAAGATGGGGAGCACAAGATATACCATGGCCACCTACCTAATTTTGTTGTACTATTCGAGAATGGCCTTAACACGGGCTTTCAAATCGGGATTTCCTCGCAACCGCCAAAGACAACTGCCTTCGTCGTTTCGTTGCAGCCGAAGCGCGCCGCCATTTAGGATAATTTTGACCTCGTCTGCCAACCAAATGAATATCGGAAAGGTTTCTATCCTTTCCACTCACCCGTGAATGGAGGTTGATCACCTGATACCACCTTGAGTGTGGGCTCCGCTGCTTTGAGTCGCTGTAAAACATCTCCGATTGGCGCTTCAGACCATCCTCGTGCACTTTGCGACTGTTTTTCCTCCTCCCAGACATTTTCAAAGTCCTCTGCGACGCCAGGATCAGAGATGAAAGGTGAGTCGTTCAACGCGATGAGGTCTTCATGGGATTCCTAGAAAACCGTCACCCAGATGTTACCGGAACTAAATCGGGGGTGTTACCATGATCGCAGGTGCATCGGTTATGCTAAGTTTGTGGACGGCCGCAGCGGCGGAAAGCGTGTCTGCGTCGCCGGTGCTAGACACTGATAGCCGCGAGCTTGCCCGACTTGAGCTTCGACGGTCACGGAGTTTTGGTGTTAGATGAGGCGCTTCGTATGCGGTGTATCGTAGTTTACTGTCCAGACGACTGGCGCTTGTAGACGGTGAGGAAGGCTCAGTATAGCGTTCATTTTCGACCCTGTTTTGATGTCGCTCCAGTGCAACGAGAAAGTCCGGGAGCTCCGAGAGGTTCAAGCAAAAGACAGAACGAAGGGACAAGTAACTCACAGATGCTGAAGTCGCACGATGGAGGATTTCTCGCAAAACATTTTTCTCGTTTGACAGAGAGGTAAACTGGTCGCAACGCTGGGGTCGGTTTGTCAGTGGTTTGCAGGGATCGTAGCCATTGGAAACGCACGGTACGAATGTGGCGTTGGGATCGCGCACGTAGGTCGTTAACGGTCTGCGAAACATCGGGAGGTATTTTTTCGCACTCGACCGATATTCGTAGCATTGCCAAGAGACAGGCATCTTGCACAGCGGCTGCAACGCTCAATAACCTTCACAATAGCAATATGGACGAGATAACTGACGCGAACAGAGGCTCAGGCGCGAAGAGATCCCACTCAGGACATCGAGAGGCGGCACTGCAAGCCTGCCACAATATTCCGTTGATAGGGCAGTCGCAATGACCATCATTGTCTGGCCGAGGGATATTTCTCGGCTGGCTAGACTTGTCACCAGGGTCGAGACACAGCCGATTTGAAACGCGGCAGAGGCTGTCTTATAGTAAGCCACAATATATGTGTGCACCTTGGAAAACACATACCATCCTTTGTTTGGCCCAGTACCCGCTCAACCACGTTTTCCATTATGCAGTCGGCATAGCGTTTGGAACGTGCCTCTACCTGAGCAAACAAATCAATAACGTGTCGCGCATACAACTCTCCATCATTTTGAGTTTGCGATTCGACAACTTCCAACAGGCGTATCGTATATTCGCAGAGGCCATCCAGCCCCAGGTTCACCGGAATGCTTTCTAAGGACTGTGAATAGTACGAATTGACGATGCCGGGTTCAATGTCGCTGAGGATTTGCAACGTCTTTCGTCGGATTGCAGGGTCAGGCGAGTCCAGAAGCTTCATGACCCGACCGACTTCCCATTCGTCCAAAGCCGATGGAAATTCTCCTGTTCCTGCCCAGAGCCTGGGATCGAGACACGACAGGCAGGAAAGGAATATATAGTGGTCGTTAGGGCTTTGAGAGTTGATGAGTGGCCGGAGCGAAGAAACGACAGAGAATGTTAATTTCTGCTGTGCCTCGTCAAGGTCTTTGGAATCGACATTTGCTAGCAAACGAAACGCAGAGAACATGAGAGCTAGGGCATTTAGCTTATGCAAAAGAGATCGGAAGATTACTCACGATGATCCGAACGCTCTGAAGTCCAGCGTATTATTTCGAGGACGTTTGCAACCGCAGCATTCGGGAGGCTAAGAGTGTTGGTCAGATGTGCTCTCGCAAACCGGTCGATCTTACCCCACTACGCGCAGAACGCGAAGAGCCTGCAAAAGGGGACCACGTGATGCGGCCGTAGGTAAAGGCCAGATTTGGGTGAGAAGAGCGGAAACGGCATTCTGAACTTGCTGGATGGCCGGCTCAGCAATCTTCCGTCGTTTAAGCTTGAATTCCAACACTGTGCAAATAGAGAAGTATACCTCGACTAGCCGCAAGGAAACTGCTAAAGCTGCAGTGACAACAGTTGGGTGCGTATCGTAGATCCGTTTCAGGACATCTGGTTGCGAGTTACACAAAAGGTCAGGTTCATGATGAGACAGAGCTGAGATGGCTAGAAGGGCTCGACGCCGAATGTGAGGGCTATATGCTGTTCGTTGAACGGATGACTTTATATTCCCGTGTACATACTGACGAATTATTGGAAAGTAGATCCAGTAGCCGCGTTTGAACCGCAGGAATGAGATCCTGAGAGGGAGAGGCGATGAGATTAACTAATGCCAAAGATATGCGGGGTTCTGAAGTTGATTCAAGATCCTGTTCTTCTCAGCTAAGTGGTGTAGAATGGACAATTAACACACTTTTCGAAGAGTGTTCACGAGCATCAACCGCAACTCGTGGTCTGGTGGCATTATTTCCCCACAGAATAAGTAGCCTAGAGTCGGATGAGAAGACGCTGATGCGAGACAGTAATGCGAACCTATGCGTTTGTCCGATACGCTCTGAGCAGTCTCGACCAGATTTACTGCAGAGGGCAGAGCAAAATCGAGGGCAGGCAGGAGACGGGATGTGACTGAGACTGAGCAGTAAAGCAGAATAATGAGGCATTCTCTTGTGTCCTTCTATTCGTCATACTTGTGAACGGCCGAGTTTCGTCTGTATTGCTCAACATACGGGTGAAAGAGACGGACGGCGAAGGCGTTGCTGAATCTCGTCTACTGCTTTAACAAGGTAGCTATCCGCAATCTCTGGGGAGGCTGAAGCTTCGACATTCCGAACCAGAGTGTACTGCGTCCTGAACGCGCCAGAGGAGGCAAATGGTAACATGTCCGCCTTATCAAATTGGGTAAGCTGCACGTGTTACCGCCGTAAACATGTCTTCCTCCTCTTCCACCGCACACTCGTTTAACAAGGTTTCTAACACCCAACGCTGTCTTGCATTGCTCTTCTTAACTCCAGATTAGATTCTGAACCAGCCCAGAAATGCCTCCAAATCACGGTCAGGGGACATCGACGACTACACCAAGAAATTGCGGCGGATGATACTAGTTGAGGGTATTCCTTCGACAGTGGTGAGCAAACAAACCTTGGGTCTCCGGAGTTGTGATTTGACTCAACTCAGGATCCGACCCTTCGACCCAGGATATGGAAGATCCTGCTCCGTGTTAATAACCTTTCCGCCGAATCTTTTTTGCGCTATGTTGCCCGAGGCCCTTGTGAGGTACGAGAAAAAATTAGGAACGATACGTTCCGGTATGTCGGCAGCTACAACACTATACCATTTCCCAACGAGCTACAGGACGCTGGCCACAGATCGTGGATTCAAGGAGAGAGTCAGAGAAGACATGTTGATTCGACTTTTGGATGCCTTTGTTTGGAGAAACCATGGTGGGTCTTGTCGCAACCCACCCGACTAATATCTCATGGCAATAGACCGTCAGGAGTCCCACCAGCTTGGATTTACCTACGTTCAAGGCATGAACGTGCTTGCTGCACCATTCCTTTACACCATGCCCTCTGAAGTTGAAGCTTTCTATTGCTTCTCTAAATTCATCGAAGAATCGTGTCCACTCTATGTACAACCGACACTCGAGGGTGTACATCGTGGCCTTAAGGTGTGTAGACTTGCTTTAATAAGATCACTGCTTTGACCAAAAGTAGTTACTGGATCGATGCTTAAAAATCGTCGACCCTGAGCTGTACTCATATCTGCGGTCTAAAAATCTGTCCGCCGAGATCTACGCCTTTCCTTGTGCGTTGTTTTGTGTTCAAGCCGTTGCTTTTCTCACAACACTCAGCTGTATTAACACTCTGTGCATGTACCCCACCATTGGACCAAGTTCTCCAACTTTGGGACTTCCTTCTGGCTTTTGGAGTCCACCTCAACGTTCTTTGTGTCATTGCTCAATTATTATTAATTCGCGACGATGTAATGGCGTCTTCAAGGCTCGTTCATTGTCTATATATAGTGACGCCTGTTACTCACTATCTCTATCTAGTCCTATGCGACTACTCCGGACTTTCCCTCCCCTTGAAGCTCTACCTGTCATTGGGATTGCTGTAACCTTAGTACGAGACTTGCCCGGTCCGCTGTATGACGAGCTTGTAAAACACCCATACGAGATTCAAACTCCGCGCTAAATGTATTTTTCACACACCCCACACTCGACTGAGCAACATTTCTAATAGTACGGAAGGACCTGGGGTTCTAGTGCAGCATGCGACACCATTTCCCTTAAGATCGCGGGGAGCATCCTCAGTTTCGACAAGCGCAGGCATTACCGAGGAAGTAGATCTGTCTGCTCCAAGAGCGTATGCACCTTCGTCCGCTCTGCGATCGACGACAAGACAGCCTCTCGTTAATTCGCCAGTCCTATATGTATGAGTGCTTTTTTTCTGTCAATGCTAACCCCGATACCTTTCGACATCAAAGACTCGGTTATGTGTTCTCCAACCAACTGCCAGAGAATTATCCAACACTGGTGGATTTGAAATCGCACACCAGACAGCCACGATGTCGTGCAACTCCATGGCGTCTTTTCCGAACTGAAGCATGACGACGCGTGCCTGTTCAAGGAACGAAGAAGTAAAATGAACCAGGGGAGATTTTGCACTGGGTATTGATGGACGGGCAGATGTCTCGAAGTGGGGATCCACACGCTCCTTGTAAGTCGGAAAGGGCAATTCGTGCGATGTGGTGATATCAAGCGGGAGCATGATGAAGCGGTCTAGTGGCAGCAGCATCTCGTCCTCGATAAGTAACTTTTTGACCGCGAAGGGATCCGCGAAAAAGTTGACTGTGGAATAAATGCATAAGCAATAGAGAACTAAGATCACGACGAAGACCCACATTCAGCAACTGGTGTAGTATTCCCGGGAACATCGAGATTCCCGCCCATGCAGACGATTCGGCCAATTTTTTCCCGAATCAAGCCAGCGTTGACTTCCATCAGGTTTGCGAGGTCTGTCAACGGGCCTAATGCGATGTAGGTGATCGTTCGAGAGGGTCGGCTCTGAATGAGGTCAACGACGACTTCCATCCCAGACTTTAGCGTTAGGGTAACATATTCAAGTCCGTCCGGTGTAAGTTCAGGATGTCGCTCCGTGATGCCACCGAGCCCATCTCTAAGCAAGATCACTTGGAAGAAAGCAGCTATGAAATACCATATTATATGACTGACCTTCCATGAAAGTACTGAGCGCTATGCAAGTCGCCTTGAAGGGGCCCATCACTTCCACGTGCGAGGATCGGTCGCACAGAGGGAGAGAAATTAGGGAAACGTGTAGCATCACCAGGGAATTGTTCTAGATGCCGAGCGATTGCAGCATAAGCTTTTAGAATGTTTGAACTGGAGACATTGGAACTTGAATGAGCCAGGAGTGAAGACGGACTATGCGCTTTCGCTATCTGTGTTTCCGAAGCTGGGAATATAGGCCAAGATTTCTAATTCTGGGGATGCCAGAGCGAAGAGGCTAACCAAGAGAACTTGCGGTTACTGCCAGTGATAGTCCACCATCGACCTACATCGCTACAATATCATCTACTCCCGGGTCTGTTGAGACTTATGGGCGTTAGCTACAGAGGCTTGCAGCATTCATATCGAGCTTACTGATGACTGGAGTCCGTTGCATCCTTATCACATTATGTCAGCAAGATAGCAGATAGCATTGCCAATGCCATCAACTGTGAAAGTGCACGTGTCGGTAACGCTGCTGTCACAGATCATATTTCATCCACCCAATTCTCTAACCACGAGCAGCTCTCCCGAATCCTGCTCGAAATATGAGTGAATCCCTCCGCTTCCTCGGTTCTCTCAAGGGTCACAAGGGCTGGGTGACTGCCATCGCCACCTCGTCAGAGACACCCGATGTTATCCTGTCCGCTTCGCGTGGTTCGCCCACTTTTTGTGTCTGTCTTATTTTTCTTGACTCTCTCGACCAGACAAAACCATCATCGTATGGCAACTCACCCGTGACGAATCCAGCTATGGCTCCCCCAAAAAAATTCTACACGGACACAACCACTTCGTTTCGGACGTTGTGATCTCTTCCGACGGCCAATTCGCCCTTTCCTCATCCTGGGACCATACCCTCCGCCTCTGGGATCTCAACACTGGCACGACAACACGTCGCTTTGTTGGTCACACCTCGGATGTTCTCTCTGTCAGTTTCAGCGCTGACAACCGACAAATCGTCTCCGGTTCCCGCGACCGCACCATCAAGCTGTGGAACACCCTTGGTGAATGCAAATACGACATTAAAGAGGATGGCCATACTGAGTGGTGCGATACATCTGGCGGTTTTTCCAGCCTAGTTCTGGTCTGAAATTTGCGCAGGGTGTCTTGCGTCAGGTTCAGTCCTAATGTCATGAACCCCGTCATCGTTTCCTGCGGCTGGGACAAAGTTGTCAAAGTGAGTCGCATTCCTGTCCCCCCGAGATGATGCTATACCATATATATTTGCTACTTCAGAGGGTTCGCCCTATGAGACTAGTTTTCCACCAAGATCTCTGATCCTCCTCTCTTCTCTCTCTTCATCGTACGTGTTGTTGACATTGTTACAGGTCTGGGAGCTGTCGAAGTTCAAATTGAAGACCAACCACTACGGCCACACCGGCTATATCAACACTGTCTCCGTCTCACCTGATGGCTCCCTTGCTGCTTCTGGTGGTAAGGACGGCATCACCATGCTCTGGGATCTGAATGAGGGCAAACATCTGTACTCCCTTGAGGCCGGTGACATTGTCAACGCCCTCGTCTTCTCTCCCAACCGATACTGGTTGTGCGCTGCAACGGCGAGCTGTGTCAAGATCTTCGACCTTGAGAGCAAGTAAGTAGCAATGTGCAGCAACATTACTTGTCTTATTTAATGTTTCTGCCTAGGTCTATTGTTGATGAGCTTAAACCCACGTTCACTGAGACTTCGGAGGGTGGACGGGAACCGGAGTGTGTGTCGATTGCGTGGTCTGCTGATGGTCAAACGCTCTTCGCTGGCTTCACCGACAACGCTATCCGTGTCTGGACCGTGTCGTCATAAAACACTTTTGTATTTGTGCTCTGATGGTTACTTGCCACCAAAAAATATGAAAGCATTTTCCACATTTTTATGTCTGCTGCCGACCAACCTCCTCCAAATTGCGTTTCCGCTCATTGTAGTCGTAGCGATCCTGCCCTCCAAAGGTGATGAGGGTACCTCGTGGGCCGATTTCTATTTGAAGTTGAACGAGATGAGTGACGCGTGCACGCCAGCTGTCGCCACTGTCGTAGACCCATGAGAAGGGAGAGAGGAAAAAGAAGGAAATGGGTGGACTGACGTTGCTGCAGTAGGCAACTCGTCGCTTTGGCCGTAAACCAGCCTTGCGCATTGATCGAGATTAGATGCAGCGTCGAATATCCAGATGGTAGGGCCGGTATAATACTCTTGGAGCCCGTTCACATCGATCAAGGGGTGGTTGGAGGAAATCGACTGCGGGTGAGGACGGACATCGACTTCGTCACTGAACATTCGCAAGGCAGTGATGTTTGTGATACCAGTGAGGATGCGGCGGTCCTCCTCTGAAGCGGGGTTGACGACCTTGATTATTGAGGTGTTGGCCTTATCTGTCTCATCGTCCGAGTCGTCGTCCGAGTCATCCATTTGGACGGGCTCTTTGCTGACATCGGCTTCAGCTTCCTGCAAGATTACTGTAAGATGCGAGAGCCTCTTTCCCCAGTTGCAACCCACACCTGAAGCTTGGCGTAGAATTGAGCCCAGGCTTCATGGTTGGAGTAGTCTGTGCGAAGCAGAATTCCTAGCTCGTAGCGGCCAGGCCGGCCAGCGAATCTTTCATAGACGGGGTTAGGAGCTTCTTCCCATTCCAGCTATTTTTTTTTGATAAGATAATTGTGGCCACATATCTAGTCATGTTCTCACAGGCCTGTTGAAACCTGGAGGCGTGGGGGTGTATTGAGGATTAGACGCCCAGAATTCTGCAAGAATCCGCAGCTCCCAGGCCAGGTGATGCTCAGAAGGGTATTCAGCCTTGACCGTGTCATATCTGCGCTAATGCACCTGCTCAGCTGAGAACGGGAGCTGCGCGAAACGGCAGACCAAAAGGAGTTCGGTGAAGGACTCCATCTTCATGTGGACGCGTGACAAAAAAACGTTGGGCGTGGCGAAGCTCAGAAAGTCAATCAAGAGCCAATGAAACCGTCAATTGCATTCTAAAACTATACTACTGACGTCCGCGACCCCGCTAAACGGTCGACAACCTGGAGACTAGTTAAAGAGCAGAAGACAAATAAGCCAGACAACGTACATCTCGGATATAGGGCAATGAGAGAGCAGTGCCGAGGAATGGCACCTGCCTCAAGAAAGTCACGATGACCGGGAAAAAGTCGCTGTGGTGAATAGAACTGAGCTCGTGAATCGAAGCTTTCCAACGGCGAACGCACCCGAAGAGATTCAGGAAGCCAAAGGTCTCCACAATCATGCCGATGAATGGCCATTTGAGAAACACTAGGATGATGCCGCCAACGAAACATATCGAGCCGCGGAGCTTCTGTTTGCGCGCGAAAAAGTAGAAAGTTTTCTTGGGCCCGATGATGAGAGTTATGCCAGAAACAAAGAGAATCTAGACATTGAGTGCCAGCAGCAACAGACAACTAAGTGACGCACATTGCCAAGGGCTAATAGCGCGCCGTCGAAAAAAAGCATCACCCCAAGCAGCATAAAGAGCCCTCCAAACGTCGTCAGCGCGACGCCAATTTCTGGTTCAGGGTCAGAGAAGCAGAAGTAAGGGCAAACCAGGTGGAATACTGACTCTGTGCATCGGACAACCACATCGAACGAAAACAAGTTACAGCACGTATGTACGTGTCACGAAATGATTATTATTTGTTTACTTAGTCCAAGACAAGAAAAGAAAATGTGAGATAGTCCTGCAAGTCATGTACGGGAGCCAATGTCTCTAGCGCGGTGAATACGGTCGAGAGCATCGCGTATAGGAGTACGACGAGAGACAACGGTGAGATGATTGGCGACATAGGGAGGTGGGAGGAGTGGATGTATTCGGTCGTCCTGGAGGGGATCTGACGCAGGAAATGTTGTTATATAGGGAGCTGGCCGATGGATGGCAGGCAGGTGTGTGAGGGAAGTAACTGCAGACGAGGAGGAAAAGGTGCGGTGACGGCTTTTGGTGGTGGTGGGGGGTTGATGTGTTGCCACAGTAGCAACAGAGCGAGCTGAAGATATCGAAGTTCGCCGACCTGATGATTGTGGTGAAATGGGGGAGTCTGAGAATGAAACGGAGGGAGAGGCGCTGAGATGAACGTCGGTATCGAAAGTGACAGCGACGGGGAGCAACGGAGATGGCTTGGGTGCGGGACAAGGCTGGCCAAATGACTGCCCACGGATAAGAGGATGAGGGCGAAGTTCAGGGCGATGCAAAGAGTGGGTAGACAGAGGCCGAGAATGTCTTCGACTAGCAGTCGGTGATGACGGGGCGGTTAGAGGCTCCTGAACGAGTCTGTCGGTATCGAGTATTCTCGAGGTCGTTATTTCTGACGGTATAAAATAGTCCGCGGGCCTTGCAGTTGGTATACGAGACAGCTCTGGAGGAACTTCAGGTGGTCCATCTGAGTCTTGGTCGTCATTCAGATTCGGAGTAACCGCCCCACTTTCGCTTGTCCACTCCTCATCTTCTCCTTCCTCATCATCATCGTCATCTGCGTGGGTGGCAATGTGGAACCCAGGTCGTTGCGGTCTTTGGCGTGGCGGCTGTTTGTGAAGGTTCAGATACATCACCCTCAAGTTCAACATTGGACTCACAGGAATCTTCTTTTGCGTGAACTGAGCAGTGACCGGTAGTCGGTTGGCTGAGTTGGTGCGAGAATGGGTTCGGACGGCGGTACGGTGACCTTTAGGCATTTGTGCTAAGAAGAGAGATTGAGGAGGGATCCAACGATTAGTCGATCACGTTTCCTCTTTCTCGTTTACCACCATGGAGCGCGTCCACTTCCAACAAGAGCAGGTAAAGCATTTGCTTTCTCAATGCTTGATCTTACTCCAGTAGATGCTCGATGAGCTCAAAGATCTTGTGGAGAAGGAGATCTTTACAAAACTAGAAACGAAACAAATTCTGAAAAAACGAACTGAGTTCGAAGGCGCTCTTGTTCGGAGGGTGGCTAAAAAGGCCGACTTTCTACGATATGCTGCTTATGAAATGTCTCTGGAGCAATTGCGACGCAAGCGTATTGAACGGCTGAGTGGGTATGGTGATCTACTTGCTATGTGTTTTCTTGAATCCATTTTAGAAATCGAGTCTACCAAAGCCAGCATATCTGACTACTCTCTTGTCCGGCGGCAATTCCAAATTTTTGAACGAGCTTTGAAACGATTCAAGTCGGATGTAGACCTCTGGCTGGAATATATCAACGTCGCCCAACGGGAGGGAGCTTCAACTCTTGTGGGCCGCGTGGTTGCTCGAGCAATCCAGTTGCACCCAGATAACGAGCTATTCTATGTGGTTGGCGCTGCACATGAATTGGAGCATGGCTCACCCTCGGCTGCTCGTAATCTCCTTCAACGTGGCATTCGCATCAATGGGCAAAGTGTCAAATTGTGGACCGAGTATGTGCGCATGGAACTGATATTCATGGAAAATCTTCGCAAACGATGGCAAGTGCTTGGCCTCGACCTTAAGGGGAAAGGCAGGGAGCAAGACGAAGCACGGACGGCCATCATCCAAGGAAGTATTGTCAAGGAGGTCATCTCGCAAGGTATGTTTTGGTTCTAACGTTTGTTGGCGTTGTTCGATTGACCCGGCTTCTTCAAGCGATGTTGTCGAGCGAATTGTTTGAGGCCTTGATTGGGCTGATCAAGCAACCTGAGTTGCTGGATGTCGTTTATCGTCGCTTGGCAGAATGTACCGACCCACGTGCTGCCATATTGCTTGCAATGCGACCTATTCATGGGAAGTCAGGACTGGCTCTTATTGAAGCGGTTCAGCATGCCAACGAGGAGATGCTCAGTCGATGCGACGCCGGCGGCCAAGAGAGTGTGGCTACATACATTGACTTTTGTGAGAGAGTTGGTGACATTGTCACGGACGAGTCTCTGGTGTGTAGAGCTTTGGTGCGAGTCTAACTGGCTAAAATTTTGTTAGAAGGCATATCTAGATGCTTCTGTGAAGGGGTTGGTGCAAAAAGGGACTAATTCTGGGGCAGTTTTGAGGTGACTGCTGCGGGGACAATTGATTGGATCAAAATGAGCATATGGTAGCAGTAGATGTCGCGCGTGGACCCAGTTCTGTTGTTCCCTCTTGCCTCCATCTCGCACGATATATATCTTGGTCTGCCCTTTCGGTTTTCTTCTTACTGACTGTCCCCTAACGCCTACTTCAAAGCTCAAGACGGTGTCGGGACCGTTTCCCAATCCCTACCCGCAGCTGTATGTGTCGCGACCCCGACCAGCTCAGACTCGTAGCCGGTCTTGTCTGAAGTGGTGACAAGCAGCCGATGTTGCAGTTCCCAACCCCCCACCCCCCGACCAACCCGTCTGACTACTCTCGACCTAATGACATTTTCCTCAAACGCCAGCAATCCGCCTTTTCAACCCCCACTCCCCTTTCAGTTTCAACTAATCTTCCTCGCCAGCCCTCCCCGACCGCAAAGCTACGGTCTCCCTACATTTCTTCCCGCCCAAATACCATCAACCTCTCTCCACGTCCGGCCTACCAGTCTCAATCGAGCCATCATTCCTCGTTTTCGTCCGTTCTCGAGGATGTACTTCAGCCTGGTGACATCGTTGGCGAGGGTGTCGAGCTACAAGGCGAACTCATTCGCCTTGTTTCACCACTCGAAGCCCTCAATAACGCTGAACCCGCTCGTGAATTCGAGGTTGTCCGAAGACTTGGGGCTGGCAGCTACGCAGTCGTCTACCAAGTCCTCGAGGTTCTTGAGCGCGCCCCTTCCTCCGAAGATGGTCATTCGTCAATGATGGGTCACATGGATTTCGATGGCAAGCACGTTCGGTCGCCGTCTACAACATATGGCCGTGAATATGCCATAAAGTGCCTTTCCAAAGCCAACCTCGATGACGAGGCCCTTAGAGCGCAAATGGATGAGGTGCGCTCAAGTTTTTTTCATTTGCTTTTTCCCTATCGCTTATCTTTCGTTCTCAGGTCACTATTCACCAGTCACTCCATCCTCACCCGAACATTGTCACTCTCCACCGAACCCTCGAAACCTCTTCGTTTTTGTTGCTTCTCCTTGAATATGTTCCCGGAGAAGATCTTTTTTATTTTTTGGAACAAGCCCATGATCACTACGAGTCCTCAAACACGGCCGACTTGACAGACCCATCTGTCTCGCCTTCCCGTACGCCCCCAACGCCCAGTCTTCTCTCAACTATGAATTCGTCGCAATTGCTTTCGCGCACCCGTCTTCGCCTCATATCGTCCATGTTTTCCCAGATGTGTGATGCTGTTGCCGCCTGTCATGCTCAACAAGTCTACCACCGCGACATAAAGCCCGAAAACTTTATCGTCACCGATGGCTATACAGACACAGACGGTAGACGAGAACGCAAGGTTATCGTCAAGCTCACCGACTTCGGCCTATCCACCACCGATGTCGAGTCGTCTGACATGGACTGTGGGAGCGCTCCCTATATGAGCTTTGGCAAGTCCCCACACCATCAGCCTTCTATCGGAACTAATTGTTTGTTTTGCACCTAGAATGCCGCAACAACGTCGCTCCGAGCTATCGGCCTCGCGCTGCTGATGTTTGGTCACTGGGCATTGTTCTCATCAATATGTATGCAATCGCCTCCTTCTTCCTATCTGCGTTGGTTGATCGTAACGCAGGCTCTATCACTTCAATCCTTGGACGGACACCAAGGAAGGTTCATGTAGCTCGTTTGACCTCTTCCGGCAACAACCCGTCAACTTCTTCATGCATCGCTTCGTGGGCATGACCCGCCCTGTGGCCGAGCACTTGGCCAATAAAGTATTCAATGTTCTCGATGACCCAAAGGATGATTCAGAACGTATTACGGCTGCTGGATTTGGTGTCTGGGCTAAAGACCTTCCCGAGCTCTTGGGACAACCACTTGGTCATAAACGTGCTGGATCAACGGCGTCATTAACTCAAGGCCACAGAATCTCATGTTCCATTCCAATTTCCCACCGTCCTTCTTCCAGGCAAGCGTCGGGTACTGCATCGACCATCCGCACTCCCGCCATCCAGTCTCGCTCTTTGTCACGTGCCGCCTCTTTTGGTCCCACGATCGAAACCACCTATGAGAAGCCTGAGGCCACCGAGCTCTCTACGGTCATCGATCAGGAAGCTGAGGAGCAGGAAGAAGAGAGGCAGTTCAACGAGTTAAAGGTACAAACGGACGAACCTTCGGAAGACCGGTCGCCATCCAACAACAAACGGCGAAAGCGCGGTGCCCGCAAAGGCAAAGGCGGCTCGCAACCCCCGGCAACTCCTCAGAACGAAACACTCGAAACTCTGGCTAGCGCTTCCCAGTCGCTTGCTCGGGAGATTAGTCGCGCCTCACGTGCCGCATCTCAAGCTTCGTCGAATCGTTCAGGCACGACCCATGCTTCGAGTCGTAGCAGCAGACGTGGCCAACCTTTCGAGCCAGTTGCCATGTATGCACTGCCAGTCAGCATGCTCCCTCCTCCACGCTCTATTCCGCCTATTCCTCCATTGCCGAAAATCCATACCACCCCAGCTCCTTCTATGCCAGCAACTGCAATAGCCAAGAAGCCATCCAAATGGAAGCTCAGTTTTGGCAAGAGCAGTGGTGCTTCCGCATTTGGGCGTGTTTCACCAGTGGAGGAAGCTTCGTCGCCTTCCGACCTGCCCATGTCCGCAACTGCCAGCAACGTGACTGATCTCATCATGGGACTGAGCGCCCCAGCTCCCCCACAAAGTCTTGCGCACGATGAGCATCCGCGTGGTCGACGAGTTCTTGACCCTGGCTATCGAGCGTACAATTCTTCGCGCAGTCCACATCCCGATCACAGGACACGTGACGCAGGTTCTGACCGTGCTGTATCTCCCAACTCGATACGCAGTCATCGGCCCGTTGCATCGAGCTCTAGCTCGATGGTCTCTGGTAACTGGCGAAGCTCACTGAGTACTACTTCAAGCGCTGGTACTTCTACTTCTGCCTTTACTCGGTACAGCAACGCGAGCACACGGAGTGTTTCAACTGTCGCTACCAGTGTCTCCGCTAGCAGTTGGCGCGCTCCTCCAACGGCCAAGCCCCAGTCTCCCCCGTCTACTGCCACAACGCACCCAGTCCCGATTCCCAAGAATGTCAAGAGTAAGCATTTTCCGTCTTGTCTAGTCGCTGGTTTCTGAGACGTTTCTAGTCATGAACGGCGTTCCCTGGGAACTTGACCAATTGCCCCGTGGTCAATATACTGGCAACCCTGAAGGGGATATTTTTGGCTCTCCCCCCGTTCGACAACCTCGTCCTCGCAAGCCCAAGGATCTCCAGCTCAGTACCATCACTGAAAAGACTCCTGTTGCTGCTCCCAAGTCACCTGACTTTGTCCGCCGTGCTGATGCCTCGACAAGTACTACTGACCTTGTTTCTGGTGTTATGTCGTCGTCGTCGCAGGATGAGGACAGCGATGGGCGGAAGAAAGTTGCCAAAGCACAGATCAACACACTTGCCAAGATGCTTTCTGCTCTGCGGCGCTAAATGGACAATAAGTATACTGTAGAAGGATCGCGAGATTCGCAATGTACTAGCTGCCGAATCATCACCGTTGCTTTCTTTTGATTGGCTGGCTTGCCAGCGTACTCATTCCTTTCAAATTCTTGTATGGAGACTGTCTCTAGCAGTGTTGTAGGCTATAGTAGAATAACATCCGTATTTAATCTTTGTCCAACTCTTGCAACGCAGCAAAAGCCATGTTCTGCTCGATTGTTGGCTTGACTTCAACAGGACGATTGAGATCTATCAAAATAGCGGAGCCAACTGCAGGGGTCGGTGGTCGCGATTGGGTGGTATCCATCTCGTCACCGTCGTCTGAAGCACTCCCAACGGAAGACTGAGTGCCAATCACGTAGTATTTGCCCGAGGTATGGGTTCGAACGAGGTTGACGTAGTATTCTTGGAGGAGATCACGTGTACACTGATAACAAGGAATTAGGAGCAGAGCGGAATCCGAATTTGTGCGAACCATGATGCGCCAGTCGATTTTGTCCAGGAATTCGCGTTCAAGAACGTTGAGCTCCGAGACAGAGATACCGCCAACCTTTGCATAGAGGTTGTTGGTACAAAAGGTGTCGCAAAGGCCCTTGCTCGATACGGTGATTGACGCAATGATGAATCGATGGCAGGTAAGGGAGGAGAGGGTGAAGCGGGGCATCCGCGCGCAGATTTGGTCGATGTAATGGAGGGTGAGGAGAAGGCAAGACTTCTGGTTGAGATTGTTGGACGATCACGAGGAGTAATAATGAAAGAGAACATACTTCAACATTTGTGTAGCGGACAATTCGGCGAAGATAGTCCAAGACCGAGATAGACGGCGCAGTTCGCGAGTGAAATCGGGTGAGACTCTCAGGAAGAAGGGGGATAAGGTCGTTGTGTGCCATGAGTCGGTCGAGCATATCAGCTGCAAGAAAAAGAGTGTTAATCCCGGAGTCAGAATCAAGAGCGGACACCACCTATGAGAATGACGAGAATGTCCATCGGCACTTGTGCGAAATCGAGCGGGAGCTCCTCCGACATCGACCCATTGCGAAGCCGCAGAGATCAACGCACCTGTCACACTTGATAGTAGGTCACACACACAAACCTCTTCCTTTCCAATGGCACCGAAACTCGTAAATCTTTTTTCTCGACGCTAGCCTCCCTGCCATGTTTTGACCACAAATCAGGACCCCAACGAAATCAAAATCATCTACCTGCGTGCTACGGGTGGAGAAGTTGGCGCGTCGTCTGCTCTTGCGCCAAAAATCGGTCCTTTGGGATTGGTATGCGTTACTTACCTATCAGTCGAACCTTTGAAGCCCTTACACTCTGTCTAGTCTCCAAAGAAGGTGGGAGAAGACATTGCCAAAGCGACGACAGCTTGGAAAGGTCTGCGGGTCACCGTCCAGCTCACTATCCAAAATCGGCAAGCAGCGGTGTCGATTGTCCCGTCTGCCTCGTCTTTAGTTATCCGGGCCCTTAAGGGTGCGTATCGACTTTCGTCACAAGAGAAACTAACGTTCCACCGACAGAACCCCCACGCGACCGGAAAAAAGAAAAGAACATCAAGCATTCGGGGAATATTCCTTTGGACGAAATATACGAAATCGCCAGGACTATGAAGTCGAAGTCGCTCGCGAAGGAGCTGTCTGGATGTGTTAAGGAGATTTTGGGTACTGCTCAAAGTGTTGGCTGCACTGTTGAGGGCCGGCCGCCTCACGACATCATCGACGACATTAACAGTGGCGAGATCGAAGTACCAGAGGAGTAAATGTATTGTTCTCTGTACTCATTCATGTCTTTGCCGAGTTCGCCCATATTCGGCCCGACAAACCCAAGGCCCCTCCTCTTCGCACTATCTCTTCAAGCGTCTCTGATTTAATGTCGCATCCTATGGCTCCACTCAGTTCGACGCTGACTGCTCGAGGCCTTGTCTCATCGTATGCGACTGTAATTTCCACCACACCGGAAATCGGTGGTCGTTCAGGACTGGTCATGAGTATTTTCGTTCGTCGGTCCACGGACGGCATTGTTATCGAGTCCAGGCTGGGGTCAAAAACTGGGTCAGTGCGCTGAGGCAAAGATACGTTCACAGGTATTTTTTGCGGGGTCAGCGTGCCTGGTTTTGTGGGCGTCAGTCGAAGATGATCTAAGATGTAAAAGGACCGCACCATTCAGAACAGATAAGAGCTGCTCCTCAGTTGCATCGCTTTCATCGACTGGAACATCGTCATCGTCATTTGCGATCCCCTCTGTCGACCAATGACAACCAAGCAGGATTTCGTTCAGCCAGCATTGCTCTCTGACAACTTCAAGGACAGCCCAAACTTCCTTCAAGCTGTGGACAGGCACCTTCTCTAGAAGGAAGCCAGGTTCTTCGGGGAGGGTGAGACGAAGTTGTAAGGGCGGATGCAGGTTAGATGGAGAACGCTAGAACAAAATGAACATCAGTCGACCTGAGAGCTAAAGGATGCACGTAGAGCGCAGTATATCGTTCTGACGAAACTGGATTCAGTGGATTAAGCTATTGATATGTTAGCGGTCATCAGTAAAACCTACCCAGATCGTGGACCCACCAAGGCCGCGACCCAGCTACCGGTCCCAAAAGACATCACATTAAGAGTCAAAGGGGTATCTATTCCACCAAGGGGGTGTATGATGAGTTCGATTTCGTGCAACCGAGATTGACTGAGTATGACGCCAGGCACTTGACCGCCCTGTGTGAAATCCAGTGTCCACATATGTTGGGGACCCGCAGTCAGTACAGCTTCAGGAAAACTATGCTCTATTTCAGAGCCTTCTGGCACGAGTGGAAATGTTGGACGAGAGAGTAAGCTTGGCATCGAAAGCGATTGAGGGAAAAGTTGCGGAACCGATATGGACGAGAGCAACAATGTGGCAAGGCAAATGCCTTTTCGCGGCAGCGAGAGGTAAGAACGAAGATTTTCCAGAGAAATATCGAGCTCTGACCCAGATTCGCTTGAAGAGTTTTTCATGGCCAAATAGGCGGTTGGGGAGACGTGGACGAGGAAAGTTATGGAGGGCGAAATGAGATATGGGAGTGCGATGGCATGGCACCGCACCAGATAGATATCCAATGGTGCGCGATCAAGAGAAACCGACCTATTCATTGTCAGAGTACTGAGAGAATAAGCAGTTTTACCCAACTCACGAGGCGACGGCTCGCGCTTCGTTCTGGCATAAATTTTGGAGCACCAAGTATAGCTTGTCTGTGTCTGTGAACCATCTGACACCGAAGTTTTCGCCGGGTTTGTCTTCTGGTGGGCTCTCAGCTTTAGCGAGTGGATCGAGTAATTTCAAGTAGCGCAGTTGGTCAATAACACAAGAGCCGAGTTTTGCGACACGTCGAGGGTCGCGCGCTTGCTCGGCTTTGTTCAGTTCGTCGCAAAAGTTTTGAATCGTTCTGGCCATGAATGAGTCGAGTGACGGTGTTGTGTCTGTAGAGCCACTGTATGCCGTTGTCACGCTGGCCACATCGATTCGAGGTCGCAAAGGATTTTCCCGGCTTACGACAAACTCCACGTCCATGGCAAATACCAGACCGGCCAATAATACGCCTGCTTTATTCTCATCTTCGCGATATGCTTCTAAACCGACAGATGTTGCCCAAGCTTGGAGTTTACTTATGCACCAATCGACAACAGCCTGAGGTTCAATCGGAATGTCTTCTCCGTAGTTAGAGTTGGTCCCGGAGCGTTTTCGAAGTTCTTTTATAACCTGGCGAGTGCTCTCTTTCGACTATCAATGAAGAGGTCAGCGAAGCATGTTGCAAAAGAGACTCGATAGCCTGACTCCATGGATCGTTTCTGTTATAGACGTTTGTTGACGCAAGAGTGATACGAGTTTTGTGTTCGTCCAGTTCACCATCGTATAAGAGTTGAGTGATGTGGCCAGTTGACCTGTCGTGTCAATTACAGAACCAAGCGTCGCGATCGCCTCTTCCGATTTGAGTGAAAATGGGTGTGTTGCATTCTCTGGTGATGGCTTAGACAGGATATCATGGACGGTTGAAAGCAGTGTTGTCAGAGACTTGGGAGAAGTCATTTACCGCACGTGCCCGTTCCGGACAGCGCAAATTGACTGGCTCTGATTCGAAGTAACCCGATAGTAACGTGTCACACTGAAGTCTCAAAAAGGGAAATCATTTTTTTTCTAACTTGCTGGCTTTCGCCATCGTCAACTCCCCACTTTCATGCTCTTGTATCCTCAACGGTTCGTCCGGCTTTGGTTTGTATGCCCGTTATCGGTCTCACTACGTCTTCGTCAGTCTTGTGTCGCAGATTAGCACGATACTCCCCATTGTTGCACTTGTTTCCTCTCTTCTCGACACAGACCGACCACCCTGAGTCTAATCCAACCTCACACACGGCATCTCTACCACATCTCATGGGATAATTTGTTTATTTTCTGGCCGTCGCTCTGTAGAAACCCTCTTAGAATCTCAAGCCCCCAACCCTTACAATGATCAACTCCATCAAGGCCCCATCTTTCCTCCGTCCGACAAGCCGTCCATCTTCACCCGCCCCACTTCCTTTGACACCTCGCACCGACTCTGTCGAGCGGACTGCCCGCCCTTTGACGAAACTTTCGTCGTTGGGAAACTTCCGTCGCCCTTCACCAGCTCCCAACCCACCGTCACCTGTCGCTCCCACTACGTTGATCCAAGATGGCTCGTATCTCGAAACTCTCGCACTCAAATTGAGTGATGCGGCCTCCAAAGCTTTACTTCAGCCAACCGGGCCCTCAGTCACCAATGATGTAGTCGGGGGTAAACGGCCTATCCCTGCTGGACGAGGGAAAACATTCGGTGCCGTCATCGCGTCGTAAGTCTTCCACTAGCTATATTTGTCCCGTCTGAAGCCGACATTCAGTGAATTGGCTGCTACTCGCGAAAACCCGCACCTTAATCGGGCAATCGTTCGGTCTCTACTACGACCGCTTTCAGTTCTCCTCTCTAATCTCTCTGCCCATCTTTTACCCGTCATCTCCTCGACTTCTTTTCTGTCCCCTCCTGCTCCCACCGTCGCTACTCCAAACCCGAATCCGACCCAACTTCATGCGTTAGGCTTGACCACCTTTGCGAGCGAGCTTCTTGAAGTATTCGACGAGTTATGCCTCGGACTTGACAATGACATTCGCGGAGATGGCCTTAAGGTTATACGCGATGGTCTTGTCTCCATTATCAACCGAGTCGTCAATCCACTGGTTGCTGGCATCAAGTCGGAGTTATTGCCGGTCTTGGACGCCCTTGAAACGCCTAATGGTACCAGAACCACCTTGGGCGCAAAGGGCGGAATTGTCTCACACCCGTCTATTACCGCGCTCTCTTCACTCATGCCTATTTATGCACGGGCATTGAGCCGTTATACCTCCTCTCGCTATGCACAGGCAGCTTTAGCTCCTTTCCTGATCTCAGTCGTCTGGCGAGGACTAGTCGCTTTGGCTTATCGGCCCCATATGCCAGTATCTCGACCGCCTACTCCTGGGAAAGAACGATCGTCGTCGTTAACACCGCCTGTCACTCCCCCATCTGCACGTTTCACCATCAAGTTGCCACCCTCACGCCCTCCTTCACCACCACACGCCCAAGTTCCAGCATCGACAGCCTCAGATGCTCGAGCATTGTGTGATTTACTAGCCCTACTCCCTTGCCCAGCGGACAGAGAATCGACTCGTCTAGCGAACGAGGCAATCGAAGAGGCCTTGACTGGTCTCAAGTCACTCCCCGATCTCTTAGACGCTCTGAGGACGGAGCAGGAGCAGAATATGGCCATGACTGAAGAGCAGTTGGAAAGACTCACTGAAGAACTTCCCACTCTTGTTGCGCTACCCGTTCTTCTCAACGCATATGGTGGTCAAGCCGGGTGTGTTGCAGAAATGCTGGGGCTCTCGGAGGATGAGTATCACAAGGGATGTTTGTCGGGCTTTGGCCGCGCTGACGAGTGTGCTGGTGTCGTTGGTCCGCGACTACTGGACCTTATGCCTCAACACGACAACATCCCCACCAAAGTTCTTGACTGGCTGGCTGCAGAAATGGAAAACTGATAGTAAATTATTTTATTACTTGTTTGGTTTCATGGGGTAGACGTTTATAAATCTTATGTCATTGGAAGGAACAGGTTTTACGCAATTCACTCCAAATTCGCCCGTTTTTGCTCTTTCAGTTGGGCGATGCGCTGAGAATATTGTCTTGAGCGCAATCTCGGTCGATGTCTTTTTTCGCTCACCTGTTTGCGTTCCTCCTTTCGCCTTTGCATCTCGGCAGCCTTCTCCTCCTTAGTAAGCACACTCGATGAGGGAGGAGAAGATTGAATGGGAGGTGACTTGGATGTTGTCTCCGTAGTTCGTGGTGCGGGTGAGCTTGGCACTGAAACGAATGAATTCGCCCAAGAATTACCATCTATATAGAATGGTCCTGCGCTCATTGATATGGCGGGTTTCTTTACTGGTGGTGCGGTTTCGAATGCACCTACACAAATAAACCGGTTGGCCATCGAAATAGAATGCAGGCCACTCACTCCAATCATCCGCATCATTAACATCAATTAGATCATCATTCCCCCAAGGATTGTCTTGAATCTGCTCAGCAGCCTCTTCAGCGAGTTTCTGTACTAGAGCTGCAGTCGCCACGCTTGCTGGTACTTTGTTAGCTCCAAGCTGTAGCGTGCTGGTTTTCGATGGAGTAGGGGAAGCTACATTGGTCCTGATCCCCATTGGAGTGTCGGGGTTAGAGGACAACCTGTTGCCTATTTGTGGTGCAGAAGTCGGCCTTTCGATGACAAGCTCGGGGGCAGCAGTGATTGTAGTTTGGAGATCAGACGTCGCCAACTGATATATACTTAGTCAGTCTCTATAGTTGGATAGAAGTGGATCATGAACCTTCTTGCCTAATGACGAGATTGCCCAGCCGGCCAGCGCCCCGGCAGCGCCTGCTGCGGAATTGACCAATGTAGCTTGAGCTGGCGATGTTATCCCAATAGCTTCGCTCGCTTCCGGGGCGGCGGTCTCGGGCTGCGAATGAATGAACTCTGTGGCAATCCAGGGTATAGATAAGTTGCAGTACCATGGTTGAAGCATGACTCTCTAATCGTTTTATGAAAAGGTCTATCGCCTTGAACGCCTGGTCTCGGACGAGCCTGGAGAAATGTCATCAAAATGCCAACCCCCAAGACACACTCACTTTTCTTTATCAGTAAGCGTGAAGGCCATGTTAGGAATGACTTTACTGGCCACATCTTCGACATCGAAGCAATCTATTGTCGCCATGAACGCCATTAATCCAGCCACACGTGCATGAACAAAGGTATCCTTGAGGGCACGCGTGAACGCAGGAACAAGGACTTTGCGTTTAGTATTGTAGCCCAAGGTTGGTCCTAACCGCCCGATTAGGATACAAGTATTTGTTCGGATCGATGGCTCTGGGTCCGACTGCAATTTGGCAAGGTGACGCAAAAGCTCATTATTCAGGATACGGTCAGATAACTGAGTAAATGTCAGATGACCGATGAGTGTTGATTCAACACTCACAAGGGGAGCTATAAGGCTTATTGATCTAACAGTCGCTTCTCGAATAACCGCGACGGTATCAGAGAAACCCGTTTGCTGCGTGTTGGTCAATATGAGGGGACACAAGGATGTGGGCTAAGAACGTACAAGGTGAGGGAATATCTTGGAATCGACTGTCTTCTTATCCAATTTGTCTACGTATTCAGGTAGATGGTCCAGCAGTGCCATTCGAGTACCTCGATCCTGGACAGCGAATAGTTTGACGAGTGGGGTGAGGATTACGTTGGGGTAATCCGCAGCGGAGACATTCTTGCCAAACAGGGTGACGAGAGGGACAATGGTGGCAGCAGATGCACCACCAAACTCAAGCGCCGATATAAGAGATGGAAGGACTCTAAAAGAGGCGAATTCGGGCGGGAAAGAGTTGGCAGTTTCGTTTAAAGTCCTACCAGGCACGATCATGAATAGCGAACACCTTGAAGTATGCAATAATACCCTTACCGCAGCAACACATTTTTCTCCGCCTCGCTGCTAAGAGAGAAGTTATCGAGACCGTTGCAGACTTTAACCAAGCGATTGTTGGAGAAGAAACCGTTGTCAGCCATCCCGATCGCGAGGAAACCATTCGGTGTAAGTCGTCCTTTCGGGTTGGGATTCAGAAGCTTTTTGAAAGACGGAAATATGGACGGGGGAATTGCACCACGAGAAGACGGCTGGGGCGGTGGGTGGGGCGGTAAAGCAGTAGCCGGAGGAGGCAGTGACGGATTGAATACCGCATGTAAAAGCAGACCCAAGGCATAAGCATCTGGAGCGGAAGGTTCATGCTCTTTTATCACTCCCCAACCTGCTTTTCTGACTTCTGGTGATGCCCAGCCCGACGCATCTGGTATTTGGCCACCCAAAGTCTGAACACGAGTCAAAGCAGGGCCATAACAGATAAACACCATACGTAGAGGACAGCGGCATCGTCTTTAGGGTTACTTAAAAGCTCGAAACCACCGAGCTTCCACTCTCCTGAAGGTGATATGAAGATAGAGTTAGTGCGGATGTTTCCATGCGTCGATCCTGCAGAATCATTGATGAAAGCAAGTGCAACCTGATTCAATGAGCGGAGCAAGAGCAAGGAGCCATACGACCGACAGAGACACGATGGAGACCCCAGACTAGCCAATCTTCGCGTTCAAAGGTCCAAGCCTGAAGCGTATCTGGGAGAGTCCTTACACGTTCTGTCATGATGTGGATTGTCGTCTCAGTTTCGACAGCATCGAGAAATTTGAGAACGTCTGGATGACGCGTAGTTCGCAGCTTCCGCAGTGCATTTCGGGCAAGGGGCAGCATAGCTCTTCTCGTCGAGCAATCGTATTCGAATACTGAGACAGGACTGCCATCATCCTGCATTGATAGTGAGTTTTAGTTTGGTACAAGAATCGCATTTACCCGTTTCGTTGCATCATAAAGCACCCACACACCATCAAACGACGCCACTTTGGGTCCCAAGGAGAAAGGTAAGTTAAGCCCGGACTTCTGAACCAGAGTCGAGACGGCGGCACTGCCGAGAGTTCGCAGATAGTCCATGGTGCGTGACGCGTCACGCGCCACTTCGTCCACAATGAGATGGACTTTCCAAATGGCCACTCCCAACACATTGGTTCGCCAACGATAGAAGAACTCGAAGGGGATTTACCCGTCGTCTATGATGGCCAGGTATCACTCGGTGACCTGCTGACGCGTGTGGTGCAGACCATCTATGGGGAATTGTCTGAGTTGGCGGAAACGTGCGTTGCCAACTAATTGTTTTTTGGTCTACTCACTACTTTTCTCAGAATGCCCAACATGTCGGATCCGGCCAGGAAACGTACCCTTGCTGACTGGGTTGTGAAAACGAAGAAGCAGGTTGTCAAACTCTATGCCGCGGTTAAATGGTCTCGAGACGCTGACACCGTTCAAAAATGCATGGTGCGGTGAATGACAACTCCTCCGCCAGTGCTTATGCTGCGTAGAATATCACCGCGTTTCTGATGAACCAAAACCAGCAATTCGAGGATTGTATTGTCGGTCTTCATTACGCTAAGGATAGTCTTGACCCTTCACGGTTCGTGTCTGGACCCACCCCTTGGAATGCCGTCAATTATTTTTGTAGATTGCGGAACCACGATCTCCTCACCTCTCTCGACGTGTTAACCACTGGCTCTTATCACGGACTCCCCACCATCATCAAGGTTGGTACATGCCTCGCACTATGAAGATGCTCTTCCCTGAGCTATCCAGAAACTCGTTGTTCCGCCCTCACCTCTAACGGATGCAGAGGTGTTGAAAACCCTGGCACAAATGGAGGAGGTCCTCTGGTACCGACTCAGATTACAAGAGGTTATCCCCATCGAAATGTCCAACTATCGTATCGGTATGACTTGCTATGTCTTAGCTACAGCGCTAATCTACTGCAGCTAACGGTCGCGTATATTTCACCATCCCTCGTCTATTCGAAACTTCATTGTGTCTCCGAGGCGCTTTGAAGGATGATGGCTGGTTTTTTGTTCACGTCGAGTTCTTAATAACAGTCGGAGGAGATCTTACCGGGTTGCAAGGCACGTTTTATTACCGTGACCACCACATTCAGCTCATTCTACTTCAGAGTTCCCGCGAATCCCTCCCCCATATATGAAGCGCCACATTACGGATGAGGCTGATGCGCAACTGGCATATTACCTACCGCTTCCTGACCAGATTCCACCTCCAATCGCAACTCCCCCTCGACCCAAGCTTCCGGAGGGTGTTGTGGACGCTCCTCTTGTCCGAGTATTCAACTTCCTCCGTGGGTTATCGTCTTATTCTTTTATATATCTTGTTGACCCTAGTTCAGAGATGATGTCGCTTTCGTATCAACTTGAAATTCTTTGGTATCAGGTCCGCATCATTAGTCCCTGCTTGTTATTTGTTGCTAAGTTTCCTAGGCCGAACGCATGAGAAGTCTGGGATGGGGTGAATTCCTCACGGTCTCCATGAGCGATGATCGCAAGTCACTTTCAGTGTCGTATTGGATGTGCAGTGTTCTTCTCTCTAGCCAACACTCACTGATTGTTTGTATCCAGCCGTCCAGTACCTGCCGCTTCTAACTCACGTCCTCGGACAAAGATACCTCCTATAGGTGGCACTCTTACCATCTCAATTACCGAAATCAAGCCTTCCCGATCCCAGGGCCCTGCACGCTCGCCCACAGCGGAGGTTTTGTGTCAATTACAACAGCAATCCAAAATCGGGAGTCTACGGCCGTCGGATGAAGTTGAAAGTCTCCATTTTCATGTCCGCTGGGAGCCTGCCCTGGGAGCTCTTGGTGTCAACATTTCTCCCAATGTTCCTGAAGGCCATTTGACAATCGTATGCTATTCTCTTGATCTATTCTGCTGTCTCAACCCAAGTCAGGATGCCTCCCATCTCGACTTTGAATCGCTGCTAAATAGGGTGCTTCGCCAACACACACACGAAATTTTGTCACATTTCAAGCTACTTCTGCAACACGGTCATCGCCACAGTATATTTTCAGCACCAGGCGTGGTTGAGATCGCGGTGCACGGTGTGTTGGCTGTTAACAAAGTTATTCTCTTTCGAACCCCGTTTTGGCAGAGCAAAACGAGGTTTTGCGTGTTAACCTGTGCGCCGATGCAGTCGTTCTGATATCTTTGGATTCGCGGAGCGGTCGGCTGGGTATTAGGGACACGAGCGATTTGGCTTCGCCCGAGAAGGAGCCGCACTTCAAATACCTCTCAGCTATCATTAATGAAGAACCCCCGCTCCTCTTCGGCCATTTGTTGAGACTACGCTATCAGGTAAGTTATCTGTTGATCTGTCCATGCTACTTGCTCTGAGCTGCTTGAAGACGATAACAGACTTGGTAATGCAAAAAGCTGTCTATCTTGGGCTGCAGTGCTTCAAGCGCCGCAATTTTATTACCAATGGTGTGTCGATTGTTAGACCAGCAAGTTGTAACTGAACAAAGCAGAACTTGGCAAATTGGGTCCCACCACTCGCGGTGCAGTTTTTGTGAAACTCGCCAACTTTCCGACGCACTATCTTGTGCTTGTTATTGATGACATCGATTTCCGATATGCATTGATCTCGACCGAGGTCGAACTGGATTCGCCGTTCTCCAACCTCCTTATGCGTGATGTAGCGTGGCTCGATATTGATCGTCTTCGAGGCCAACCTCGGATAAGCAACGCGTCAGACGCAGGCTTCAACCTTGACGTTCAACTCCTTCGCGAATTGTACGACTATTGCTGGTATGGCCTTTCGAAAATTAGTTTCCTTCAACCTAACTATTGGACAGTGCTCGAGTCGCTTATATGAAAGTTGAATCACAGTTCAAAAGCTTGGGTATCAAAGCCGATTACGTTGACCTGGCGCCTCAAGATCCTCTCATTCCTGGCTTGGACCATGTGCAGTCCTCTCTCGCCCGCTCTGTCCCGGGCCTGCTTGTCAAGGCCGACGAGATTCTCTCTGGAGCACCTGCAGCTGAAGCTGCGATGCCCAATATCAGGGTTATCGCGCTTAACTGGTGGTCAAACACTCGAAGCGCACAGGTGGCAATTTTGGAAATATTGTTGCTCGCTTGCTTACAGCTTTAGGTTATAACCTGCGTCAAGTTGAAGTATGTTCAACAGCCCGTAGGGAAAAGCGCAACTTCAAGCTCTATCATCCGTTTTTCCAAGCGAATCATATACGACACTACTACTGCCGTCGTATCGTTTGTTTCGGAGGACGTCAATACCTGCGTTCCTGAGTTTCTTGAAGAGTGGGCTCGAGTGTCCAAAATGGTCGTCATCGCAAGAGAAGGTGGGTGGTCAATCCTTTAGTGTCAACCCATCGAGTCAAATCATCTCAATAGTGGCTCGAATGTCCAAGGAGAAGATGTGGTCAGACGTTCGGCTGTTATCTTTCGACTTGCAAACAGTCTCCTTTGCTTATGCTTCCGTCTGTTTTTTATTTGCTCCATTCCCTGTTGCATTGACTGCTGTTGCAGGACTATATTGTCGCCATTTCTTGCGAGGATCAAGTGTCGACTGGTGGAAAGTTCGATCTCCGTTTCTCAAGATGTGGTCCAGCAGCTGAGATGACGAATCCTCACGATTCCGCTGAACCCTTCCTCTCCAACATTCTTCGTGCTGGACAAGGAACATTGGCGCCGTCGCTCCATCGGCTCATCACATGTCTACGTGAAACGCTGCCTATCGCCATAGGATTAGCCGAGATTCAAGAGAAAAGTCAAGGGAAAGTTGATACCTTCGCTAAAAGTGCTGGATGGTATCGATTGCTGTTCGTGGATGCCAGACATGCTCTCGACTTCAGGTTGATGAGTCATCATCGTATCGCCATCCTTGATGGGTCGCATTCGGTTTATGGTGTTCCATCGTCGGCTCCAGAGGACAAGACATTGTCCCTCTGTCTGCAGCCTATTCCCCGTATCGAAACACTCATTCTCAATGCACTCCGAACCCTCGACTCTTCAGCTTCGCATGGCAAGGTCGTTCTTCTCAGTTATGGGGTGATTTGTGAGACGCAGTTGGTACGGACGTTGGGTCAGGCAATTTATACTGCTATTTCCGAGACTATTAAATAGTGTATTATGAACTTGATCGTGGTTTGTGGAACATGTCGCCAAAAAAACCTGATTTCCGCTGGGGAATATCTGGCGGTGGGGCGGCATAGATCGCAGGGTTATTAAGCTGGGAAGGTGAAGGAGATATCGTAGGTCGAGTAAGTCTATTGATTGGAGGTATTCGTGCGTTATTCGCTGTAACGTTCACAGTATCAGTCAGGAAGTGGTGGCCATGTTCACCGACCTTTCTTGTCCTCTTTTCGTTTGGACTCCTCTCGCTTTTTCTGCTCTTTCCTACTTTCTGGTTTCACCTCGGTGACCGGAAGCTTCGGGTCAGTAGTACCTTTGGCCTTGGGTTGGAGTTCTGGCATCGGGATTTTGCTGAGATGAACGGTGAGGCTTTCGGGTGGCTTGTATTTGTCCTCTGTCATATCGTCCAGGTTTATGCGACGTGGGCCTTTACGGGGTTGTGTATCGTGCAGGACGTATTGATGGAGCTCTTGGTCGATTCCTATGAAGGATGACCAAAAATCCAGAATTGCGTCAAGTTGTTCTACCTACCGGCTTTATGTCGGATCCGCTTCGTCTCCTCGACGACCTGAAGGACCTGAGGGACATATTACTAGGTAAATGTAAAGCTAGGGAAATGGCTGAGAGACCTTGGGAACGTGTTCCGACGAATCTGACTGCACTGTTATGAACAGCATGGCATCGTCCTGGATCATACTGATTAATTGGGGCATCAATTGGTTGAAATATGCACCTCAAACAGTTTAGAGCAATATGCGCCATAGTCTTCGACGCTGCCTTCGTCCGCAACGGTAACTTCATTGAATTGATTGCGGAGCGCTTGCAGCTCCGCTATCCGGTCGATGCCCGTCCTTTGTGGTTTCGGAGGAAGCTCCGGCACTGGCCCAGCAACTGGAGACGTCGGCGCCATGGACACTCGACGCGTCATCGAGTTGAGCGAGTCGGGCGGTGAGTGGTAGATGTCATTTTGGTCATGGAAGGTTAACAGTGCGGCGAGAATGACAATTTCGAGTCCTTTGCGGTCCTGGACGTCGAACCGGTTGATGTTGTAGTCGAGGATTTGGATAGAGGTGGTTTTCAGGCGGCCTGGAGGTTCTTTGGTGAGAGCCACCAGCACTGGGGGGTCTAGTTACAAGTTTCGCGTTGCGGTGAGCACGTGCCGTCGAGGATATGCCGTGCACCTACCTGGTTTCCGCAGAAGATAGCATTCCTCGCGTTTCCACTCAAACTCATGACTGCATGATTGAACACGAGTGTATAACAACGAGACGAGGTACACACTCTTCCCATTTGAAAGACCATCGGAAAGTCAAGGTTCCGACCGACTTGAGATCTACGGTGGCTGAAGGGTTGGAGAGTTCGAGGACTTTTGCCTTGCTCGTGGCTGATGGAGCCGTTACGGACTATGGTTTGTGGCATGAGAGAGAGGTTGAGTCGGCAGGAATGACGCTTCTTACAACAAGCAGAGCCTCGGAATGGGGATCTGAGTTGGCTTAAGTGGGAAGAAGTATTAGTGAGGCCAGGTTATTATTCACCGTAGATCTGCATTAGGTAGAACTGCCCGGCAGTTCGCTGCTTTCGATAGTGCACGTTTCCCATTGGATCATGGAGGTCAACAACATTCGGATTCTTGGTGGAAGGCGTGACAATGAGGGTAAAGAGGTTCTGGTCGAGACTCATGGATGTTTGGAGGTAGGCTTGAATCGCGCCGGACTGCGGTGACAGGAGCGGTGCAGGTCATTGATCCACCGCATCAATATGTCAATGAGATAAAATTTGATTGTCAGTCACTACAACTATCGGACTCAAACAAAGCAAGCGAAGCAGCGCGCGGATTCCGCGACGCGCCAGTTGGTTGTGGGATACGCTTTTGCGATTTGACTTGCGCACGATCACTTCCCCGATCCACAGCTCCAAAATCGAATTCCTCGCCCTCAGAAGACACATTAGCAGGTTTTACTCTTCGTTTGCTTCTGCTTTTAGTCGGTTCCTGATCTTCATCGCTGTCCGATAAAAATAGCGCATCCTCGTCGCCTTCAGGGTCCGCGACCATTCCAGCACGACGAAACGAGCCATGAACAATATTGCCCCAGAGCACATAGGTGCCACATCCAACGCAATTCCCACCCCGTGGTAGGATTCCAGATGAGGTCGACGCTTTTGTAAGGAATTTTTGGGACAGACAGGTCAAATGTGCGATCGAAGAGCATCCTGAGACTGGGCAGAGTGCGGTTCGTAGCGCTTCCTATTACAAATTAATGCTGAACCGACCAAGGACTAGTCACAAACCGTGTTGTGGCTTGACAGATTTTCGCCACAGATGCTGCATGTCAGTTGTTTCCCTGAGGCAGCAAGAGCATTATTTTTCGCAAGAAGAGCTGAGGTAAACAAGCCGTCGTCAACTAAGATGGGACCGTCGCGTCCTGATCCTGCTTTGCCTGACCGGCCATTGACACCCTCGAGCTCGACTTGACAGGTAAAGCCCACGGGCAGGACTGGCGTCACTTGTTCAGCTGCTTTCCAGTCTCGAACCGCGGCCTCGGTGAATAATTTGACGTGAAGACTGTATGAGGCCCAATAGGTGGCAATCATGAGTCGCACTGCTCTGTGGGTTGGATAAAAAGACAAAGTAGTCTTATGCTCCCTTACTTACCGGATATGAGCGCGCATTACTCTCGCGGGAGACAATAATGGCTTCCCCTCAGCATCTCGCAAGTGGCGGCTCTTGTGTGAATGTTGCCAGGCCCATTCAAATTGTAACGCGGTTAATTTAGAAGGAAAGCCGTAGACGATCATTTGCATAATCCATGGTCTCTTTGACTTGGTCTTGAAGGCGCCTATAGGCAGTCAACGTGGCAGAGAATCGATTTAGTAGTGTGACGACCTTGGGTTAGTTCTCCGTTATGCTGGCTGGAAGGCATACTTTGAGGAAGCAGTATATTCCAAACGAAACACGCACCGGATACGCTTCGGGGGATTTGGCGTGCTCCCAATGTACGTGCTAGTAAGGATTAGACGAGTGGAAGGTGAAGAAGACGATGTACGCGGTGGCTGCTGGAGTATGAACCGATTTGAGAAGATAACAGGCATAAAATGACGGATAGCTATGGATTGATCGAGGCATGAGGGCAAGGGAACTAGTGATCACATGACCGCAACAAGTTCAAGGCGACCAGCGAATGGCAGCTTGGTTTGGAAAGCAACAGGATAAAGCGATCTGGAATCATCAGCTCTCCCTGAGAAGGACCTTGCAACAACACCTTTTGAAATAATGTTGGTGGAGGGGCTGTTTGCCATCACAAGAATATCTTGACCGCGACTACCATCTGTGTTGGCTCCTTCCTCTCACTCTTACTCACTCTCGACACCGACGAGGCGAGCGCAACTTTATGTTGATGCCCGGTTAGAGTAGTCGAGCGGACCTCCGTCGGAATATACCGGGCTGTGATTGCAGCTCGGGAGATCGAGGATCGCCGAATGTTTGGGACTGCTATAAAACTCAAAGCCCCTCTCCGCTTTTTACGACCCAGATTGTCACACTCCATTCTTCTACCCAACCACCACCACCACCACCACCACTCCACCATGGTCCTACCCCATCAAACCCCATATGTCACCCCACACATCCTCCACAAGAATTATGCCCAGGCGCACGACTCGGAGGCCTACAGCACTCGTATGCTCGTTTATTACTCTCTCTTCGTTATTCCTCACGGATCTTCAGTCATCGGCCGCGACCTCGAGTATTTCTCGCATGCTGGCTTCGACATGGACCGCATCCAAATCAAACGCAATGCTCCGGTCGCGCTCCTGTATGAAGACGCTATCCGTAACGAGGGCGCGATTATATCATCTTCCGGAGCCCTCATCAACTTTTCTGGCAAGAAAACTGGCCGCAGTCCCAAGGATAAGCGCATCGTCTTTGAAGAGACTAGCAAAGACGACATCTGGTGGGGCTCCGTTAACATTAAGATGGACGAGCACACTTTCGAAATAAATCGCGAGCGTGCCATCGACTACCTCAATACCCGCGACAACGTCTATGTCTTCGACGGCTATGCTGGGGTGCTGTACTTTTATGCTCGAAAGCCTCCACTAACAACACCATCATGCAGTGGGACCCCAAATATCGAATTAAGGTCCGGGTCATTTGCGCCCGAGCTTACCATGCGCTGTTTATGGTACGTCACTGTTACTCCTTCCGTTAGTTCCGTCTCCTAAGCGGAACCCGGATAGAATAACATGCTCATCCGGCCCACCGAAGAACAACTTGCCGACTTCGGAGAGCCTGATTTCATAATCTACAATGCCGGCCAATTCCCTGCGAATCGATTCACCAAGGGTATGAGTTCCACAACTTCGGTAGAGATCAACTTCAAGCGCATGGAAATGGTCATTCTCGGAACTGAATATGCTGGCGAAATGAAGAAAGGTGTTTTCTCGGTCATGGTCCGTGGCGTTTATTTTTGCCCAACGCCCATCCATCTCACAGTCATTCATGTAGCACTACCTGCAACCCGTCAAATTTGGTCAACTTTCCCTTCATTCCTCCGCCAACGTCGGTATCGAGAAAAATGATGTCACGCTCTTCTTCGGGCTCTCTGGCACTGGCAAAACGACGCTTTCAGCCGACCCCAACCGTCTTCTGATTGGTGACGATGAGCACGTTTGGTCCGATACTGGTGTCTTCAATATCGAAGGGGGCTGTTATGCCAAGTGCATTAACTTGTCTGCTGAGAAAGAACCCGAAATATTCAACGCTATCCGCTTCGGCAGCATACTCGAAAATGTTGTTTACAACCCCGTCACACGCTTCCCCGACTACGATGATGTCAGCATAACGGAAAACACACGTTGTGCCTATCCAATCGAATTCATCCCCAATGCCAAAATACCATGCCAAGTTGACCGCCAACCTTCCAACATTATCATGTTGACCTGCGACGCTTTTGGAGTTCTGCCTCCTGTAAGCAAGCTCAGCCCTGAACAAGCGAGCTATCACTTCCTTGCCGGCTACACGTCGTAGGTTTCTTTTAATAACTACTACTTGTCAGTACTCAAATATGACCCCCCCCCCAAGGAAAACGCCTGGTACTGAGGATGGCGTATTAGAACCCATCCCGACCTTCTCGACGTGTTATAGCGCACCGTTCATCGTCCTCCATGTGCGTGTTCAGTTTACTGTTGTAATGATGACTGACTGTGTTCCAGCCCGGTCGTTACGCCGAGATGCTTGCGGAGCGTATGGCCAAGCACAACGTCGATTGCTGGCTCATCAACACTGGCTGGACTGGGGGAAAGTACGGGACAGGCAGCCGATGCCCACTCAAATACACACGCGCCATTGTCGACGCCGTTCACTCTGGCTCCTTGTCCAAGGCCGAGTTTGAGAACTTTGGTGTCTTCAACCTCCAGATTCCGACGGCTGTTGAGGGCGTTCCCCGTGAACTGCTGAACCCAGAGTTGGCATGGGCAGACAAGCAGGCCTTCCAACGGGAGGTGCGCAAGTTGGCCGGGATGTTTTCCAAGGCGTTTGCGTTGTACGAGAAGGATGTTGATGAGAAAGTTCGTGCGGCGGCCCCACAACTTTAAGTAATCGTATATCGGACGCTAAACACTGTAATTCTTCGAGACATAAACAAAGCTTAGATAAAGTGTTGTTGTTGTTGCCCACTGTTATAATTATTCAATATTATGTCCTGATCTGATTAGTAATTAACGCGAAGGAATTCATTTATTTCTCCTCTGCGGACTAAATCTAATAAGTGGGAACTACGAGTCTGGCTTTGGAGTGGTAGCTAGAGATGTAGCGTCTGCTAACAAAGTGTCTGTCCGTTGTTCGATGGGAATAGCAGCAGCAGTTGCAGCAGGTTCAGGGACGTCTCCCGTGTCTCCTAACGGGCTACTTTTGAATCTCCCACGGGGCGTAGCAGGAACGCGAGCGGCCCTGCGACCAGCACCAGCTCTCAGTAGCGCCTCGAGAGATACGTCATTCGGAGGCGCAAGCGAGGCGTTGTTGTTGGCTGCTTCTGGTCGAGGGGCAGTTGTGGGTTCGCCTGGCTCCGCAGTGAGAGCACTTGGTGCCGTGGTGTCATTCGCATTACGTTGAACAACAGGAACGCTGCGGGAGCGGAAGAAGTTGCGACCGCTGGTGAGCAGTCCTGCAGGGTGCTTGTCCTTGGTCGTTGAGTGATGTTGAAAATTAGCACCTTCCTCATCAAACTCGTCAAAGATCTCCTCTCCGATGAGCTAGAGTGATGTCAAATGAGATCCCCGGGTTATCAACGCCGCGCACCTCTTCAAGCACGTCCTCGAGCGATATAATGCCCAGGGGCATTACTGCTGGGTCGAGACCTTGCAAAAACTGTTGAAATTTGAATCAGGCACACTAGGGGCGGCAGCACACACACCTCGTTCGCATCGGCCTTGCCCAGCACCGCGTCTGCAGGCATGCTTTGTTCCAGATGGACAGTCACGCCCTTTTCGGGATCGGCACCGTAATCTTTTACCACGACGTCCTCAGCACTGCTCTTTGTATTCTTGGCTTCCTCCTTGGTACTCCCGTCCGCGCTTCCCTTCTTGGTAATCTCATTATCCGAGTCACTCTCCGAGTCGCTGTCGCTGATCCCAACTTTCTCGCGCAACCGTTGAGTGAGGCCCCGCTTTACTGCTTTCTTGACACTACGCGCCTTCTCCACACTAAAGCGGCTAACAATTGCAATATGCGAACGACCCTCTTGGAATTTGTCAAGAATCCCGAGCAAGCTTTGGTTATTAGGTACGAAAGGGACCATGTTTAGCGGAACGGTGCGCAGAGGGACGGCGTCTGAAGGGTGCTGAGTAAAGTTGAATTTCTGGGCAAAGGGTGATACCTTTGGGGTCGAGAAGCACAAGCTGCTTGACGAGCAGGATGCCAAGAATTTTCTTTACTTTTTTCGGCAACTCAGATTGCTTGGTGGATGATGCATCGGCAACAAGGACGGTCACAGGTGCGTCTACCTCCTCATAAACAGGGATGCGACTATGACCGGTAGCGACAACCTGCTTGAGCAGCTCGTAGTCGAGACGAGACTCGATATCAAGCATGAAGACATCCTCGATGGGAGTCATGGCATCCTTCACCGTCTTTTCCTGGAGGTCAAGTGTCGCGCCGATGATCGTGACCGTATCAACTTGGAGATCTCCACCGTGTTGTTTTGTGTCCGAGTGCATGGCAATGAGTTCTTTAAGCTCTACTCTTGTTCAGTCGGTCAAGCTTTATATTTGGATACTAACGAACCGGTACGACGATATATGATGCCATGATGTTGTCCGAGGACGAATTCAAGTAATTTGGCGACGGGCCAGGATATAATTCCCTATTTGGTAATTGGTCTCAACCCCAAGTTGACAAGATGTGCTGACCAATGCATAGATGAGGCACTGTGTCAAAGGTGCGCCTTTAGCTCCGAGATAAAGACCGTGACGAGTAAACAGCGACTGGGGAACAATCTCTGAGAAGCTGGAATATTATAAAGCAAAGTTAACGGAGTTGGAAAGACCTCATACATAATGATCAGGACCGTACTGACGACCACGGCCTGGACACCTACGTTCTAATTTGAATGCTACTCCTGGGAAGCGAGGATAGAAGACTTACCACCACCGAGGACTTTGTCAGCGAAGATAGGTAAACTTTCGTTGACGATCATGTTGGCCAGGAGCAGGGTAACAAGCAACAGATGACCATTCTTGCGGACAGGGATGATTTTCTGTGCGTATTTCCGTTGTTCGCTGGGAAGATGCGGTCAGAAAATGATTGAGAACGGAGTTATAAATGTACGGAGTCCCACTGAGAGCAAGAACGTTTAGCTGAGTTTGGTCCAAGCTCATGTAACCAAGAGTTAGCCCTGCGAAACTCGAGTGAGAGCTTAAACGGAAAAAATAGATGGAACGCACCAGCGAAGAGGCCGGAAAGCAAGACAAGCACGGGCTAAGGGAAGGTTTGTTTATAGTAAGGACCAGAGGCAGAACTTACGATCAAGACAGCAAAAACAATATCTCTCTTGGAATGAGGGTCAAAACCAGCCTCGCGCTTTGCAAGAACGTGGCGAGCCGGACGGAAATAGGCATTTAAGGCGCCAAAGAGGGTGTAGAACAATCTAGTTGAACCATAGCTAGAACGCAATGGGGGCATAGAAAGAGAAGCAGTTGTGATGGCAGGTTCCGATCAGACTTTGGACATAGATATTGGTATTGAGCTGCTTTCCCGTATTTTAAGTATGACCCCACAAATGTTCGGAGGGAGCTTGAGGCCTTAACGGCTTGGTCTTCGGGGCAGTCGAATCGCCGTATGACCGCTCAAAGACGTACCTTGGTTCACCCATGACGTGATTGAAGCCACACTATTTATGCTGCCGCGCAGCCAATTGATTCTTGAAACCGCACCTCCACCACCCTTCACTTACCCTCCACCATGTCCAGCTCTTGGAAAGACGGTAGTCTTTTTGTCACCTCCTCCTACTGACATTCTCATCGAGAGTTAGGCATTCTCCTCAAGCTCGTGAACATCCTCTTTGTATTTTTGTTCCTGGGGTCGAATATTTATACCTACGCTTCCGGGACATACTACGGTGGAAAGGAGACCTATATTACTCCTGCTCCATGGGCGTTCCTTATTTGGTCGCTCATCCATCTCCTCCTCCTTGGTACACTTGTGTACCAATTCACGGCAGCTGGCAAGTCGGTGGTCATCGACGGCATTAGTTGGCGATTCCCTCTCTTGGTTGTCCTCAACTCAATCTACGTGTGTTACACTTTCCCCTGCTTTCGAGACTCTCAACACCTCGTAGGTTAATTTCTGGGGAAAAGGACATTACGTCATTGCCTTCATTTTCTCCCTCTTCGTGTCTTCGGCTGTCACCGTGAGTCCATCTTCTGGAATGTCTTCGCCGGAGCAAACATTGCTTTCCAGCACATCTACTATGTCGTCAAGAAATATCACGTTGCGGAGTCCTTGGGCGACGAACTCTTTGTCCACCTTCCCTTCTCGTTATACCATGGGTGGACAACTGTTCTTGTCGTTATAACTGCTTTCCAGGCTTTCGGCGGTTCGTCTTGTCCTTGATGATCCTCAATAGCTTTCTTATCTCGCACTAGTCAACTCACAAACCCATGGCGCTGGGATCTGGACCAAAGTTTTCGTATTCCTGGCTTTGTAGGTTGCTATAGCTCCAGCTCTTATTTCGCTGACCTTGTATAGGTTCTTCCTTGAAGGCACAGCAGCGACATACTCATTCTCATCGGTGGAGGGCGACCTTCCAGCTTCCATCGCCATTGCGTGGTCCCTGTTTGCGATTTTTGCCCAGCAGAACGGAAGCGGTTTCGTTCACTGGAGCTCTTTGGTATTCGCCATCCTCGCCCTTGTCTGGGTAATCAAGGGGGCCTATGGTGTCTTTGTCAGGAGCCGTGGGGGTGTTCGTCTTGATGATGCTGAGCGTGCGCCACTTGTTGGAGGTGCATGACAGCTGTAAGTAACTCTTCAGTGTGAATTAAAAAAAATGTTCAATTTCTATGTACAAGTACATTTATAAAAACCTAGAGTGATTTGGGTAACTCGTCAATGACTTGACGAATTATGTCCCGGGTCGGCAACTCGTCGTACAATGCTCGATTGCAGGCTCGATTTGTACACTTGGCAGTCCAGCATGCTTTGGCTTCAGGCCAGTCTGTTAGGCCGATGTTGACGATTGAGTCTCCGGCAGGGCGAACCTCCATCTCCGACACAATTCGGTATTTGAGTTCGCCTGTTCAAGTAAATAACGAAGCTCAAGTAAGGATCCAGGGGAACCTACGCCATGTGTGATAATCAATAGAACAGTGGCAGGCGTTGCATTGAGTGGGAGAGATGTTGTCCGAAGGCACAAACGGAGGCTTGTTCAGTCGATCTCGCAGCCTACACAGCAAGGGTTGCAGGAAGAAGTATATCAGTTAGGATACGAGCTTACGCTTCCTTGCGTGAGTGGTGCAACTCCAACAGGTTCAATAGAGCATCCGTCGACAGTCGGCGTAGCAGTGGACGCAATTCTGGGTCATGAAGATTATGAGTTAAAGTTTGGGTCGAAGCAAGTTGCGCTTCGGCCTGCCAGTTATAGCGACAGGCGATTGTGTACAGGCGGAATGCGTTGTTCATAAGAGGCGGGGTCATCACGAGGAGGCGTAGGATCGAAATAGGCCCTGCCCTGGGTAGGTTTTGAGGCTACGAATCAAGGAATGTCGAGGCGGCGTACATTTCGTATTTCTCTGCGGCAAACAGGATGCTGTCGACAGTGTCATAGTCGGTGATTTGGGAAACAGGGAGACCGCAAATCATCCTCAAGAGTAGTTCTAGTGTGACATGATCTTCATCCATATAGATGACATCGATGGCCTTTTGCTGTTGAGGCAGAGACAGCATGGCGCGAAACCAGGAAGATGTCGTCTTCAACACAAAAGAATGGACTCGGAAGAAAAGTGTGCTGTCACGAGCTGCCAGAACAATATCGCCATCTGGAGAGTTGAAGTCTTCGTGGAACTCGATATGAATTTCCTCGAGCTCAGACTTGACTGAAGATGGTGATAATGTCCTGTTATCCATCCTAGGTGATGGGAGGTGTTGAGTTTGAGGAGGTCACGCGCGAATGACGAGCGCAAGTTACCAGTATATTATATCTAACCACCACTGGCATGCTTCTACTACGTCCGACTTCCTTCCATACTGCTCCCCGCAACGTGTTTCGTCGTCTCATGTCCTACAACTACATCCTCGTCGCGAAACCGGAGCCCTCAGTCTCCCTAATCACGCTCAACCGGCCCAAAGCTCTGAACGCGCTTTCGTCTCCGTTATTTGAAGAATTGAACAAAGCTCTGAAAGACGCAGATGACGACGACGCAATCGGCGCCATCGTGTTGACCGGCTCTGAAAAGGCTTTTGCTGGTACGTTCTTGGGGTGATATCTGTTCTCTCACTTACTGTGTGGATAGCTGGAGCGGACATCAAGGAGATGCAAAACAAAACTTGTTAGAACTTTCACCTGCTGCTGTTCATTCTTTTCATTCTTGGTATGCAGACGCCGACGCGTTCAAAACACGCTTTCTTGGGGACTGGGCACAACTATTTACCATTCGGAAACCTATTATCGCTGCAGTTAGCGGTTACGCTGTTCGTCATCAGTTCCCCCCCTAATCACGCGTCCGTTAACTTCTACCTAGTTGGGTGGGGGTTGTGAGCTTGCGCTCATGTGTGACATTATCCTTGCGTCGCCGACAGCCAAGTTTGGTCAGCCCGAGATAAATCTTGGTGTTATTCCCGGAGGCGGAGGCTCTCAGCGCCTTGCCCATGTCATCGGAAAGTCACGCACTATGGAGTTGGTGTTGACTGGTCGCAATATCTCAGCTCAAGAGGCAGCGGCTTGGGGAATGGTGAGCCGTGTTGTAGGCGAAGGAGAGGGCGAAGTTGTCCGAGAAGCTGTTGAGATGGCGAAGGTTATTTCGAGCAAGAGCCAGATCGCAATACAAGCTGCCAAAGAGGTCGTCAATGCCGGTATGTTCATTCATTCTCGGGGGTCTTGCAATTTCTCATGTTTTTCACCAGCTTATGAGCTCAACCTTGCTGAAGGACTTCGCTTCGAACGCCGTATTTTCCACGGGTGTTTCGCGACAAACGATCAAAAAGAGGGGATGGAGGCATTCTCAGCAAAGCGGAAGCCCACCTTCACTCATTCATAAGTGTAGTTGAAATGCGTGTGAAAAAAAGAAGCATTGAATTATTTCTGTTGTGGACCTTCACTATGCTGGCCTGCCGCCGACCACTCTCCCTATATCGACAGTTCAGATGCCCAAGGATGGCTTTCAGAGCTATGTCGGGACTATCGTATGCTTTTATTGCACGCGACCTCCGTTCTGTTTGTTTTGATGTTTGGCTGTAGATCTTGGGACCATGTCTTCGCCGAACTCAAAAGCTCTCCGCCCTCTATTCCTGCTCTCCCGGGTGTCGGACCGCGGCGCCCGCGTCGACAAACAATGACAGCACAAGAAATGACCGCCTTCAATGAAATTTTCAATCTTATTTTCGAGTCTATGGAGTCCAAGTCCGCAACCCCTTCTCCTGCAGTCGACTTGGCGGGCGAGGGAATGGGAGACTTGTTCAGCACACTCCGAAAGCACTCCAAGCGCATCAAGTGGACAGCGGTTTCTGAAGAGGCGCTCGACCTGAAGCGGGACGAAATGGATCGCTGCGGGTCAGATCAAGAATTGCTGGAATGGGCTTTGCGTCGCGTCTTTGGCGAGTCACAACAGTACGAGAAAGCATTCATGGAAGCCAAAGCTGCAGATGATGGGACTGAGCTCCCGATGCTCCAACCACCAACATATCCACATTTTGTCGCCCTCCTCATCCGTACATTCCGTGACAAATATCGAGACCCGCATTTGGCCCTGTCGATATTCGACTACGCTCGTCATCTTTCCATTGCCTCTTATGTTTTTGGATGCTCGACAAAAGCTTATAATGAACTCATCCAAACTCGATGGGATTACTTTCGGGACTTGAGAGGTGTACACGCTGCTTTGGAGGAAATGCACTTGAACAGTGTCGATATCGATTCAAGGACGCGACAACTGGCTGAGAAGGTTAGGAAAGATGTTGGTCAGCAGAATCTCTGGGTAGAGGAGAACGAAGTTGGTCTAAATGGTGTATGGGATATGCTGCATAACATCGAGCAATTGGCTCACGATGCGACAACAAACCGACCTGTTCGTCACGTTGGGCCGTGGAACAGGTGGAAGGCGCCGGAGGGAGACAGCGATATGAATTGGCAGTTCGATAAATGGTAATACACATTAGTAGTAGTACTAATAGCCAGGGCGTCGGGGTGCAGACTTGGCAGTGGTGAGGCCATGGACAGGCTTGTAAGATTCGTCGGTGGCTCCACAGTTGAGATTAAGTAGGAGATGATACACAAACAATTGCTCGTATTGAGCGTTGGTAAAGACGACCGACATTGAGTCGGAGTTGCAGCGAAGGACGTTGGGAGCCATGACAAGGGCAATGTTTGCTGGGGTCATTTTGGTAATGACCTGAACCTTGTCCTCTAGGAAGAGTTGCAAGAAGCTGATCATGAATAAAATCACCCGGCGGTTGATGGTGGGCAGTCGCTCGACGATGCCTAAGCAGGCGACGACATCCTTGGCACTCGTGATACACTCATTGTACATTTCTTCGGGGACCAGAGGATCGCACAATTCTCGCAGCCACAGCTTCATTAGTGACGCAAGGACGTGCGGATCATCGACTCCGTCTAAAGGTAACAGTCAATGCCTCGTAAAAACAAGATCATCTCAATCCACCAACCTAAGGTATAGTAGCCCTTGTCGATGCGGAGTTTGAGTTCAGACACTGCGTCATTATCACCTGGAACTCGGAATATACCTTCGGACTTGGTACCACCCAAAGCTAGAATGCCGTCGGCGAGGAATGGTAGGATAATGGGTATCTTTTGCGAAGGATAAGTTCGCTCTTGTAGTCTGAATATGGCGTCAAGCGACTCTCCAAACGTGGAGGGGTTGAATGCAGCATCAGACGCTGTTTCGATTTCCGATGCCATGGGAGGTTTTCCCCTTGGACCTTTCTTTGCAATGTAGGCCAATTTTTTAAGACAATACTTGGCCATGATATCAACACGACCTTCGGATTTTGCTGTATGCTGTTGGATGAATAGGCGTAGATACGCCTCAAAGTTCTTAGAGGGTGGAAATGTGACCAAGAGAACGCAGAGCAGTTGCCAACCTTTGAAGAGGCTTTCGGCACTGGGGTTCGCCGTCAGTTGCTTCATCAATTGACAAAAAACCTCGTCTCTTAGTTCGCCGTGAGCGAGCCCCTCGCCGAGTAACCAACGTTCCTCCTCGATTATGGCGGCTCCGTTCATTACCAGCGATGTTGAAGAGGCATTGATGGGCGCTGCCGGGGTCTCATTGCTTAGACGGACGCCGACTGGCTTATCACGATCCCTATCTCCCATTATGTGCTGAATAACTTTGAATATTTTGACAGCATCTCTGTGGAGAGATCGCCTCAGCGTGAGGAGTGGCGTATTAAGTGGCGTCTATTGTCGAGTTGATGATGAGAGCAAAGTTGAATAGGACAGGATTGATTACCTTTTGCCACTGCATCATCTGCGCGACGGGCACTCGTCTTCGGAATATGAACCCGGTGCGATGAGTAGAAAAATATCGTCTTGCGTATTCAGATTCAGAGAATTGTTGAATGTCAGACGCAAGGGCCTGCGGTAAGATTGGATGCGTTCTGCGGCGATAAATGTAAATTCGAATGGACGGCTTGTGAAAAACTGACCTAGTGCCAATTGTCCTCGTAGGTTGCGTCGGTGAAGCTACGCGAGGTGCTACGGGGATGGGATTTCCAGCGACACGGTTCTTTACTGGGCTCATTTGCAGTGTAGCAGCTGCTTAGTTGGTTAGAATAATGCTATGTAACGAGTAACAGGTATGATGTCCCACCATGATTTAGTATTGGAGCACTGATCATTTTCCTGGATGCCGTCGGCTTGCGCGCATTGGGACTGACTGGAGGAGGAGCTGGGATGGGTCGTCGCGGCACGGGGTGGACTTTGGGGCTTTCGTGACTACTTTCTGATTGCGAGGATGTGAGTAGTTCCACTGCTGCATTCAAGCTTTGCGGAGGTGGTGAGCGATGAGGGGAGGACACAGCACGGATTCGTGGGTTGCCTTCAGATGACGATTGGTTGTTATTCTTGCGGGAGGAGCTCGTAGATTTTCTAGAAACGTCGGTGGCGTCGCGAGACCCAGGAATTGTTGGCAGATTGGACAATGGTTGTGGACGGAGATGAGTGCTGTTGTCTATTGACGACGACCGACGCCTTGTGCCTTGAGCGGTATTCAAAGGGCCTGTGTAAGACCGAGATCTTCGATAAGATTGTTTGGGATCCGAGGTGAAATTCTCCGTTGTTTGTGAGAGGCGTCGGCCTAGCGCCGTATTCTTTCCAGCGCATTAAAAGTCAGGAACTGGAGCTTGGACATACACACACTTGTAATATTCCCAGTGGTATAACGAAGGCAGCTTCTGGTCGTTCCCATACCGTCTGGCCAGTGCGTGTTTGATAGTAATAGGGCATGCCACCTCGACTTTCATCTGAGAGTTCCCACCATTCACCTTCTGCACTTTGAAAAGCGTAAATTCAACAGGCCCTTGAATGTTGAGGTGGCTTACCTAGGAGGCAGAACAAAGTGATTGACTGGGGCGTCCCACGAAACCTGGCCCGTCGCAGGGCATGCATAAAATGAAGCTTGTGTCTTATTCATAGTTAGTTGAGGAGAAAGGCACAATGATTTTCACTACCTGAGGATCGCGCAAGGTGACCCAGAAGTGCTTGCCCCATTGATCGTCGTTGGTTGACACAGAGCTGAAAGACTTTTGGTATCGACGGTTCGGGGAGGGTGTGGTACTCGGCGTGGATTCAACGCTCCGTGAAATCGTCTCCGTGGCCGACATGAGCAACTTCAAAAAACCCGATCATTTCTTATGTAATTCACAGAACGATTTGTGCGTGTTGCACAAAATTCGTCAGTCTCTCTCTATCTCTTTCGTCCCCCTCAGCAATCCTCGCATAGAGCTTCGATAATCCCATGTAGATTTCGCCTTCACCTTCACCAACGAAACCAGCGATCTCTTCCATCTCCCCAACCCACCGATACGCCTTAGGGATCATCTTGTTCACACGTTGAACATTCAATAGAAGACGAGACCACTGGCCTCTCACCATAGGAATGGCCTTGACGATTCGTTGCAATAATGCGGGCTGTGAAGACTTAAGCTCATGCAGCAGGGCTTCTGCCGTATTTGGCGATGACTATTTCCAGCCCTTCAACTTGTTCGACGACCGCCATGCTGTCTGTCTCACCTCGAAAGCCGCTACAAACCGTCAGCAATGTTCGCGTGGGGGGGGTTGGACAGACATAGTATCATGGTGGCGAATAGGCCCGTAATTCCCTTGGTTATTCCCTACATATTGTGAGGATAACAAAACAAGCGCCTCACTGGCACGCACCGCGTAGGACATCTTCAGTGCACTCGCATCACCTACGCCAGACTCATTTCCCCGAAGTAATGAGATCTTCAGTCCCACTTGGGACAAACTCTCGAAACGTGCCAACGACGAGTCTTGACCAGACGCATAGAAAGTCGGGTTATAACCATCATCCGTCGGAGGTCCACCAATGATGCAGGCATCGATGAATTGGATCTGCGTCGAGCTAAACAAGGCAGCTATTTCTCGGACGGTCGAAGGATTGACAGCATTACAGTCCACGAAAATGGGTGCAGAAGTGATATGCGCTGAACATTCCTTTAAATATTTTTCAGCGAGTGCATAGGCGTCACTTGGCGGTAGGACAGATAGCATGAAATCACAGGAAGCTATCTCCTGGAATAAAACATCCTATGCTTGTGTTGAACTTGGGAGGTTTTGGAAAAGCAGCGTTCTACCTGCATCCCTGCTTCCTGTGCGCGTTTCCTTGTGGCCTCACTTCGATCGGTAAGATTTGTCAGTACACGGACACCGTTTCCAACTAATCTTCGCGCTATAGCTGCTCCCATGGCTCCTTGAATTTGGTTTAAAAATTTATTTGAATTGCCAAAAGATGCAATGTACCGGCCGATATCACTGCAATAGTTAAGACCATGTCCAAGAGTTTTTGCACGCAGCAGCCTGAGTGGTCTGGAGCTGAACTTGAGAGATGCTGATAAACCCACAACTCTAAAGTCACAAGGGCGGGGGCAGTATGGCGTAATGGTAACGTGGTGTTACCTTGATGGCAGGCTCATACCCAGCCCTCGTTGTAGAGCTCACAATCCTAGTACAGTCGAACCCCTCTTAAGTCATACCTCTTGGTGGAAGGGTCAAATCATGACTTTTGAGAGGTTATGACTTTGGAGGGTTAGCCAAAAAAATTAAATGAATTTATTTTTCCTTTTTTAATGATATCATAGCTGTTTTACTTGTAGGAAATCTGTGACATATGGCTATTGCATGTATATATACTGTACTATATGTAGTCAAGACCTTTTTTGTCTAATTTTGGGATAAAATCAACAGATTTATAAGTATTGATGTCATCAAAACCATTAGAAATGCCCTCTTTTGGGTGGAATCATGACTTGTTCCCCCTGATTTGGGTATGAGTTATGCCTTTTCATAGACCTATGACTTTCCCTGCAAACAGAGCTGGTGGGAGCTAAAAATCATGACATTAAAGGGGTTATGCCTTTTGAGAGGCATGACTTAAGAGGGGTTTGACTGTAGTGTAGTTTAAAGCCGAATGTGATATGATTGATTAACCGATAAATCCGAAGTGTGACAAATGTGATGGAAAAGTGTGGGTTTGCTCTACAAGAGGGCTGGCGCAATTAGCCTGGCCCGTGTTCGCGAATAGACCACTTGTATACCAGTTTGGTGGGCTTCCAGGGTGGCAGCGGAGGCAGAGGGGGTCTGGAAGGTGTCGGGACCGGAGTCGACACGTCGTTCACAGGCTGTGAAGAGGGGTTGGATGTGGAGGAAGAAAAGAGTGGTAGGCGGGGGTTACGCACGGTTCAGAGCCGGGCCGGGCTAGTTGTGCCAGCCCTCTTGCAGAGCACTCACCCCGAAAAATAATAACACTTGTCATATCATTCTGATTTAGCTCTAAAATCATTACATATTTAGCTAAAAATTATGCTCTCAGATCTGGCTGCTCTGCAACGAGGGTTGGGTATGAGCCTGCCTTGATGGTAGCCATAATGCCTGGCTCTATGTAGTTAGTTCTGAACACTACGGACATTAATGTATTTTCCGCCCCAGAAAATACACAGAAAATTTGAAATTTTCTGAAGATCTTCTGAAGATTTTCCGAGGATTTTCTGTCACGGAAAATTTGAAGATTTCCATCAATCTTCTGAGAATCTTCTGGAAATTTTCCGGGTCAGAAGATTTCTAATTTTCTGCCACAGAAAAATTTCAGAAAATGTAGTACTCGGATCTCTGATTCGGCTGATAACATTTTCCCGGCATACAAGTCAGCTATCAAGGCAATCAATCGGCATACTTAATCAACTCCAATCCTCTAATTACATTACATTGACCCACAACCAGTATACAAGGCTTTGCACATGCATGCTATTTCATATTAGCACTCTATATACAGCATTTGGACTCTCCACCACCTATCTGCCAGCCATCTTCCACCGCAACAACCATGAACCTTGCTGCTTCCCCGTCTGCCATACTCAATGACGACTTGGGAGAGTGCACGTCTTCAACCCCGTGTCGCTGGTGGATATCAAGCTGTGACAATGTGAGCATCAAGTTCTGCTTCAGAATTCACTCACAGTTCGACGACTAGAACTTTCCTCGTTGCGCTAGCAGCAGCCATTGTCCCAGCGCTGTCTCGAACAATGATGTGGCGCTACTGTACTGAGACAGGGCGTGGCCGCGCTCGATGTTGGCAGTGCCGGTGTCCAGGCCAGGTGGGTCTCTTTGTGCAACACATTGGTTTAGGGCGGGGTAGGCTTATGGCGGGCAATGGTGGAGGCCAGAACGCAGCGTTGGAGAGGCCGCGCTCACTGCTTCGAACGCGAGAAGGTCGCCAGCCTTGTGCCAGTGTATTTGTTGCCGGGACGGTGTCTTGTTGTTGTTCCCATCTATGTAGCCTCTGCCCGCGGTTGTTGTGAATGCAGGGCGGCAGGTGTTAGCGCCGAGATGCTCGAGGGATTTTGAGCGGCTGCAGGCCCCGGGCCTGGGCCTTTTGGCGATGCAGTTGAATGCCTGGCACGATCCAGTTCATGAAGGCGTCGCCGCTTGCTCTATCAGAACGGAAAAGCTATGGCAACATTAAAACTCACCAGTGCCTCGGTCCCGACTCATAATTATAACCCGTCAGTGCCAACTTCCGTGTCCTTTGACCGCGGCAGAACTGGCCAACACAACTAGTCAGCAAGACAACGAGAGGATTAAGATGCCGACTCACCTTTGTCCTCCGCCGCGCAAGCACCAACAATGCGTCTCCAGAAGCCTAGTTGGACCGGGCCAGCCAAAGCGCGAGCAGCGGCGACTCACTTGCTGCTGACAAGGACAAGTCTGCTGTGTCCCGCCGGGGCCACCTGGCCGGGCACGGCAGCGTAAATGTCGCGGCAGGTCTTGCTTGCGGCGGGGAGATGTGGCAGAGCGAGAGAGGTCAGCGACACGTGTGGACACATGCCCGGCCCTGTCCGAGGTTGCAACGGGCGCATCCCTACCTGGGCGTTGAGCAAAGTCGGAAGAGCACAGCACGTGCCCAGATCCCGCCCAACAGCAGCTAAAGTGGTGCGCGCGGCGGTTCTGGGATTAGCTGCAGCTGCCCGGTCCCAGTCCCGGTCCCGGTGCCGACGCCGCCAGTTGCTGTTGCACGTTCTTCTCTTCTTCCGCACCTCTACGCTGAGCTGCTTGCTCCTCCTCCTTTTGATTCACAGCTAATTCCTCATCCCCACTCGCCTGCCTACTTCCCCTCGCTGCCCTCATTTCTTCTTCTCCTCCGCTGTCCGCCCCCGCCGCGGCCTCCCGCCTCCTTTGCTTCTTCATCTTCCTGCTTCTCGCGCTGCTGCCGCTCCATCCATCCGCCCACGCCCGTCAGCGCCGACTACGGGTCATTCTTTCAGCTCAGAAAATACCCATGGAGCAGCGTGATCCAGTATCGGCTCGGCGGGAGATTCGGACGCGTGGCAGGGGAAGTGCAACGCTCGAGTCGTAGTAGCGCCCGATTGCAGGCCCTGTCCACGACAACACTCACAATAGTAGCATGAATGTGCGCCTGTACTGCCGTGGCCAGCTACCTACCGTAGTTGTCCGTCAAATAGACAGTGACGTGGGAGATGCTCGCTTGGGTATAGTGTACGCGAGCAGTGTTGATGAATGTCGTGAGGAGTGTGGTCGGTAGAGTGCAATGTGATATTGATTGGAGCCCAGAGCTATGTCCATTGCTGTCCTGTAACGAGTCAGCAAAGAAAAATCTCTAAAAAGGAGAAACACACCTCATAGCCAATGGCAAATTCAGCCCGCATCCAATGCACGTGCTGTTTGAGGTCCTCGCTATTCCAGCCAACATCGTTCTGTTTTGTGGAGACCGTGAGCTCATTCGGCACTCGCATCCGAGTCTACCATGACGTTTTCGGACTGAAGATAGTCCAGAGACCCAGTCGTAGCTGAAGTCCGCCTGGTTAAACGGCGCCACAATTGGCGACTGTGAAGGAATTTTTCTGTGAATAAAGCAAAATTCCAGATGTAAGTTACGCACCCAATGATAATATATCCTCGGTGGGGCGGTCAAGTGTAGACGCGTTGTCCAGGTCCGAGTCCACGCCAAGTCAGAGGTGGACTGACTCCTTGCTGGACACAGGGTCTGCGGCAGTGCGATGTGCGGGGCGGCGGGCGGGGCAAAGAGTCGAACGAGCTGGGCGTCGTGGAGATCTCAGAGATATGATGTGGGTGTGGGTGGGGACAGGCTCGGGCTGGGGGTCGACTGGAGGCGGCAGAGAGTTTTCGCGGATCGTCGCCAGCCCGAGGCAGCGGAGAGACGTGGCAGAGCGGGACAAGGGCCGCCGGGGAAGACAAGCGTGTCAGTGACACAGCCCAGCCCTGGTCCGAGGCGCGCTGCCTGGGCGTTGAAAGTCGGAGGAGCACAGCACCTCACAGCACGTTCCCAAGTCCCGCCCAGCGGCTAGAGTGGTGCGTGTGCGGCGGTTCTGCTTGAGGATGTGGGCGGGAGGAAGAAAATAGGCGCTGGATTGATTAGCAGCACGTGCCCTGTCCCCGGCGTCGACGCCGGTTGCTGTCCTTCTCTTCTTCCGCACCCAGCTGCTCATGGTCAACAGCGATGTATTTGTACTTCAATAAACACAAATCTTGCCCTTTCCGTCCTTGTCAACTTTAATAGGGAAGGACAATGTTTGAATGATTTCCTGGACACCCAGCCGACCCGGCGAATTCTGTCCACTCTCCTCCTTGTCTCCTCCGCTTCTTCGTCTCCTCAATTTCCTGCTTCTCGCGCTGCTGCCGCTCCATCCATCCGCCCACGCCCACTAACGCTGACTGCGGGTCATTCTTCCAGCTCAGCAAATACCCCTCAGGCTGCATGCGCAGCTGCGCGATCGAGTATCGGCTCGGCAGGACTGCCGCAGCGAGCTGGGTGCCCCGTGAAAGCAGAGTCGGACGCGTGGCAGGGGAGGTGCAACGCTCGAGTCGTAGTAGCACCCAGTTGCAGGCCCCGCGAGTTGTCCGTTGGATAGATAGATCATAGAACCGGTCAAACATCTGCTCGAGCTGTTCTCTCAGTGTACTAGTAGTTGCAAGACCATACTGGATGTTGAGTCCATGCGACGGCGGATGAGCGCGGGGTCTGAGTCGAGTGCTTCGATGTGATTCGTCTATAGATGATTACTAAGTAGTAAGAAAAAGCAGATCAGTCGAAGAAAGAAGATTACCGTAGGTTGGACAGCCCTCCTCATTCACCACGGAGTCAAGCAGTGACATTGAGCAGGCCAGCAAGGGGGTATCCACATTTCCTATGACTGAGACTCCCTGCTCGACGATGCGTGGGCTGCACTAGCGCTGTGCACCGGTGACCCGCGGCCGAGTTGCAGGTGTGGGCGTGCCGCGTGATTGTGAATCCACCATTGGTGCGGGTGCTGGCGGGGATGCGTCTGGAACGGGTCGTGCTGCCCCTCTTTCCGGGGTCGGTGGAGCTCGATTTACAGTGCTGTCAGACACTGACGCTCTTGACTTGCTTGATGACCTGTGGAACAAGGAGGTCGCAATGGAACACGCAGCAAAGCTTGCAAAACTGCCAGCCCTCATGTATCTTGCGCTCAACGGCACCGTCGACTGGGATGCAACGCAGAATTTTCTGCAGAATTGCGGAAGCTTGCGGGCCACAGAGCATCATTTGCCAGATTATATAATCAGTGTTTCAAAACAGTGTAACACTGTCACATACGTGTTTCTGTCGTGAGCAAACTTAGCCTCCGCCAGTGGCAGTGGTGGGCTGCTCGTAATTACTTGGTGGTCCGATACAACTTCCAGTACCCAAATCTTCTGTGGCGATCGTAAGATATGCAAGTGACACCATTTTGAATTGGAAAGCAACGCGAAAGGCTGGTTCAAGCATGAGAAACCAGAACAAGAAGTTAAGAGCACTGCTTTTGGGCGGAAGAGTAGGGAATATAAATTAATAGTCCGTCTCGCGTAATTACAAGGTATAAACGGCTGCGTAGGACTTTCGCTGCCTGCTACACCGGCCTGGGTGATATCCTGATATCTCCTGGTGGTTTTGGGGAACTTCCAGGTCTTGAAACTGTCCGAAGACGGGCGATGCGGCGGGGTTTGAAGGAGGAGCTGAAGAAAAGAGTGACATGATATCGTCCTTGGCGTTTTTCGTTGGTGCAGATGGCTCGGGGGCAGCTGGTGGGGCATGGAAATCAAGACTAAACAGGTCATCTTGGGGTTTAAAATCGAACCGCCAGCCCATGGCCAAGGAAAACTCGTCGAGACGTGGGGTGGACAGCGATTCCAGCGTGATTTTGTCCCGGTCTTCTGGGGCTGGTGTAGCCTTCAAGTTGTTCCCTCTCCCCGGCGAGTAGATGAACTCTAAATGGCGAATATCCGCGGCAGAGTTTTCCCAAAGAGTGACCAAGTTGCCGGCTGGGAGGCGACCCCATGAGAACGTAACGGCTTTGAGACGAGGCACGCTCAGTAATCCTTGCAGCGCGACGAGGTAGCGTGGGGAAACATTTCCAGCGCCATTCGCAATGTTGAGTACCAGTGCTTCGACAGGGGCATTATGAGCATCAACACTATTGCTCAGGCTCTCGATGGCGTCCTCGAACGAAATGCCACCAGTCTCAGGCTGTTCATCCGGCTGCAAGAGATCCAGGGTGATTCGGAGTCGACGAACATGTAGTATGAGATGTGGACTAGAGTTCAGTGCCGAAGCGAGAAGTTTCCACTCTGGTGATGGCAGGCGAGTGTTGGCGGCAGCTGGAGAAAGCTCGATTGGATGATACAGAGGCCGATTGGACAAATGGAGCGAGCGGAATAGATAGGCTTGGGTGGGGAAAGTCCAAGCGCGCGTAACGAGGGAACAGCGAATGAGGTCCTGTCGAGAGGTATGCAGCTCCCATAGAACAAGCTCGAGGAGTTCAGGAATAAGCAACGGGTGGTTCTCCATGAGAATTGGATGATGACGTAACTCGTTTCTGCTCGGCCGAAACTCGGTTGGATGACGTTGCCCAGCTGACATCGAAAATGGTTTGCTCCGACTCCTTGCCTTCCCCTTCATGGCGTCCTCCGCAGACACTTGCTGGGCACTTGGGCCACCTATCGCCAGAACAGGAAACCAAATTTTCCGAGTTCAAACTCGCCTGCACGAAGGAAGATTTGTACGCGCCTGGCAAAACGCGTCAATCTCTGGACGAAGCCGCCTTACTGTGTGTGGCCTATGCAACTGGGAAACTTCTGCTACTCATAACTACTACAGTCGATTTCTTCGGGCCCGCAGATTTGAAGTACCTGATGCTCTGCATATGATACGCGAAACGGAAGCTTGGAGAACAGCCAACAAGCTGGAGGAATTGTACGATACGTTGGATGTGAGCGCCTACGAGGATGCCAGGCGAGTGGTGCGCTATTCTTCTCGAATGATTATGCTCCATCTTATTCGTTACCAAGTACCACCAATGGACCGGCCGACGCGACTTGCTTGGTCGACCTGTTTATGTCTACGAGATCTCCCATCTGAAAAACAACATGTCTGCCTTCGAGCAGTCTTCCAAAATACTCCCTTCCAACCCCTCGTCCGGGGATGCCGCAACCAAGCCTATTCCAGGCAAGCTACGCGTGTTATTCGGGCTCTACGAGAACATGGCCGAGTTTGTTCTGCCACTTTGCACGGCCGTCAAGTCTCGGCCAAACCCCGAAACGCCAATAACATCGACAGCGCATATCGTTGATGTCAGTGGAGTCGGGCTCATGGGCTTCTGGAATCTAAAAAACCACATGCAAGCCGCTAGCACCCTTGCGAGCGCACATTATCCCGAAACACTCGATAGGGTTTATATCCTTGGTGCCCCGTCCTTCTTCCCGACCGTCTGGGGCTGGATAAAACGGTGGTTTGACCCTGGCACGACCTCCAAAATCCATGTCCTTTCCCAGACGGAGGTCGCCCCAACGCTACGTGCATTCATGGACCCAAAAGATCTACCGAAGAAATACGGGGGCGAGCTTGAGTGGGAGTATGGGATGCTCCCAAATCTGGACGGGGAAATTTTAAAAGCTGTGTCGGGGCTGAAAACGGGAGATGAGTGGGTGAAAGGCCCATTGAGATGGGTTCAAGACCAGGATGGTAGTGGGAAGGCCAAGGTAATTGCGAAGGGAATGATAGATGGAAAAAGCCGGAACGAGGAGGTTGGTGTTTATGAGTTATAGCTGTCACCAATGTACCAAGAAGATATAGAAAGAGGGTTCCTTGCCTGTCACCAGAATGCTGACTCATTTCTGTCAGTACCGAGCTTGTCCTATGCCGTCTCTGATTCATTGCTCCATTGTCACACAACCTACAAAAGGGCAGTTATGAATATGAGGTACTTCATGTACATACTTATGAATGTGTAGAATAGATTTAAGAATAAGGCTAATGAATGAAACTTTCAGTGATGCCACTATCGTGATGGCAATGTGAATCTCCCCTCATAGGGTCGCCAGCTTCCATCCGCCTCCAACACGACATCATCCACGCCCTGCGGAGCTTGCTGCAGAATCTCGGCGAATAGTCTATAAACTGCTGAATCATCTGGGAATGACGGTAAAGCGAAAACACAAACCCGTCGACAATGAGCTCTCGCCAATCGAGTATTTTCTGACATATTGGACAAAACCTGCGACGATATAAGAGCCAGCCCAGTTCAACTCATGAAACACACCAAGTAGTTGTCTGCTCCATGAGCGCATACCACGACCCTGCATCAAAGCACTGCGAATGCGCACATTTGGCTGATCGACAGGGCACGATAATGCGGGCAGAGCTAATAGGGCACTTCAAAGGGAGCTTGAACGAGCTGGAGATAATGTCTTCGTCGGCGTTGGTAGCCATGGACGCGACCACTAAGCCAAGAATTAAGTCGAGAAAGATTTGAAGATGAAAGAAGACCGACTCTGTCGTCGTATTTCATCAGCAGGCACGAGCCGTGTTTCACGCAAAGTGTTGACCAGAGACATGAGACGTTGCGCCTCGATAAGCTGAACCACAATGTAAAATTTCTGGTGATATTGTTAGGACAAAATGGCCAGCAAGTACCCATACATACGTCGCGCTTGTCCTTTGTCGCGATTCCCCAATGATTCGGCATGCTGTCGGTATACTCGATTGACACCGAATTGTTGCCTATCCGCAAGAACCCAGCAGCGCAAAGGTCGGGGGGAGCGATTGACCCTTTTGCGTTCTTGAAGCCGCGGCGCTTGAGATAAGTGTTGGTGAGTCGTCGTCCGTTGACCGTAATTAAACAAGTGGCAGGGAACTCGATTGGCAAGGCAGGGTGTGAGGGTGAGTATGGAGAGTACAGCGTCGAGGACGTGCAAAAGAGACCGAGTTGATAATTGGAGCTGATCAAACTAGTCAGAGCACGAAAAGGGTCGAAAAGAGCTGACGCACGTAGGAGAATGTAGCTTCGAGACTTCCTCTGCGTCCAACTCGAAATCCAAAGTCGCTTCGACAGGGTCTCCAATACCATAGGTATCTGCTCGTCTAAGTTTGAATATCGGATGAGAAAGAAAAGAATGGGTTGCGGAGGAGGGACGGGAGCTGCTGCTTGCTGAATGGGCGCTCTCGTCAGGGAGGCGGTAGCTGAATGACCTGTTGACAAGAGCTGGCGTGGCTGTGGTTGCCGGTTGACCGTCGAGTTGGAGGCACGAGGAGGTGAAGGAGCAGCAGCAGCCCAACCGACAGGATCAGGTGTTGATTGCGGGGTGGTGGTGGTCTCGCTCTCAATCACAGCGGTCTCGGAGTCCAGGATTGAGGGATCACTGGGAGGAGGACCGTCAAGTGCCCATCGACGGGATTCATACTTGGATCGAATAAAGGATTCCATTTTACTGGAGTTTCAACTAAGAAGTCGTTTCGCATCACGCACTGGTCTGGAATGTTAAATGTTTAGACGCGCCTCCCAGTACAGATTTGCGCGCTTATTTCCCCATTTCTGGATGCTCTGATGGTGCAATGAGGACGGATAGAAGGGAAATTAAGGCTAGCACGCACCTCCATTTGCTCTGGCGTCCAGGTATCGAGATCAACAGACTTGACTTTGCTGATGTGAGTCCCCATTCCTCGATGTATCCCAGAGCAGCGAATGCAAAGAAAGACGCCGAGATTCCATGGCGCCCAGCGCGGATCTGCAAGGATGAGAGAACTTATAACAGTTAACCAACATGAACAGACCATTATGTTTGCAGTCAGCGCAAACTTTGTTGTCCACACGCTTGACGAGCTGGAGAAGTATCCGCGTGAAGCTTTGGGTCATTGCTTTATCCTGAACGAGACCTGTTGGTGGTTCTCTCCAGATATCGTCACAACCGCGTGGTCGTGACCAGTTTGCTTTGTGCCAACGGCATCCAAACTCTCCACCTCATCCAGAAACCTCACCTCTCATTTATCGCGCCCGGAGCTACCCTCAATAAACCTCTCCTTGGACCAGATCGAGGCCCAGTCACGACGACTGGTTTCTCAACAACCCACCGCTGCAAATGAAACTGACCGCGCGTAGGTGCAGTTCAATTCTACTGATTATATGCTAATCGTCCATCTAGGAACTATTTGCTTGCCCATGCACACGTCGATGCATCCGCACTAAGCAGCTCCATTGCTCATCTCAATACCACCGCAACTTTTTCGCCACTCCAGCCATTGCAGGACACTGATGTTGCTCGTGAACTTGCGGGTTACTTGCGTCACGCTCACGAGCAAAATCTCATCTTGACCATCGAGGAGGGTCGCCGACAAACGCAGGAGCAGCTCTATCGCACGCTTGAGGAGCGAAGCAGGCGGGATTGGGAGGCTAAAAAGAAGCGCGTGTTCGATGAGTTGGGCGGACGCGTAGGCGGCGACAATAAGGCTATGGCCGAACTCAAGAAGAGTTTCCACAGCAAGGTGAGCCCGCTTGTTGGCCCATTGCCCATCTTATTGAGTCAAATGCAGCCAAGTGTTGCACCCAGCCTTACACTCCAAATGCAAAGCAGGATGATGATTTACGACAGGGTAATGACGAGTCTGAATGCTGCTCGTCTCCGTGGCACGTCGTATCCCATCGTTCACGCGCTCGCTCGCGCTGCTTACGAGGTTGCAACTGATGTAGGTTTCTCGCTCTCCCTCCTGCTTCCATCTTAGCTTCCATTTTTAGCCGCGTTCTGCGCAAATGTCTCAAAACTTCCATGTTCTTGCCAAAATTACAGGTGAACCGCCAGCTCTACCTCCCACAGAGCACGCAAGTGCCCACATTCTCAACGCCCCCACTTTGGAACGAAAATATGCCTGCGTATACTTGGGCAATCAAGAAACACGCGAAGCTGCCGCACTCCGTCGGCAGATCACGAACGGCGCACGACAGGCACTGGAGGAGCAGTATTGGGATGTTCTGGAACGAACAATTCAGTCACGACCAAATGAGGCTCAGCTTGGTGGCGATCCAAGTATCGCGAATAAAGTGCGAGCGTTCCTTTTTGTGAGGTACTACAAAAATGGCGAATGGGAGGAGAGGATCGAGGTTTGTTGTGTATTCTTCTTGGTCAATGTCGATAACCGTGTTGAGATAGCTTGTCGCTGGGCAACCCTTATGGGCACGACTTTTCTTCCTGATACGAACGGGGCATTATCAATAGCCAACCCTGCGTTTTAGCCCCAGCCATTGCCCGCCGTAACCCATGCTTTCCCTGGCCCGGCCAGCAATGTGCAGCCTCGTTGCTGCACCGGTACTGCCAACATCGAGCGCGGCCACAACCTGTGTCAGTACAGTAGCGCCACACGATCGTCCGAGATAGCGCAGCGACGTGGGCTGCTGTGTGGTCGTCGAACTGTGAGTGGATTTTGTGAAGTCACAGAAATTGCTTGCTGCTCACCATTGTTACAGCTTGAATATCCAACAGTGACGGGGGGTTGAAGACGCGCACCCTCCCAAGTCGTCATCGAGTATGGTGGACGGGGCAGCAGCATAGTTCATGGTCGTCGCGGTAACCATAGAAGAAATAGCCGGCAGATAGGTGGTGGAGAGAAACATGGTTGACTATTCAATGGTGTGTTGTTCGTGCTTCATTTCCGCCTCTGCTTAGTTTTCGACAGCCGCTTGGGCCAACGAAGACGTCGAGTTTCAAAGTTGCAGATGCAGAATTGAGTTGAATTAGCTAGGTGCGTGGTTGGTCCCCCAGTGTGATTATACTGAAAGGTCGTGTAGCGTGTGGAGCTGCTACTATGTGCTGTTCTAACAGGCTCCTCGTTGCTCTTCTATCTCCATATCTACCTATCATTTGGCCTTAAACTGTTCCGCGAAACCTGGTGTGTCTTCTGTAAGAGCAAGGATGTGCACAAGGTTCAAGACTTGATTCTTGATGGTGTTCTCTTCATCTTCTGATTCGTCTTTCTGTATAAAACCAACCACAGGCTGACTGGCGAGATCCAGGAAGCGGGCTTGGAGCTGAATCCAACTGGAGCACAAGTTCTGGCGACAAACTGAAATGCCCACCTCCACACGGTCCTAATTGCGATTCGAGCAAAGAGATGGATGGTGATGAACAGGCCCCCAATGTCTGATTTCACGGTCTACCACCTCCGAGACCAGCTCCTTGCCATCATCACCCACTTTGACAAGGCCATTAGTGTGCGGACTTCCATGCTCGGCGGACCAGTCCAAAGGCTGTGTATGGGGCACATGTGCAAAGCCTTGTTACTATGTATTATACTGGTTGCGGGTCAATGGAATGTAATTCCAGCAAATGGAGGATTGGAGTTGATTTAGTATGCCGACTGATTGCCTTGATAGCTAATTTATATGCCGGAAAAATGTTATTGGCCGGATCACAGATCCGAGTGCTACATTTTCTGAAAATTTTCTGTGGCAGAAAATTAGAAATCTTCTGACCCGGAAAATTTCCAGAAGATTCTCAGAAGATTGATGGAAATCTTCAAATTTTCCGTGACAGAAAATCCTCGGAAAATCTTCAGAAGATCTTCAGAAAATTTCAAATTTTCTGTGCATTTTCTGGGGCGGAAAATACATTAATGTCCGTAGTGGAAGCCCCGGGTCCCGGAAGGGGTTCGATCCCGGCAGACAGTCTTCTGTCGCAATACCATCAAATTGGGGAGATAACAGTTATGACACACGTGCTGTTTGATCCGGTACCGTCAACGTGGGCTGCCTTAAGCGCTGCTTATGGTCATAGGTTTAAGTCCTATAAAAAGTGTTAGGGAGTTTTAGTGGGTATTACCGCTTGTGGTTGAAGTCCCACAGTATCATTTCTGGTTTCGGCAATGATCTGCGTAAATGTATTTCTTCCTGTTGGTTGTATTCTATCTTTCGGCCTGGTCTCAATTCCGAGGCCAAACAATTGCGGGGCTTGTACTCACCGACCAATGTCGGCCCAACCGGCAGCTAATGGCTGAGACTAATAGGGGATGGCACCTTCGGGTTCTCTGATGCGGCCTGCTATCACACCACAAAAAAAAAAAAAAAAAAAAAAAAGTCACAAGGGCCTCTGGCGTGTGACGCCTGAGACTAAAACCTTGCAGGACCCGTGAATATGCCCCAAGAGGTTGGATACCGAAATCTGGACAAAAATTTGCAAATCTCAACCCAAGGTTAGACCAGAATCCGGATAAAAATTGGGCCAAAACCAAAAATGTTAGATTCATAGTCCGGACAAAAAATTCCTCTTGGACAGGTTGGATTTGAGTCTGGACAAAAAATGCATATTTGGGTGGACAAATCATGTGCAATCAGACGAGAAATGTATCGAAATCGCATTTGACATAAAATCAGCCTGGATCAGAACTTTGAAGAAAAGTGTCTTTTTGAGACATTACTTTGCTTAGCGCAGCTTTTTTCAGCTAATTTTAGCTGACTTGGGGATTTTCCCTGATTTTCCCCAAGGTTTGAAGCAAATCTGGACAAAATTTACTGCTTGGGGCTAGGTGTGTTCAAAATCCAGACAAAAAAGTTCCAGTCCAATGTCCAAAAATCCGGACAAATTTTGGCAATCACCAATTTCAGTATCCAATCTCTTGGGGCATATTCACAGGCCCTAATGTCAGGGGAACCTCCTTTTTGGCCCCTCAGAGACGATTCTGATTCCAGTCCAGTTCCAGTTCCGACTCCGGTCCGGCCCTTTATCTCACCCGCACAATCACCGATACGTCAACACTCTCCCAACAGTCGCCCTGGGACCTTGCCTGCAATGCCGCCCAAGCCTTCTGTGCCCGACAGCGGCAGCTACGGACAAGCAGTATATAGTCAGCTACCTAGCAGGTGGACCCTCAGATGTCACAAACAAAGCCAGATCAGATCAGATGATGGGCCAACTTAATGGATGATCAAATGATCTAACTTCGTAGTGGTTGATGATGAGATCAAGTTGTATTGATAGGTATGATACAACTGGATGACTATTTCCCAAGAGGTAGGAGGGAAAAGAGAATAAAAGCACTGGGGGCAGAAGGCCACCAGCGTCCTCTTTATATACTAATTCCAGGCTGCTGATACTGACTCACTCTGACTCATACCAACTCACGCTGTGTCAGGGGGAACCCCCACTTTGGCCTCCTTCGGACCGTTCGAGTGCATCTGAGGCGCTGATAAGCCGCAGTCTGGGACAGACCAGGAAACGACTATTTTTGTCGATTTTGTTGCTCAGCGCACGTCTCAGAGTTGACATGAGTCCCGAATAGTCAACTAGGGAATTACCTGCACAAGAACTGTTGAAAGAACAGGAGAGAAGTTCAATTGTTTATTCTGTAAAGTAGTACAGTATTTATACTACTAATGAATATTCTAGTAAGTTCTACTAAAGTTTGACTGGGATCAGTCAGCGTTGGGCTGAGTGATCCGCCCGGAGTTCGCTAGAGTAAGCGATATTACAACACTCCCCCTCGAACGTAGCGGCGGAGCATGCCTGGAGAGGGAATTTGGGCAAGTGATGCCGCAGATGGGAACTTGTGCCTGGTGAAAGGCAAAATCTCATGGAGTTGTGGTTGAGCCAGGGTTGGCCAACAACGGAGTTGGCCTTTGCCTGATTTGGCGCGCCGGAGGTGTGGGAACATGGCTGGAGGTAAGCCGGATGAAAATAGGCCGGCGGATTTGGCGTGCCAGAATGCTGCTTGGCCGCGGGCGGGCCCGAATGATGGGTTTGGCCGTGTACCAGGGCCGGGCCTGAGTTGGCCGGACATGGCGGTGCCGGATTTGGCGCGCCGGGAAGTGGGCCGCGAGTGGGCCGCGAGTGACTGTGTGTGTGCCATAGCCGCGTGTGGGCCGGAAATGAGATGGCGGTGGCCGCGAATGGGCCGGAAGAATGACGGTAGACATGGCCGTGAATGGGCCGGGAACGTAGATAGGCCATGGATGGGCCGGATATGCGTCGCGCTGCCAGAGTTAGCGTGCGGGAAATAAGAGTTTGACTGCGCAGGGGTCCGATACTGGCCGCGGATGGGCCGGAGGTGCCAGATGGGTTGGCTTTGCGTTGCCGGCGTTGGCGTGCGTGTGAGAGAGCATGGGCTGCCTGCGGGTCCGGAGTGCTTGTGTAGGCCAGGGGTTAGGCCGCGAGTGGGCCAGCACATGTCGTGTCCAAGTTGCTTGTGGAAGCGCGGACGGAAGTTGCTTGTGTAAGCCCAAGAGTCAGTGTGGTGGCTGCGAATGGGCCGTGACAGAGGTCGTGTCCGAGATGCTTGTGTAAGTGTGGACGGAGAGGTGTTGGCTGCGAATGGGCCCGACTGGGGCCACGGGCGGGCCGGAGCAGAGTGGTGTCGATGGCGGGATGTCCGAGTGGTTGTCCGTTGCCGCTTGGCGTTGCCCAAATGAGCGTGCCAGAAGATTCCAGTGCGTGAGAGAACGCGGGGCTTTGCCCGGGCCGATGGCTGTGCTGGATCGAGGCATTCGCCGACGGTAAGCGCTTGGGCGCACCTGCAGCTTGCAGCTGCCAGTCCAAACCAATACCAGAGCGCACCCTGGGGGTGGTGTCTCTGGGCCGAAGATGGGGGGGTCGATACACGAGGGAATAGACGCGAGTGGTCGTATGCGTGATGGCCGCGGAGTGGGTGGAGCAAGCGAGGTGAGAGACAGTTCAGGCTATGCGGGGCCCATAACCTGTTGAAAGAACAGGAGAGAAGTTCAATTGTTTATTCTGTAAAGTAGTACAGTATTTATACTACTAATGAATATTCTAGTAAGTTCTACTAAAGTTTGACTGGGATCAGTCAGCGTTGGGCTGAGTGATCCGCCCGGAGTTCGCTAGAGTAAGCGATATTACAACAAGAACCAGTCAAACTCCAGTCAAAATCTATCAAATCGCTCTCAGTGATTCCAAAATCTTGACTAGGAAAAGTTCGCAGAGCCCGTTCCTCGCTAGAATCTATCCAATTCCATGCAAAATACCCAAAGGGAGTGTATTCCAAAAAGGCATATTCGGTTTGGCGCTCAGTGGAGACTCGAGATCGACTTCTCCTAGATAAGGGACACCCCTATCTCTGTTGGTATCGACGACTGACATCATTGGAACGTGGTTTCGGATCATGCTGGAGGATCGAGAGTGCCAAGGGACGGTTAAACGGCGAAAACCTACTCAATTGATTGGGGCCTGGACCTGTGATCAACGGCGACTCTAAAACACTGTCGAGGAAC